TTCAGATTTGACACCCAGCCTACACGCCATGGGCTTTGTGGCCGGCTTCGTTGCAAGACCCACGAGGCCAGGATTCACGGCGGGAAACACATGGGGGGACCACCCAAATGGCCATGAACATTTGGAAAGATTTGGAGAGTGATCACGAAGCACTGGACCACTGGGGCCCCATTTTCAAACAAACCCACGTGTACAAACGATTTTTGCTTGTCAAACAACACCCCTGAACTAGGTGGACGATAGTTTCTTGAGTCGACTTCTCCCATCGTTGCACCATGTGATTGAAAGAAAAGGACTGTAAGTTTCCGAAGGTCTCTGATCTCATGATTCTCATGGAAAACCACGAGGCACGGCCTCGTATAATCATCGATCTAGGACTCAGGCGGGTGAATCCAGGTCCCAACAACAGGGTACCCTTCCTCAAAAAAATGCCCCGCACAGGGCAAACGTGATGAGGGACAGTTCAAACGGCAGCAATGAGATACGCCCCACAGGCGACATTCTGCCCAAGAACGTTCGGCAGGCATGACAAGGCCCAAAAAATCCATCACTCGAAACTGAGTGGTGTTATCCCGCGAAGTTTAGGGGGAAAGGTTCCATACCTAGCTTGGGTGAACATGATGAGGGCTCCCAAACTCGGCAAAAACTGTCAATATGACTGTATCATACTAACAAACATAATATAGAAAAAATCTAATATAATATAATATATTATATAATTATATATATATTATATAAGTAACATTTTAATATTTACAATGAAACCTCTACAGTAAGGTTTCACACCAGTCAATACTTTGTGTTTTAAACGGTTGTTTCACATTGTTTCACATCTACCTCATGCATGGCTGCCGGAAATGATGATCCATGAATGGCACATTTGCCAAATCCATGAAAGGGAATGTAATCTTACGAATTGAGCGCTGGAGCCCACGTGGTGCTCTTGTGGCAGTGATCAAACAAATTTGCGGCAACTCGTTTGTCGGTATTGTTGGTCCAATCATCCTATATAGCTGTCTTCCGGAACTGCAATTTTTAAAACGTTGGCCAGGCCAAGCTCACAAGTATAGGTTTGAAATGCGAAATACCACAAGACCCCGACCATAACTGCGAGGTATTTTCAAAGGTCCGCGGGATCAAGGTAAGCACATGTATGCCGATACGGGCACCTATCTATATTCATATGGGTATATGGGTCAAAACATGTCAAAACCGTGGGAAACATCTGGTGAACTCCCAAAAAACATGAATACCTACAGTAATTTTATGGATGCTCATCCCCGCAAACATTGTATTTAGTAGGTTTTGATCCATCTCCATACGTTTGTTCATGCTTTCAACAGGTTTCCACAAAACAGAAATTATGTTCTTCAAGTGATCCCCACCAAATGACATCCTATCTGACAGATATTCTAGCATTCTATCTGACATTTTTTTTGACATTCTATCTGGCATAAATTCTGACGTTCTATATTCTGGCATTATTTCTGACATTCTGTTTGGCATCTATTCTCGCATTCTTTCTGGTATCTAGTCTGACGTCCTATCTGACATACATTCTGACATTCTATCTGGCAATCCATCTTCTGGCATTCTTTGTGACCTTATATTTGGCATCTATTCTCGCATTCTTTCTGACATTCTATTTGGCATCTGTTCTCGTATTGTTTCTGGCATCTATTCTGACGTCCTATCATACCTGACATTCTATCTGACATACATTCTGGCATTCTATCTGGCATTCTACCTTCTGGCATGCTTTCTGACATTCTATTTGGCATCTATTCTCGCATTCTTTCTGGCATTCTACCTTCTGGCATTCTTTCTGACATTCTATTTGGCATCTATTCTCGCATTCTTTCTGGCATTCTATCTTCTGGCATTCTTTCTGACATTCTATTTGGCATCTATTCTCGCATTCTTTCTGACAGTCTATTTGGCATCTATTCTCGCAATCTTTCTGGCATCTATTCTGACGTCCTATCATATCTGGCATCCTATCTGACATACATTCTGACATTCTATCTGGCTTCTGGCATTCTTTCTGACCTTCTATTTGGCATCTATTCTCGCATTCTTTCTGACATTCTATTTGACATCTATTCTCGCATTCTTTCTGACATTTGATTTGGCATCTATTCTCGCATTCTTTCTGGCATCTTTTCTGACGTCCTATCTGACATTCTATCTGAAATACATTCTGACATTCTATCTGGCATTCTACCTTCTGGCATTCTTTCTGACATTCTATTTGGCATCTATTCTCGCATTCTTTCTGACAGTCTATTTGGCATCTATTCTCGTGTTCTTTCTGGCATCTATTCTGACGTCCTATGTCTATTCGGGTCCGTGTGTGCCCAGACTGAGCGCTCGCCATGAGCTTCTGTGGCGAGATTACTCCACTTGAGGACTTGAGGTGGCACTTCCACTTGGTGCCCACAGTGACCACGAGCTGGCACAAGGAGGACGGCGGAAGGAGGGAAGGAGTGAAGGAGTTGCACCTGTGGATCTAGACGCAATCACCATCACCTGGCAGGCCTGGCGGGTGGGAAAACAAAATACAGTTTAACAGGACGTGTTTCATGTGACGTCACGTGGCCTCGAAATGCGCGGAAATCTTGCACGGGGCGCGGCGGCGAAGTGGCCTTTGGCCACGGTTCGCAGAAGTGATGCTACTGCAATGCCATGCCATCTGTCTAACTAAAAGGGGGCAACAAAAATAGTGAAGATAACTCAGATTTGAAAAACCAAGGAAATTTTCTTGGCATGTTGCGTGGCTCGCGCCAGAGTTCCCCGAAGCTTCCGGGGAGCTCCAATTCATGGTACCTGGTGTATCTATGACTCGGGAAATCTTCACTCGAAATAGATGTATGCTATAATTGGGTTATGACTATGTTATAATATAGCTATGTTACATTACTATTTGCTACTATAAACTACTGTACCATATACTACTATATACTACTATAGCTATGTACCACTATATACCACTATATACTACTATATCGACTATATACGACTATATACTCCTATATACTTCTATAAACTACTATATACTCCTATTTTCTACTGTACACTATATACTCCTATATACTACTCTATACTACTAGAATATACTGATATAGTGCTATACTATAATCAACTATACTGTACTATACCATACCATACCATACTATACTATGCTGATCTATACTATACTTACTGTACTGTGCTGTGATTTGCTGTACTGTACTATATCATACTCTCTCTCTCTATATATATATATAGAAATAAAAGGATTGCATCATTCACAATATGGTGTGCAACAATGTAGGTACTAGTATTGTTTTAGATGTGCTCATGAATTGTATTTTGCTCTGATGTTTTGGTGGTCACCAGAAAGAATGCGAGTTGAAACAGTGGATGGGATGTCAATGCCAAAGATGAGGAACTTAGGATCGGACTTCTCAAACTTGAGATACTGTTGTTTACCATTGGTTGTTTTTTCAAGAAATTACCAAACAATTTGATGATATCTTGGGTTCCCCCCCGAAAAAATGGCATTCTAGTGATTAAAATCCCAAGTTGGGATTGTGAAATCACTATTTTTGTAGGTAAAATCATGTCCAAATCTATGATCCGCCGGATCCTGATGGAAAAAAAACCAGGTGCCATTCACTAAGTCGACCGATGGAGTGGCGGCACAGCCGTGATCAAGTAACATGGCCATGTTATGGACATTGTTTAATGGGTCATACCGTATACCCTGAAAGTACCTGACCAATGGGGGTTTACATTATGATTATATCTTTTTGTTGAAGGAGTTCATGGGAATTCAACGGAAAACCACTCTGGTGCCCCCAGCTACCTTTGTTGGTTTATAAAAAAAATAAAGCCCATCAACAAGTTCGATATCACCCAAGCCAAGTCTGGGGCACCGTGTCGGGTAAAAGGCCCCTGATTTTCTCAGGAAATCTAGACATGGTGGATGGCCCGTATGTTTATAAAGACAGCAGGTAATAACAAAAAAACAAGTGATCTCTTGCCAGTGTTTTCGCAAGAAATCTGTGTTGGAAAACCTTCGTGAGGTGGTATCTCTATGGTTTTCCGGCTGTTTTTTTTCCATTGCCAAATTTGGATAATGCACTTAAAAAAAGGCTGGTTATATCGTATGGCAAGGGGTCTATCTAAAAATCCGATACCCCAGATTTGATGGCAAAACATCACTTCTCCGAGACACAACACGATGCCATGAATATTAGTGATGTATGTCCTATCATGCCCCATGTTTTCTATCTGAAATCCAGATATTTGTCCTACTGAAATCCGCATCAGATCATTGGTCAACTCCATGGCCTGTTGATCGCCGATCACCGCCAGTTCTCGATCTGATCAACCACAGATGGCGTTGTGCCCAAAAGATCCCACCGTGAGCCCAACTCGTTCGCCAATTTTCAATCTGAAAAAAAGTTTAATAGTGCATGATCTTCCAGTCGGCCCAACAAAATCAGAAAATATGAGGTTCCAAGTAGCCAGTCATTTTTTCGTCAATTTCTAAGTTCCAAACAATGTTTTGTTGGGTTCAACATCTTTGGACGCTGACGTCATGATATTGAGTCTCTGCGTTAAGTAGGTGACGGTTGTACATGTGCGCTTACCTTACCGAAAGTTGTGTGGTTTTCCTGCAGAAACAACAAGCACTTTGCCCTGCAGTTTCAACCCCGTTCATCCCGTTGCCATCGCATCCGCTTTCTGGTTGGGAATATTTTTAGAATGCACATGTTGCTGCTCATGACATGAAAACGAATCTGATCCAACACACTTATCTTAAATCATGATGTATCATTGTATCACCATGTTTATGGAAAACTGGATATGAAAAACAAGAAACAAAGAGGTACCCTCGAGTAATCATAGCAATGGCATATCCACCATTTAGATAAGTTTCCCATTAAAAAAAACTCTTATCGTGGATGTTCAACTGCCATGTTTGATTATGAGATGCTAGTTGTAATTTGGTCCCCATGTTCCCCGTTTTTTTTGGTTTGCCCAGAGTCGTCTCACCGGCTTTCGCGACCAACATCATGGCTGCACACGGCGGCCCTTGACGGAACAGCATCGGAATGCTCCGCCATCATCAGCCTGGCGACGTGAAACGCGTGAGCAGTCGGTTCGGTGGAGAATGGTGGATAGGAAGACATATGTATTATGACTGCCATGGTCAAGCTACATGGCTGAATATGGGGTATGGTCATCGCATAATGACAATCCAAGCATCATGGGTGTGTGTATACCCCTAGGAAAAATGACTTCCAACTTTTGACGCGCTCCATGTGGCCAATCCACGCTCACAGGCTGCACCTTGCACTGGTGGCGGGTACAGGTGAGTGAAGTGAAAATGTCCAATGAACGACGAAACGACTGCAAGCTAATTATCCACCTCCACATTGCTCCTTGCACGTAACTTTTTCATCAAGCTTTGGTTGCGTAACCATCTCTCAACGCGGTGATTTTTCATCTCAATCGTTGACATCAATGAGAACATCCAACTCATTGACATGAATAGGTTTGTGCAAAGCCGACGGTCCATTCAGTTAAAATAATCATGCCACACCAAATCCATTGTCGCAGACTGCTCTGGAATGATGGGCCGGCAAGGTAAGCCATGCAGCCATTGGAGTTTTCAGTCCGATTCTCGACATCGAGAAGCATTTGCATGAAGAAAATGTTGGCAGGATGTCAGCTTCAACAATAGTTGACACATTTTGCAGCAAATTTCTCAAGCAAAGGATTTGCAGGGAAACGGCTCTTTTCGAATCAGGCAGTAGAAAAGCCTGAGGATCATCATAAGAGATGTATATAATTCGTCTTCGCCCCAATGCCACCAGTTTTGATCGGACACCTCCAACCTGTGGTCAGGTAAAAGCTGGTTAAAATCTCAAACCAAGAAATGTCAACCGAAACGTCGGGCGGCCATCGCAGCATCTCGCAAAAAAGCTAAAAAGCCTTTGCAATTTTGCTCCTTGAAGACACCTGTGGAAGACGTCATCATCACAAACAATAGGCGGCTGTTGCACATAGCCAGAAGGTTCAATTTTTTCATGAACTCCAGAGCTTCCCAGCCCATTGCATGAGAATCAAATAGACCAACCTGACGGCTCTCATCCAATCTAGGTCTTAGGAGCGACGAAGAATTACCATCACTCTTCAAAATTTCCAGGAGGCGACATCTTTCCCTGTTGAGGTCAACCAAATAAAAGATAATGGGTACATAATTTAATCTTCTCCATCTCACAGTGTGAAATACACTCGTGGCAGATCTTCCAAATTTCACCAGGCACCAGTTTGTTGGCCGCATCTGCTGCAATGTCTCCGCGATGGCTTCCAGCAATACGCCAAAGGTGGGTATGGTCAATGGCCAATTCAAAAGATCTATGGCTCTTCACCCTTGTCACAAAAAAATGTCTTGCTTCCACAGACTGGCAAGCTCACTAATGAGGTCACCATGGTTGAGCTTGTGCAGAATCGAGCCAACAAGATTTAACTCAATCAGCCGTACAATTTTGCATAATACATAAGAGGCATCCGTGACAAATTCAGCGCGTGGAAAAGGCGTAACCAAACTGGCTTTTTTGACTGCCACTAGCAATGCCATTAGTTCAGCCCTTGCCACAGTTTGTTCTCCAGCCACGACCCAATCTGAGATACGTGGAAAAGCGGACAGGAGGGTTCCACGGTAAACATTAAATCTGATGTTCAACAGATGGGGGAATATCTTGAACCACAGCCCACGTCGCAATACGTGCCATAGGGATCCTCAGGAATCTTGCGCCACCATCAGTGAAAAAACGTAGGGAACCAGTGTATGCCTTGATCAGGTCCAAAGGGTAACCACCAAGATTCTGTCCGTCGTCCAAGGCATCTTCAATAAGACGTTTCTGCGTGTAGGCTAGCTCTTTCACACCCCTTCCAGGCAGTCCTCCCGAAACATCAAAAGGGAAAAACATCTTCCAGACATTCGCAGAGACAAGGACGATGAATTTACCAAGAAGGCGGTAAAGACAGCTCAAGATTGTGATTGGGCGTGCATGATGCATAGACAATGCCCCCCGAACCGAATCTTGGACAACAGAATAGTTTTTGCAGTCATCATCCCTGGGCCAAAACCAGTTTGCAAGCTTGACGGATTTTTTGTCAAGTCGCGAATGCAACACTCAGGCAAACACTTCAGTTCATCATTGGCCCAAACACAGGGTCCTATGGCCTTCCCAGATGAGAGTTTCTTGACAATGTGCATCCAAAGTCGCATGTCATCCCATGGACGCAACCGTTAAAAAAACCAGGCATCTCTCCACACATGTACACTTACCCGTTTTTTCAATCCTCACATGTGGTCTATGTCAAGATGCCGTTTCACCCACCTGACCAGAAGCGGAGGTGGTCACGCAGTCCGGACATTTTTATATTGGTTCCACTGCCATTTCAGCCGTGAAACGTGAATTCAACAGGTTTGCAAAATTGAAACAAATTCGGCGCAACCTCGCAGTTCACGCAGAAATGTCAATCCGCTACTGGAGCGCCAGGACAGATTTTGAATGCGCAATGTACGACAATGCCTGGGTCCGTGAACATGTGTTAGTTAGTTCTTGGCAACCTGCTTGAATCATCCCTCATTTAAAAATTGTTCAAACTCAAATCTGAAGGTTGGATGATGCCCTTACGAAACAATCGCCAAGGTCCTGTTAAATTGAGTCCGAGACTGTATCAAAGAGTTCGACGACGCTTGTTTTCTCTCGGATCGGTGCCGTCACCTCATTCGTTTCAAGAACAAGCTTGGAGAATTTTGTACCAAATTAGCCTGTTCACAAGAGCGAGCTTTGAAGCATGCAAGCGAATTCTATCTGGAGAATTTCATACCCTGGAAGTTTATGCTTTGTACAGACTGGCGACTCACATAGAAGAACCCGGTAAATCTAGAGTCAAGAGTTTGATTGGAAAAGCGTTGCTATTTCGCAACGCCACAGTTCCAAAAAACAATTTGCCATTGCACATTCCGTTTTTGGCACATGACAAGTGTCGAGCGAATCTTGAGACTTGGATTCGGCAGCTCATTCTACAGCATAAACATGTTGCAATTCCTCTCTTTTTACCAACTCATCGACTCCGAAAACAAGGTTTCCCCAAGTTGTGAGCGAAATTCTACACAACCATCGAAAAATGGAGAGACGATGGAAAATGTCTCACACACAAAATCTCCCTCGCTGCTGTAAAGAATTACGATCCATTGCAAAGCAACACATACAAAAAAACAGGACATGTCGCCATCAACTTGGACGACGTCAACTTGCCATCAAAGCTACACATTTTTGCCAACGCCAACGCCAACTCTACGTATTTCCTTTCCCGGTCACAATATTCAAATATATGTTCAAAATCCGTGACTGGTGTTGGCTGAAACATCATGGATTACCACCTCAATTGGCTTCCGCGTTTATGCAGAAGATCACCGCAGAATGGAAGCTTCATTTGGATGCAACTGACAACTTACCCACATTTAGTTTTTCTTTTCATGCTGTTCAACACCTTTTACATTGGCTTCCAAAGGGCTATGTGATTCATCATTGTGATCATGAACAATTTCGTTTGACCTTATTTTGTCCTCAGCTATATTTTCAAGGTGCCCTCAATACCTGGAAGGATCCGGAACTTTCTGAACAACTACCCATTCTCCTCATGAAGCGCAAGTTCGTATTCAACAGGCTTTTCCCACTTACCTAGTCAGAACGCATCCATGGGGCTTCCGCAAAAAAGCCACCTTGCCGTATGGATTTGTCTTTTTTTGAAACGGAAAACAGATTGGCAAAAAGGTCGGACTCTGATTAGCTATTTTCAGAGCTATCAGTCCACATTGTTAAAAGCAGTGTCACGCGGTTTAGACTCCATGCTCCGTGAAGTTTGGCCCCATCAACTGGGGCAACAGAGTGTTCCTCAAATTTGCAACACAATTCATTCGGCATTTCGTGAGATTCCCGAAGAAGTTCATGTGCAATTTTTGAATGACGATTTGGTAGGTTTTTTCAACTCTGTTCCGCAAGACAGACTTCTTAATGCAGTTCGGGCATTGATCGTAGCATGGAAAGACCGTCACCCAGGAGATCTCTCCATTTCAGTAGACTTGTCAGCAACAGGAGACCCGATACAGTCGATGTTTGTAGGCACTTATATACAGAAAATCAGCCTACAACGTCAGGTCCAAAGTTGACGACCTCTTCATCATTGTGCAGGCCAGCCTCAGCAGTCATTAATTACACTTGGAAGTATTTGGCGTCAAATCCGAGGAGCCGGCATTGGGAGTCAGATAAGCCCGACCATTTCCAACCTTGCCGTCACCATGGTGGAGCGAGCGTGGCAACATTCGTTCGAGGCGCTTCTCAGTCACAAACCATTGAACTTTGCCTCAGTTAGATATGTTGATAACCGTTTTGCCGTTTTCGATTCTGTTATTGCCAAGTCACAGACACAATCGCCATTTATTCTGACCCGAATTTTTATGGACACCCAGTTGAGCTGGAAAAGGTGGGTGATTCCATGCTCCTGGGATTCAAAGTTTCCGTTGCCGAAAGAACTGTGACTGTAACTTATCAATGTCCCAATCAACAGCAAATTCGAAATATTGCATCAGCTGGGTCTATCCGTCTCAGGCTGAGCGGCTTGAAAAGCCGAGCTCACCTGATTAGAACATATTCGTTTCCGCCTTCAGCAATTGAATCTAGTTTCCGTCAGCTTGCACTGTTGTATGTACAGCAGGGTTTTTCTCCGCCCGAAGTATACCATGCCATTGGACTCCGGTGAAGTCAAAACATGATCTCGGCGACATACGGCCTTGGTGTGTGCGTCAAACCCCGTTCCTAAAAGGGCTGTTTGTTTTTTGTGTTTTTGTGCGATTTTCTCTTTCACTTTTCCAAGCAGGGGGACTGTCTGACTTGTAACAGTGGCAGTCCAACGAAGAGGCTGTTACAAGTCACTGAAAATGGATTCTGGACACTTGTTTTGAAGTGTACAATCCCCATTTTTTCAATTTTTCGAAGAGCTAGGTCATTTTCTCTTGTCATGGCAAGGTGGCCAAGCCAAAAACCACCCACGTCGATCACGGCAACATAAGGCCTTCCCGGAAATTTTCCCATTATTCAGACAAGTTCTAAAACCAACGACGACATGCGGTCTGTCGAGTGTGTGAGAATGGGGGATACCTTCAAAAACTCCTTTAATATGAAAACTATGATAAACCAAATTTGATTTTGGGGTGCACCCTTTTCCCAGACACACCAATATGCACCGCTACGAATCGCGACTTCTTCATGAACGTCCCAGGCATATATCTATCCAAAGATACCGTAATTAATCGCAGGATATGACCGCAACCAGCAGGTGATCCCGCCTTTAAATCATCCATATCTTTCAGAAAATTGTTGCCCTCCAAGGTCCTCAGAGCCGTTGGTCGGTTGGGTCTGAACGGTTCGGAAGGCAATAGAAAGGTCGCGGCGCGACCAAGGGTCACACTTTGGCCGACTGCAAATTATGATTATCATCGCGTACTATTAAATTATTTTAATATCATAATTTTCATCAATATTACGTATCATTATAATGAACACATATATTTAATTAAATAGTTTTATTCAATTTCAAACAAACGAAATGAAATTAGTAGTATTAATATGTTCACTCTTACATGCACAATTATTGTGTATATATATATATTTATTTAATCTAAGCAAACCAACCAACCAATCGACCGACCGACCCACCGACCAACTGACCAACCAAGCAAACACCTATGCATACATACAATGCAAATATGTACAATTAAAATTAATATGTTCACAATCAGCAGATGTGTTCATTTGCAACAAAACTACATGTGATTATATGTGAATACTCTGCAACGTTGAGACTCCTGGCCCCAATTCAATCGGGCCTAGGTAGAAATCTTGAGTCAAAATTTCAGACCTGAGGCCCCCAAAATGTTTAGCTGATTTTCAATATTGATCATCTGATCATGTGGGTACCCAATTTTGACCCTTACCCATATTGTTGCATGGGTGAAAAAACTCAGTCTCGATTGCGGTATCCTGTTGTTTGGAGGCTCCCAAGGAAACCCATGGACGTAAATATATTTGAACAGGATTTGAGATTCAGCAGTTCGCTCCCAGATCGCGGGCTCACAAAAGAGACCGATTCAAATGATGAAACATATCTCTTCATATCTAAGGGGATCTACTGGCGGTAGTTCAGGAAAACCTGTAACATGCTTGGTATGTTTCATACAACATCTTTGTTTCATCTAAACAATATTGGGATGGAGAGCCACTCAAATATATTATAACCGCCAATCCAACCAAACAACAAAGATTTCACTGGTAAATATATATATATATGTGTGTGTGTGCGCGTGAACTAAGTCTGACTAGTCTCAAACAGAAGTGGTCACATACGTTATGAATCATCATGCGTTTCCTTTCAATCACCACCTAACATGTTTTGAACAGATCATCGCTATATTTCGTACTACATCGAACATTCCTTTTCGATTGATTGCCCAAAGGTTGATGCCGGAAATACCTTGGAGACCTGGATTCCTGGGGAAAACATCATCGAACAACTGAAAACACAAAGTTGTATCGGTTTGGGGGTTGCTGTGGGTAGCTGTAATTTGGCGATCATTTGCACATGTAGGAAGCTAAAACCGGCTAAAACCCGGAAAAACATCCCTGACGACTGACTCCGATTTCATCAAGGTTGTATGTGGGTTTGTCTGAACACAGAAGGTATCCACAATTTAGTTTTTTTTAAGACATCATTTAATTATTTTATAGCCTGTAAAGCATGTACAGCTACATTTTCTTCTGCTATTCCTACTATTCAATGGCCATGGGGGTTTGAGATGGGTTGAATCCGCCATGTTCAAGTCGTCTGAGGCAGCTCACTCTGTCCAAGTTTTTTGGAGCAAATGTACGAGTCGATGTTCTGCAAGCCTGGTGCCGCCGGCTGTTTTTGGCACGACATGTGGCCACGAAAACCAGCCCAGTTGTTTACAAGGTGCACACCCCTAGATTTAAATTTGTTTAAAAACCGAATGAATTGCAAACCTAATTGCTTAATTATTACAGAATGCTGAAGATATAAAACGATATATGTCCCATGCCATAATCCAAGTTTACAATAGTTTACCTACTTATTTCAACCAGCTTAGGTATAAGCCAATGAACTGGGGCGCAACCTTGTAGACTTCTAGCACATGATTCTTCAAATTTGTTTCCCAGATCTCCATGCACAGTCCAAAAAGAATACATCTCGGTCGCTATTGGTAGTAGTTGTTGGTAACCATTCCGGCGGAGTATCCGGGATGGCGCATCATTCCAGGAGGGTCGCAGTCTGGAGGGTTCTTGGCAGCCCTTTTCCTAAACACCCAGCCCACCCAATGTGCAGCTTATAGCACTGAAATCCGCCCGAACTAAAGGTGCTGACCGGCGCACAGCTTCAACGACTTCCATATATATATATACATACACACAAAAGTTTTTATATATATAAATACAATCAAATAGATAAAAATATAATAATACATATAATTCTTAATGTAATAATAATAATCATAAAAAATATATATATATATATAGAGTAGCTGCAGATGACATGGGAGTAGTCGGACATACGCAAAAAAACGCAAACTCCCATGTCATCTGCAAAGTGAAAAAGCAAAAAATGCAAAAGTCCCGTGTCATCTGTAAAGTGTCTCGAAAAAAAAACATGACATTGGACCTCTGTGCAATTGTTTGGGCTTTAAGAGATGCACAACATGTCATGTCAACTAACTCACACAGTGTACATTTCACTTCCCACATGAACAAAGATGCTATATGAGTGTATAACTACCTGCTAACAGCTAGAATAATCCAAAATTATACGTCAGCAGTTAGAATATTCCAAGATGATACACAGTTCGACTTAGAATATTCGGAAAACATTAGCAGTTAGAATATTCCAAAGTCACATGAATATACATGAATCCATCCACCTCCTTGTTCTATTTAGCAACTCTTTAGCAGCTATGTAGAAGCTATTTAGCAGCTATTTAGCAATTATTCAGCAGCTATTTAGCAGCTATTTCGAAGCTATTTAGCAGCTATTTAGCAACTAATTCGCACTTATTCAGAATCTATTTCGCAGCTATTTAGAAACTATTTAGAAGCTATTTAGCAGCTACGTAGCAGCTATTTAGCAGCTATTTAGACACTATTTATCAGTTATTCTGCAACTATTTAGAAACTATTTTGAAGCTATTTAGCAGCTATTTAGCAGGTATTCAGCAACTATTTAGCAGCTATTTAGCAGCTATTGAGTTGCTATTTAGCAGTTATATATAGCAGCTATTCAGCAGCTATTTAGCATTTATTGAGCAGTTATTTAGCACCTACTTAGCAGCTATTTAGCACTTATTCAGTAACTATTTAGCAACTATTCAGCAGCTATTTAGCAACTATTTAGCAACTAATTAGCAGCTATTTAGCAACTAAATGATAACTATTGAGCAGCTATTGCGCAGCTATTTAGCAGCAATTTAGAAGCTATTTAACAATTATTTAGCACCTCTTTAGCAGCTATTGAGTTGCTATTTAGCAGTTATATAGCAGCTATTCAGCAGCTATTTAGAAGCTATTGAGCAGCTATTTAGCAGGTATTCAGCAACTATCTAGCAACTATTTGGCAGCAGCTATTTAGCATGTATTCAGCAACTATTTAGCAGCTATTTAGCAACTATTTAGCAGCTCCTTAGCACGTATTTAGCAGCTATTTAAAAGCTATTTAGCAGCTATTGCGCAGCTATTTAGTAAGAAGTAATGTTTTTATTCGTATCTTCATGTTCGAAGATTCTAAGCGCAATGCAGATAGAATATTGTGGAAATTTCCACCCGGACCTCAAACGGAGCCCGCCGGATCCTCCAGGATGAATACGTCAATATTCTAAGTGCTAGCCCGCGGTTATATATGAGTGATTATGGGTGTATACATGTATATGCATGCTATATGTATGTGGCTATTGCTAGTAAAACTTTGCATGAACTTAAACTTAAACTTAAATTTCGTATATATAGAGTTGCATGAACTACCTGCGCGTATACACAGCCCACACCAGACATTTCTCCACATTACTCTCTCCCCACCGGCTTCGTATTCTTCTGTGCGTTTTCCGTTTTGCGAAATTTGTCGTCCGGCTGCTTGTCGTCCCGCTCGAAGCTGGGGATGGCATCTTGGAAGCCCCATGTCATTGTCATATGGTAAATTCGTCTTCCCATCTCATTACCTGCCACTTCCTATCTTGGACGTCTCATCTCTTGTGGTAAATTCGTCTTCCCATCTCATTACCTGCCACTTCCCATCTTGGAAGTGGCATGTCATGTGGTAAATTCGTCTTCCCATCTCATTACCTGCCACTTCCGATCTTGGACGTCCCATCTCCTATGGCAAATTCGTCTTCCCATCTCATTAACTGCCACTTCCCATCTTGGAAGTCCCATCTCCTTGTGGTAAATTCGTCTTCCAATCTCATTGCCTGCCATTTCCCATCTTGGACGTCTCATCTCTTGTGGTAAATTCGTCTTCCCATCTCATTACCTGCCACTTCCCATCTTGGACGTCCCATCTCCTGTGGTAAATCTGTCTTCAACTCATTGCCTGCCACTTCCCATCTTGGAAGTCCCATGTCTTGTGGTAAATTCGTCTTCCCATCTCATTACCTGCCACTTCCCATCTTGGACGTCTCGTCTCCTGTGGTAAATTCGTCTTCCCATCTCATGACCTGCCACTTCCCATCTTGGGCGTCCCATCTACTGTGGTAAAATTTGCCTTCCCATCTCATTACCTGCCACTTCCCATCTTGGACGTCCCATCTCCTGTCTGTGGCAAATTCGTCTTCCCATGTCATTACCTGCCACTTCCCATCTTGGAAGTCCCATGTCATGTGGCAACTTCGTCTTCCCATCTCATTACCTGCCATTTCCCATCTTGGACATCCCATCTCCTGTGGTAAATTCGTCTTCCCATCTCATTACGTGCCACTTCCTATCTTGGACGTCTCATCTCCTGTGGTAAATTCGTCTTCCCATCTCATGACCTGCCACTTCCGATCTTGGACGTCCCATCTCCTGTGGTAAATTCGTCTTCCCATCTCATGACCTGCCACTTCCGATCTTGGACGTCTCATCTCTTGTGGTAAATTCGTCTTCCCATCTCATTACCTGCCACTTCCCATTTTGGACGTCCCATCTACTGTGGTAGATCTGTCTTCAACTCATTGCCTGCCACTTCCCATCTTGGAAGTCCCATGTCATGTGGTAAATTCGTCTTCCCATCTCATTACCTGCCATTTCCCATCTTGGACGTCCAATCTCCTGTGGTAAATCCGTCTTACCATCTCATTACCTGCCACTTCCCATCTTGGACGTCCCATCTCCTTGTGGTAAATCTGTCTTCAACTCATTGCCTGCCACTTCCCATCTTGGACGTCTCATCTCCTGTGGTAAAACTCGTCTTCCCATCACATTACCTGCCATTTCCCATCTTGGACGTCCCATCTTCTGTGGTAAATTCGTCTTCCAAACTCATTACCTGCCACTTCCCATCTTGGACGTCCCATCTCCTGTGGTAAATTCATCTTCCCATCTCATTACCTGCTACTGCCCATCTTGGACGTACCATCTCCTGTGGTAAATTCGTCTTCCCAACTCATTACCTGCCACTTCCCATGTTGGACGTCCCATCTCCTATGGCAAATTCGTCTTCCCATCTCATTAACTGCCACTTCCCATCTTGGAAGTCCCATCTCCTTGTGGTAAATTCGTCTTCCAATCTCATTGCCTGCCATTTCCCATCTTGGACGTCTCATCTCTTGTGGTAAATTCGTCTTCCCATCTCATTACCTGCCACTTCCCATCTTGGACGTCCCATCTCCTGTGGTAAATCCGTCTTCCCATCTCATTACCTGCCACTGCCCATCTTGGACGTCCCATCTCCTGTGGTAAATTCGTCTTCCCATCTCATTACCTGCCACTTCCCATCTTGGAAGTGGCATGTCATGTGGTAAATTCGTCTTCCCATCTCATTACCTGCCACTTCCGATCTTGGACGTCCCATCTCCTGTGGTAAATTCGTCTTCCCATCTCATGACCTGCCACTTCCCATCTTGGACGTCCCATCTCATTGTGGTAAATTCGTCTTCCCATCTCAGCCACTTCCCATCTTGGACGTCCCATCTTCTGTGGTAAATTCGTCTTCCCATCTCATTACCTGCCTCTTCCCATCTTGGACGTCCCATCTCCTGTCTGTGGCAAATTCGTCTTCCCATGTCATTACCTGCCACTTCCCATCTTGGAAGTCCCATGTCATGTGGAACCTTCGTCTTCCCATCTCATTACCTGCCATTTCCCATCTTGGACATCCCATCTCCTGTGGTAAATTCGTCTTCCCATCTCATTACGTGCCACTTCCTATCTTGGACGTCTCATCTCCTGTGGTAAATTCGTCTTCCCATCTCATGACCTGCCACTTCCGATCTTGGACGTCCCATCTCCTGTGGTAAATTCGTCTTCCCATCTCATGACCTGCCACTTCCGATCTTGGACGTCTCATCTCTTGTGGTAAATTCGTCTTCCCATCTCATTACCTGCCACTTCCCATTTTGGACGTCCCATCTACTGTGGTAGATCTGTCTTCAACTCATTGCCTGCCACTTCCCATCTTGGAAGTCCCATGTCATGTGGTAAATTCGTCTTCCCATCTCATTACCTGCCATTTCCCATCTTGGACGTCCAATCTCCTGTGGTAAATCCGTCTTACCATCTCATTACCTGCCACTTCCCATCTTGGACGTCCCATCTCCTTGTGGTAAATCTGTCTTCAACTCATTGCCTGCCACTTCCCATCTTGGACGTCTCATCTCCTGTGGTAAAACTCGTCTTCCCATCACATTACCTGCCATTTCCCATCTTGGACGTCCCATCTTCTGTGGTAAATTCGTCTTCCAAACTCATTACCTGCCACTTCCCATCTTGGACGTCCCATCTCCTGTGGTAAATTCATCTTCCCATCTCATTACCTGCTACTGCCCATCTTGGACGTACCATCTCCTGTGGTAAATTCGTCTTCCCAACTCATTGCCTGCCACTTCCCATGTTGGACGTCCCATCTCCTATGGCAAATTCGTCTTCCCATCTCATTAACTGCCACTTCCCATCTTGGAAGTCCCATCTCCTTGTGGTAAATTCGTCTTCCAATCTCATTGCCTGCCATTTCCCATCTTGGACGTCTCATCTCTTGTGGTAAATTCGTCTTCCCATCTCATTACCTGCCACTTCCCATCTTGGACGTCCCATCTCCTGTGGTAAATCCGTCTTCCCATCTCATTACCTGCCACTGCCCATCTTGGACGTCCCATCTCCTGTGGTAAATTCGTCTTCCCATCTCATTACCTGCCACTTCCTATCTTGGACGTCTCATCTCTTGTGGTAAATTCGTCTTCCCATCTCATTACCTGCCGCTTCCCATCTTGGACGTCCCGTCTCCTGTGGTAAATTCGTCTTCCCATCTCAGCCACTTCCCATCTTGGACGTCCCATCTTCTGTGGTAAATTCGTCTTCCCATCTCATTACCTGCCTCTTCCCATCTTGGACGTCCCATCTCCTGTCTGTGGCAAATTCGTCTTCCCATGTCATTACCTGCCACTTCCCATCTTGGAAGTCCCATCTCCTTGTGGTAAATTCGTCTTCCCATCTCATTACCTGCCACTGCCCATCTTGGACGTCCCATCTCCTTGTGGTAAATTCGTCTTCCCATCTCACTGCCTGCCACTTCCCATCTTGGAAGTCCCATGTCATGTGGTAACTTCGTCTTCCCATCTCATTACCTGCCACTTCCCATCTTGGACGTCTCGTCTCCTGTGGTAAATTCGTCTTCCCATCTCATTACCTGCCACTTCCCATCTTGGGCGTCCCATCTACTGTGGTAAAATTTGCCTTCCCATCTCATTACCTGGTGGTAAATCCGTCTTCCCATCTCATTACCTGCCACTTCCCATCTTGGACGTCCCATCTCCTGTGGTAAATTTATCTTCCCATCTCATTACCTGCCACTGCCCATCTTGGACGTCCCATCTCCTTGTGGTAAATTCGTCTTCCCATCTCATTACCTGCCATTTCCCATCTTGGAAGTCCCATGTCATGTGGTCAATTCGTCTTCAACTCATTACCTGCCACTTCCCATCTTGGAAGTCCCATGTCATGTGGCAACTTCGTCTTCCCGTCTCATTACCTGCCACTTCCCATCTTGGGCGTCCCATCTACTGTGGTAAAATTTGCCTTCCCATCTCATTACCTGCCACTTCCCATCTTGGACGTCTCGTCTCCTGTGGTAAATCCGTCTTCCCATCTCATTACCTGCCACTTCCCATCTTGGACGTCCCATCTCCTGTGGTAAATTCATCTTCCCATCTCATTACCTGCCACTGCCCATCTTGGACGTCCCATCTCCTGTGGTAAGTTCGTCTTCCCATCTCATTACCTGCCACTTCCTATCTTGGACGTCTCATCTCCTGTGGTAAATCCGTCTTCCATTGCCTGCCACTTCCCATCTTGGAAGTCCCATGTCATGTGGTAAATTCGTCTTCCCATCTCATTACCTGCCACTTCCCTTCTTAAACGTTTGTGTTTCTCTGGAAGTCCCAAGATTGTTGTCAAATTTGATCAAATATGTATTCCCATGTCATCTGTCAAAAAAATGGAAAAATACCTGCCCGTTAGGTCGGCGCAAAACTCCCATGTCATGTATTATAAAAAACATAGCAAAATTGATACATAAATCCCATGTCATGTGCCAAAAAACCTCGGCTAAATCGGCCGCAAAGTCCCGTGTCATCTGCGCCTACTATATATATATATATATATATCTATTTAATTATATTTTTGTAATTCTTTGCATATATATATATATACATATATATATATGTTCACAGTTATACATGTTTATAATAACGTTCTATAAATTATATGTATATACAAATATAATCACATATATTGTATATAATATCATCGGGGTGCAGCGGCCCTCGTCGCTGAGCGACTGGAATGACCCCAAAAAATATGTGGTTTGAAGGCCTTGACCCATCAAAATGTGGCTTGGCCGGAGAAGACCGTGCCAATTTTTGGTTCTATAGGTATATGGATGTTCAATGTAATTATATATGTACATCTACCATCGAAGCAAGCATCACTCATTCCTGATAAGAAATCGACCTGCACCCTGAAGAGATAGGTAAATCTGCAAGGATACTACAGCTAAGGATGATCGTTTGATAACGCGCTTGTCTATTTCTTGGATCCTCCATTTCCATGTGTTAAGCCAAGGGACAGGCTCATATAAGTCATTCGCTGCGCAGAAACAGCAATCTTGTGCTGAATTGTTCGGAAGAGCTTCTGCGCGTTTCGGAAAAGAATGGCCGAAATCTCATCAAATCATCAGTCAGAAAATGTCAGGAATAAAAAGCCATTGGTTTCCCAAAGATACCAGGTACATCATGGTGAGATCGCTACCAGGGGTTTCCAGTTAGGCAAGTGGCTTGAACTGATTCCAACAATTGGTCGATTTGTTCAATTTCACCAACTTACCCATTAACACACACTTGGGTGTGCTTTAGAGGTTCCCCCCCAGAAGAAAGGTTATCAGTTGCTGTTTCAACGAAAAACACGCAAATCCAGGAACGAGGGGTCAAGGGGGCCCCAATTTGTATATTTGGTGGCTCATCCCACTTTGTAAGTAGGTTGGTTCAACGCACTTACAAGTGGATTAGCCCTACTTATCCCACTAAGAACATCAAAAATTGATATACATACATCTGGTTGGTGGTTTTAACCATCTTGAAAAATGATGGAGTTCGTCAATGGGTTTCGGATGACATCCCATATATGAAATGGCAAATAATCCAGTCATGTTCCAAACCACCAAGCAGTACATAATATACCCTACTTACTCATTTATCCGGCTACACCGGGACATCCCGATGGACTGAGTCCACAACTTCCACAACAGATCTTCCCCGCCACGCTGAAAAATATGCATAAAGTTTTGATCATGGCATAAAGTTTTCATGGATATAATCTGATATAGTTTTGCTGGATAAATAGTTTTCATGTAAGTTGATCGCGGCACGTATGGCAAGTATTTGGAGCTTCTGATTTTCTGCGGATACTTTTCATAGAAACCGCCATGTTAAACAATGACCCCCCATTTTAGATCCATTATGTACCAGTACATCCCCATTATCAGTAGCTATACCCAAAGCCTTTTTGGTTGTATTCCATCATCAAATGTCCGAATTTCATAGTAAATTCATATCATTGATGCTGAAACCCCAATAGAATGGCTGCTTAAATCCCATTAACATCCCACATTGGAAAATTGTTGGTTGTAGTAAACAAAACTTAACTTGATTTATGCATTCCATTAATATCTCATGAATATCCCATGAATTGATTGTACATCACCATGATATATTGTAATATATATATATACAAACAGTTTGCCCAAGAATAAACCAATCAATCAACCAATCAGTCAGTCATTCAATCAACCAATCAATCATTCAACCATTGCATCAGTCAATGATTGAATGAATGAATGAATGAATGAATGAATGAATGAGTGAATAAAAAATCAGACAATCTTATTGATATTAATCTAGGTAAACCAAGCTAGTAGGGGGATCTGAACATTTCAATCATGTTCTTGATATCCCAGAATCCGGTCCCCATAGCCATCGCCGATCACGGCTGTCTCCTTGTCGTTCATGAAGTTTTCCAAGCCGGTGGCCAGGGTGGAGGGCACGAGCCTGGAGAGCACGGTAAGTTGGTTGGGCCGGCCCCAGTAAATGGGCGAACAAAACCCAGTTAGATTCATGGAATGTCCTCACTTATGATTATATGGGATTATATGGTTATATATGAAATATAAATTATTACAAACATCTATAAACTACTTACTAAATGGATGCACATCCAAGTAGGGATTAGAATAGGCCGATTAATCAAGCTAGTTGAGTGAGGAAACTTCCGAGTTACGGACGAATGGTCATGGTCGTTTTTACAGGTATGGTGGCTCTTGGGGTCGGTAAGGTGCGTTCTGTGTTTCCGCGGTTTCGGGACTCAATCTGGAAAAGGTGTCGCAAAAGAGTGCACCAGACTGTAGCGAGAGCTGAATTTCGCCAAAAAAGTGCAAAAACAAAACAAAGGGGGAGGGTGCAAAATGGCACTGAACAGTCGGTACGGGGCCCAAAAAAGGCAGACCTGCACCAAACAAGGCAGGCAGTGCTCTTTCAGCAAGCTTGGCCCAGACGCCCTGAAGTGGGCCCACTTCAGATGGTTACCTAAGAACCATCATTCCGTAGGCTCCTGGTCCAGCTATAATCCAGCTATCCAGCTATACATCATTAGTAAGATCAGAAAATCATGACCATCTATCATTACCCTGAACATGGCAAGTACATCTTTATTATCGTTAGCATCATTAAGATCTAGTGGTATCTCAATCATTACCATCATTAGTTATTACCATCATTACCAGCCATTACCATCATTACCACCATGCATTAACTCAATCAGCATGAACCATACTTGAACATGTATATGTATATATATATATGTGTGTATCATATACCATCAATATTACCTAAAATGATTACCATCACTAATCATTACCATCATTACCATCACTACCAGCATTACCATCACTACTATGATTACCACCATAAATGATTAATACTAGTCATATTTTATCACATTAGCCTTGACCATAGTATCATATTATATTAGTCATCATGGCCATCAGATATGTGATATAATTGATATAATTAATCATTACCCTCTGGTAAACTAACATAGCTGTTGAAAATCACCACTTTGAGTGGGTAAATCAACTATAAATCCACCATTTTCAATAGCAAACTGTTAGTCATTACCAGAGGGTGGTGATCTCTGGCGCCAGCGATGCCCACAGCCCGCCAGCCGTACCCCACCCTTTCATGTCGCCGAGAAGAGCGCAATTACCGTGACTCATCATGCGCTGAGCCTTAGCACCGATTCCAGAAAATGGGACATTCACGGGATGCCTAACAAAAAGATAGCATGGAATAACCCCATAATCGTCAATCAGCAAAGGAAATGACCAAGTCGTTCCTACAATGTGGGGCCCCAGAGCCCAAAGCCCCAGGCTGTGTGCCACGTTGGTTGAGAAACATCGGTTCACAGTTGGGCCAATGGGGATAACTTGGGGGTGAACCGTGTAACACTATGGACACGTCCTTGTTTTCTTCGTCATATTTAGCTTGTTCATTTAATTCAAATCATCTATTTGTTTGGGGGTGTATCATTTTGAACCATTCTCAATCTAGATACCTTACAAATCTGAAGCTGATCAGCAGAAATTGATTGCTTCCCCAAGCACCACTTGTGGTGCTGTTTCCCACTCGACCATACAAAAAAGCCTCACAATCACTGGAAATTGATGGAAATTGGCTACACATAAAATATCCTAAAATACTGGGATAGATCATATATTCAAGCCTCCCTTAAATGGTGGCTGTCCTGGCCTTTGTCTCGCCACAGCGCCGCGACCAAGTGGAAATATCACAACAGCAATCAACTGAAACTAGCCACCAAGCTACAAAATATATGGAAGTTTCCTAAGTCATGGGGGATCCCCAAGTCACCATGGTTGTTTGAATACTAAAAGACCTAATGAAAAGGATGATTTGGGGGTATCCCCATTTTAGGATACCTCCATCTAAAAGCTGCATGTAAGTGGTTATAAGATGTTATAAGTGGGGGAAGCCAGTTGGAAGCCCGCTCTCAGTAGGCTCTTTAAAACATCAGGGCGACCCTGACAGAGACCAACCTGCTACGATGCGGCCCCAGAAACGTTCTGAAACTGCTGGCCGAAAATGGGTACCATGATACTGGGCACACTCCTGAGAAACTGCAGGTTGATGGTCAAAAAAGGACTATATCCACCGGAATTCCTCGAGATTCGGTTTTCCAAAGCCTTAAAACATTGGTAGTTTCGTGGTTTGAACCTCTCTGAAACATTAGTTGAGTCCACTGGGACCATGATCCAAAATAGGGGGATAAGGAGGACATGTTCAAAAACATCCAACCAGAATAGGCTTATGATTATCGAACGCTTCGAAAACAAGCCCCATCCCTATGTACCTTTCATGCAATGGTGGTTCCCTATATGTACCATTTGGCCTTGATTAACTATATATATATAATTTTGAAGGCGTGAAATTGTTATTAGGCTAAAAACATCCTTTAAATGTACTTTTGAGGTCCCAGACCTCAAAAGAACATTGCTATATAGCATCCTTAATCGAGAGTAATCATGAGCAGGACTCTAAAAAGTACGGCCCTAGGGCCCTAAAAGGTACACATAGCAGCTCAAAAATCGCGAGAAATCGGGAGTGAATCGTGAGTGCACATTGCTATAAACCCTCGGCCGTAGAACACATGACATTGCCATAAACCCTCGGCCATAGAACCTCGGCGTTGCTATGGTTTCTCGGCGATGATTCTTTTTTTGCGCCACTTTCGGCAAGGACTCTTAAAAAGTACGGCCTTAGGACTTTTGTAACGTAGGGTATACTATCTATAATAATCGCACTTATATATATATATATACTGGTTGGTGGTTTTAACCTTCTTGAAAAATATGAACGTCAATGGGAAGGATTATTCCATATATTATGGGAAAACTAAAATCATGTTCCAAACCACCAACCAGTATAATACTCACTTATATCAGGATATTATAGGATATATAGAATATCATATTCTCACTATATAGAATATAATATTATCTCTCTATATAGAATATAAATATTCTCACTTTTTCCCAGGCACACCTCGTACGAGTTCCTGTGGCCAAGCGTCGCTTGAAGTGTCTGACGGAGCATGGCGGAATTTCCGTCGTGAAGACAGACACGGCACCTCAATTTCGTGAGTTTGCAACTGGCTGAAAACCCATATTGCATAATTATTGAAAATGGCCATAGAAATAGTTGATTTTCCATATTTTTCCCATGAAACATGGTGGATCTTTCCATAGTTATGTAAACGTTTACCAGAGGGTATAAATAATGTATACTGGCTGATTACCTCCGATAAATTAACAGTTCGACCCTGAAAATAACACAATTTTTGAGGAGTGGAAACTAATCTTCCACTCCCTATCTGCCAGGGTCTATGTTAATTTACCAGAGGGTATATATATATACACACACATACCGGTTATCAGGAGTTATCTTCCTTTTGGCTAAGTTCAACCCCAAAATCACCAAGTTTCAGACTCATTCAAGTAGAGGACTTACAGTATATAGATGGATTTAACCGCCATAGATATGGTCATATCGCTTAGACCACCAAGGCGTAAAATAACATGTGGCAATTGGAATAATACAAACATCCACATTGATTGAAAGTGCATGAAGCAACCTATGTGGGAAGTACCTGCATTTTGACTGACAAAAATAGCATATATAATGTTTGGACTTCTACACCAATCTTTGTGGATTGGTGAAAAATCCTATATCTTTCCACATCATCACGATCCAAGTGCCGACAGACGCTCCGACGCTCCGACACCGAAGAATCGCTTCAAACAGGATCCGATCGCTTGACCCCTTGACCCCTTGACCCCTTGACCCCTTGACCCCTTGACCCCTTGACCCCTTGACCCATCCCCATCATCCCATCCCCATCATCGACCTTGGCAAAAATTTGGCGGCAGGAACTTTGTGAACAAAGAAGACGTTCTTCTCACAATACTCTTTCAAGGTTTCTGCAGCGTTCGACGGCATTGGGCAGTTCCTCTTATGAACGGAATATCCAAATGTGTGGGTAATAAGTCCGGAACCTACGGAATGTTAAAAAGTGTCTGGCAGTCTAGCATTTGGATTCATTTGGCTCATTTGCGAGAATATGTTGCCCTTTTCTGGTCCAGTATTTTTGGTACGGCAATCCTGGGTGTATCATTAGCTCATGCTTCTCACTGGCCACCTCTGTGATCTCCTTCCCAAGCACTCATGAGTTTTGCGCTGTGAGCGCAGAGCCCGGAAGTGACCATTTCCCATATATCAAAACCATATTTGCCAATAAACTCACAATGTGTTATACATGTATATGTATATACATATATATATATACACACACATAGATTCATCATTCATATCCGCCATATTCATATCCATATTCTTCAATCCAAATGAGTGTAGAAATTCTCGTCGTAGCCCATGGAGCTGATGGGCAGCTTCAGGCGGGATTTCACAGCACCATGGACTGACAAATGTTGTCGAAGGTTTAAAAAAAAGGGAACATAATTCCTGGATATTCCTGGTTTATAGATGGTGATAGTATGATTTGAAATGATTTGATATGATTTGATATGATTTGGATGTGTCTGAAAATGAGGTACACCCTGCAAATGGCTGTGTCAATAGGGACATTGATGATAAATAATTGGAGTCGGGGGTACCTTATTCTCAGACAAACCCACATATGCTGGAATGCTGGGACTGAAATTGAAAATGAATTAAACTTACCAAATCTGAATTGGAAGTGCCATTTTGTCTGCTTCTATCTGATTCCTATAACCAATGAACATACAGCTTTGCCCAGTTGATCCTTGATGATCATATTCCCTATGAAATTGGCCATACAAGATCGGGCCCTACAGGTCATCCCTACTATACCCCCCATAACTCAGATGCCTAAACCGCCATGTTCAATAGAGATCCCTCATATCCCAGTACATCACCATTGTAAGGCATAATCCCCAATGGTTGTATGTATATATATATATCCCCATTTAATCCTATTCAAATGAGTATTAGTGCTGATTACTATCCCATTCAAATCCACCACATAAGCCATATAACATCATACAAACCATACACCATCTATAAACCCTTGTTCATGCGAATTCAAAATGATGATAATATTATTTCACCTTCATAAAACCATTTCTAATCCATAACAAATGATTATTATCAAAAAACAAAAAACAACTTCCCAAGTGATATAATATAACATATATAATATAATGATAACTGAGGTGAATTGGCGTATAGATTGTACATCATATATATATATATATGTATAATCTATAACCCAATTCATCCCACTTATTCCCCATGTTTTCCAGGGATCTGCCACTGAAAAATCGCTCGGCCTTCATCACCGTCACCTTTGATCTGCTCTAGGGACATGCCACAACCTCTGACCGGGCCCGGGGGCCCGGTGCCAGGGACGTTCGCTAAGTTGGTTTATATTCATAACTTGGTTACCATCTGGTTATTTAACAGTTCGCCATGGAAAATCACTTTTTTAAATAGGTAAACCATCTATAAATGGGTCATTTTCCATGGCTATGTTAGTTTGCCAGAGGGTAGCTGTTGTGTTTATGGCAGTAAAAAACATGTAAGAACTATAGTAACTAGAGTTAGATGGGATTAGATTCAGCAACAAACATGACTTGGGGGCATCACATTGTAGTATAGCTAGGTTTGATGGCGAAAACATATGTATATATATATATGTATTATAAATAGTTCAATAGTTAATGGGGTGAATATGTTTACAAAAATGACTGTGGGGCACCACATTGTGAGGGAGCCAATGGAATATAATGGATAATAATAATGGTATATCACCTAGAAAGTTGAAATGTCTGAACTTACCATGGTTCCTTGACCAAGTTGTATCATGTTGTGGATGGATGGATGGATGGATGGATGGATGGATAGATAGATAGATAGATAGGTAGATAGATAGATAGATATATATATATATATGATATAACCAGTTATACAAGTTGTACGTGGCTTTACCTGAAAATGTAGGTGAGCCGAGCCCCCCAAATTTCATGCTTCAGCTGCTTCAGCCCAATTCTCACGGCATTGAGACGGCCCGTTTTTCTGTCATGGTGATCCGTCCCAGAAAGGGATTCCCCAAAAAACATATCTGGTTGGTGGTGACTTAACCATCGGCAAGGACGCTTAAAAAAGTACGGCCTTAGGACTTTTGCAGGGTATACTATCTATCATAATCTCACTTATATATACTGGTTGGTGGTGACTTAACCATCTTGAAAAATGATGGAGTTCGTCAATGGGAAGGATGACAACCCATATATGAAATGGAAAATCAAAGGCATGTTGAAAACCACCAACCAGTATAATACTCACTTATATCAGAATATTATAGAACATAAATTATGGAAAATAAAATTCATGTTTGAAACCACCAACCGGATATGTGTACCAATCCCGATGATTGGATTGATGGGCAAGTTATCCAAGTTATGAGTCATGGCCCTGGGACATGTGAATGAGGGAATGAACATCCAGCTATACCTAGAAATTTCGAGGTGTGAACTACAAGTATCAGGGGTTTCACTCATATCCAAAGCATTTCTAAAATCGGATGGAATTCTAGAAATTGGTGGAAGGAAAACATGAAGGAAAAGCCAACAAATTTGTTTGTTTAATATTCGAAACTATGAGTTTCAGGTGATCAACCCCATGATCTACTACTTGATTGAGGGCAGGATTTCCATTGACTATTTAATTTCATCTGGACAATCCACACACTAGATAAGAATGGATGATTATATGATCCGGCAGGAACTGAATCCTGTAACGTGCAGATCCAAAAAATAAGGATCGCCATGTTGATAACAGAAATTAAGTACCAGATTGCGACAACCGTGAAGTGAAAATACAGCTGTGCGGTTCTAGGCTTGGCCGCGTGCCATGTCAGTCAAAATTGCAACGAAAAAATGCAGGTACGTCCAGCTGGCCAAGCTGGATATCCCATTTCACTGGTAGCTTCGTTGGACACAGTCCCAGTGAAATGCTGTGTCCCCCTGCATTATTTAAAAAGGGAGAAGAGGGAAGAAAAAAGAAGAAGGAAGTTTTACATCTATCCAGATGTTACACACACACACACACCCGGCAGAGCCGGGAAAACCCTGAAAGGCAAGAGGAAGAAAAAAGCGGACACACGACGAGCAAACGGCCAAAAACAGCGCAGGGGGGGAGGGGGACAGACGGACCTCCGGAACCAACCTACACGGCGAAACGGACCTGACCAAAACAGCGCACACACCTAAACCCCACGACACATTACGGAGAGGCACGCGGGGAAAATTAGGGACCAAATGGGGGACTAGTTGATGACAGACAAGAAAACCAAAACAATTAATTAAAGACAGGATTCAGTTCCTAACTACCTAGATGTCGTGCGTTATTCCCTTGCCGGGACCGTGGTCAAGTCTTGCCCCAATTGGCATAAACGGCTTTCAAGTTCCAGCGAATTAGGTGCACAATATGTTTCACCTCACCAGAGAACCATCAAAAGAAAGAAGACCACACCTAAAGATCGTGTACCTGCCTGCGTTCTGTCTCTTGTAATGTGACTGTAAAAGCTGCTGCGAAAAAAGGAGGTTTCTGGATGTTCGGCACGGCTGCAAAGTTGAAGAACTGCGTTGGCGAGGAACCCTGGGACAGCCGGATCGGCGAGACTTTGTGAAAAGGTGCACAACGGTAAGGCCAACTGTTGCACTTTACTTAGACGAATTACCAGATTAAAATGTGTAAATTCGGAATTCAAGTCAGTCGACACTCACCCCAAACAGGGTTGCCTCAATTGGCCCTATGGCACCATGTCGGAGTCACCATAGGAATCACACTAGATAAGAATGGATCATTATATGATCCGGCAGGAACTGAATCCTGTAACGTGCAGATCCAAAAAATAAGGATCGCCATGTTGATAACAGAAATTAAGTACCAGATTGCGACAACCGTGAAGTGAAAATACAGCTGTGCGGTTCTAGGCTTGGCCGCGTGCCATGTCAGTCAAAATTGCAACGAAAAAATGCAGGTACGTCCAGCTGGCCAAGCTGGATATCCCATTTCACTGGTAGCTTCGTTGGACACAGTCCCAGTGAAATGCTGTGTCCCCCTGCATTATTTAAAAAGGGAGAAGAGGGAAGAAAAAAGAAGAAGGAAGTTTTACATCTATCCAGATGTTACACACACACACGTCAGCTCATATGTCCTGCGACGATGTTCCTGTCCTAAATCTATATGTATCACGTCAGATACCCTCAGGATAGCTAGGAAACTCACCTCACCATGTCTAACAAGTAAAGCATCAAACTAAATGGGCCCTGTTCAGCACATCTTTCCCCAAAAGGCATCCACCAGGGTCAACTGGGCACTGCAAGGAAGCCGTGTCCACTGTAAAAGTCGGGTTTGGATACAAAGAAATTTGGATTGTTCTAGATAACTGGGCTTTGTGGTGATTACACCTGTACTAAAATGGGGCTATAAACCACCTCATAACATCTAGATAAATGATAATAGTTCATGAACCTAAGAGAACGTCAGTTGGGGATGATTCCCCAAAAACATCTTTCACGTATTCCCATATCGGATTACAACGATCAATGGTAAAAAACAGATATTTCGATCTGAATATGTATATTAAATATATGTATATGTACATAGCTATCTACCGCTCTATTTATTTAGCTATTCATATAGCTACCTATCGACCTAGTTATCTAGCTACTCTGTACTTACGTACCTGCTTACCTACCTGCTTACCTATTTACCTACCTACTTTTCTGTCTCCCTGCCTCACTGCCTCCCTGCCTCCCTGCCTCCCTACTTCCCTGCCTGCCTGCCTGCCTGCCTGCCTCCCTGCCTGCCTGCCTGCCTGCCTGCCTGCCTGTCTGTCTGTCTGTCTGTCTGTCTGTCGATAATACAGTATATATGTACACCAATATCAAATATACCGTGTATATATATATATGTATGTGTCTATTAGCTATCTATCTATCTATCTATCTATCGATCTGTCTATCTATCTATCTATCTATCTATCTATCTATCCATCTATTTATACCTCTATCTATCTATACCTACCTATATCTATATGTACTATATTAGTCTGTGCCTATGTCTGTTGATATGTCTGTATATATATATATTAATATATCAACCAACCAATCAATCAACCATTCGATCAATCAATCAATCAATCAATCAGTCAGTCAGTCAATCAAATCAATCAATCAATCAATCAATCAATCAACCAATCAATTCACATCACATTACATCACATCACATCAATTGATATATCTCTCTAGCAATCTATCTTTGTCTATCTATATACGTCGATCATATTATCATGTCCCTCTATGTCTGTCTATGTCTTTCCATGTCTACTTATTTCTATCCATGCCTATGTTTTTGTTGTTTAATGTTCATCTTGTCTTCAATCCATCTAGACATCTATCCATCTGTGCGTTCGTCCATCCCTCTATCTACCTGTCCAACTATCTACCTATCCACCTATCTACTGTACCTATCTACATATCAAGCTGTATAGCTATCTACCTATCGACCTATTCTCTCCTATCCTATTCTATCCTATCTCCCAACAAAAACACACACTTCCGTGATCAGAATGTACCCCATGAAACTATCCACCAACGCAATAACGAGAAGCTGGTGTCCACAATGGCTTTCAGATTTACGATCTTACAAGCCCGCAGCACCAGACCTGTCAGCTCGCGTCGTAGAAAGGACAACACTTTTTGGGATTTCATCAGTTAAACATGTAAAACTAAACGTAGAGATGTAAGTTTATGATGTTTAGTTTAAATTTTCCTGATGTACTATAAATCATCATCAACTATAAATCAACATGAATCTGCAAACCTTGGGATTTATAGTTCATGTTGATTCATAGTTGATTTATGTTGATAATACTGCTGTTGGATTCGTCGGGGGGGTGAAAAAAGGCATTTGAAACTGTAAGGTGCTGGCTGGACGCCCAAAAAGGATTGCTGATTACTGTATCAACTCATCCCATATCAATAAAATACATCCCAGCCGCATTCCCAACAAGGCAAAGCCTGTTTTTGCCATACCCAACATCAGGTTTGGACTGGAGCCGCATTTCAAACTAGGATGTCTTGATCCAGCTCTTGTCAGCCTTCTTTTGCTGGGCTGATTTTCGGTGACACCTAGCCAAAAACCAGAGTAATACGTGCATTTACTAAGTTAACTCCAAAATGCAGGAGATGATACTAAGTTATCATACATTTTGGAGGCCAAAATTACTTAGTAAGTTAACTCCAGTATGATACATTCCACTAAGTTGATTCCTTTACTAAGTTTAACTCCAAAATTGCTTGGCCTCAGGATACCGTGGTTCGTTTTGTGCTCCCCAGCTCCCAGGGACGTGCCATGTCGACAAGAGACGTGTCATGAATTTCACATCCTTGGCGGTGCTTTCCCAGAAAAACAACAGGGAGGACCCATTGGGGCTGAATCCCTGCAGGCCCTGGACCGGCATATGATACTGTATCTGCATGTCCGAAGCCTCAAAAAATAAATGAACGACCCTTGAACGACCGGACAAAAACGGCTAAAACGAAACTGCCAAGGCAACTGTGATGCTGGAAAAAAAGAACGCGATATGGCCATTTTGGGATGCTCCACAGACTAAACATCATATTGGCTGGGCTCCTTTTGAGGTCGCCACGGTTTACACTAATTATATGTATATGTATAGGTATATATATATACTATACACATTATAAAAGTATTTAATATTATATATATACACATATTTTTTCATATATGTTTAAATGTAAAGGTAGAATATGTACGAACGTCCCCCCGTTATGAGTTAGTTTAGGTCATATTATTCAACTTTACTAATACCCACCACTCACGAATTGATTATCGGATATACAAACCAACATACAAACTGCCCCACCCGTTCTCAGTTGGTTTATGTTGATTCATTCAACTGTTGTAGTATTCCCCAAAAAAATCAACAGTTATGTATATATATATATAGTAATCACTGGATTTACAAACCAGATTACATTAAATTAAATTACCTATCTTTGGGGCCCCATGTTTTTTTTTTGCATTGCAATTTTGGATGGTGCAGGAATTTGTCCGTGAGAGACTAGCTGCACATCACCAGAGGGTTTTTCATCCGAAAATATCTACTGTAATCATAAATCTGCCGATAAATGGTTGAAGTACATCATAGTTAGACAACTATCAACCTTAGTACATCATGTGTCAATAATAATTCGACCATGGAAAACCATTATATATAATCATAACCTATGGTCCTTAAAAAAAAAAAACATGTCTTAGATGAAGCCATCACCCTACCTCCCTTTTCTTATTCAACAGGTTTTTTTTGAAAATAGAACTCCATTGTTCATTGTGTGATGCTTTTAAGCGACTATGGCCTGAATAAGGAAATTACCACTGTAATGATTACTATAGATTGTTCTGATTCCCACCCAAAACGGCTAAGATCATCTACTATAGGTTGTTATGATGCCATATGATGCCCCTATTTACTAATGATTACTAAAGATTGTTGTGATTCCCCGAACATATTGGCATAAGATCTATAGGAATGACAGTCTATACTACTCTACCCTTGTAGTATCTTAAGATTGAGAATGATATTGGTTGTTGATTATAGATTCTTCTTTTACCCCCGAACTAATCATCGACCAACATGGCAAACCCTCGCAGCCATCGCTGAGACGTGATTATTGGCCAGCGCCGAGACTCCTTACAAATCACCGGGCCAAAGCTCACATAAACCTCAGACAGGCTGAAGAACAGCGGAGTGTTTTTTTTTTAACCACTGTTAAAGGAAAATCGGAACCAGAAGTAGACTAGATTTTAGTATAGTTTTCCAGGATTTCTGCTCTGTTGAATTCTGGATGTTACCTCGTACCTTCCAAGTTAAGTCTCGATCTTTTCCATCTGATGCTATACAAATACAATTTGCATGTATATCATATGTATACTGTATAAAATGAAAAATAATCCTTTCCAGAAGAAAGAGCGAGACTATATGAAGACAAAGAAGTAAGGACCAAAGGTGGGACCCAATAACCCATGAGCGTATTGGCCCTGGTTAAGCCTTATCATAGACATGTGAATATAGACCCTATCACCCCATGGTCTTCTAGCTTACCGGCAACCCAGTTGCCATCAGTTCTTATCTGAGCAATTTACAGACCAGAAAGAACCAGTTGTTGGGATGACCCCCCTGCTACCTGACCCATCATTGCTGCTGCGACTGTCAGGTCGCGAAAATTCACCTTGCTGAAAGTCTAGTGTCGCGGTACACATGCTTCGCACTACAGCTATCTGGATAGTTTCAACAGCCAGAGAAAGACCATCCTCCCAACAAATGATCTCTTCCCCTCCGAAATATGAATAAGGTGATATGTAGCCATAACTCCGGATTTCTTCATAGCTAGGCGATGGTGCCCACCGAAAGCTTTTTACAGAGCCAGTGGCTGGGGGTCCAGAAATCGTTTTGGTGGGTAATAAGCATATTATATATTATATACACTCTAATTGCATACTAAATATTAAAGTAAACATATAATTGATGTATAATTGTATAACAATATGTAATATCATTCAAAATGATATGTAATCACCTATGTGATCATGTGTATTAACAAACATATATGTACATACATAGGTAATATGCAACAACATAAAAATATACACGTAATCATACATGATAGAATATGATAATCTGACAATATATAATACATAATCATATTTAAGACTGTGTCATAACAAGACATAATATATATATATTATACAATCATATGTATAATATGGGTTATAAACCACTTACAGTTCCTGGCACACACACACATATCTCACTTAAGTTTGTCCAAGGGGCAAGTTCTGCATCATTTACTCGAAGGTTTTCCTCAAGAGGTTGATTGCTGCTGCAGCGATAGGTTTTAAAATGCTATTATGGCTATTAGGACTGGCAAGCTCCAGTGACCACGTGTTTTTTTGTCTGCATGGAAATATCACAGGATTTCACACGGATTTGTTGATGGCATATCATCATATCATCCGATATCCCATGTTTATCTGTTTTGAGTGAAAACAACTCATCTTTAGCCAAGAGAACCATGGGATGAGATGCCCGAGTTACTGAATCTAGTGCCTCATGTAAGATTGAAGATCAGAATTTTCCATGGGTAAATCCTATACAAATGGTTGTTGTTTTGTTTTCCCTTTTTCTTTGGCATCTGTGATTACCAAAGGGAAGGCATCGAACATCCAATTCCCAGGTCATGCTATTCCAATGATGGCTTAACTGTTGGACTGTAAATATACCCAGATGCTTCATGTATGGTACGTACATTTACCTTCATTTGGTTGATGTTTGGGGTTAAAAGTTGATATATAAAGATTCCATACATGCAGCATATGGGATAGTTATGGATTGTTTCCATGTTTTATTGTTTGGAACAGACTCAAAACTGGGGCACCAATCATCTGTGATCAAATCCTAAGCGCCCCATTGATCTCCATGTCGCCTGTTTCATCGATCAACCTATGAAATAGGCTCGTTGTTGGTCAAGTCCCAATTTTTGACGTTTTGGCGCTTGAATACCCCGACTCTACGTCTAAATCCCAACGTTTGAATCCTCAACTTGCCTGGATAACCCTCCGTTCTTTCTGGCTCAATCCGACTTTTGGCTCATTGAAATCAGAATTTCTGGTGGAATTATGTACTGTTTACAGATATTTACAGTATTGGTTCATATCGGAACCCATTCAAGTCCCAAGCGTCACTTGCATGAAGGATGAATTCCTCTAATTTCTGCGCCTGGCGCAAGTCGAACCGGGTTACGAGAAATCAGGCTGAAACAAACATCAACATACATCAAAAAGCCGAAATGAGATTCTCCAAAACAAACATCAACAAACATGAACTAATTTGCTGCAACAATATTGTTTCAACGAACTACAATGAAGGTTGCAACATCCAGTGCAGTGGCCCGTTTCATGACCCTCCAAGAAAGAGCCAGGTTTCCCGAATGAACAATTGACGCTGCATGTATACATAAATATATTGTACATACACATAAGATAGATAAATAACATAAATAGATAGATAGTTAGATAGAAAGACTCGTAGATAGATAGATCAATAGATAGATTGATAGGTGGATGAATGGATAGATAGATAGATTAGATAGACTAGATAGACTAGATAGATTCGATAGATTCGATGGGTGGATCGATCTATCGATCTATCTATCAATCGATCGATAGATAGATTAGACAAATATATTAAATAGATAAGATAGATAATATAGATAAACATATTATAGACAACATAGACAATCTATACAGTATAGACAAACTATACAATATAGACAAGATATATATGATAGATAAGATAGAACATATAGATAAGGTAGATAAGAAAGATAAGATAGACACGATAGACACGATAGACAAGATAGATAAGATAGACAAGATAGATACGATAGATAAGATAGATCAGAGAGAATCTATAGAACAGATAGATAAGAAAGATAACCTAAATACAATAAATAAGATAGAACATAAAGATAAGATAGATAAACCATACAACATAGATAAGATAGACAAGATAGACAAAATAGACAACATATACAGGATAGACAACATATGCAAGATAGACAAGATGTATACGATACATATGATCGATAAGATAGATGCGATAGGTACGATAGATAAGATGGATAACATGGATAAGGTAGATAAGACAGATAAGATAGCTACGATAGATGTAGTAGATGAAATAACTGAGGCAGGTGATATAGATAAGATAGATGAGATCTTTTGATGAGAGCTTTATAAGAGTTATAGATGAGATAAATGAGACACATGAGACAAAAGAAATAGATAGAAAGAAATAAACTAATATAGATAGATAGATAGATAGATCGATCGATCGATAGATAGACAGATAGGATAGATAGGATAGATTAGATAGATTAGATAGATTAGATAGATTCGATAGATTCGATAGATTAGATAGCTTAGATAGATTAGATAGATTAGATAGATTAGATAGATTAGATAGATTCGGTAGATTAGATAGATTAGATAGATTAGATAGATTAGATAGATTAGATAGATTAGATAGCTTAGATAGCTTAGATAGCTTAGATCGATTAGATAGATTAGATAGAATAGATAGATTAGATAGATTAGATAGATTAGATAGATTAGATAGATTAGATAGATAGATAGATAGATAGATAGACAGATAGATAGATAGCTAGGTAGGTAGGTAGGTAGATAGATAGATAGATTAGATAGATTAGATAGATTAGATAGATTAGATAGATTAGATAGATTAGATAGCTTAGATAGCTTAGATAGATTAGATAGATTAGATAGATTAGATAGATTCGATAGATTCGATAGATTAGATAGATTAGATAGATTAGATAGATTAGATAGATTAGATAGATTAGATAGATTCGGTAGATTAGATAGATTAGATAGATTAGATAGATTAGATAGATTAGATAGATTAGATAGCTTAGATAGCTTAGATAGCTTAGATAGATTAGATAGATTAGATAGAATAGATAGATTAGATAGATTAGATAGATTAGATAGATATATATAGATATATATAGATAGATAGATAGATAGATAGATCGATAGATAAATAGATAGATAGATAGATCGATCGATCGATAGATAGATAGATAGGATAGATAGGATAGAGAGGATACATTAGATAGATTAGATAGATTAGATAGATTAGATAGATTAGATAGATTAGATAGATTAGATGGATTAGATAGATTAGATAGCTTAGATAGCTTAGATAGCTTAGATAGATTAGATAGATTAGATAGATTAGATAGATTATATAGATTAGATAGATTAGATAGATTAGATAGATTAGATAGATTAGATAGATTAGATAGATTAGATAGATTAGATATATAGACAGATAGACAGACAGACATACAAACAGACAAATAATTGTATACATATATGATATAGATAAAACATATAAGATAGATAAGGCAGATGAGATATGCTATAGATAAGATAAATAAGATAGATAAAATAGATGCGATAGATGAGATAGATAAGAAAAATAAGAACAAAAAAAACATAAATACTGAAAGAAAGACAAACATAAAGAACATAACAAAATAGAAAGAACTTTAAAACAATAAAGAAACAAAGGTAGATAAATCGATTGATAGATTGATTGATTGATAGATAGATAGATTAATAGATTAGGTAGATCTTAGATAGATGAACATATTATTATATATATATGTGATCATACATTACATTATATTACATTAATTTACACTACATTACATTACATTACCATACATTACATTACGTTACATTACATTGCATTACATACTTTAACTTACTTTACATTACGTTATAATACGATAAGTTACATTACATTATATTACATTACATACATAGATAGAGAGGATAGATAGAAAAAACACAGGATTGATGGTACACAGGATATCTATATATATATGTGAGTAGTGAGTATAGGATAGATAGGATATACATTGGATAGAGAGGCCTCAAGATAGATAGGATAGGCAGGATAGAGAGAAAAGAGAGGATAGATTGGATACAGTAGATAGGGTAGGATAGGATCGGACAGGATAGGATCGGATACTGTATATAACGTTGATATATTGCATGGATTAGATAGATGTGATAGATAGGAGAGATTAGACCGATAAGACAAGATAAGGTAAGGTAAGAAAATATAAGACAATATAACATAAGCTAGTGTAAGATAACAAAAGATCTGGTAAGACAAGAACCACATAGTACTATAAAAATGATATAGATTCGATAGATAGATAAGAAAAGATCAGACAAAACAAACTAAAGTAAGATAAGCTCAGGACATAGGATATAAGATAATTCAGGATAGACATATAGTATAAATAGTGAATCGATAGATCGATCGATCGATAGATAGATACATACATAAATAAATAAATAGCTAGACAAATGGGATAGAATAGGATAGGATGGGTTAGCACAGCACAGAACAGGACAGGAGAGCACAGCACAGGACAGGATTGGATAGGATACGATGGGATAGGATGGATAAATAGACGATATAAATAGATAATACTAGTAGACATGCTTTAACATGAGCTTATTCCACCATATTCCACCCATTCTTCAAAAAACATTCCAAAGATGTCCAAATGGCATCATGAAATGGCTGGAATACCCCGTAACTGGGCCGTGAATTTTCCACTCATCCAGGCAGCTCAAGCAAAGCTTCAAGTCAAGATATTTAGAAATGCTACGGCTTCCAAGACTCGAAGTCGGGTTGGTATTGTTTTTTTTTTTCTGAGTCACTGACTTGTATCAACAAATTCCGCGATTCTGTCACCCGACTTGGTGGTTTATCCTACCTGCCAAAAGTGGATCAGCCCTACTTACCCCACTTACAAACAGGGATATAACCTAGCTACTAAGTGGGGTGAGCCACCAAGTATCTTAACATATTTAAACCTCTGCTTGGGGCGTACGGGAATATGCCTGGAGTGCATCTTTCTGACAACGATCATCTGACCAGAACTCAAGTTACCGAATACTTCAGTCAACTAACCTGACATTGCTTCAATGTGGTGCTAGTTCTGTTGGTTGATGTGTAAACCCTATTAACATCCGTTAACACCCATTAAAAACAGCTAAGTAGTTCGATATATATGTATATACCAATAACTGACTTGTTATACTGAAGTTATACAAGTGTCTTTTTAGGCCACGCAAGATGGATACAGAAAGCAGTACTGGAGATATGTCTAACTTAAGAATAAACCAACTTACATAATTTCATGAATACTATATATAATACTATTAATCTTCGGAGATTAATTTAAGATGTATACCGTTTCAACCAGCCAAAATCAGGTGCGAATGAGAAGCAAGCTCAATTTTGGTGCTAACGGCGACGTCTACGCCTCCACACGATCGTAGAGAACTGGCAAATAGGCTTCTTCTTCAATGTCCCACTGGAAACAACCCAAAGCGAACCTCAGTGAAGTGCTGCTGCTGGTGGTGTTCAGTCGGATAAGAATGGAATATCATGGATAAGATATTTGTTTACATCAATGATATGGAAGTGCAATGTATATTCACTTAATTTCATTCATATACTTGCACATGAAAGGCACCAGTAGAATATGTCCACATCATGACCCATCACAAAAAAAATGATCCACGATTACATGTCACTGTTTCGCTCGTTGGAGCAGTGTTCAAATACTCTCTGCCATTCCATTTAATCCTCGTTGGTTAAGAATGGGACTCCCCGTTCTTGGATTTTTGTAATATATTATAATGCCCAGTAAAATCTCAAGATATATATATATACTATAATGCCCAATATATTATATATATATATATACGTAATTATATAAAGTGTAGTATAATCCCCGAGCTAATCCTCAACCAACAAGGGTATCTCGCAGCGCTCACAAGTGCTTCCAAGCGACACATTGGAGGGTTTTTGCTTCTTGGCCTTTCTCTTGCTGAGATTGTAGGGCAGGGTCTCAGGTTGCTCGCAGAAACCATCGGGGTCGTAACTGAAGAAGTCAAGTTCCTTTCTATCCAACCTGGGCAACGGGAAGAAGAGATCGACATGAGATTCCCATCAAATACCCTCTGGTAAACTAACATAACTATGGATAATCACCATTTTCAATGGGAAAATCCACTATAAATGGCATTTTTCAATAGCTATGTTAGTTTACTGGAGGGTACTAGTGGTTGAATTGTGTCTCGTGTCTCTGTTGTGGGTTGATCCTCTTGAAGCCAGGTAGGTCTTGAACCCACTGATTGATAAGATATGATAACCAATTAGAAGGCTCAGAAGGGGTATTTCTTTGATTCAATTCCACTCCAAACTCTTCAGAAGAAAACGAAAAACCCAATTACGAATAGATTGAATAAATATCCCTTCACACAACCACATCCAGCTAGTAAAGCGGTTCAATCTTTCGGTTTTGCTACTCGGGTATCTTTGCCACTATCCAGGACCACCCCAAAAGTTGCTGATTTTGGCCCCAATCTTTGGGTTTTGTCCATGGCTACACATGATCAAAGATGCTGTTCGAAATTGTAGAGCGTGAAATAGGGAAACCGCGGCAGCTTGCCTCAGCTCCGCAAGGTCAGAACAGTCCAGGGAGGTCATCCAGGAAACATGATCTGGGAATCGCCATGAAATGTCCGCTCATTTCTAGAGCGGAAACAGATGGCGATATCAGCACGCGATTTTTAAAGGATCAACAAATGGCCAGCCCAAGTGGGCCACGCCCAGGAAAACATCTGAAAATGAGAGATGTGACTTGACACTTGACACTTCACTTCGAGTGGAATTCTACAACTATGCTGGCGGAAAAATTGTACAGCACGATTTCTTGGCTCAAAGGCAAAGCACTTAACACCCGGTTGAGCTACGTATCCTATCCCCAAATTATGTCAATTGGGATTTGTCATGCCGAATGGGGATGGAAAAGCCACAGCTGATTGAACACAGCAGCCATTGGATTCTCATCGAGTGGATTGTTCGTGACACATGACCTATTGACCCGGTTACTGGGGCTGACATGGTCCATGGAAAGAATCTTGGATAATCTTGGACCTTTGGACAGTTGGTAAAATGTTCATTTCAGAAATTCAAGTTCAGTGACTGGGACACATTTCGCAAAAACGTGAGATGTTTCGCAATGGACCAATATCACCAATATGAGACATGAGACTGGAATCCCAGCCCCGATCCCAACGATCCCAAAGATCCCGAGACTTACCAATGTGCTACAAAAGGTATGTGCCACACTGCCGTGCCGTGTCGGCCAAACATGGGATTCATACCCGTGTGTTGTCTTCGTCGCATATAGTGACTGTAAGCACCTGTAACACACTTGAAATGTGGTGCCCTCGCAGTTATTAAGTTGGTGTAAAATAATCATTAGATATAGATACATCCATTATAAACAATAGTTGTACCAGTTGCAAACCAAATCCGCATTTTGGGGGCACCATCTTGGCATCTTGGGATAAGATGAGACAAACAGAATCTGGATGGCATCCGTGGGAGAAACATCTGCTGCAGGTCCTCTGTGCCATGGACATTTTGAACCCATACCCTCTGGCTATGAACTAACATAGCCATGGGAAATGGCCCAGTTATAGAGGTTTACCTATTAAAAATGGTGATTTTCCATGGCTATGTTAAATAACCAGATGGTATATTTGATGACTATTTTACCAATCCCCACACGTTTTTGTTGGGAAGGAGCCCGTTGATATCCATGGATGACTGGATATCAACGCATGAACAAGCAACTATTGAAACCTGGTTTCGATTGATTTTTCAATCTCAAGTCAATGTGTGAAACCAACGAAAAACTGACATCACATCTAGTGACCGTGTTGTGACTGTAGAGTGACCGGACCGTTGCGCCTGGTAAAAGAAACAACCCGCCATAGCCCGCCGTGTCCTGCCTGCCAGTGCTTTGACTTGGGCCGCACTGGGCCAAAAATGTGCAGCGGGCGAGGAGATCCTTAGGGCTTGCTCCTTGGACGGACCGGTGGACGTTTCCTGGACACATTTTAGAGCAAGCCACTCCCCAACAAAAACAGCTTTGAACTAGGAGACTTAGAACTATCATATCTTTGTTTCTATATTAATGGCCTTAATATAAATTTAATAAATTTAATAGACTTCTACGTTTCTATATCATGGCTTTGTTCGTGTGGGATCTGATATCACAGTCTGGTGAAAAAGGGATAAAGGGTAATCCCATGATCCAAATAGAGGAAAAGACAGCAGAGACCCTTATGCAATGTGATCTAGACAATAACGAATCATAATCACATACTATAATATATATACTATCTTTGTAATGTATATATAATACACTATAATACACTATATATAATACAATAACACATCATGTAATACGATATAATTCAATATAACACAATATAATACAATACAATACAATATAATACAATCAATATTATACAATATTATACAATAATACACAATGTTATACAACATTCTACAACATATATATATATAATATATAGTATTTAATAAAAAATAAAAATAATGATAATAAGTATAATAATAAGTATAATGATAGAAAATCTAAAATAATAGAACATATATAATATTAACTATGAAATAATGATATACAACCAACTATAAACATAATATAATATGCAACATACAATATAAATATATATAATATACTAAATCAAAACTAACAAACAATATACAATAGAAATATGATACACATTATTCTCTATATACAATACAATATCTAATTATACAACACACATTACATTAAAATTATATACTATATACGGTATACCATTTACAGAATACAATATAATACTAAACCATGATATAATATAAAAACTATAGTATAATATACTATGACATATCATTAAATAATATAATATAAACTAATATAATATAATATAAAAAATAATTAACTATACTCAGAAAATATATACATAATCTATACATAATATAATATATATATACTATCTTTGTAATGTATATATAATACACTATAATACACTATATATAATACAATAACACATCATGTAATACGGTATAATTCAATATAACACAATAAAATACAATACAATACAATACAATATAATACAATCAATATTATACAATATTATACAATAATACACAATGTTATACAACATTATATAATATATATATATAATATATAGTATTTAATAAAAAATAAAAATAATGATAATAAGTATAATAATAAGTATAATGATAGAAAGTTTAAAATAATAGAACATATATAATATTAACTATGAAATAATGATATGCAACCAACTATAAACATAATATAATATGCAACATACAATATAAATATATATAACATACTAAATCATAAATAACAAACAATATACAACAGAAATATGATACACATTATTCTCTATATACAATACAATATCTAATTATAAAACACACATTACATTAAAATTATATACTATATACGGTATACTATTTACATAATACAATATAATAGTAAACCATGATATAATATAAAAACTATAGTATAATATACTATGACATATCATTAAATAATATAATATAAACTAATATAATATAATATAAAATATAATTAACTATACTCATAAAATCTATACATAATCTATACATAATATATACATAATATATACATAATATATACATAATATATATTATATATACATAATATATATTATATATACATAATCTATACATAATATATACATAATATATACATAATATATACATAATATATATATATATATGTAATATACATAATATATACATAATGTACTTAAATTATATAATCAAACTATGTATATACAGTCTTATATACATATATATATAAATATTGCCATTATGTTTTATCGTTATCAGTATCATCATAATTGTTAGGTATTATTATTTATTATTATGTAAGTGTCTGTGTTCCGTGAGCCCGAAATCCCATCTCGTGATATCTAGAAACTATCAAATGGGAATAGTTTACATTCACAGAAAAATAGGGGATGTACCCTCTGGTTATTTGACATAGCCATGGAAAATGGCCCATTTATAGATGGTTTACCTATTAAAAATTGTGATTTTCCATGGCTATGTTAAATAACCAGATGGTACTTGAAACCAACCATGTAGATGATGGTTTCTTGATGGCGGATGTTTCGTTGATGGCTGACGGTCAAATGCAGTGGGTCTGTTCATTTTGGGGACCATATTGTGAACTGGAGTGAACAAAAAGGTCATGAATTGAACAAAAACATAGCTATGAGCCTAGGTGCCTAGGTGGACCAATGGGCTACTATGGAAAACCATAACATATATACTGGGGCTATATCATAAATGGTCCATATGCTGGGCTCAGCAAGGCTCAAATGCCCAATTGCTCCACAATGTCATACCTAGTCGAGCATGGTGAACCGAAGTCATGTCACCTTCCATTAATCAATTAAGGATACTTCATGTGGGATCATTTTTTTTCGGTGGCGATTTCAAAGCAGCCCGTCAGCTTTGTGGACACTGGGCAGGTCACAACTTTCTGTGTCCTTTCTGTGTCCGACCGAGGGGCAAAGCTGGAACCCCACTGTTGAAGTTCTGATGACAGAACGGATGCCAGTTTCGATGCCTCGCGTGCCACGGAATCAGCGAACCAGTGATCAGAACCACCAGCCGAAAATCAACGAAATGGCTACGTCTCAGAATTTTTGGGCATACCCTCTGGTAATTTAACGTAGCTATCAAACATCACCATGCTATTAATGGGAAAATCCACTATTTCTATGGCCATTTTCAATAGCTATTTTGACATAACCAGAGGGTACACAAAATTACCAAATTCCTTGGAACATGCCCTCTTTTCAGACCAAAAAAAAATCATGCGTTGGGCAATTTTTCAACATCGGAGCCATCAAGATTCGCGTTTTTTGTGCCTCAACAAGTCAGAAAACCATCAAGGACTCCTACTAAAGATATCACAAGACAAATAATACCATATAATATACCCAAATCATCCATGTATTTTATATGTACATGAATTGTCCTTATTAACAATATAAAGCATATAAGGGCTAATGGCTAGTCAATCTCTTTCTTAGGATAGTATCCTTTATGTAAAACCTGAATGAATCTGAAAAGAACAAAAAAAACAATGGCACCACAAACAAGTTACCTGTATAACTTTATGACATACCATACATATTTGTACACATTAAAAGCACAAAAACACAAAACACATCTATAATCATATTATATATATGTATTAATTATATATATATTATATATAATTACATGTTTATTAGACATTATATCTCTATACACATTTATAGTTTCCTTTACACATATTATATATATATTCATATGGAATACATGACTGCACATGTACTCATGGACACATCCAGCGCCTTCATAGTGGCCCAGGCAGGTTCAAAGCAGTCCCCCAAGACATCCGTTGGTTCCTGGCGAAAAACTCTCTGATTTTTATTTTTTTTACCAGTTACCCTGTGCTAGCTGCCAAACTAACAAAAAACAATGGAACATCACCTTTTTTGTCTGGATAAATCAACACAATCAACCATTTCTATGACCATTTTCAATAGCAAACTCTTAGTTTACCAGAGGGTACATGCTGCTGCACTTCTCATGCAACATGATTTGTTTCATGATTTACGCTGCAAAGAAATCAATTTAAGAGTGGTAGCTATACCATGCTTCACCATCACAAATTGGGTTTTCATTCATTTGGGGCTTCACATAATTACAGCAACACGCCAATTGTTTGCAGGGAAATTGATGACCAACCACTTTATTCGAGGCATACTCCAAGCGGACCAGAATGTCGACCATGTTGAGGATCGATCAGTTGACGGATTGCAACAAAAATAATGGACAAGAAGTGTCAGTTAACCCCTAAATTCCGGTCGGTTGAAAGAAATGGCAGGCTGCCAGATATTTTGGGCGCTGCAAGAGTTGTTCATTTGAGGATCTCTCCCCCAGGCATACCAGGCCAAAGATTGTCCCACCCATGGCGACCTGTAGAGCTAGGCAAAGAACAGGGATCGTCAAAGCATTTCCTCGCTGCAGTAGCGGATGTTCTGGCATAGAAGCGTCAAAGCAATTCTGCCGCATGAATTGCATGTAAGAGTTATTCATACATGAGTTACTCATAGAAATATATAGAAATATCCATCAGCTTGTGGGGATATTTCATTGTACATCACAGAGGGATCTACAGTCCCCTGAAACCAAAAAAACACCCTTAAAGGACAATCATTAGTAGTCAAGTTGCCACGAAAAGCTTGATGGAGGAACAGCTCAATCTTTTGGGAACTTGTTTTTTTCCCCTGAAGCTTTCAGGCTCGGAGTAAAGCCAAGTATCCAACTGCCAGCACTCGGTGTAGAGGCCTCAAGTCACTTGACGGTTTTCCCCAGTGTTTTTTCAAGGAACTCATCCCAAGAATGGCTCGGAGTTGTCTCTTCCAATTTTTAGTGTTACTTGCACAAATGGAATATCTTATAGATACATCGATACATGGCATACGTATGATATCCCTAGGCTGGTTATAGCTCGATCTAAATGGCAGTTGATGATCTACGCATCAAAAATACAAAGATGCATGCTACCCCCATCCAAAGGCCAACAATTCTTTGTCTGAAAAGACCCAGAAATACCCAGAAGAACATCAATTCCTCAAAATCTCACAAGTGTATACACCCAAACGCCACAAACATCACACATACTCATCTTCTTCCATCTTCTTCGCTCTTGTCAATTGCAAGGTCTTACAACTGATTTTGCCAACTGCACGTGGAGCGCAGAAAGCGGGAGAGGGCGAAATTTTGTGAACCAGTGCAGCAGCAAGTGCAGCGTTACAAGCAATCCAGAATTTCACGAGGAAAATATGCATTCGTGCAGAGATCTGGTTAATCAAAATACAGCATTCCTCAGAGAGATCTGCATACATTCCCAGCAGTTCAGCAAACCGGACGGAGACACAGCAAGAATTTTCAAGCACGCAGTATTCACACAATAAAGTCTAATAGATAGAACCCAGTACTCAGATTTGTTTGAGGCAAAAGTTCTAACGTTACAATACCAATTTCAACTGGAATGAAGACTCTTCAGATTAATATTATACATAAATACAACATATATACATATATATATATATATACAAATATAGTAATAAGTTATGTGAATATCATGCATATATATATATATACAACATATACATATATATATGTATTTACAAATATACAAATAAGTTATATGAATATCATGTGTATATATATAATGTATGTATACATATATACATATTACATATATTATATTATATATATATATTATATATATACACATGTACGTGATCAGCGCACCTGGTGGACGTCAGGATCAGCTCAGGCTCAAAACCTTTGATCGCCTCAGATCCGAGGTTGGGCCGAGAGGCACTTATGATCCAGGTCGGTCGATTTCATGGGAAAAAACACCTGGGAAAATCATCCAAAAAAATGGGGATCTCAGGTGGATTGAATGGATGATTTTCCTAGATTTTTTTCATCCCAATTCATCCCAATTCATCTAAATGTTCCTTGGATTTTGAGATTTTAAGATGATGAATTGGGATGAATTGGGACTTAACTAACACAAATGCAGCACATCAATGGGAATTACGTCCAGGTGATCAAACATGGCTGCGGGGAATTCCACTACAGAAAGGAATGTTTGTAGCTGAAAACTAATCAACTAAATTGTGGATTTTCAGCAAACCATTTTTGAACACGATATGGTCACTGGAATGCTGGTGATATTCAGCTAAAATCCAACTATGGTATTTCATATGGTAAGTTATGATCACCATTTTAGTTTTGGTGTCCGTTTCATTGGGTTTCTGTGTGCATCTTTTGGTTGATAGTGGGTTGCATTCTATCTATTTTGGTACATAATTTGATTGACCATGTTATTTTGGGGATGTCCCATGATTTTTAGTCTTATAGTTTCTGTCAAAGTGGGTTTATACAATAACATACAATAACCAATCGACCGTCAGAACCTTGGTCGCCTCAATCTTTGCTGTTTTTCCAAAAGAAATCAGTGTCTCAAACTCAGGCAGGTCATTCAATGTCCTTGCCGCCACTGCAAAATCCAAGTTGACAAGTTCCCACTGTGTCTTCCCAGAAGTCTAGATTTGTCAAACTTCATAAAAAATATTGTGCCCTCAAGCACCAGATTCGCGATCTGCTCATTTTATGCTAGTTGCAACTGTATTTTTGCATTTTGCGGAAAAAAACGGGGAAACTCCCATCATTTGAATCCGGTTTTGGACCATGGTTTTTTGCACATGTTCCATTGGATTTTTTGTTTGGGGATATCCAAACTGAGGGGGACAACCAGCTGACACCCTGTTATTAACGGTGTCCCTGTGTGCTTCTGAGTGAAGAGATGTGAAGAGCATGTTTTATAAACATCTTCTTTCCGAAACACGAAATCCAAAGGTCCAAGATTTTTAAGGATCAATCTTGGGTGTGCTTTCTGTTGCTCCTTGTAGGCTGACTATTGGTGGGTCAAAATTATTGGACCTTAAAATCAGTTGCCAAACACGACCAAACACGACAGACCCAACGACCAATGGCCCAGACCCTACATGATTCTGGCTGGTCGGCTGGTGTGCCATGAAAAACATACCCTGCAAAACCAAGGAAAATCCAGTTAATCCTTTCCTGGTCATATAGATAAATATTCTAGATGCAGTGGCTGATTAGTATGTACGTATCATATATGTATCCCATGTATGGTCAACAAGGTACCTCTAAAAATCTCTGATGTCCTTGGATTCCTTGGTTTCCCACAAGGATTCAAGGCACTAAAGCATACGAAAGTCTAGTTGCTAAACTGTTAGATGTTTGGGAAACTCCAAGTAGCTCCTTGGCTCCCCATTGAATAGGGAATATGTAAGGAATATGAATACCCCTAGCTCCTTAGCTCCCTCCTAACCACTGGATACTAAAGTAATCGAATCTGTCCCTTTCTACATCCCCAGTCGTATTAGTCGCTAATATCACTAAGGTTTCCCCTTGCCGGCGATCACCTCAGCATCTGCTTAGAGAAAGTTGGCCAAGGCCAGCCCATAGACCTAACCTCTATTCGGACAAGGATATTACACACATATTATATATATATCATATGATTACATATGGTGTATATATAAAATCATATATCCATATGATATGCAGTATATATGATTGCTATATATATATATGTATGTGTATGTGTATGTATATGTACATGTATACTAATATATATGTATATGTATATGTGTATGTATGTATATATATATATACATATACATATTCCCGGAAAGATACGACACTGTTTTTGTAGTGATCACCAATATAACAAAAATAATTCATTGCTACTTGATTGACTGTAGGATTTTGCAAAAGTCAAGAAAGTATCTATATATTATCATATATTATATTAACATAGACCCTGGCAGAAAACGGGGTTGGAAGACTAGTTTCCATTAAAAATTGGTGATTTTCAGGGTCTATGTTTATTTACCAGAGGGTATCATATATTATATCACTAGGGTATTCCATATTACCCACATCCGGTCGATTCCGTCGATTCCGCCAAGGCTCTTGGCAAATGACATGGATGTTTGCAGCTGTGTAGGGTTCACTTTCCAAGGCCCATGCTTTCTCAAAGAGATCATAGTCGTTTGCCTCACAAAAGATGGCTTTAGATTCACCCCAACTACCCATAGGATCCATGTATGGTATATATGCTAACATTTGGGGTATATTGATGGTAAATGTTACCATATATATATAGCATACATGGATCCTGTGGGCTATAGTTAGTTGTATCCTCGGTATAAACCACGGTTAACCATAGTTAACCTAGGTATACCTAGGTATAAACCATATAGTTCACCAAGTGCAAGAATACAGGGCCTGGACAAGTTTCAACAGAGAAGAAAATGATCAAAAGTGAACTTGTTGAATGTTTCTCAGGCAATGGGGGTACCCCAACGTCAATGGTTTCCCTATCCAAAATGCAGGGTTCTGATAACACACAGCGGCTTGCCAAACTTACAGTGGAAGCGCTTTGATTTCCCTTGGTGGATGGAAACTCTTTGAACAACATGGGTTTGCTTGAACATTATTGGAGAAACTCCAAAATCTGCTTCAGATCCCTTTAGAAAATCCGTTTCCCCATGTCCCCATGGAAAAAAATGCCATTTTAGTCGGGTGTTCATTTCTGGACATACTGATGCCAAACCAAGCATATGGGCCAACCCTCCCTGAAAAAAAATGATAAAGGTGTTGATCCATAGCCATATCTAAATCACAATTAAGTTATACACGAACCGTCTAAAGACCATTTGGGTGAAGGGGTCGTTTGCCGTTGATCCATCGTGATCTTTGATCCATGGTCTGCGCTAGGCTGGGCATGTTCCCTTGCCACGTTTGATAACCGGAGGCTACTAACCAATATTCAATCCTAACCTTTCCTTATCCCAGTAATATCCCATGATTATCCATATAAAATCGTATCAAACATTATGAAACCATATTAAACACTACTAATAAGTAATATTGCTCACTACTTACCAGACTTACCATGCCGTCCAGCAGTGTCCCACCGAGCAACTGTGGTGGCTGCAACAACACCTCAGCTGATCAAAAAGCATGTTGTGATAGCCTCCTGGATCAAATGCTGTTGGATACATGATACACGATGCAATGCTATTACGAGTACTATCATGTAGCACTATGAAACAGTGTAGCATTACTATGTTACTATATAGTATTGCTACATGATGGTAATATTACTCTCCTATCTTCAACAACACGACATCCTCAATGTTAATGTCCAACACGCGGCGTCTGTGGGTAATATGATATATCATATTTTACTATATAAAACAATCTCTATTCCAATTGTGGTACATTGCTATATCCATCATATCCATCATAACCCGTTTTGCTATCCCTTTAAAGCCTGTTTTTGAATAGCACATCCAATGGATCCAATGGATTGTAAAACTTGGAGCGGCACATCCAAGTAAAGAAGCTTTGATTTGTCAGCTAAAAATGCGATGTCATGGCAGTGTGTCAAAACCAATAGTACCCCTGGTGAACATCAAAATAGCTGGTAAATGGATGTGAATAACCCCCTAAAAATGGTATTAATAGGTATTGATCCATACCCGTATAATCATATATAGTTCTTCTGGATAAATCACAATCATCCCCAGCCTGAAAACTTTGGAGACCGCCGCCATCTCAAACCGCGAGTGTGTTCGGGCCGTGGCTTTAACATACGGTATCCGACAGATGCGCAAATACGTGATCTCTGTGATCTCTTTACAATCTAAGATGAGGTTTGATTTGTTCTCGTGGCTATAACCATAGTACAACCAGTGGTTAAGCAATATGTTTCCATGGCTCATCTCTGCTGAAGTACTTTTAACACAGTCCCCATGTGTTCAATTCAACCTCTGTTTGTGATTGCATCCCAAGCAATGGGCCATAATGGGCCCGTTCACACAAGACTGATCTACCACGATATACTTGGGTAAACCCATAAATGACAAACATTGACATACCATGAACAATAAGTTTAACGGACATAAAATATTTCCGGACCCATCATGAATCACCCATCATGAATCACCCATCATACCCTAAAGGATCATCGGATCATCGGTCATCGCCCGAAAAAAAAAAAACAAACAAACATTTTTTGGGGCCCCAGGCCTCAGGAGATGAGTTTTGTGCCAAGTCTCTAGGTCTCGACAAGAGCTCATGAGTTGAAGGGCTGGTGCCTTGGTTGGATGGGACTGGGTGCCTGGGATAGGATGGAAGAAGAAAATGGGGGGCCCCCCTTTTCAACAAAATGGCCCAACATGACTCCATCGCAAACTTCACAGTCCTTATGTTCTACGCTGAAAATCGCATGTGTTTGAGTACTAAAGTTGGTTTGAGAGGTTATTGATGTTTCACTTGACAACATCTGAAACACCCCATTTGCGACGGACAAGCGATTGCGAGGTTCTTGAGAGTTACTGTATATAAATGTGTTTTTCCTGAAATGGTGGTAACCCCAAAAATCATCCATTTTAGTAGAATTTTCCATTATAAACCATCCATGTTGTCACATTTTGAGGTATCCATCATTTTCAGACATCCCCTGTTGAAAGATTTACTTTTTTTTAGTGGGCCATGGTAAACCTATCCCCAATAACATAATAAAGTGTTTATCGTTACAATGTGGTACCCCAGAATTAGCCAAGTTGCTTTACGACTAGAATAATTATAGTAGGCTTTGTGGTAGATATACCTATAGCTACCGGGAGTTGATAAACCGACCAAAATACCAGATTGCTTGGTCCGTGTTTAACCCCAAAACTAGGATTGTAATCTGTTTCTATGCATATTACCCTCTGGCAAATTGGGGTAGATGTGGAAAACCCACCATCTGTATATCCATCATTTTCGGAACGGAAAACCATTGGTTTTCCATATCTATGTAAACGTTTACCCTTGGGTGAGTTCCCATCATATTCCACTATATTATACCATATATTTCTATATACTATATATGTTCACTGGTTGGTGGCTTCAACCCCTCTGAAAGGAAGATTACTCCCAATATATGGAACAATAAATAATGTTCCAAACCACCAACCAGCTATATATGTTCAATATATGTCCTAGTTACTTTACCCCGAGGGTAACGCATGGCCTCAAAGATCCAACCGGAAGCCAAGCCACAAACGTAGGCCAACTCGTAATGCTTCGCTAAGACATGGACGTCTGGTGGTCCGACCTAGAGGCTCCAAGTTTTGCCAGACATTGCATTTGGTGCAGCTTATATATATATATATATCTATATAATTCCCAATATATGGAAAAATAAATAATGTTCCAAACCACCAACCAGTTTCTTTTTTGTTAAAGACCAAACCTGACTGGTTGGTGGTATACCTACCCCTCTGAAAAATACGAAAGTCAGTGGGTTTCGGATGACATCCCATATGTGAAATGGAAAATAAAACATGTTCCAAACCACCAACCAGCTGAAATAACAATTATGCAATCCCCCGTTCATATTAAACACCCCCGTTCGTTTCTATTGGTGGATGTTACGAGTCATCACCAAAAATAAATGGGGGGAGGCTCCGAAAAGATTAGTAGACCCCAAACCGTTTCACCCAGGAAAATCATAACCAATAACGTGGATGTTACGTTTGGGGTTGCCCAAACTAGGAGATTTCCAAAAACAGGGTAACCCCCACATCGTCCAAGTCATGACCATTTCAGTATTGAAACTACTATGGTGACAACTGGGGATCCCCCATGACTTATGAACCCCCCCATGACTCAGCATGTCAGGTGACTAAAGAGACGGTCATCCCCAGCTTCTGCAGAAAGGATGCGGCCGCCATGTACTGGCGCCCGGCTCCTGGCGGCCATGGCCGTTTGGCCGTTTGGCCACGGTGCACCGTGGCCTGAAGCTGTGGAGTTCCAAAGATCTGTTCTAAGTGGGGCCCCCAAACGATAGCTAAGTTGGTGCAGCTAACTTGGATTATAAACCAACAAACATAACTTGGGGGCCCCACATTGTAGTATAGCTAGGCTTAATGTTTGTTTTTTTTTTATCAATGGTTAATGGGCTGAATATTCTTACAAACATGACTGTGGGCCACCACATTGTGAGGGGAGCCAATGGGAAATAATGGTATATCACCTAGAATGGACAACACCATGTTGAATGGCAAACAATGTTTCATCTTCATATGGAGATTTCCTATAATGGTGGTACCGCTAGTTATCATCCATTTTTACAGGAATTTCCATTCATGTCAACCCTGGATTAATAAACCCCGTTTACGGCTGTTTAATTGGGGGGGTACCATTTAAGTATTGGATTATTATGACTATTGGAGGAGTATCCCCCTAATTAATAATGCATGGTTTAGCAAAATCCGGGGTTGACATTATAAGCCATCCAGTTTGCGGTCTAACCCCATTTGTGGAAACCAGAAATGAGTCTGGGAGGACCGATACGGACGGTCAACAGAAATCTCGTCTGATGTTTAGTGATATTTATTACACTTATGGCCCGCAACAGTTAGAAATGGGGTTAGAACTTCTGTAACTAAGGTTAGATGATATAACCACTTAAATGAGGATATTGACGTTATAAGCCAGTTATAACTGCTGAGGACTATAGTTAGTAATACATATATATACACATAATGATCATTTAATGTCGCCACGCGGTTGATGACATCTAAATGCAGCATTCCATCACACAACTTACTTGAATACATTTGAATGTCATTACATAAACACCTACTGAGTGAGCCTAGTCACCTAGTCTGGTTTCTCATATGATTTTTGTCTGTTAATTCGTACAAGGCGGTGCCCCTAGATATGTTTGTGGGTTTATTGAGTCTATTACCCGCATCCAACTATAGTCATTGTATCACCTTAAACCCTAGTTGTACGAGTCATAAAACCACTAAGCTAACCACCTGGGGCACAACCTTGTACAATTAGGCTTCACACTCGTTTCGGGGCTCAAGAGATGCAGCTGCCGATCTCCTGCAGTGCCTTCCCAAATGATCGTCACTTTCTTTGCCGCCAAACCTGCGTCGGCACACCCACTCGGATCTGCATCAGAAGCGGCAAAATCCATGTTTAGTTGCGTGTACAGTAAAGATGTGCGAGACCCATGAATCGCAGTCTGTTCTTGTTTTTGTTGAAACTATCTTATATATATATATATCGTTTTATAATATTATACAACCCCTTAAGCAATGTATATAAATCATTGCATATCTGGGTAAAATCACAGTTCCCCCCAGGTCCCACAGTCCCGTCCCACGTGGAAAGCGCGCCATCTGGAGCTAGCGCCACAGTGCTTGAGAAACGTGAAAATAGGAATGGAACATTCTATTGATAAAAAAAATATAAATACACTAATATATATATATATATATTATGGATAAATAAATGGTGATAAATGTCTATAGTCTATATACTCTATTGTGGATATATATATATATATAATGATGATAAATGTGTATGTATATGTATATGTATATATATATGTAATTACTCATGTATGAGAAATTTGCATTTGCTCAACAAGAAGGATGATATTCAACAACATAATGCAAAGAGGCAACAAGAAAATGGAGTCACTCAACCAACACAAAAAGAACATTCAAGCAACAAGAATGGGGGTGAACTGACACAAGGAGATTTAAGACACTTGGTCAAACCCTGAACCCTACCATTCCGAAACATCTCCGTTGGTACATTCTGACTGGGACAATTCGTACCACTGAAAAGTCCTTCCCTGCAAAGTGGGTTCCCAAATTCTAAGATTCTAGATTGTTTTATAAACTGATTGGCGGTTTCAACCCCTCTGAAAAATATTAATCAATGGGAAGGATTATCCCATATATTATGGAAAATAAAAAATGTCTGAAACCACCAGCCAGTAAACCAATTTGAATCAACTTGATTATACTATTGGCATCACCAGAAATCCTACTTGACCTTGCCATAGAATTCTGCCATGTTTTGGCTCCACGTTGGACAATTTTTTTTGGCTTGGACAATTTTGTCAGTTCTATCATCCATCCGGATTTCGGTTGATACCATCCCGCTGTCATAGCAGCGAACCTTTCAGCAAACCAGCATTGAATAGCAAGGGGTAAATCATGTGTTCTTTTTCCAATACATCCACACCAATACATCCACATGTTTTTCTGTTTTAATTTGTCGATCATACTTGAACTCAGTATGCGTCCCATATAATATACAACTAGGTCAGCAAACCATGTCCAATTTTAGATACCCCTGCAAAGAAATATCTTCAGCATTAAAAAACATTAATTAACTAAGTTACCCATTCAGTTGGTTGACCCAATAACAATGGTTTCGAATCTGATTATGTTCACATCAGTGCTGAGAAAACTACCCCTATCCCATCCAATGGCATAATGGTTGTTAATAGGTATCCCTTCTATGGGTTAAAGTGGTTAAAGTAACCCTTCATTAATCAGGTAGTACTGTATATAGATAGTAAGACCCACAATAAAAACATAAGAACCACTTCATGTTTCGGTGTTTCTAGTGTTTCATGGCTCATCCTGTGCACAGCCGTTACCTGAGGCATCGAGATTGTCAAAGAACAGGGAGAGTTCGGCGCTCATGAGGTCTGCAGTTCAGCCGTTAAAACGACACCGGGGAGCTCCCCGGATCCCCACTGGATCCATTGGATTCCACGGTGTTTTGCCGCAATGAAGGGAACAAAAACACAACACGGAAAAAACAGGCGGTGGCAGCACAAGAATATCGAATAGCAGAAGATAGCAGAAGCATGGTTGTTGAGAAATGTTGAGATCTTGGTTCATGCCCAGCAACTAAACGCATTCTGCTACATTCAGATCCTCCTGGTCTTTCGGCTATGTCATGTGACCCGTCAAACTTTGTTTTTAAAAAAATAGTTAGCTGAAAGGTGAAGCGATGAATAAACAAGGCTTCTGCAATTGGCAATGGATAACGCTGCGGCCACATGCATCCGTGTAATTAACAAAAACCATCCTAAGAACACACAAGGGAGTCATTGAAGCATGTTGCAACAACTTATGCAGATGCGACCCTGAGAAATTGCTGAAACCTCCTGCTCCAACTTCTTGCCTAGCTTTGTTTTGTTTAGAAGCAACACAAAACACCGCAACAGAAACTCAAAAGAAAACGCAAGTTTGAAATTGCGCCGGAGCACGGGAAATCTTGCCCAAAATACTGGTCAGCACACAATAAACCCAAGATACTGTAAACCAGGTACAGTACTCCCCTGAAATCTTGCAGCCAAAAGCAGCTATGTCCAATAGTTCAAAGCTGGTTGGTGGTATACCTACCCCTCTGAAAAATATGAGTTCGTCAGTTGGTACTATGACATTTCCAACTGAATGGAAAAATACAATTCATGTTCCAAACGGTATGAAAGTCAGTTGGGATCATTATTCCACTATATTATACTATTATATCATATATGTCTATATACTATATATGTATATTTATATATATATATATATTCACTGGTTGGTGGTTTCAACCCCTCTGAAAAATATGAAAGTCAGTTGGGATCATTCTTCCCAATATATGGAAAAATCAAAACATGTTCCAAACCACCAACCAGAAAGATCTTCAAAGGTGTCCAATGTTCCATGGATATCCCATTTCTGATCACCATCACAAATCAAAATCGCCATTCCAGGATCCGATTCATTGGAGGTACCTACCATATATAAGGCCTATTTTTGAGGCCTTAGTTTCAGGGAATATCCCCAGAAAATATTGCCTTATATGGTACTAACGTACCTCCAATTTAGGATCCTGGAGATCTCCCTTTGAACAAAGGGCATTGACAACAGCAGGCCTTTAGGGCAACGCGGCAACGCTAGTGGCTGATGGCAATGCTGAAATGGCCACGGTAACACGTCCATGCCCTGAGCTATGGGGACAATCTGGACCTGGAAATGGAGCTAGACAGCTAGACCTCCCAGCTATGGCAATTTGTATGTCGGGAAAATGATGTAGTCGCATACGCCTGGTGTAGAACCATATAGATGTTGAAAGGGGTAATGCAGGGTCCAAGATGCAGCACACACACAACATGTACATCAACAGCTGCATAGTTCAAATATGTGTGCCTCTAAAACAATATGCCATGCATCACTTCCTATGCCCAGGTTTCCCCTACGGTTTGGATGTTTTTTGTTGGTGCACCAGATTGTGTGGGCATTTTTTTCTCGGGATGACTTGAGTCCATGAGATTCATCTTGGACAATCGCATGCAACCAACCCGACACATATGAAAAAAAACATGCACATGTGAATTTTAGAGAAACCTTGCAGGAAAACACTGGTTTGCACCTCCAAATATAGGCGGGTCCTCTCGACTTTCCCGTAGATTGGGGGTAAGACTTGAACGAAGCAACATTCAGCTATATCCCTACAGTTTGATGCTTAGAATCCCTACCAAATTATCAAAATCCTCTAACCATCAGCCAAGCATCATTTATCAGTTCCATCAGCTGTTCAACCCCATCAGCATATGTCTGAACGATCTACATCTTACATGACCATATATATATATATTATATATATATGATTATATATGTAGTCTAAGCATAAGCATATATTATGTTGGAACACATATCTGTTGCTTAAACTGCTCAGCATCCACCCACCTTAATGGCACGCAACAACAATGGCACCCGGTCATCCTCGGCCAGGGCTCAACTCAGATGCAGATGATACCCCTGCATTTAAGGAAATCTAGTGGTATAGATTATCTGGTTAGTGGTATACCTACCCCTCTGAAAAATATGAGTTCGTCAATGGGTTTCGGATGACATCCCATATATGAAATGGAACATAAAATTCATGTTTGAAACCACCAACCATATTATATAGATGTTTTCTGACGATTTCAGCACATAGTCTAGATTTGTGAAGGGAACTGTCCATATCTGGCTGGTCGGGTGTCCAAAACCATAATTTGAAATCAACTACCCTCCAGTAAATTAACAGTTCGCCATGGTATAGATGGCCCGAATCGAAATAGATGCTTTACCGTTCTTTTTTAAATGGGTGGGATCTTTCCATGGCGAACTGTGAACGTCATAACCAGATGGTAATACTCAACTTGAAACATGGCTATGGTCATTGGATTGGTTTAAGGGAAAACCTTAACCGGAAACCCATGGGTTTTTAATGTTTTTACCATCAAATTGATCGGGTTTTCTTGTAAATTTTCCCATCATCAAATTCTATGATGGCTGGGGGTCTCCCCAAAAAGCAGCCCGCCCTCCGATCAAATCCCAAAATCCAAGTGGTACCTGGTGGTTATTTGACATAGCCATGGAGGATTGCCATTGTTAATGGTGGTAAATCCTCCATGTTCAAAAGACCCATGTTCCGCTAAAATTTCCCAGGGGAAAATAATCCGCGGGTGAAACTACCATGGAGGTCCCCAAACCCAGGGCCTTGGGAGGTTCGTAGAATAATATGATGCGCCAAAGAATCCAGAACCACGATTTCTTGACATGGAGTCTACACTATATATATATACATATACATAGTTATATTATATGGATTCGGAACTTGGGTATACTCTGAAATTGCCATATCCAGGGCCGAACCTGGACCAAACCTACATGGTTGTTGGACAAATCTGGGCCAAACGATTAAACATTAGATATTAAACCCAACATACAAAATGTGCCAACATACAAAATGCGCCATGATGTCCCGCTTTTTCTTGCTTTCTACTGAGGAATGGATTTGTCTGGGATAATTAGGACATCCCATGGTCTCTCATCAGCTTTACCACTTACAGTAACTGCCATTCAATGAGCATACCCGATGTTCAAACATACCCAGTTGTCATTATTTCAATGGCTAACTACGTAATCATTGATGGTTAAAACCCCGAGATGTGTCGCTTAAACCCTATAAATGTCATCAATGATCACGTGATTACCCCAGTATATATACCAATTGAAATCATGAACAATATATCATGATTGCAACACATAGTCCCTATTTTCCACTAAGACTATACGCTATCCTATAGCCATTGATGTTATCCCACTATACTATCCCTACTATATATCCCCATTGAATCACCAAAGACTATCATCAAAACCAATCAAGTAGGAATAGCAGTATAGCTGAGCAATCGTTTGGGTGATAATATTCCCATTAATATGTGTTTGACATGATGTTCATCAACAATACCAATGTGGATACGATAAATTTGGTGATATATTTGATATTATGCATATATATATATATACACAGTATATATATATACACAGTATATATATATATACATGTGTATATATATATACACAGTATATATACATATATGTATATATATACTGTGTATTTATATATATATTGCAGTTTCTATTTGATCATCCATATTCCCATCCAAATCATATCATCTTTCAACCTCCGCTCAACCATGGCCGTTTTTGTGGCCTCCCGTCGTTACCAAATCCCAAGGCTCCAGGTCCAAATAACTCGCCATTAACCGTGTGTTGGCCACTGCCAGCACGTTGCCCACCTACTGTAGGATCCCTGGGGAGCGGGCCCCGTTACTTAGTAAAGGGGTCACAGTATGGGATTATGTGGGATTATATGGACTATATATATATAGAGAGAGAGAGAGAGACATGTGCATAATATATATATATACATACCTACCTATATGTATATACATTGATATATATATATATATTTGATATATATATATACGGATTATAAACTACTTACTTAAGTGGGATGGACATCCAGGTTGGGATCCCTGGAGTCTGTCGATATCTAGGCTTTAGGTGACTAGGTGATTCATAATATGCCATCTACTGTATATAACTTTCTATAACATTCTACAACGGATTCCTGATGGGTTTTCTGCATCCATATGAGGATTTCCATCCACCAATATCCACCAATATCCTACTCCAGACCTTGGCATTCTCAATAGCAAATCCAGACCACCTATTTGTTTTAGAGCAAACGTAGGGGAACACCAAAACTTCACCCTGACACTGCCTGACACCCAATTTTCATTGCTGTAACCATCATCCTCCAAAGATTGATTTTAAGTCGGCTGTGATGCCCCGCGCTGATGTCACAGGCGATGGATCCTGTGACCGGCGAAGGACTGATGAGCGCTGGTGAAATGTGCTTCTTATGCTGAAACATCATGGAAAGTGGGGCCCAAACGATGGCTAAGTTGCCGCGCAGAATTTCTGAAAAAAACTACATCGCATTTCAGTGACAGTCAGAACGTGTCAGAACTATAGTGAAATGGGATTATAAACATTTATAAACCAACAAACATAACTTGGGGGCCTCACATCGTAGAAATATTTCAATATGTGTGTCAGGAATCTGATGATCCATCACCTATTGATTCATTGAGATGTTTCAGCAGATTGATCCATCATTCAAATCGATTTTCTCAATCGAACCATGTTGCCTGCGAGATGGATTTCAAGTGGTTTAACCCGCTGAAGTTTGTTGCCAGGTATGAAGGAAATGACAATGAAATGGATGACACCCGCTCCAAAATCTGGGAAGACAATTGTCATGATTATGATTGCAAAAGTCTTTGTATTCATACCTTTCCAGTTGCCCCTTAAAAACTGCTAAGGTGTGAAGACAATGACGCTATCTCGCAGAACAGTGCACAAGTGTGGTGTTGGCTGCTCCACGTTTAGAATCCTTGTAAATCAAAGTAAATCCCCAGTTTTCATCATTTGTTCCGCCTGTTTAAAACGTTTTTTCGTGGTGAAATCCGTGTTTTTCCAGGCAAAATCCCATGGTTTTCCTCCATGGTTAGCCCATCCCAAAACTGACACCTGGACGATCTGGACGTCGAGGAGTCCAACGCAGGATGGGCCTTGGAGGACTCAGTGTAAGACGGATCGATCTTTTTTATGTGAAGATCATAAGACATCATAAAAACGATTAATATGGTGGTTTAATAGCTACATGGCAAATCACCATTTTTGATAGGTAAATTATGGTAAATCTATACTGGTAAAACCACTGGTTGGTGGCAAGATCTGATGTTTATGGCAAGATGTTTATATAATATTTATAGTACTACTGGTTACTACTATGACAAGAAAACCACTGCTTGGTGGTGCAATAAGCCTCTCGAAAAATGATGGAGTTCGTCAATGGGAAGGATGACATCCCATATATGAAATGGACAATAAATTTCATGCTTGAAACCACCAACCAGAACCATATAAAAGCCAAGGTTTATGATGTTTATGGCAAGATCTGATTTTGGTGGATTTTGGAAGATCTGATGAATTTCCAGTTCTAGCCATCAAAATCGGTAAAAGATGGTACACATACCAAAGAAGATTGCTATCACATGGTTGCGAAAACTCGATTCGTAGCTCCAACTGGCTCTGCAAAGCAGGAAAATAAAGAGAACCGCAAGCTCCTTTTCTCCCTCCTAACCTCCTGGATAGATGGGCTAATATAAAAATATGTTTGGCTACTTGATGCTACTTGAAGGGTCTGTGTATACTTGAATTCTAGATGGATCAAGATGGTCTATACAAGGTGGGCCGGAGATAGATTTCGATGATTTCTGAAATGAAATGGTTTACTTCACTTGTCTCTAACTTAACCATTTATAGATATTTATGGTAGTATATCTGGACATTTCCAACCACCATACTACCGTTTCAAACTGGCAACTATGGTACTATCATTTGCACAGAAAAAACAACCATGGTCTCCCTGACCTCGGAAAGCGCGAAGCCAATCACAATGAACTAATAACAAAACTACATTATCATGTTTAGTAAAGTACTATATATGATCACATGCTATTAAGCTATGTTTTTGACATATGACATTAATGACGTTTCTCCAGCTGACTCCCCATAGACCCCGGATCGGCGACATGCGACATCTGCGCATGAAAACGCGGTTGGATGTTGTGACTCGCACCTGCCACGAGGTCGTAAAGGGTACCCGTCCCGTTGCGAAAAATGGCGGTGTTTTCAGCACCCCATGGAACGGTGCAAAAGTCATAGTAGGAAATAGGAACGTATATATATATATATATATGTTTACATATACATAAAATATGATATTATGTATATATATATAACATGTTTGAAGTTTTAGGTATTTCACAGCAAGAAGTTCAGCATAAAGAACTACATGACAACATGATAAATACATCTAGAACAGGGATGGAGTGTTTGGAGCAGGGAAATCTTGCGCAAAATCATCCTGGCGATGAATTCGATGTGTCGACTGAAACAACATCCACCATTTCTTGGGAAAATATGGTTTGTATTGGGGCGCGCCACTGGAAATTTGAATCATTACCCTCTGGTAAACTAACATAACTATGGAAAATCACAATTTTTAATGGGTAAATCAACTCTAAATGGCAATTTTCAATAGCTACGTTAAATTACCAGAGGGTAGATATTCCACCGGTTGGTTAGCTCTGAGTAGCTCCTTGGCTCCCTTCTTACCACTGGACAGTATCGACCACATCCGCCGTAGGAGAAAATCAAGACCGCGCCTGTCTGGCGCAGTGCTCTGGCCACTTTCCGAAGACTTCTAACCTGGTAAGAACTTTAGGCAACTTAGCAACTTTGTAAGATAGGTACATAGGATGTGTATGCACAGTTGGTGTTAGTAAACTAGATAAAAGTACCCTCTGGTTATGACTAACAGTTCGCCATGGAAAGATCCACCCATTTTTTAGTTCGGTAAACCATCAATTTCTATGGGCCATCTATTTTCCATGGCTATGTTAGTCATAACCAGAGGGTATGTATATTTCTAGGCCAATTTATAGATGAATTTCCCATTAAAACCTCCATTTATACAGGGATTTTCCATGGCTATGTTAGTCATAACCAGAGGGTAGCTTATGATCAGCTAGAAGCTGCACTGGATAAGATCAGCTAGAGGCTGCAGTGGATAATCCCCTCTGGCAGTGTAATCCCATGCCAACCAAGGTTGTGAACCCAAATTGTAGAAGCAACAAAAAAATAAAGAGGTAAGATCTTACTTGAAATGATGATGGTAAAGAAACATAAAGAAACTGACTTGTTCCACTGTTTTCGGAGATTCCTCGAGACGTTTTTGGAGAGCTCCAGGACATTTTGTCAAGTCCGACCGATGGACACGCCTGCGAGGCCGAGGTGGTGACGTCTGGAGCCAGAAGACAAATATCCAGATCACCTGCGTGGATCAACGTCTAAAAAACGTCTCCAAACTACAGATCAAAAAAAATGCACTCATATAGCGAAAAAAACATATGTATAATATATTCATATACAATAAACATGTTATATACACATGGAATGTATATACATGTGAAATTATAGACATTGTGACATTTTGCATTATAAATACATACATAATGACATAATCTAGAGATTCAGCGGAATCTGAGTGAAGATGATGAGAACAAAATATGATTCCCTGGCTAGCACGTCAAATATAAACAAAAACGGCACAGTATTTGTCAAAGCCCACAATATATCAAAATATGGACAGTTCATGCATGAACCACTTCCTAGAATTGAATTAAACCATCCCAATGACCACTGCAGGTGGGGAATGATTACCCTCGTTTGGATCCAATTTATCAGGACTGATCGTTTGGGGCGCCATCCCCAAATCAAACGGAGCGCCATAGTCAAGAACAGTTACGGCCGAGTCAGGGGAGTCTCTCGTGAGAAGGAATGATATTATACCCTCTGGTTATGACTAACATAGCCATGGTATAGATGGCCCTAATCGAAATAGATGGCTTACCGAACTAAAAAATGGGTGGGATCTTTCCATGGCAAACTGTTAGTCATAACCAGAGGGTATATATCTATTTTGATTCAATGCTCATTTGTGAATAGCTTTGTTGCTCAGATCTCCTGGCAATCAAACGTCGCTGGCTGGGAAATCCCACATAATTGTGTAGTTCGCTGAGAAAATCATGGAACTGATTACTGCAAGCCATAGAGCTGATTACTGGAGGGTAACTCATAAAATTAAAACATAGTGGATTTTTCAGAATGGGTGACTTACTGGTGCCAAAGGCAGGGAATTTTCGGGAATGATCCAGGATCACTAGCAATAATCATCACATTCCCCCATTCCCATCCATTCCCTACTAAGCACCAGTAAGATGATAAGTTGGTTTATAGTTTATAGCTAATATCACCTACAAAGTGATGCCCCCACGATAGTACAATGTGCGGCCCTCGTATACGATAGGTAAGTTAAGCGAAGAATAACTACTGATACGCAAATCACTATAGTATTCATGGAATTTAAATACCAACAAACATAACTTATCACCTTTATTGGCTATCCCATATCTGTATATATATATAATAAGGTTAACTAACCCCACAAAGACTGACTTACCATTCTTGAGGTGAACTACCCTTCTGCTGACACAAACTCCCAAACTCACAATATATCCATATTGGCGCAATAAGTTCTTCATTCATAAACAATTATAGGGGCTTGGTTGAAACCTCATTATAAATCCCTTGAACATGTTTACGATCTCAATAACTCCACCAAAAATCGCACTATACCCATGGGTATCATCACATTGAATCCAATTATGGATTTGTGTCTTGGTGATTTTTTTCTTCGCAAACCAATAAAATTTGGCCGCTTCATGGGATCATTTTCCCCCAAAAAAAAAGATCTGCCAGGTCGCTTCCCGGCATCCATTGCTTCGTTCCAGCGGAGCCGAAGAGCTCCGCCGTGCAGCCGTCCAGGGACTCCTACTACCAAGGCGTTTTTGGGAGTTCTAAGGAGATGAGGCATCACTCTATGAATATATATATATACACACAATATATATATGTATGTATATATATATGTATATGTATGTATATAATATATATATATAAATTGTATATGTATAGGATTGTATAGGGAATATGTGTAGATGCATATACATTCTGTATCATATCGTCCCATATATATATACACAATATATTACATACCCATCGATCCCAGCCGGACATTAGGAAGTGATTTCGGTAGCATTTGGGGTCTACCATTGGAGGCATTTAGATCCAGATATTTTTGGCCAAATCGCAAGGGGTGATTGCTTGCTATCAAAGAGTGGTTTGAAAACCAGCAGATGCTCCATAGCTGACGCAACTGAGTGATAACCCCAGTGGTTTGGCGCGAGCCGGTTGTTTTCCAGAGGTCGGATTTCTTCAGTTTCCCAGTAGACCAAGCATGGCACATGGCAATCTTGGACATTTTAGTATTTTAAGGGCTGCGCAGTATTTATATATCACCATGTTTGGAAAGCATAAAAGAAACAAATAACAAATGCTATGGGCATCGACAAGCTGCCGTCCAACTAGTCACATGTTGCAAATCGACGGCTCCTTCCCAGCTTGTTCAACTTGACGAAAGAGCGCGTCCTGGCGTCGATCACCATGCAATTTGGGAAACTCGGATTGCATGGTGATTTTGCCAGCAGAAGTGGGTCACACTGGAATGTATATCATCGTATTTCCGTACATGTTTCGTAGGTAGCTTGCTCAAGACATGATGAGAACAGCCTTGCCTTTGCCGCTTCTTGCTCTTCACTCGGTCTCGCAGGGAGGTTTGTCACGATTGATGTGGGTCGATTCGGGTGGGAGACATCATTGCTGCCGCCATGAATTTCTTCATTTGGTCAAACTTAGTGCCGAACCAATGCAGTTCTTGCCATGAAGGGACGAAGGCAATATTTCGGTAATTACTGGGGAAAAAAAACACAATGTACCATCTGCAATGAGCGCAAATGAGTGGTTGGGAGCCACAATCCCAATTGGTTTATGGCGTTGGGTTTACCCCTATTTGGGATGACTTATTTCATGGCCCCCAAATGGTTGATAATTGATGAATTCCCACAGCCTATGTTGGCTAAATCTCACTTTTTGCTGATCGAACCCAACTGTTTGGTGAATAATTGGCTAAATTAGCACAATAAAGTGTCCGTTATTCTTATCATTCTTACTATTATCATTATTGCTATATATTGTTGGATATATATATATTATCCTATTACTCGTGGATGTATCATGATTATTGCTATATACATATTATCATATTATTGATTAATAATGCTATATACATCAATATATTCTTGTGGATCCTACATGTTTAACCGCTTCATACTCCCCAGCCGGGCCACGGAGAAACCAGGCACCTGGTGTCCTCAGCAAGTTGCTTCATTTCCATGGAGAGCGCCTGAATTAGAGTGCCCATTTGGAGTGGGGTTCATGATGTTCATGGGGATATCACATTTGTATATATATATATATATACGTATGTATAATGTACATATATATATATATATTATTATTAACATATATATATATATATTATTATTATTATTATTATTTTTATTATTATTTTTACTATTATTATTATTATTAACATCTAGCAACGACCAAAAAGATAGATAAGTTAAATCTTGCTTGAATGGTCATAAACTACTTTATCTTATATGTTCAGAATTTGCTATATATATAGACTGATACAGGTATACAAACTGCACAGAATACATACAACATAAAATACATATAAGAATATATAATAATAATGTATACATATATAGAAATATAAGAATATCCATTTGGGGATCATATCGAGGGTCAAGTAACATCGGCGTCATTTATTTGGAAACAATTAGTATTATCATATAATAAATAATAATAATATATAAGAATAGATGTATGTAACTATATAATGACTGTATATTAAAAAGGATACACAGAGAGAGAGAGAGAGACCCCCTCCAGTTGTTGCGATTGGTCGGTGGCAAAACCCTTGTAACTTTGGGTCCTTGTTCGGTTAGACCAACAATAGGGTTCCTCATTCAATTACATTGATTATCATGTTTTTCCCGTCTTTTAACTGGCCACAACTTGGTGTATCCACGGTATCCCTATTTTAAGACAACCCGATATCTGTTTGGTGGCTTCACATGCTGTCACTGTTATGCTGGTTAGTCTACCTCACAGGTGTATGGCGGAATCTTAATCTATCTTCCCCTACCACTCACCGGTCGGTTTGTTTTGGGTGATATGGTATGCATCTGGACTTTCTCTTGTTTTGTTTTATGAACCAAAAACACATGTAAATCGATTTATCATCTGCGTTCTCACGTTTCAATGGGAAATAACCATTTATAACCCAATTATATTTATAACCCATTTATAACCCATATTATAACCCATATTATATCATAATAACCCATTTATAACCCATATTAACCCATAGTCTTCCATCACCCTTCTGAACGGCCTGTCGCAATAGTAAACGCAGTCGGTCGACGCAATAAGAATTTGCGTACGTCTAATGGTTATAACTTATAGCCATTCTAGATTGTTGTTTGATTAAGCAGCATAATACACAGTTACTTAATGTTGTTATGAATTATTAATCACTTTTTTTTCAAAAAAAAATATTTCACAATTTTTGTACCAACATGAAAAAAAGGCCAGTTCAAGCATATTTTTGCAGTTGATCATTAATCTTTGTATACTGGTTACCCTCTGATAAACTAACATAGCTATTGAAAATGACCATTTATAGTGGATTTTCCCATTGAAAATGGTGATTTTCCATAGCTATGTTAGTTTACCAGAGGGTAACAATGATTCTACCAGCATGCCGCGTATACCATGATTGCTCTTCCAACCCGCCTCCATCGAAGCCTTCGAGGCCACGGCGTTCGTTTCGCCTAGAGATGATATGGCTATCCCACCACATGTTACGAAAAAATGATAATATTGGGATATACCCTCTGGTAAATTAACATAGACCCTGAAAATAGCCTAGTTTTAATGGAAACTAATCTTCCAACCCCTATCTGCCAGGGTCTATGTTAATTTACCAGAGGGTAGAAATTGATTTTGTGGTGCTGTATAATGGGAAATATGAATGGGATAATGTGATAATATCATGGGATATACTGGATATAATATGATAATAATGTGATGATCCCGCACATATTCTCCCACTATAACCAACTACATACACTATTATCAGCGTGGAATGTTGAGATGTCATAGTGATGCATATATCAAATATACAGTGTCACAACAAATCATCGGAGAAGTTGCCATAAATCATCGGATGTGCTTCGAAGAACATACGCTGGTTGCATCCTCAGATTTGCTACATCTGTCATCATCTGTCGCACGTATCGATTTTTCCCGAGAGCGTCTGAGCGCAGGGTTCTTCCAATAGTGGGGGTCTGTAAAACATCTTCTCATCTTCACATCTCATCTTCACATCCTCTCATCTTCACATCTCATCTTCACATCCTCTCATCTCATCTTCACATCCTCTCATCTTCACATCCTCTCATCTTCGCATCTGCTCATCTTCACACCTTCCCATCTTCACATCTGCTCATCTTCACACCTTCTTCCATCTTCACATCACATCTTTCTCATCTTCACATCTGCTCATCTTCACATCTGCTCATCTTCACATCTGCTCATCTTCACACCTTCCCTCTTCACATCTTTCATCTTCACATCTGCTCATCTTCACATCTGCTCATCTTCACACCTCCCATCTTCACATCTCTCATCTTCACATCTGCTCATCTTCACATCTGCTCATCTTCACATCTGCTCATCTTCATCTTCTCTCACATCTGCTCATCTTCACATCTGCTCATCTTCATATCTTCTCTCACATCTTCTCTCACATCTTCTCTCATCTGCTCATCTTTCTTCATATCTTCTCTCACATCTTCTCTCACATCTGCTCATCTTCACATCTGCTCATCTTCACATCTGCTCATCTTCACATCTGCTCATCTTCACATCTGCTCATCTTCACATCTTCTTATCTTCACACCTGCTCATCTTCACATCTGCTCATCTTCACATTTGCTCATCTTCACACCTTCCCATCTTCTCATCTTCACATCTGCTCATCTTCACATCTGCTCATCTTCACATCTGCTCATGTTCACATCTGCTCATCTTCACATCTTCTTATCTTCACACCTGCTCACCTTCTCTCTCATGCCTTCTTTTTATCTTTCTCTCTTAAGGCCAAGGGTGGTGCCGGCGGCGAGTCACGAAACGTCAACCCTTTCGCAGGAAATGAGGGTCGATCGGCAAAAACTGAGGTAAAATTGCGATTTGACTTGTCCCGGAGCAACCCTTTCGCACGAAATGAGGGTCGATCGGCAAAAACTGAGGTAAAAGTGCGATTTTACTTGTCCCGGAGCAACCCTTTCGCACGAAATGAGGGTCGATCGGCAAAAACTGAGGTAAAATTGCGATTTGACTTGTCCTGGAGCAACCCTTTCGCACGAAATGAGGGTCGATCGGCAAAAACTGCGGTAAAATTGCGATTTTACTTGCCCCGGAGCAACCCTTTCGCACGAAATGAGGGTCGATCGGCAAAAACTGAAGTAAAATTGCGATTTTACTTGTGCCGGAGCAACCCTTTCGCACGAAATGAGGGTCGATCGGCAAAAACTGAGGTAAAATTGCGATTTTTCCTGTGCCGGAGCAACCCTTTCATCTGTGTGTAAAAGCGTCTGTGTGTAAAAGCGTCTGTGTGTAAAAGCTTCTGTGTGTAAAAGTGTCTCTGTGTGTAAAAGTCTCTGTGTGTAAAAGCGTCTGTGTGTAAAAAGCGTCTGTGTTTAAAAAGCGTCTGTGTGTAAAAGCGTCTGTGTGTAAAAGCTTCTGTGTGTAAAAGCGTCTCTGTGTGTAAAAGTCTCTGTGTGTAAAAGCGTCTGTGTGTAAAAGCGTCTGTGTGTAAAAGTGTTTGTGTGTAAAAGTGTTTGTGTAAAAGCGTTTGTGTGTAAAAGCCTCTGTGTGTAAATGTGTTTGTGTGTCAAAGCGTCTGTGTGTAAAAAGTGTCTGTGTGTAAAAAGCGTCTGTGTGTAAAAGTGTTTGTATGTAAAAGCTTCTGTGTGTAAAAGCTTCTGTATGTAAAAGCTTCTGTGTGTAAAAGCTTCTGTGGGTAAAAGCTTTGTGTGTGAAAGCGTCAGTGTAAAAGCGTCTGTGTGTAAAAGTGTTTGCGATGCAAACTATTGTCTTGCACTTCTCACTATTTTGTCTTGATACTCCTCTTCTCGACTGCCTATAACACAGCTTTCATATATCGTTTCTAATATTGCGTCTCCATACTAACAAGAGAAGACCCTGCTCCTCTACGCTCTCGGGCCATCCGTCGTCTAGTTTGATGTCGCTGTCTAAGTAAGTCGTCTAGATTGATTTCATCTTTTTGGCTTTGTCTCAGGATGGATAATGGGTATAAATTGCCATTCACAAATTGAGAGAAATCTGTTCAAACGCATTGAATCTTGAGATTCCAAATGTTGAGACCTTTCCATGTTATACTAAGGGCATGTGCACATGTTCAAATCCATCAACAGCAGAATTGTTCAATCCGAGTCTGCAAATCGGCCCAAAAAATCATAATTGATCATCATGTTCCCACCAGAATGGTCACTGAAGATACTTAAGTATGTTTGGACCTGATTTAAGGCCAACGCACTTGGGATAGGTATCTGAAGTATCACCTGGTTTCAATAGGACTGACCATGGAGAACATGGGAACATTTTTTTGCACTCGGTATACCATGTATGTTCTGTCAAGCACCACTCTGCATGTTGAACTCTCACAGTCCCTCGGAGTACAATCTCCATATTCAATGGCCCTTAGGGCTGTCCTGAATTCTCGTACAAACCCGATTTTCATTACCATTTGGTCATTTGGTCATTTGGTCAAATCTAAATTGTTTGGCTCAATTCCAAACTCTTTACACACCACAGAGGTAGAACCACAAAACAAAATTAGTTACAATCTGGTAAATTCACAGTTCGACCCTGACAATCACCTAGAAATCTAGTGGAACCGAATTTCTTTCAACCCCTTTCTGGCAGGGTCCAACTGTTCATTTACTGGAGGGTAAATCCCATTAACATCCCATTATTCACCATTGTTAACCATTAAATCACATTTATAGTCACCATTTTATAGTGGTTAAATCACCATTTATGGAGGGTAAATATAGCACCTAAGTGAGCCTGGGACTCCTGCGACTCCAAAGTCTCCAATGTTCTTCCAACCGCTGAGCTTCGCCGAAAAACCTGCAAGACATGGCATGATGTGTATATATTTTACTATATACTATATATATATACACATTATGTATATATATAACTTATATAACCCATTGAAATACATTGAAACCTCTATAATTCCATGCCTCCAACTAACGTACGTAGACAACGTAAACAGTAAACTCTTCCAACTCTCATGACAGGGTAGTGATATTTTTGTCGGAGGGAGAATAAAATGCCCAACAAAAGTTGCCCCAAAATTGTTGTTTATATTCCATTCTACAATAACATCAAAAAATGAACTTGCATGAAGCACGTCCAAGTCAGGTTTTCCAATCAGCAATTTGATGTACAACATGTATTATTTATATTCCTAACATATCCTAATGTTGATTAAATCCCCAATTACTATCCAGTAAAACATGTGCTACAAGCAGCGCCCCACTAACTTGGTGTAATCCCTTCCACCTAATATCCAACGCCCCCCAGAAACCAGGGATATTAGGTGATTTTGGGACCTTCTAGGAGTTGGAGATGTCGAATATTGGGGGGATAGGTAACCTCTAACTTTGCTAACTATGGCAACGTTCACCTCCATAATTATGTCAAATCCGACAGATTAAAAAGCCCCCCTCACAATAAAGTACATCAACCGATTCGTTTGCGTTCTTTTCTTGGTTTTTATTTCCCCACCTGCCAGGTGAGGGTTGTTAGATTTTATGTCAGTTGCCTCCTCGTCCTCCTCCTCCTTCTCCTCCTCCTCCTCCTCCGCCTCCTCCTGCCTCGTCCTCCTCTCCTCCTCCTCCTCGTCCTCCTCGTCGTCCTCGTCGTCCTCGTCGTCCTCGTCGTCCTTGCTCAACTGCGCCCCGCGATCCACAGTGTTCTCTGCCGGACCTCAACCACGACCATCCACGCCCAGTGTTCCCTGCCGGACCTCAACCACGACCATCCACGCCCAGTGTTCCCTGCCGGACCTCAACCACGACCATCCACGCCCAGTGTTCCCTGCCGGACCTCAACCCGAGTATCCCCGCCCAGTGTTCCCTGCCGGACCTCAACCACGACCATCCCCGCCCAGTGTTCCCTGCCGGACCTCAACCACGACCATCCACGCCCAGTGTTCCCTGCCGGACCTCAACCGCGAGTATCCACGCCAAAAGATATGCCACATAGAGTGCCAGAAGATATGCCAGATAGAATGTTAGAAGATATGCCAGATAGAATGCCAGAAGGTATGCCAGATAGAATGCCAGATAGAATGTCAGATAGAATGCCAGAAGATATGCCAGATAAAGTGCCAGAATGTTTGCCAGATAGAATGCCAGCAGATTTGCCAGATAATATGCCAGAAGATATGCTAGATAGAATGCCAGATGGAATGCCAGAAGATTTGCCAGATAATATGCCAGAAGATATGCCAGATAGAATGCCAGATGGAATGCCAGAAGATATGCCAGAACATATGCCAGAAGATATGCCAGAAGATATGCCAGAAGAATCTGCCAAATCTGCCAGAATGCCAGGTAGAATGCCAGAAGATATGCCAGATAGAATGCCAGATCGAATGCCAGAAAATATGTCAGATAGAATGCCAGAAGATTTGCCAGTAACAAAATGTATAAATGTCATGGTGGGGATCACACGAAGTAAAGTAATTTTATATATTTTAATATAGTAGATGTACCCTCTGGTAATTTAACATAGCTATTGAAAATGGCCATAAATGGCCCATTTATAGTTGATTTTCCCATCACAAATGGTGATTTTCCATAGTTCTGAAAACGTTTACCAGAGGGTATCTGCAATTTGTATGGCCTTGTTATGCACATCCAACCTGATTGATTTTTTTGAGCCAAGTGCCTCAAGCATCTCACAGAACGCCGCATCATGGCAGCCATGGCAACCATTTTGGTAAATATGGGAGTTCCTATTGGGAATCAATGGATTCGTTGAAAGAAATCTACGGGGAAACCTAGTCTGGTTGGTGGTTTTTCGCCATCCCAGTGAAAAATATATGTTCGTCAGTTGGGATGATGACATTCCCAATATATGGAAAAAATAAAATTCATGTTCCAAACCACCAACCAGTTAGTTGTTCCCCAAATGTAAAGCTTTCCTTCAGATGTTGCCTTCGACCAATGGAGGGATGAGGTGAAATGGCAATATGGGATTAAATCAATTATGTGAAACACTTACCGGCAACACACAAAATCGCCAGCATCAAAAATCGCCATCAAGTTTGATGGCTTTGTGGGGCGAAATGAACATGTCATCATCAATACAATACAATACCCATGATGGAGTGTATTGAAATTGTTCCTTTTGGATTTCCAAATGTGCGGGGAATATTTCTAGTGACTCTAGTGGGATTGGACCACTCATGTGACATCTTGGGGCTATACCCCTCTAGCCTGCAAGCGTTCTTCTAGGGTGAAGCTAAGCCGCTAAGCCAGCTTCTACATGGAAGTTGCAGATCGTTGTAGTATGTATTAGTCAACTTTGCATGATGTGTTGTGCCTTTTTCGCTGCAACACATATCACATGAATTCACCATACAGTACCATTTCGGCATACCAATGCTGTTTTTTTGTATACATATCATACCTTTAGCAAAAGTACAAAGGCTTCAATCTATGTTCATGTTCATGCTCCTTACACGCAGCAGTTGTCTCATGCCGTTTCCATTTCAATAGCCCCAAATTCACACTAGCGGTCATTGCTGGAACAGGGCTGACAACGACAATGCGGACACAACAAACATCACAAAATTTCAACCGATAGATCCTATCCTATACTCATTTATGCCCATTTATGCCCATTTATGCTTTCCATCTTTGAAAACCATGGATCCGAAAGAGACTCTTTGATGAAAACCACTGGTCGTCCCTGTCGTGACTTGAGATGGGCCCATCAGCCATCACCAATGGATCGACCGGAGCGACTGACCGTAGCCAACTGTTGAAACTCTGAGCAGTTGCCATTTGGGTCATGTAGATATGTATATATATAGTAATTATATGTGATATATGATATACATGATGTGATGATATCTGTAGATCACCAGTTTTGGTCCAGCCTACAAATTAACCGTTTCATTGAGAAGAACCCGGCTTGGTGCGCCTTCTGACAAATCTCTGCACAGCAAACACGCCAGCCCTAAAAGTCCCAAAATCAAGCTGGCACAGGCAACCCGGCACTCAAAACCGCACGTCCCACGGGACCAAATCATCCCAAAAGTGGGTTTGCTTTGGGGGCTCTTGAACTTTCTTATAGACTTTTCAGAATCATCACAAATTCTCCCAAAAATTCCCCAAGTGATGCAACTTTTCAATTTTTTTCTCAGTGTCTCCACGTTCAACGAGGACCACTGAACCTCACGGCCCCCATGGGCAGCTGTGGTTTCGGCTGTGGCTTGCGCGGCTGAAAGGCGCACGAGTAAGGGCTAGCCCAGTGACAGTGATCGCAGACACTTCCTGGGCAGCGCGAGCTGGGACCCGAAACGAAGGGGATGACAAAGAGGGCAAGTGAAGCCCCTCATGTTTGAAACAAAACAATAAAGATGGATGTATGTGTACACACATGTATAGTATTTTTTTAAAACATGTGCATGTCTATATTTATATATATATATACATATGATAGCGTAAAATACAAAATGAAGTCCCAAAGGGCTCCTTTCACCTATGGGTTGAGTCATTGTCCTGGCCGAATCCGAACGGTTCACCACATGTCATCAACGGGGCGATATTTTTATCCCATGGATACCCAGTACGTGGGAAATATGGGGAGTTCCTATGGGAATCAATGGATTCGTTTAAAGAAATCTACGGCCGACGGGGAAACCTAGGTGTTCCCCCAAATGTAGCTGGTTGGTGGTTGAGCCTACCCCCCTGAAACATACGAAAGTCAATGGGAAGGATGACATCCCATATATGAAATGGAAAATAAAATTCATGTTTGAAACCACCAAGCAGTTATTTTCTAAGATTCTAGTCATACCGAGTCATACCAACTATCACAAAAGGGCACGTGTCCATTGGTGCTTGGTTGGAACCACATGTTTGGCTGACTTTGGATAAGCAGAAAAACCCATGGTGTCCATTTGTTAAATTACTCGGAACGCTTCACAGACCCAAGGGAAACATGCTGATATAGATTCACCAAATGATGGATTACTTAAATGGAAAGCACACATCATCACCCTCAAGCCAAAGCCAAGTTCATCTTATCCTCTGTCCATGGAAATCTTCATATTCAATTGGAACATCCTCTATAAATGGGGATTTCCCATTGCCAGATTCAGATTCAGATTCTCAGTTTCGTGTAGTTAAAGATCAGCCAACAGTTTTAGGACAAGTAGATAATCAGAACAAGTCCGAAACAAAGTTCGACATTCTGGGGATGATTTTTCTGTGGTGAAACCGTCTGTCCGCCATAAGTCCGACACGCATTATGTTAGGTCACAGAAGAAAAACTTAGCATGAACCAACTAATTGTTATTTATAAAGGCTAGTTGTCATAAATCCGCATTTCTGGTGGATACATCCTCATCTTTAGCGGATGTAGATGAAAGGTAAATCATCATTTATGCCCCAATATAATCACTGATTTGCTGTGAATTAACCTGAAATATATATATACATATATATATATATCTGTTTCCACTGGTATTATGTATATAATTGATCAACATAATATGTTCAACAATAGATTCCATCTATTTCATTTAAATTTAAATAGTATACCATGTTGGAAAAGTAACCTGACTGTATCATATATGCCTATTCGTATTTTACTATCTAAAGCTATTTTGATATGATATATGATATATATATATATATTCATATATCATATATATATATATATATCATATATATATATGATATATATATATATATCATATATATATATATCATATATAAATATATTCATATAACTCATCTATATTATATTAATGTCAGTGAATGGTGAAAAATCCCCATGTTGACCGTCCTTCACCGAAAAACCGCCTCGGACGACTCCCAGGCGCCAAGCGTCCGTTGTGACGCCGCAGTGTCGGCAGCGTCGAACGAAGGTCCCACTGTTTCAGACCGCCTCGGGCGGAAGGCGGAGCGGGATCAGAAACCACGTGTGAAACGGCTTCAAAGCACCATTCTTCATGATTAAACCTTCAAAATATGAATAAATATTGCATACACACACATATATATATATATAAGTTATATGCATAATATATATATATAGTTATACATGCATAAATATGAATAAATCGCAAATGTCTGATTATTAAGACATGTGTCACATGTAAATCACCATCCACCAGACGCCCAGGGGCCGTAAGGGACGCCACTGGTTCTGTAGGCCAACCGACATGTGCTGCGATTGATCTCTGACAACTGATGCTCCAGCCTGAGCGACTGATGCCTGTTCCTTGGAAAAATTAGTGTTGGGGGTTTGGGGCATTGGGATTTCACCATCTAGAAATGAGGATTTAATGAGGATTTACCGGGATTACTGGGTATTTACCCTCTGGTAATTTGTTAGCGAACTGGAAAACCACCATTTTTCATAGGTAACTCTTCGAAGTAAATGGGCCATGTTCATCAATTTTCCATAGCTATGTTAAATTACCAGAGGGCAATCGCCAGAAATTCTGACGAATCATCACCTTCACAAGAAACGGGCCCAAGCTTGTATGTGGTGTCTGTTGGTTGAAACAACTATACCTGGTTGCTGGTATACCTACCCCTCTGAAAAATATAAATTTCAGTTGGGATGATGACATTCCCAAATATTCCCAATATATGGAAAAATAAAACATGTTCCAAACCACCAACCAGCCATTAATATTCCATGAACAGAGGCTTAATCACCATTAAATCAGCATTAATATACATATATATATATATATATATGAGCAGGGACCCCCACACCCCTCCCCCCCCCCAGCCAGATGGTTCCCCCCTCCCCTGTGGCAGGGGAGGGGGGGTTTTCTCAGCAGCCAAGCCGATTGTTGCTGGAGGAATGGTTTCTTGGCCGACATGTGTATATATAATGCATATATATATATGCATATATATATATACATATATATATATATATATATATACGTGTACAGTATGTACAATGTAAACGAAATGATAGATACAAGATCAAGATATCAATATGTAGTATCTAGAATGTGCATATATATATATTGTTTTTCTACTGTACATATGTCTAGGTTTGCATAGGTAAGCTTTGCGTAATCAGTAATCCATAGGTAGCAAATATGTTGTAACCATGTGCGAGGCACGCTATAGGCGGTTCGAAACAAAGGTTATGATAGAAATATACAGGTAGACAAGGTCCATTGACGAGGTCGTGGCTCTCAAGTGCTGCAAATAACGTAGAGATGCGAGGTTGGAGGGGTGGAAAGGGGAGTATATATGTGTATATGTGTATGTATATGTGCAAATAACATGCAAATACATGCAAATACTAGGTTTTGGAGGGGTGGGGGGGGTTAGGAGTGGGGGGGGATACCATTGGGGGGGGTGTGGGGGTCCGGGGACCGGGCTCATATATATATATATATATATATATATTTAATATGCCTATTAAATCACCATGACCAGAGGAAACACCCCCCATGTTGGATCCCTCCCATTTATGCTGGAGAAATTGGACTAATTGGATGATCAGATGGGCGTTTTTAAAACCCTCCCAGAGCAGGGTCAGGAAACCTAGACTCGAAGTGCACGCTGGTCAGTACCGCCACCACGTCGTTCTGAAATAATCTCACCTCATGGTGAATCTTAGATACCACCCATTTTTTAAAGCTGGTGAATGCACATTGTTTTATCGAAATACCATTTCAAAATGGATCATAGCGTACCAAATAACAAGTATCAATAATGATGGAAAAGTTCGGATTTCACGTTGGGAAGACTGTTCAGAAAGGATTTGGGGGTGCCCTTTTTTCAGGCAACCTGGATGAACTTCCCCCTGGGTTGTGAGAGATTCGGTGGTCCGATTTCATGGCAAAGCAATCCAAACCCCCAACAAAAATTGGGTAACATGAAATTTTCCCCTTTTCGTCTATTGCATCTGTTCATTTGAGGGGCTCATATTGAAGCATTTCCCTGTTATCTTTTTGAAGGGGCTGTTTTACCTGTGTGTATTCAATGTTCCATCCAAATCTGCGGGGGAAATGCCATTCCCTTACGATTCATTGACAATATCGCAGCAAAAATGAACAAACATGCTGTTTACCTTAGCAATACCGAGCACCCTTAAACACGAAGCGCGGTTGATCTATTCATTGGCTATGCCTTGACCAAGGCATACTCCAAGCGGCACGTTCCAAGCAAAGGCCATCGGTGTCGAAGGTGAACGGAAGCAACGTGATGCGTCTCTCCGTGGGGTCTCCACCTGAAAACTGCTCCAGGTCAAAGGTTCACAGTAGTCCCTGGTGGTGCCACAGCTTGTTAGCTAAGTTGGTGAACATAACTCCAATAACTTGGTTCTAGAGTAGATATATCATGATATGTCATTAAACATCTATATCAGAGTAAAACTTAAGGTTGGCTTAAGCTCTGTTGATGCTTTTAAGTTGTAATGCTTTGAACTTGAACACACAATATAAAGATCAGCGGTTTGTACCGGCTTAAAGAGCCCTAGTTCTGGAAACGGTTTGATATATGTATGTGTATATTATACATACATAAAATATAATTAATATATATTATTATATTATAATATATTATATCATATTATATTATATTATATCATATTATATTATATTATATTATATTAAATCATATTAAATTAAAATATATTGAATTATATTATATTAAATTATATTATAGCATATTAAATTATATTGTATTATATTATATTATAGTATATTATATTATATTATATATCATATTATATACTATGTTATATATTTTATTAAATATTATATTATATACTATGTTATATATTATATTAAATATTATATTATAAACTATGTTATATATTATATTATATCATATACTATGTTATATATTATATTATATTATATTATATTATATTATATACTATGTTAGATATTATACTATATTATATTTATATAAAAATATTGTATTGTACATATAGTATATTTTCAATAAATATATATATATATTATATATTATATATTATATATATTTATATATTAAATATATATATATATATATTAAATAAATATATATATGTATATATTATGTATATATATATATACATATATATAATATATATATATACATACACTGTATTTGTAGGTCGATGGTTGAAAGTAAGCAAACATGGATCGTTGATATCTTGGCCCTTCCTTGGATATCGGAGCCAGACCAGTAACTCCATCCAGGGTGGGATCAGCATCCCTTCTCTGGATGGAACAACTATAACTGGTGGGTGGTTGAGCCACCCCTCTGAAAAATATGAGTTCGTAAGTTGGGATGATGACATTCCCAAATATTCCCAATATATGGAAAAATAAAAGCCATGATCCAAACCACCAACCAGAAAACCACTGATGGTTTCCAACAGGACTCACCAACTAGTCGTCTCCTATCTCAAGATGATCAAAAACCCTCAGAGTGTCCCCACCTATTGTGATTTCAGCTATATAAATAATGGTGAAGTCGCTTTGGGTTTATTGGTGAATAGCCCACAGTCACCGTCCAAAGTGGCTGATATCTTTGAAGGAATGGCATTGGATATCAACAAAAAAATCATGCATATCCACCATCCCTGCCAATAGGGGAAGAATCCATTGTCCGTGCTATTTTTTGACCAAAACCGTCCAAAATGGCCGGCCGACAAGCCAATGACAAGCCACACATATAGTGAATCTGCTCCTGATCCGAAAAAAAAGTACGCTGCGTCCATTCCTGGTGAAGAGATTGCAGGACCTGCGCCAGGCTCCCCTTCGAACCAATAACCACATGTGAGCAAAACGTGACAGTGCGTACGAGTTGAAGCGAACATGTAACAGCACCCATTTACCCCCTTGCGGCAATGATTTACCATGATTTACCATTGGCTGGAGCAACCCTGAATCATGGGGAATGGGGATTGCCTCATGGAGTACAAATCATGAACCAACGAGCAGCTTTTATACAGAGTAGTTTTTATGCAAAACAGCCTTGCAACAGAGTAGTTTTTACACAGAACAACTTTTGCACAAAGGTCCTTTTACACAGACCAGGTTTTGCACAAGAGACCCTTTTACACAAAACAGTGTTTTACCTACATAGAGCAGTTTTTGCACAAAGACAAGCTTTTACACACAATTTTACACAGAGCAACTTTGACACACAGAGCAGCTTTTAAGACAAAGACAAAAAAAATAAACAGAGACCCTTTTACACAAACCAGATTTTGCACGCGGCAGTTTTTACACAGAGCAGCTTTTGAACAGAGCAGTTTTTGCACGAACAAGTTTTTATATACACAGATCAGATCCGTTTTCAAACAGAGCAGCTTCGACACATAGAGCAGTTTTCACACACAGACCAGCTTTTACACAAGGCAGTTTTTACACAAAGTAGCTTTTACACAGAGTGGCCTTTACGCAGGGACCCTTTTGATACAGATCAGCTTTTTCACAGAGCAGTTTTTACACAGAGCAGCATGTACACAGAGACCCTTTCACACAGCAGTTTTTCACCTCGGTTTTGACTCTCCACCCTCATTCCGTGTGAAAGGGTTGCATTTCGTGGTGGTTCGCGTCGGCACCACTCCCCGCTTTAAGAAGATAAACTTAGGGGAGAGAGACAGAGGGGGAGGGAGGGAGGGAGGGAGGGAGGGAGGGAGGGAGCGAGAGAGAGAGAGAGAGAGAGACGGGAGAAGGGATAAGAGAGAGAGGGAGAGAGAGAGAGAGAGAGACGGGAGAAGGGATAAGAGATAAGAGAGAGAGAGACGGGAGAAGAGATAAGAGAAAGGAGAAAGGAGAAAAGAGAGAGAGAGAGAGAGACGGGAGAAGGGATAAGAGATAAGAGAAAGGAGAAAAAAGAGAGAGAGAGAGAGCGAGAGGGAATTTGTAAGATGTGCAGATGTACGATGTGAAGATTTAAGACTTTAGGATTTGAATATATTGTGAAGATGTATATATTTCACCTCACTTTTAAAAATAAGAACCCGTCCCTCAGGCTGAAGTGACAAGTGGGCACACTACCCTGAACTCTCGGCCTTTTCGTCTATGGCGCAGCATGCGTCCTTGAGCCACCAGTCAGGCGGCAAAAGCAAAATGAAATGCAATGTCCCTTTGGTCAATTGTTCACATGGTGTCCAGTGGTGTTTCATGACAGTCCCCCCAAACAATGTTGACCAAAGGGGTCAGAAATTGGAGATAATTCTCCCTGCACTCGCTCAGCAACCTCTCACGGCTGGCTTGATTGCTACGCCTACGGTAAAGTGGATCTGATTTCCTACATTCCAGCTCTGAAGTGACATCTACAAGGCTCAAAACTCCGGACTTGAGAAACTGATGCAACGCGTCACTTGCCTTCAGGGGATCTTCTTTGGTCAATCCATCAACCAACATCTTTTGGTGGGGAACCCAGCGCACCATGGACTTGGTTTCTTGAAGATCCCTGAGGACAATTGCAAGTTCTAATGCGGATTTTCGATCCTGCTTACCGGATGGATTCTCACGCAGCAAACAGTCATACAGCGATTTGGCGTCAGTCACTGAGCACTGCTGTTGACGCCCTCCAAGTTCACAATCTCCCTTCATAACAAGCATGTGTGGGGACAATGAGCAACGCCAGTTTGAGAGAGCTACATCGTGCGCCGTCGCATCTCGATACATCACTTGGAGCCAGTCAACCTCACTGACACCCTGCAACATGGATTGAGTCTCGCCACCGTAGGTGGAGAAGACCTTTCTTTTCAACTTGCTGCTCCTCCATGCCAGAGGTGTTGCTCTCACCTTCTGTCTGCCATGTGGCAGCCTCTCAGTCGCTAAAACAAGCCAAGCACCCTGTGTTGAATCTGTTGGAAGGCCTTCTTCATCCAACAAGTCGGAACCCTTGGTGTTGATCCCACCCGCATCTGAGAAGACGACAAATGCCATTTCTCGGGGATCAAAGGCCCAGATCTTGATCGCCCGGTCTGACGTAGATCGCAGGTAGTTGACAAACTTGTTCACCACAAGGATGTCTTCTACTTTGGCGTGCTTGAGCTTGGATGCCATGATCGAGGCTAGGCCAGCTGCTTCAGGGCGGGTCTCTCTGCCAACCCAGTTGATGCGGTAGATGAGTGATCGGAGCGCCGTGAACTCATCATCGCTCACTGACTCCTTCGCTTGCTGCCTTCTACCCTTCGGCAAGGCGATGGGATGCACTTGTTCTTGAATGTACTTGTGCTGGTCAATGTAAATGGCTTCAGGCGTGCAACGTATGTGTCTGCCCGCAAATTCGGCCTCATTGACCTCCCACTTGCCAAAGGTAAAACGATCCTGCATCTGTTTCTGCAGCTTGTCGTAGTGCTCTGGAAGAGCTGCAATGATAAAATCATCCACCTCCACCAAAATCTGACCCAGAAGACGACGAGTCTTGGGCTCAAAGATGGAGTACCAGCATGGTTCGACCACGTTCCTCTCTGCCTTCAAGTCCTTCACGGTGAAGTCGGAGACGGTGGCTCGCCATTCAGCTGGAGCGTCGTCCAGTCCATACACTGGCACGTCAATGGAAATAAGTGCTCCAGGCTCCAGGTGGCAGTGGCAATCCTGGACAAGGCTCAGCGAAGATTGGTCCTCGCTGTCGCTTCATTGGCCTACTCTGACAGAACGCATTCTTCACATCGGCAAAGGCAATGGTCATTTGATGGTTGATCGCTGTCTGCAGGAAGAGCATGATGCCTTCCGTCTGTGGTGTGGGAGCGTAGGTGACCAGTAGCCCCGTGTCAGGGTCAGTATGCCCATGCAAGCACCATCTTGACTTGGCCTTCCAGCTGTGTAGGAGAGGTTGCGGCTTCTTGCGCCTCACCATGCGTGAAGAGACGATCCGATCTGAAAACTGCTGTCTGATCTTCTGCGCCTCTTCGCCGTAAATGACGTGCACGGCTTTGGTCTGAAGGATGGCTTCCCACTCTAGCCGGTCGGACTCCTCAAACAGCTTCTTCTCTTCAGCGCTGAGTTCCTTCAATGAGATCTCATCATTGCGCTTCTTGTCGGTCTGAGGAAGCCCAGATAGAAAATTCCAAAACGTGACCGACTCAGTGGCAGCTTGATCTGAAGACTCTTGAGGAAGAGACATGTGGTCAAACTCTCTGATCTGCTGAGCAACGCGGTTGGTTGAGTCAATGTGCTCAACTGGTGTCAGCGTTGTTGTTGAATCTCTTCTCGGGCTTCTCTCTCTTCTCGGGCTTCGGAGAACTCGATCCAAAAGTCCACGGATCGGAGTCCCAGGTGCCCTGGTTGTTGTGGCCTCCTCATGAGCCGGCATGGCTGATGAGCTTGAATCGGAACTCCTCATCTGAGGACTTGTCAGTCTTGGTGCCTTTGAGAGAGGTTCGCCAGATGATGCATCGTCATCTGAGCGTTCATCTCTGGTGTCTTGCTCTGGAATTGGAGGAAGCTGTGGTTCTGCATGTTCTTGACCTCTTTGTGGAACATTGTTTGGGCTGATGACTGCCCCAGGTTCACTGGCTGGCTCTCGGGTTGATGATCTTCTGGAGGATGGTGTGCTCTGCACAGGTGCTGGAGGTAATAGTGGAACGTGTGGAGAAAGACCAGGAGGAACAGGCAGGACTTCCTGCGGGGCTTGTTGAGGAAGATGGTCATGTGGCCTGAGGGGACCATGTAGTGGTTGATCCGCCAGTTGAACGCCATCTGCTCGCTCAACTGGCTCACATCCAGAACCTCCAGGTGGTGGTCCTTCTCGTGCAACATCTACTGCTCCAGCTCGTTGCCCCGAGATGACCTGTCTCAAGAGAGTGCTCAATGCAGGATCTGAGGCCAGATCTTTCCCCAGAATCTCGCTGGACAGGGCTGGCCGAAGTTGTTCCGCTGAGCACCTCCACAATCTTGATCTCATGCCAACGTACACCGTGCTGTTATTGACCAGAACCACAATGCCAGGGCCTACCCATCGATCTCTCAGGTGAAGCTCTTGATTCGCTCTGGCCCTGCGGAAGACATAGACCCACTGCCCAGGTCGCCAGGGCCGATCTTGATGTGGTGCGGCCTTGGTGGCTGCCTTGATGGCATCGGTGGAGTCCTGCTGCATGGCCAGCTGGCGTGCTCGTTCTCGAATCTGATGCCGACGGCGATACTCGCCTGCAGCTTCATCGACTTCCATGGGATCCTCAAAGGCGTCACTCATGCCATGTTGTGCCAACTCATCATCGGCCAGCAGCTCACCTGGAATTCTCGGCAATGAGCCGAACACCAGTTGATAGGGGGTGAAGCCTCCCTTGTTGAGCCAGGTGTTCTTCGTGGTGGTCAGAGAGCTCAGGAGCTCATCCAGGTCTTCCAAGGTCTGGACCACACTTCGGCCACTGGTGAGCTCGCGGTCGATCTTGCTCTTCAGCCATCCACCATGCCTCTCACACTTGCCGTTCTCCCAGGGGCTCTCCGGGTGTATCACATGTTGGAAAATGCCCATGTTCTCAAGACTGCGCTCAAAGAAGCCTCGGAATTCGTTGCCGGCGTCACAGAGTATAAGTTGAGGAGCTCCATAGTGTCGGATCCATGTCGTCAAGAGGAGACGCCATGCCATCTCTGATGTTGGAGTTCCACCATGAGTTCCTTCAGCAACAGGAGCGCGCACAGCAACTTGATAGCCGCTTCCGAGGTCCACCATGTTGAGAACTGCGATCTGATGTTCTCGCCATTTCACATAGAAGAAGTCCACGCAGAGAACCTTGTTGAAGGAGTAAGTCTTGGGAAGTTGAGCCTTGCGCCGGACATCAGGTCCGCTTCTCGACTGACAGATCTCGCAGTCGAAGTCATGCTGAACATAATGCAAGACCTGTGGTAGTGCTCCTGCAGCTCGTAGGGCTCGTAGGAGGCGGTCACGAGGAGGATGACCCGTGTTGATGTGAACTCGACGCACCAGTCGTTTCTGTGCCTCGGTCACAACCGGGATGGTTCCACTGGTGACTGGTTCAGCCACCGCTGGCTCATTCTCTTCTTCTCCTTCTTCTCCTTCAGCAAGTGTTGGAAAATTCCATGACGGCTCATCTGAGACTATGGGCTCTGTCACAAAGGAGGGAGGAGATAGTCCCAGGGCTGCGTCACGAGCGCTCTCTGCGATGCACTGGCATAGAGCTGGTGGATATTCTTGAGCTAATGCTGGGAGACCACCAATGAGCTGTCGATGAGGGTGCCCTCCAACGCATTGAGCCTGTAGCAGTCTCTTCGCCAGCCATGGGTTATTGGTAGCAATCCTGGTGGTCTTCCGTGAGAGCATGCCATCTGGAACTACCGTGAGACCAAGAGCACATTGATCGAAGATGATGACTGCAACATCAGGTCTGCGTAGGAGACGTTGTGTTTGTGGCAATTTCCAAGATGAAGCCCTCTCTGGATGTTCCAGTCCAAAATAGTCGTCATTGACGGTCTGGGTGTTCACAGCTTCCAGACTGTAGTCCCACATCAACTGGCCCTCAGTCAGGATCTTGCGAAGATATTCTGGGTCTAACCTCTCCTTGTTGATGTTCTGCAGTGGAGAGAAGGCCTTGCACTCTGGTGAGGCCATCAATGTCTTGGGACGTCTCTCGCTCTGAAATGTGCGGAAACGTCGTCGATGTTCTTTGTTTCGAACATCCCACCCAGCCGTCAGGTCAAACACTGCGCTGGCGTCCACCTTCAGACCCATCTGCTGTGCCAAAGGAGACACTCTGGGCGGTGAGAACAACTCGGCAAAGTCCAGTCGCCGATTGCCCCCATTGGTGGTGGTGTTCTTGGCAAGAAAGCAGAGGTTCTGGGCACATCGGTGGATCTCGCCCTTGGAAGAGACATCATGTGAAGCTTCGGTCCAAAATCCAATGACCTCTTCACTCAACAAATCTGAGTGAACTGCCCAATACGTGCCCTCCTCGGAGACCTGACCCTCAGAGTCCAAACGTAGGGGCAGAACCTCCTGAGTTGAGAAGTTGGCAAGCCGTACAAAGTCCAGGGGCAGGCCCCAGCAGCTCACCCGTAAATCCAGGGGTGTTGCAAAATCCAATGCTGCATGGGGTCCAGGGCTATCTTCTATGATGTCTCCCATCTCTGTGACAACGCGTCTCCAGATTGTACACCAGTTGGGATCGCCCAGTGCCTCGGATTCCAAGGAGGTGCAGTTGGCCAGGCGTTGGTGTCGATGTTGAGCAAAAGGAGGAACCCAAGTGGGTCTTGATGTCGGGTCCACAAACTGTGATTCCCCTGTGCTCATCAGCTGTCGAACACATTCAGTAGCACCTGGGTGTACTGCATCACCTGGGCATACTTTATCACCTGAACATACTTGAGAGTGCCGTCGATCGTCCGCACCAGGAACGACTTCATAGTCAGGACATACTTCAAGACCAGGGCATTCTGTGGAGTGTCGTTGATCGTTCGCACCAGGAACAACCTTATAGTCAGGGCATGCTGGATGATCCACGCCAAGGTCATACTTGAAGATGTAGCATTCCTCACGCTCAAACCCCAAACCGTGGAGTTGATCTTGAAAGTCAGGGGAACATTGATGCCAGGTGAGTAAGGCAGCTGTGGCAATGGTCCCAGTCCTTACCATCCATGTCGGCCAGGGTCGTGGTTGTTGTTGTCGTAGTTGGGCATCATCTCGTTCGGATTGAACATTGAGCCCGGACTGGACCCTTCCAACTCCACATCCGACCATGCTACCGCCTCTGGTGCATCCAGGTGAAAGCTCTCGTGCAGGGACGGTGTCGGAGTGGCAGCGGGCTTCGGAGCCGGTGTCAGGTTTGGCTGCATCATGTTCAGCATCTGAGCCTGCCCACGCGCCAGCTCCTCCAGGGACTGGCCGACCTGTTGCATCGCCATGCTCATCTGTGCCCCTTGATTCTGGAAGCTCAACATCGCAGCCTCCAGGACCTGGTGAGTCTCCTCCGTGGGATTCAAGGCCGTCAGTGTCGCGGCTGTTCTGCCAGGTGCCACAGGTGGTGCCTTCGGAGTGTGGTACATGGGCTCGATCGGTGGTGTCGTTGCAGCGCTCTGGACCGAGCTCTGGGCCGAGCTCCTCCCCCGACGCAGGGACTGGTACCACACTCTGGCCTGACATTTCGGACACACTGTCCATCTTGCATATTGGTTGGACCGGTTGATCAAGGCATCGGAAGGATGAAGACACCCTCCCACTGTGTGTCCCTCGTGCATCAGCAACTTCATCCCAGGAGCGAACTTGGTCCGAAGCTCTGCACGAGCCAGGTTCTTGTAGGCCACCCGGTTGGTCTCCAGCTGTGCGCTCATCGCGCTCAGCAGTTGATGCCATCCGCGCGCGGCACGAGAGTCGCGAGTGCTCTCCATCAGTGGCGCTGGAGGCTGATCTGTGAGGGCAGAGTGAACTGCCCATCGAATTGCTTGAGCAGCGCAGCTCTGGTTCTTGATATACATCATCACGCTGCTCACATGCCAAAGATCTGGTTTGTGAACATGCCAAAGATCTGGTTTGTGAGTGTTCTCCATGACAAATTTGATCATGCCGCAACTCTGAACTCTCAAAAGATTGTGCCAAATGTGCTACACCTCTATCACCTTGAAATGAATTCTCAACAGATTCTACACCTGGAAATACTGGATGAGTTTGCACCGCTGAGCAACATGTCGCTGAATCTGCTCTGTCCGTCACAAAGTTGATCGCTTGCGGAGTGTGAAAATCACTGAAAATGTTGGGCTCATGTGAAAAGGAAAACTTTGAAATACTTCCCTGAATTGGTTCTTCATGTTGTGGACGGACAAACTCGGCAGCAGCACTTTTTGGATACGCACAAAAGGCTGAAGCTGAAATGTTGAAAGCATGTTCTGGCAAGCCGTACTTCTCCTGCACGTCATCCGGAATGGGAAAATCACCACCCTTCCACTTGACCAAGGAGATAGTGCAGTGACCAGTTGAGATCTTGTTCATGGGCAGCTCCAGGTTCAAAGTTCGCAGCACTAGCTTGTCCTCAGAAAGGTCAATGGACGCCTTGAGAAAGTCTAGGAACCCTACTGACAGCAAGGGCGGCACATTTCCCTCCAAGACTGTCATCTCCAGAATTCCCGGAATGCCGCCCGGTGAGATTGGGAGCAGCACCGCATAGAGCGCCCGAGCTGATCCACCAATGCCTGTCGGTGTGCTGACGGGCTTGTCAATTTTCACAGGCTTCAGTCCCACCTTCTTGAGCTCCTTGGTCAAATCTTCAAGGGCAGACAGCCCTATGAGATCTTGAGTGGCGCCGATGTCCAGAACAGCCTCACCCCCATCTAAGGTCAGAAAGGCCCAACCTCCGTCACCATGCTGATCATCTCCGTAAAGCACTTGACGAATGGCTTGTCGGACCTCCATCACTGACAAGAAGGTAAAAGCCGATCTCGACACGTCAGCGCTGGCACTGCAGTAGGCAAAGGCCGTAGCTCCACCAGCGCCCTTCTTGGACGGACATTCAGCAGCCCAGTGTCCTTTCTTCTGGCAAAGACGACACCTGGAGATCTTCTTCAACTGATCACGATTGAAACCCTGGCGGGAAGGATTCCTGCCAGCTACGCCTCCGGCAGGGGGCCCTCCAGCTTGACCACGGGGATAGCCATTGTTGCCATCCTTGATGAAGCTGCCACGATCTTTTCGAATGTCCGCTTTGAAGAGCTTGTTCTCCTTCCATGATCTCTTGCGCTCCAAGACGGCGAAGACCTCACAAATCTGGTCCTCATTCAACTCCATCTTGTCCAACTCTTGCAGGACCTCCTCATTCTCAAAAACGTCGTCATCCTCACTAGCGGCATCGGTGTCAGCCAAGTAGGATGGTTCCCGAGCAGCATCATCCACGTAAGCGCTCAGCCGATCTGAACGCACATCCATGCGACTGAGACATCTGGCAACTAAGTCTGGGTCCTCATCATTGCCTTGAAGCAGAGCCGTGAGATTCTGCTGATTTTGGTCGGACAACCCCGCACCTTCCTTCAGCAACATCGCCTTCAGAGAGTTCGGGATGACCACCCCATAGTTGGCCGCGTTCCTGAAGTCCTTCTGTCTGCGAATTGCATACTGTGCCAAGGACTCCTCTCGAAGTCTCTGATTCTCAGAGATGGCCTGCCGATATGCTCGGCGCTTCTCATCGTCCTCACGAACCCCAGCTTTGGCGTTCATCACCTCGATGATGGCCTCCAAGTAGAGGGTGGAGGAGAGCACCTCATCATCCAAGTGTTCGAAGTCGCTCTGCAGATCCCAACCAAGAGACCTGAGAACGCGATCAGCTCTCCTGTGCAAGGGGATGTCTGTCTGCTTGTTCCACCTGCGGATGGACTGTATCCACAGGCGCCGGTGACTCCACCCTGGCCAAGTGGGAGGGTCTAGCATGTCAGGCTTGGTGTTGAAAGGACTACCCCATTGATCCCATCGCCAATCGGAACCTCTCCAACCACCAGCTGACCAGTCATGCGCCCCCCATTGGTCATGGTTCCACGTGCTATCCCACGACCTAGTCTGCCAAGTCGCGGCTTCTTCTCTAACTAGACCTGAGTCCTGTGCAGCTGTTGAGCGCCCTGCTGGCACCCAAGGGTCTTGAACTTGTAGTGGATCTCCTTCCTCTGCGCCACTGGTCTGGTGCTGATGCCCCGCGACCCCATTCTGCGGTCCATGCTCACCAGACGCAGTAGCGCTTCCATCGCCATCCGCTGCGCTTCGCCCAGCCCCATACCAAGCTCGACCGGCTCGCGGCTGGTCCTCAGGTTCAGGAGCATCGCCATCGCCTTCGCCACGGCCATGGTCAGGATGTGGCCCCGAACCACTAGCCATGGCTCCGGTTACCAACTGAAGTGACAAGTGGGCACACTACCCTGAACTCTCGGCCTTTTCGTCTATGGCGCAGCATGCGTCCTTGAGCCACCAGTCAGGCGGCAAAAGCAAAATGAAATGCAATGTCCCTTTGGTCAATTGTTCACATGGTGTCCAGTGGTGTTTCATGACAGAGGCGTTCTCTGGGACGGATCACAAAGACTGTACCGATGAAATTGAATGCAAAATTTTGATGTGTAAGTGGTTGTAATCCGAGTTAAACAGTTATACTCCACTTAGATACCCCAGGATATACCCAGTTGTACCCAGAGGTTCTTCCTTATCTTCCTTACGTTCCCCATGCCATGCCTGATGATTGGCACAGGAGGCCAGTCCATCCTGCACCAAGTCTGGTAACTCGTCTGGCGCCAGGAAACCTCAGGCGCAAATCTGAAGGATCTGCGGGACCCAATACTTCGTTCTTTATGGTTAATAGCCAAGGAAAAACATATAATATCATCATATCCTTATACATATGTATAATTGTATATGTATCTGTATATATATATACCTGGATCTCCCGCCCTTGCACTTTTTCATGACCTGGTCTGAGGGTCAAACATTTTAGGCCCCAGAAATGAAACGACCCTCATCCCAATTTTCGACCCTGGCACTTCTGTGGTTTCGGTGTTTATTGGCATTTTTGCACCTGATCCCATCCAGCCTGTTTGCTTGACATCGATACTTTGGAGTATTGGAAAGGAACACAAAAACCTGATGAATGCGATATGCAGACCCCCAAAAAGAGTGTCCAGGTTACAATCTGTTGGTCAAAGAAAATCAAAGACTACATACGTTTTGGGTGGATCAATATAATGGCTATGAGTTCCCTCACAGGAGACCCGCGTGGAGTTTCCACAAAGGAGGCCCATTGAGATTCAATACATGAAGTTTCTTCAAAATAAACCCATCAAGTTTCTATAAATATACATATATACATATATATACATACCAGCACATGCCAAGGGGTGCCGTAATGGCACCCCTTAGGGAGGGGGTGTCAAAATGGCGCCCCTTTATTTCTAAGGTGTTTCTCAACCTGTTTGGGGTCATCTGGGATATACATTTCATCTTTGTTATCTGAGGCCACGGAAGCAATGCTTTTGAGTTTTATTTCTGGCACCCCAAAAATGGCGCGTGTCAAACGTGTCATTTGCGTGTCGGGTGGATGTGCAGGGGGTGCCAAAACGCCACCCCTTTAGGCTAAGGGGTGTCGTTTTGGCGCCCCTTAATGCGTGTTGGCAGTGTGTCACTACCAGGGAGTCGCGTGTCATTTGCGTGTCGGAATTCCCCAAAATCAAAGTTTTTGTTGTTCAGCTCGTCTCCAACTATGTCTCCCAAAAATGGTGCTATGAACATCGTTATCACCATATCCTGTTGTGTTTTTTTGGTTCGGCTAAGGGGTGTCGAAACGTAGCCCCTTAAAGAACACTCGATAGGGGTTCCAAAACGTAGCCCCTTGGAAGGTCTTGGTATATACATATATATATATGTGTACATATATATATATATATACATATATATATATATACATATATATATATACATATATATATATATGTAATCCATATATATATATACATATAAATATATGTGATATATGGGATACATGGGATTCTTAACCACTGCCTGGGTCTTACCCCCCTGGAACAAGAGATGATTCAACTGAAGCGAACTACGAGGACCGACGGGGAAGTGCTTTGCCGAGAGCAGCTGGATCATCGTATACATACATATATAATATTATATATATTATGTATTATATATCATATATATTGTGTATAGATTATAATGTATATATTATTATATTGTTTCAGTCGTTAGTCTGATCAGTAGTCCATGTTTCTGAGCTGGATCTACTCTAATTAATTGGAGTACAATCTGTCGAATATTCCCTCTGCTTGGGACCACTCTTGACAACTGACCGTGGTCCTCTGCGGAACGACCGTTCAGAACGGCACGATGACAATATGGTGGGTGCTTCTAAGCAATCCCAAAGAGATTCATAGTGGTATTGTCTCCTGCATCAGAAAAAAAGTACACATCAAACACACACGAACCAAAATTTGGTATCCAGAAAATTCAAGGGTCTAATTAATACAATTCCTGGGGATCCAATCATTCGCTTTTTTTTGGGTGTCAGCGTCCAGCCCATGGTCTTTCGATGTGATTTGAACTCCTGATATATTGCTATCGCTAAACATAACATAACATGGTGGTTCCAAAAGCCTTGCATTTTGAAAGATACTCAGCTACAAAAGAATCCCAAGAACACCAATCAGCATCATCCCTGATACTATCTATGGTATGTTTACTTGATTTTACTTGCACCAACACACAGTTCCTCCCGTAGGACATGTGGAAAACCCAACAATAAACATCAATAAAACCATCCACAAGAACCAGCCATTTGGGCGTCATGTTCCGGCAAAAAGCGCCAAGCAGCAGGCTTGCTCCGTTGAGAAGCCATCAACCCGCAAGGGATAGGCGAAATCGCCATTCGGCGGATCCATCAGGGGCAGCCAGAGACATGTGACCAGAAATTCCAGGTGGAACTCTGGCCGCCCCAATAGACGACCTTTTCGCTTGCCGTCCATTCAGATGGGGCGAAAAAAAGGAGCAGGAGACCCCATGTAAAAAACCCTGAGGCGATAGCTTTCGGTTGGTTCATAATTCCAATAATTGGTGGATTAATGGCTAAAGTTATATGATGTTATATGTGTATACACATTTGGATGGGTTGATAGACCAACCCGCAATTTGAGGGAGGGGGGGTAATTCGCTTTGATCTTCATCCCAGTTGGGAAGGTGGCATTTTAACAAGCATACCGACCGCACTGACTAGCCGAAAAAAATGCATTATCATAGAATGTCGCGTAATATGTACAGAATTTTGTGCTAAATATGATTAAATATATAGTTGTATGATATAGTAACTCCCGATGAGATTAAACGGAACATGAATGAACATTATTGTCTTTATGTTGTTTCATTTGTCTATCTTTTTGATGAGTCCGCTAACCACATCATCTACTTCCGCGCCCAAGTCACAGCACAAAGCTTCTCGGGGCGATGGCTTTGTCGAAGAGCCTGGTGACAGTTGGGCGGGCCAATGAAATCTGGTTGGTGGTTTCAACTCCTCTGAAAAATATGAGTTCGTCAGTTGGGATGATTATTCCCAATATATGGAAAATAAAATTCATGTTCCAAACCACCAACCAGCTACTCTGGATGGTGTTAAGATGTCTTAAGTGTCTTCAGTTGTTCACACCGTGATGGGAAGGAACTCTGAGGAACTTTCTCAAGGTCTGAATCATTAAAGAAACTGAACTGTTATATCCCGTTGTAACACCACCCACTTCATCAATCGCAGTTCCATCCATTTCAAACTACCCAGTGGCTTCAGTGGGCGAGCCCCCAGCAATTGGCGGTGCCAACTCCATTTCCAACCTACATGGGGTTTAGCTGGTTAGGTCAACATATCCCTATTTCAATCGCAAAGATTAAGTCGCACTAAATTATCCATTCGGTGTGTTTACCCAGATGTGTTGGTTATATCTGATACTGTATATCCCCATTGTATCCCCCATGTGATATTCCCATATTTGTTGATGAATTTCCCCACTGTTCGTCTTTCATTTCCCATGTTCAGACAAAGCCAGATATCATCTTGTTGTCTATATACATCCAATTAAGATCCATCAAATCCAACTCTACCGCTACCAGAACTCTCAGAAACTCCTACTGAGTTAGCTAACCCAGACTCCCCGCCCCAGAGGCCGATCTCATCACAGCAGCATCTGGAGCCCACTGACGACAGCAAAGGGCTGGACCCAAAGATCTGCAGCTGCCGCGAGGCAGAAGAAACGGAGACAGACTGCGAATGGAGGATCAGGTCGGGTAACAGCAACCGCGCCATACCTCGATGTCAGGTGATTTTTCTCCGGGGGTTATGGGACATTTTTTGGGACCATGGGTAGGTTTACACAATCAAAACATGGCCAAAACGATTGAGACATGAGATTTAACGAACAAAACATATATCAAAATGTGTTGCTGTGTCAGTTGGGTGCTTGAACTTAGTTGAAACAACTAGCTAGTAACTGTTCAGTTTATACTAATTGTGATGATGAAATAACTAGAGTTGGGTGAACGTAAACCAAGAAACATTGCTACAAGATGCTACAAGTAGGGGGCACCGCTTTGTTCAAGGTGCGCTGTGGTGCTATCTCGGTGTCTCGGGTGCCCGTCTAAGCCCTTTGGTTTATCACAATCATGTTGTTGAATATCCGTAGTTTTTTGGGTTAAATCCCAGCAAATTGCTGGATCATGCTGGATCAATCGTGTGCCTGCTCCGCAGGTTCAAATAAGTCCCTAGCACACTTCCTTGCACAATTGAACGCCATTGCATGTTCATTGATCAAACTCCATAATATATGCCGATTCTTGTCAGTCCTATAATGTCATGAATCATGTCATGTGCAATCCCCATGTTTGTTCATCAATATCCCCACACATGGTGGTTTAAATCCGATCCCACATAGTTTTGTTGCATATAATATCGTATTAATTATCCCCAAATGTCTCGATCAGTTTCATTAAAAAACACTAATCTGATCCATTTGGGCATGACTCCCCATAAGAACCATCATGTCTCACGCGGTCGGTGAGGTCGCCGAGCAACGCTGCGCCTTCCTGGTCAAGGACGCCTGAATTTCCAACGACGCGCGATCTCCCAGGCTGCGGTGCATCTGAGAGAGGACCAAGATGTACATTCTCAGAGCGTGGCAAATCCCATGGCAGAACAGCAAAGGTGGCCCTCAGCCGTTGGTTATGGATGGTTTATGGATCTTATGGTTGGTTTTATGCTTCAAGAAAAAACATCAATAATATCCACTACAAGTCTAATCACTAGCCGAAGTATGAACCATGTATAACCAACTCACATATCTGGAGGGCCTAGTACCTAGTAGTTGTTTGTTGGTGGTTTGGGTTGGTCCGACCAGGATTCAGGGCAGGATTTATTCCCAGGAAGCCGAACCACAAAATGGTTGGCCGATATTGGTCCCAATTATCCGATGCTTAGGATAGGTTTCATTAGCTTGATAATTCATTATGAATGCCAAACCAGATTATTCATTGTTGCTTTTGTTGGGCTTTGGGCATGACTCCCCACATATAAACCATCGAATTTAAACCATCATCTATGGTGACTTTGCAGTGTGGGCCAAGCATCTCCAAATGTGTTTCCATCAATCGCGCGAAGTGCGCCCGCTCCTTCCAAACGAAGCAGGAGCTAGTGTGGATGTGATACTGTCATGTGGTTAATTCAGCTATGGATTGGTATGTATGTGGAAAGCCTCGCATAAATCATGAGGTATCTATAGATGTGATACCCTCTGGTAAACTAACATAGCTATGGAAAATCACCATTTTTAATGGGAAAACTCACTATAAATCACCATTTTCAATAGCTATGTTAGTCATTACCAGAGGGTACTACGCAAACACTTTTGTATTGGTGTACCAAAAATTGATGAAAAGGCAGGTCTTATCCAGGCGCCTGCAATGTGAGCTGGTTGCATAGTGAAAACTGCCAAGCAAGCTTGCACAGACAAATGGGACTTTTCAACAGTTCTATTACTTATTACTTGCCCAAATGTACATATGATAAGTAATGTATGATCTCTTGTAAAGGCCAGAAGAATCTGCATGTCCCAAACTCATTTACCCTACTCGGATCATCAAGCGAGCTTCGCAAATTCTTGGTAGTTGGTGGGTAGTCCCAAACATTACTGAGTCATATTTTCACATGCCCAGGGCACTCAGGGCACTAGCAATTTTCCCTCACTTCACGGAAATCATTCCAAAATCATCACAACATGTAGTCTTTTCAGAGAAGTGCCACGCCAACCTCCCTCAGCTCCAAGCTCCCCCAACACCTTGCAAATTTTGAGAGCGGGACTCCGTGGGCAAGTGATTTTTGGAAGAACATTCAGAGCATCATCAGAGAACACTCTGATATTGATGTATTCTGCACTTGAGGCCTCTTGGCGGTTTCTGATTTCTGGTTTTGGCTTTAGCACATTGACCACCCAAAAACCACCGACCGGTACACCCACCATAAATCAAACCTGGAGTACTTATCACCCAACAGCCCCATTTTGCAAGGCACCGAAGCACCCGAACTTCCAACAAAAACCACCCATGCTCCATCATTTTTGCTGCGTTGTTCTCCCCATGGTCCTTGAAAAAACTGGGTCCCCTCCCAACCCCGTAGCTTTCCTCCAGGCGTTGCATCTCATCCGGCGGACGTAGCACCTCAGTACTGGTGCTCAGGTCGTGTTCGATGATCGCCCAGCGGTTGAAGCTGGTAACCCTGGCCATAGCGGCCGCAAAGTCGCCGCCAAAGAGCTTGCTGGACTTCCTTGGAATGCGGATGCTGGTGTTGGGATGGTAATCATGGGATATCCTTGGTGTCATAACTTAAGAACTATGGAAAACTTGGAAAACTAGTGAAAATCACCACTTTGGTAATGGGTCAATAGGTATGTCGTGATTAATTTTCTGAAGATCGTGTACACACCGAAATCCAATGGTCAATCATCATCTTCCCCATGAAATCAGCCATTTTGAGACATAGACCAACTGGATATTTCTTCCATGGCTATAGAAAATCACAATCTAAAAGATACAGTAGGCGATTGGTACATCATTGAACTAAATCTGGCTGAAAGGAAACATAATTCACTTACCTGAAAATAGCTGAAACATTCATGCGGCCAGCATGGATGATTCCCCTTCCTAATTCATCCAATATCCCTTGATATCTACATAGCCTATAATCCTATTCCATTAAGTTGGTTATAGATTCCACAATATCCTCTATTTAGTTATAGTCTCACTATATAACACATATTACCCTCTGGTAATTTGTTGCATAGCTATTGAACATGGCCCAGTCGAAATAGTGGATTTACCCAGCTATAAAATGGTGGATCTTTCCGTTGATTTACCCAGCTATAAAATGGTGGATTGTCCAGCTCGTTCTGTAAACGTTTACCAGAGGCTATCTCCAGCGATCAAATTCACCTACCCGGATCCAAGGATCGAAACCATGTCGTTCAGCAAAGCATCCAACGTGATCATTTCCTACGTGGGAAGCCCGTGAGGAAATAGCGCTTTTAGAGGACTGATCTATGGACCATGAGTGATACAGCTTTTGGTATGAAACACGTATGTTGGTGAATTTTGAAAAATAAATATCCACAGAGAATGAGGTTTGCTTTCAAGACATTGTCTTGTTCTTGCTACCAAACAACTTGTCAGCAGCAAAACGTGTATTCAAAATATTGGGATGTGCCAAGAATTGCTTGAAGGGAAAATCTGCAGGAAACCCCTATAGTTCGGGTAAACATAATCACGTCCTGCAAATTCTCTCTTAAACATCCTTAAACCCGCCACTGAGATAAGATTGACCATGGAAAGAGGCTACCCTCTGGCAGTTTAGCACCACAATCAAACATCCCAGTTTTTAATGATAAAATACAGTATGGGATAATTGTCTGCAATTTAATTTTGTGATTTTCATTATATAATTACGAGGTTAAATCACTGAAGAGGATCCAAATCCATCTCATGTATTCACGTCCTACGAACTATCATTGGCCGGCTCAACAGTAGCTGAGAGTGGTTGATTAGTGGATGGTCAAGTGCAATCTTCCACTTAGGGCTACAAACTGAGCATGGTTTGGCATGATGTTTGATGATGTATATATCCTATTCTATTCTATTCTATTCTATTGTCTTATATAAAATTAAATTATATTATAATATAATATATTATATTATATTATAATATAATATAATATGTTATATTAAAATATAATATAATTACTATATAATGTTATAATAAAATATATTCTAGTATATTATAATATAGCATAGTTTATTATATTATAATATATCATATTATATTATATGAAAGTATATTAAATGATATAATATTATATTTGTATTCAATTACATTATAGTTTATTTTGAAATAGTTTATTGTTTTATATATTATATATTATGTAATATTCATTCTATATTATATATTAAATATTATATATCATTTATTATATAGTATATAGTACAAAATATATAATATACATTATATTTTTTGTTTATATTATATATTATATATGATATACTATAAAATACATTATATATTATATATGATATAATATATAATACATTGTATAATAGATACAATATATTGCATACTATATGTTATAATATATATACTATATATTGGTATATGTATATATATATATACTACTACTACTACATATATATATACTATATATCACAATACATATATATATATATATACACTATATATTGTAATATATATATATATACTATATATAATATTATAATACACATATATAAATATACTATATAGTATAATATATATTTATATACACTGTACATTGTATATAATATATTACATACTATATATTATATATAACATATTACAACATAAATATAATATGATAAATAATATTTACTATACTTTCTTTTTATGATATTATAGTACATTGTCTCATATTATATTACATTACACTATGTTAAATTACATTAAATTATGTTATATTACATTATATTAACTTAAATCATGTCATATTATATTGTATTGCATTGCATGACATTACATTGCAATACACCATGTCATATATCATAGATACTATATACACATATATACACTATATAAAAATATCTTTATATACTATATATAATATACACACTATATATGCACATATTATATATACTATATATACCATATATATATATATGTGGAATGATCCTTTCCAAGATATTGTCGATCAAAAGGGTCTGCTTTTCTTCTGCAACAAAATATCAGTCTATTTTTCGACGATCATCCCGTTGCCTAACATCGGGGGTACCGGGGTAGCCCCAAATCATCCATTTATAGATGGACTTTCCATGGTTTTTAAAGGACAAATCATCCATAATCATCCTGGAGAAAATAGGGTTTTCCATGAAATAAATCAACCAGCTATTGGGGTACCACCATGACTATGGAAACCTCCATAGATGTACACATTTGCCAAAGTGTGGTTGTCAAATGGTGAGGTGCACCTGAATCTGTTCATCCGCTGCACGCGCTTGAGCGGTGCCTAGCCGCAGCAATTCCTGAGCGGTTTTTTAAGGTGCCAACCAGCGAGTTATCATCAAAACATGAGCAGCAATGAATAACCATCTGTGAGCTTTTACCAATTCAATCACTGCTCACAGAATTGATTACCATCACTAAAAATTCTGTTTTTGCCATGTTTATGAATAACTAAAAATGGCAATTGTTTATCACCAATCAATCTGTGATGACTTTCAACCTGAATGACCTGAATGACGTGGACATTTCACCAACTTTGGAAACAAGTTTAGTCTCTTAAATGAACTTTGGGATGATTTTGAGCGACCTGGAAAAGTTGAATTGAAATCCCTTATATAGATGTGCATTATGTTTGGTATCATTTCCCCTACTACTCATCATTTGAGGGGCATGGCAAGTGTGAGGTTGCGGTAATTAGTTCTGTAGGGTTTCAATTTGGGCCCCAATACCCTACACTCGTGATCCTCACACGCGTGATCCTCTCAGTCGTGATTTGCGTTGTTTTTCCTGGATCCACAGAGTGATGAAACGATTTGGGCCCGAAACCAAAGCCGCAAATCAGCAACTTAAAATGACTTCCGATGGACAACATATTTGGCGTTTCCAGCATATGGATTGATCCAGATGTTGACCTGTGCCAACACATAGCCTCTTGAAACGGATATTGAAGTGGTAAGACTGCGAACAGTCGCAAACCGCAAACCAAAGTTAGTCATGCAATGCAAAGTCTCACCTTGTTCTACCTCTGAAGAAAAGAATCGTTGAATGGGGTCCTGATTGTTTATCCTTTTTGTTGACCCCAAAGCCACATGCTCTCCCAAGATTTTGGAAGCATGGGGGAGTTTGAATTGTTAAATAACTGGGCATCTTGGATTGCTCAAATGATCTCAAGTGGCTACGGCTCAGATTGACCGGTGAATACGAATTACAAATGAGGTCCCATGCCAGAAAAATGGCGCCAGTTGCAGGAAAATGTCCTGTGACAAGCTTTTCCGCATCATGGCCTTAGCAGAAAACTCTAGGCCAGACCATCCAGGGAACGTATGGTGAAAAAAAACAACTCTGACTCTGACTAATTTTACTGGTTGGTGGTTTCAACCTCTCTGAAAAATATGAAAGTCAGTTGGGATCATTATTCCCAATATATGGAAAAATAAAAAAAACAAACCACCAACCAGATTATATATATAAATATAATATGCCTAAGCGCATTAGTCGGCTAATCTATTTCCAGGTTGTACAGTTCTACCAAGGCAAATCACCAATAAAAAGATAATTTCCAAACAAAGATTGGCACGGTCGTTTAAATTTACTGCAAGACTCACCCAAAGGGTTCGGGTGCTGATCATTTATAGGGAAACATCTCTCGCACAGGGATGCAAGAAAACAAAGACACCTGCACTCATGGCGCCACAAATATATTGCCATGGACACATTTGCAAACAAAGAACATGATACCCTCTGGTAAACTAACATAACTATGGAAAATCACCATTTTTAATGGGAAAATCCACTATTTCGACTGGGTCATTTTCAATAGCTACGTTAAATTACCAGAGGGTAGATGTCTTGAATTCTGAAGTGAACGATTCAATAGAACGAATTTAATGTCATTTTCCGTATGATGCCACAAGCGTCTGGCACATCCTCTTCACAGATACCACCAAATTGTGAGATTTTGCGACTAAAATGGTTAAACAGCCCATGGGTTTAGCATCCAGGGTCGAAATGGCCAGGTAGCACGCCATGTTTGGCTGGTGAACCAACCCCCCGTTCGCAAGACCTCATGAATAAATATGCATAAAATATGAATAACATAATAAATAAATATACCCTCCAGCCTCCATCAAACTAAAATAACATGGACAATCCAGCATTTATCAGTCATGTTCCCACCGAAAGTTGTCCATATCTAATTAGTGTACTGGAGGACAACTATTGCATAATCAACCACATAAGCACCCAGGTGCACTCATCTTCGTCTCAAGATTCCTCGGTACGCACCGGCGGAATCACACATGCTGCAAGGATTTACACATACCCCCCGCACAAAAAATAAAACCAAACCTGGCCATATCCAGTATCTATGGTAGGGAAATCACTTTCCAAATCGTATCGGGTTCCATGTCAAAATTTCCGGTAGTTTTTGAACTATAGACACACACAACTGTGTCTCCAGAATTGAAAAATGGACATGGACATGTTGCGTCCAGTGAATGCACCAAGTCCCAGTATCCATCAGTATCCCCAGTTGAAACATGGATAAAATGCATCAAACACGAACAAAACTATGATGTCTGATGTCAAACTACCAATTATTGTTGATTCAGAAGCCAAATTATTGAATTTATTGCAGGGCATCTCTACGTAGTATTGCAAATAGGCAAGGTTGCTCCCAACATGCTACAAGAAAGGGAAACTGCTAGTTCAAGGTACAGTATGAAACAAATCCAACCGTTGTGGTACCATCATTTACCCATCATTTACCTATAGGTACCATCGCTTACCTATCATTTACCATCATAATTATAATGTAATATTAATATCATTTACCACGGCATTTACCAATCATTTACCTGTCATAAAACGTTGTGATACCATCATATTTACCATCGAATCATGCCTATCATGATGGTAAACCATTTACCATCACATAGGTATCTAGATGTATCTAGAGTACCTTACCTACAGCCATCATTTACCATCATATCGATCATCATCTTCCCCACTAGCCATAGCTTGGGCGCCAGGATTCTCGAGGTGACTCGTGGCATCGTTGGCCAAGCTTGACAGGGCCAGGTTCCTAGGCCATGCCGTGCCGCGAGGCGCTCCATGGTGCTGGAAGATTTACATGGAAACCCCAAACATAGCCCAGATGTATGTAGGTAAATATTATAAATATTGTTGAGCACCATGGGTTGCATCTGGATATATTTGTAGAATGTTGATCCATAGAATTCCATAGAATATCTATATCATATCATGTTTTGTAGCTAGATGAATGAATAATATGAATAATATTTACATATAGCCTAAACATATTTATATGTACTACATGTATTGGTTGATAGTTTGTTGCTTTTGTTCTTCTAGCAACAAAGTAACACATTGGAGGTATGTTGGAGGTATGAGGTATCTAAACACAGGCCTGGATTGTACAAACACTTGGTGTAGTCTGGTGTAGATATGATATCCCCTACTAAGAGTATGCCATGCAATGATGCTATTATACGAAAGAAGCAGTCGTACTGATCCTACGATTTCCACATATCAATATCAATATCAATCATCATAATCATCATGATCATCATCATCATCACCATCATCATCATCACCATCATCATCATCATCGTCATCATCATCAATCTAGCTGTTGTGCTTTTCTTCATTGGGACTCCATCTTGTGATAACAACAGCATCGCAAAAAACGTTCAGTCTCAAGGCCATATAGGTCTTTTCGCCCAGTGGCGCTCCCTTCTCAATGATGACTCCCAGCGGGGGAGGCAGCGGCACAAAGATCACCGCAAGTTTCAGGGCATAGGTCTGCATCGTTGCCAACATCTTCCCCTTGCCTTTCGCCTGTGCGCAACATGGGGCTGGGGACTGCCATGGCGGACTTCCAGGCGAAATGAACTGATCGCACCACAGATTTATAGCCTGTGTCCCTCGCCTCCATCATGCCGGTGAGACCGCCCAAGACAACCTTTCCAGCGTCTTGACCTGCAGTTCGCGGGAGGATCGCGGGAGGATCGCGGCAAGTCATGGTGACTGAAGGGTGATTCAAAACCAGACGCTATGTATTTGTATTTTACAAGGTCAGCCACCAATGTAACCTACAATGGGGGTGAACCAGTGCTGCTACTGCTCAAGTAGCGGGTGGCCTCTGTGGCCTTCTCGGTGGGGGCTTTCATGCAGCGACACTGTCACGGCCTTTAGGGGAAGGTTAACTAACGCCCACCAAGCTTCTTTTGCTTTTTGTTGCTTTCATGGTGCGATTGTATCCCCTTATGCAATCCTGCAATTTCAACTTGATCGTTTTGGTTTACTTTGTTTGCAGTTATGTCTCTTTCTTCACTCCTTGTCCTTCGCAGACCCTGGCCATGGCCCTGCAACTCGCAGGGGAATTCCCCGCAAGATCCCTTTTGAATCATCAAGAAGCGACCAGAAGAGATGCTCAAGAAATGTGCGAGGTGGCAGATCCAATGCACCGGAGTTATGGGAAGACCACGGTCTTTTTGATTGGGCACCCTCAAAGAAAGCTCATTGAGGTTGACTCACACGTCACCATTTCGGAGGTGAAGGGCATCCTGCAATGTGATGGCGAGCCTGTGTTGTCGACATTTAGTAAGCCGCTGAGGGATGGCGACCTCGTGGGCAATTTGTTTCCTGGCAGACAGGGTCACATCCTTATTTCCTCTCGTGGGACGGCGAGAGGAAGGTCAGTTGGGGTCCCCATAGCAAAGTAGTGAGACTACGGCTGATAACCTGTATTTTACAAGGTCAGCCACCAATGTAACCTACAATGGGGGTGAACCACAAAACCGCTAAGCACTCAGCTCTTTTGAACCAACGCTACAGAGTAGTACGATGATATGTACAATACATGGTTTTACTGCAGGAGTTTTTACAGTATTTCACAGATTTTGACGCATCTCCATTCGAGACAAACCCATGGAACAAGCAAAATTGATGTGAAACATTCAACTGTTTGCATCCATCCTGACTGACCGGGGTCAGGTCAGTGCAACGAAATCCATTGAAAACAAACCAGCAGGCCCAAGACGCAAAATTAATAAAATGGTAGTCATCCATAGCACTTTTACGTACCGCGTGGATCCGTCCTGGTGCTCAAACCTGGGATGTCCCAAACCTGGGATGACACAGTTAAGATGATTTGGTGGTCCCCTAGCCCCCTTTTCACATGCTGCGGGACATTGTTCAAGTTCGTTCGCAGACATGTAGTCCACCGCCGTCAATCCTCCGCAGATCCATTTGGCGACAAGGGCATCATTCATCAGCGAAAAGATCTCCGAAACCACGTGGGATGAGTCCGTCTCTTGGCAAACCTCCTGGCATGGCATTGAGCCACGAAAAATAGGGGTATCCCAACCATAAGAATCCCACAAAATAGAGGTATCCCAGAATAGAGGTATCCAAGGTATCACAAAATACATGGAAAAAAACAGGGTGATTTTACGGAATCCCAGTTCGGTGAGTTCAGAATCAACCTAGGCAGGTAGCACATGGTAGCACAACCCCCCCATAAGACCAGCAGACAGATTGGTGGTTGAAATGGGATCTTGGGCACTGAAATCACTGGTATCATGGGTCTCCAATTCCGATAAACATTCTCTGGCCCCCACGAAACAAAATGGCTATGGATCACTGCTACCCAGTAGTTCAAACATGTTCAAACTAAACATGTCGTGTTGATCCATCTCCATTTCGAGATCTTCGAGACATGTAGAGAACACCCATCCATGTGGGCAAGGACCAAAAAGATCCAAAACCACACGGTACCCACCCCCCGGTTTAATGCCAGACCAAACATATGTGGGTCTCTTGACATGGTGGTACCCCAAAATCATCCAAAAGACTATTAATAATCAAAACCCATGGGTTTGGGGTCCCCTCATCACCCATCTAAAGAAAACACACAAACGTACCCAAAAATTACAAAAAAATCCAGCTCGCCTGCTAACAGTTGAATGGTTAATAGTGGTCACGTATACATCACCATTATCCCCCAAAATAAGCCAAAAAATCTGAGGGAATGGCTGGGCAGTCCTTGAGTGTTCTTTTCAGTTGCTCAGTGGCATTGGAGGCGTTTTGCGCCACCTTCAGTTCGGCACACTTCTCCATGGTCGTCTTGGCCAAGTAGGAGATGAACCTAGGATCTTTTCAGGGGGTAAATAGAGGCAGGGAATGGCTATCCAACCACTAGATTTCTGACTTCGACGTGTCTAAGATGGGATCATCTTGAGGTCATTCACTTGAGTGGAACCAAGCTGGATTCGTAATTTTGAATCTCACTGGGTTGAGTGGGGAATCCATGTTTCCTAGCTATGAATGCAGGAAAACCACGGGGGCACACCGCGTTTTTGACAATACTTGACATGGGTCTGTCTGCACATAGCGATCCACCCCATTCGATCCACCCCATTCGATCCTCAATCCTCATTTTCACCATGTCACCATGGTTAATGTGGTTTATGATTGTTTTAACCACATTAACCACATTAACCCCATTCGATCCTTTCTTATTGTTTTAACCCCATGTTCACCATCAATTTCCTTTTGATGTGCCCATTTTCAGACCCAATTTCCTTTATGATTTCTCCAGGTTTTCTCATCTCAGATTCAGTCAAGGTAGATGTGATTGTCTGAAAATAGAGGACCCCAAAATCCTATGGTTTAATGTGGTTAAAACATGTTAAAACAATGCCATAAACCACCCATTTGGCAATGGTTTATACCACCTATTTATGATGATTTGGGGGATGGTTTAAAATTTGTTTTGCCCACATTACGATCATTTCCTCTCTGAAAATCGTCATACAGTGCTGAACAGCTACTCATCTCCTTGTGAGGCGTCCGTTTCGCTGTGAAGCTTCCTGTGACTCTGAAACCAATGATGGGGTCCCGTCACGTCGTCACGTCCGAAAAAATGTTTGTGTAGTGTACCGTTTTGACCCCAATTAATTACTTACTCGTTGTGAAGAATGGATTTGTATCCCAGATGCTCCATGTATGGAATATTTACATATATTTACCCACATTTGGGCTGTGTTTGGGGTAAATGTAGGTAAATATTCCAGCACCATGGAGCATCTGGGTATGGTTTTGTACGATAATCGTCGTGGGTCTTTGCAAGTGCGACCTCGAGGTGGATTGAGGCGAGTCAGACGTCACTGCCTGGTTTCATCTCCAACCTATAGTTAGATGTTCATCTCCGTTCGTGGCTTATGGCCCCGCATATACCCTCTGGTTATTTAACATAGCCATGGAACATCACCATTTTTAATAGGTAAACCATCTATTTCGATTAGGGCCATCTATACCATGGCTATGTTAGTCATAACCAGAGGGTAACATTTGCAAATATGGGTAAAATATGGCTTATCCACCTACGATTCCTGGGTTGCACCGAGCAGTTCGTGCAATTCTTGGGCAACGCCTTGACCGCACCTGCTGGGTCTGAAAATGTCATGAACAAACAATGATGAATTCCGATGGCCCGGAAGAGAATTTGTTGTCATTGAATCAAATGTAACATTGCCCAGATGCTCCATTTGTGGAATATTTACCTACATTTACCCCAAGAATAGCCCAGATGTAGGTAAATATTCCATACATGGAGCATCTGGGTTGGAAAATCCTCCGTTTAATGTTCTCATTGAAAAAACAAAACTATAGGGGGGGATTTTCCATTGCCACATTTGATTACCAGAAGGGATATAGTTTTAAAAGTATGGGCTCCCTTTCGGCATCCTCTTAAGAATGCCAAATATGTTCAGGATGCGGAACAAGCATTGCCAACCCAACTCCGCAACAAAATCGAGCCATAACATATAACAAGATAAGATTCCTCCACCCACGGCTACAACAGTTTCACATCCAACATATCAACTAACCATTCATGAAGATTGCCAAGGTTTCCCGCTGGGGGAAGCAAAACCAGCCCATACCCTCCATGCGTAGCGGAGCTTCTTCAGTACCTGATGTCCATAGTGAAATACATTGCCTTCTTCAAGTAAAGCTGGAACTTCCTCATTTTGAACTGGTAGGGTGGGGAAGATCAGCTGAAACTGAAAGGATGAAAGGCTTAAATATGAATGTTGCCTCCCACAAGCAACCTCTTTGATATGAGTCTGTCTTCAGTAAACCCTCAATGATTGGGATTTACTTCATCAATAAGCTGCCTACTTCGGGGTCTTCCCAGGAAAAAGTAGTGGAACAATAGTTGATAATGCCCCTTTTATACCCTAGTTGTGTCTGCAATATCCCCATTGACACATAAATTATAAACAGCTTAATGTTGCATGCTGATTAGTAGCTAGGTTCACTATTGTGACAAGAATTATTGGCAGACTATGCTTTTTGTCAAAAAACATGTTTGTGTGAAAAAAAACAACTTAACATGTTTTTTTCTGGAGAAAAATATTGCTTGTCTGCCTATCCCAAAAGGATCAGATCCCTTATTAAACCCTTAATGAAGAACAGCTTGGGCCCAATATTCACTTTAGCATACTTTAGCTGGTTTGTTGCCTAGGTTCACAATTACAGCAAACTTTTCCGGAGATGAGCCTGGAGCCAAGAGAAGAAGAAAACATGTTCCAAAAGCAAACTTCTCGTTATCTTCCTCTTTTCTTTCTTTCTCGCTCTTTCTCTTTCTTTTTCTCTTTTGCTTTCAACTTTATCTTTCTCTGCCTCTTCCTATTCCACTTCCTCTTTCTCTCTCTCTCTCTCTCTTTCTGTTTCTCTTGCTCTCTCCCTCTCCCTTTCTCCTCTTACACCTTTAATAAAAAACTTGAGGTGCAAAAGGTAACGCAATCAACACGCTGAACCCCAGTCACTACAAACAAATACTGTTACTACAAGTATGACCAGTACTACAAGTACTACAAGCCCACAGGAAAAACAAGGCTTAATTAGATTTTAGTTGTCGCCAATTAATATCATTACTTAAATGTCTGGTCGTATTTCATCTGGGGAACAGCTTTCAAAAACTCAACTTTAAAGAGGGTATAACATTCGTTTGAAGGGGTGTTGAGGGGGGCCCACACAAATCAGGACGGAACATTACTGACAAGAATGGATAAGGGATGTTGAAAGATGTTGAATCCAGGTGATAGTGACTCCCCAAATGATTGGTTTCCATTGGTTTCCATTGGTTTTCCCCCATCAGAATCCATAGCTTTCCCATCGCCAAGCCTCCACCGTGTGCGCGACCGGCGAGGCCGGCGCGTGGCGCACGGCTGAGGCGAGAAGCCAATCTGCCAGGAAGAGAATGGCCAGTGGAGGCCTCATGCGATCCTGTCAGGTGAAGGCCATGGTGCAAATCGGCCATTTCCAGGCGCTTTTAGCGCCTGGAAAAAATCTCAGGGTTACGAGGGGGATCCCCCAGCCAATTATGGCATATTTTTTTTGCTAGGATGTGGAGGGGATTAAAACGAAATTGATTTGTGTGCAACTGTTCGCTTACCCTCTGGTAAACTAACATAACTATGGGAAATCACCATTTTTAATGGGAAAACTCACTATAAATTGCCATTTTCAATAGCTATGTTAGTTTACCAGAGGGTAAACCGATAGATTAAGGGATGTAATTGACCACCTATCATCAAACAGTTGGGGAAATCCCTACGGCAGTCCATTGGGGATCAGCTCCCCATGAAGTTTCTATGATGGCACAGTTGGTCATTGGGGCAATGACTCAGCTCCTTCACGACAGCAAGAAATAGTGAGTAGGTTTCTTGACAAACACATCCATACTTAAAAGTCAAACATAGTTAAGTGAATAACAATGTCTTTGACATAAACAAATCCTGAAGTATATGATAAGTAGATTCGTCACTTCACATTGTTTTATGATAAACAAATTAAGTGAGCCAGTCTGACTGGTGCAGCAACTTCCAACCCGGACACGTTTCGCCATGCTGCGACGGGTCACCGTGTACCAAGAATTTCACAAAGCATACGTCATGACTGCGGCGGCGGGAGCGAGGCTGCGCCCCACAGCGGCCGTCTGAGCAAAGATGGATTCAGATCCGGCGGAGATCAATATGGACCCCAACCAATGATGGTCAATGTCTAATCTCTGTTATCCATTAGATATTAATTATACACTACATCTTCATTGAATATTCACCTTCCAATCCATATTTTTGTTGATTCATCTGAAACCAACATCAAGAAGATGAGTAAAGGATAATCGTTGCTGTTCTGGATGGCGCTAAACCCTGCCACATTTCCATACTTCCTTCCGGCGGACTTTTTATCCTCAAGGGGACCACTCTCGACGCGTGAAACGGCTGCTCGATGCAGCAACGCATGTCCTCCTTGAAAAAAAGGGACGCATCTTGCGCAGGAGGTCGTCACACCATCCTCAATTGGTGTCAAATGCAAATAGCTCTGACGAATGATTCAGGACGAGACAAATCAACACTAACATGTTGACAAACCGATAAAGTAAGCATTAACAAATTGTATACAAATCATAAACAAATTACCAGATATAATCATCATCAACTTCTACTGAGGATTCTACTGGTGGTTTGAACATGCCTGAAATTCACCCCGCGCAACTGGATTTGGATCATGTTGTTTGCCAGGATCAAAAACGTATAAACACCTGGCACCAAGCAGCCCCACTGCGTAATATCAATGATTTGTAGACCCTCTTGCATTTGCCTTCCACTTTAAAAAATGATCACAATCCTTGTTGGTACTGCATCATTGAAAACCCAAATTCATTAACTTTGGGGTGCAATGGCAATGAGTAATTCAGTGATTACTTTCTTATATGCACCTCTTCTAAAACATACATCCCCAGCTTTTTTGTACAACGCTAAACAGTTTACGCAGCTCAAACACACGGGCACATATGCAATATATACATATTATATATATATCATGATACATAAGAGTTCACACATGATAGATGATGTACAATACGTGATTGTTTTCATGTTGTTGTTCAATAACACATCTATACTGCCAGTATATCCGTCCTTCGTCATGCCAAGAGCTTCTTCCCCGGCAGAAAGGCCCGGTACCCGGGCATCTGCGATCGAATGGTATCCACCACATGCGGGTCCCAGCTCTCACGGCCCTTCTGACCACTCAACGGCATCTGACGTGGCCTTGTGCTGTACTTGGGGAGGAATTGACCATGAAAAATGGCGATTTCAAAAATTGCGATGGATCAAAACCCAGACTCTACCATTTTTGGGGATTGACATACATAAACAAAAGATATTTTCATGCTCACCAGGATACCAATGTTTTGATCCACTGCTATATGTATCATTATGTATCTATGCCTGTCTTGTTCCTGGGTTGTTTCATGGTACTTTGAGGGTCAAGGTACCTGAAACAATAAGCCTTAAAGGAAATATATAACCCAGTTTCAGCTGGAAAATCAGGTTCACTCCCATCTATGTTACTTAAAGCGGCTTGAAACAATGTTTGTGTTTAAAAAAATCACCCCTGTTCAATGAACTTGAACCACCTCGGAACAATGATAGAGTTGATGCCAGCCACCCATGTTTTATTGGAAAGTCAAAGATCTTTCAGGAGATCTTCAGATGTTCCACCTCGGCCCTACAATGCCAACTGGTGGCCATATCAATGGCCAATAAACATGGCTCCTGTACTAGAAAAATTCCTCAAAAGTACTACCATCTGGTTATGACTAACAGTTTGCCATGGAAAATCACCATTTTTAATAGGTAAACCATCTATGTTAAATAACCAGGGTATATAGTATATATGATTAATTCTTTGTAATCCACTGGGACGTCAATTCAATCCTAACCTATTGTGGTGAGCACAATGATCATATCAATCGTTCTGAGTCAATTCCCACACCATCCATCTCTGTTAATTATTCACCGTCATCAACCCAAAACAAATCACCCAAAGTACCCTCCGGCAATCCAACATGTCAATGGACAATTCCGATTTTATAGATGATTGTCCCAGTTAAGCCTCCATTTATAAGGGATTTTCAATTGCCACGCTTGCTACCGGAGGGTATATGAAACAGGGCTATCTTTCTGCATCATCATCATCATCATCATCATCATCATCGTCATCGTCATCGTCATCGTCATCATCGTGATCATCGTGATCATCGTGATCATCGTGATCATCGTCATCGTCATTTCTGAAAGCCAAATGGGTCTGGGTAAAAAAAACAACAACAACTTGTGGTAAACAAATGGTAAACCATACCACACACACTTGAAAGACCACATGTCATCGTTGGTTTTACCACACACACAAATGGGGTATTGCTGGCTGCGCCGAGCTGCAACCGAAGATGTTCACCGGGAGGAAGGCTCTGCGGCTCATCCGCTTGAAGTTTCGGGTGACTGCGGTCATCACCAAGGTGGTTTTCCCGGTCATGGTGATGTCATGGTGATGTCAATGGGTTTAAGGGAAAATCTATGGGACACTCCAGCCTTTCCGATCAAATGTATAGAAGCTTCCTGTAATTCTTCAAACTCAAACCAATTCAAATCAGCCTGATGATGCATGGATTTCATATGGTCATGTCGTCACATGTCTTTTTGCTGGCTCAATCAGGTCCAGTCCCATCCCTAAAATACGAGACAGCTGGCAGACCACAAAAATTGAAGCGACCAGTGATATTATCCGAGCTGCTTAATACCCGTTTTTTACCTGCTAATTACAAGGAAATCGATCTACAGTAAATCCACCATCTTTATTGATGAAATCACTGCCTAAATCCCGCACTTTACTGGAATACTTTTTCCAGACCACTGCAAAATGGTGCTCACCTGCCCACCTTCATAACGTTAAAAGCTGATTTATGTTCACCCATCGGACAGGTTATTACCATAAACCCAACGGTCAAACTCGTTCTTTCAACCAACGTAGCAAACGACCTCGGGCGCCACCTTGCAGTTCTACTGATATGAAATCCTGATGTCTCACGGTAAACATATCCAGATTCTTCTTCTTAAATCCCGCATCTATCTCCCATATTTGATTATACATGATTCTAGATGATTATACAATGATTATCATTGTTTTATTCCGTTGTCCATTGTATAGTCCGTTATTATCCCATTCTTATCACATCATTATCCGATTGTTGTTCTATTATGGGATTATTATTGGATTATTATTGGATGAACATTTAAAAAAAAACATATATAATAATCCTTATGATTTTGCCGACCCCACAACATTTGATGGTTAAACCACAAGAAGTCCCTGTCCTCCGCCGAAGCTCTCGGTGTCCAGTATAGGACGCAATGCCCGGACCGCAGCTTTTAGGCCTTTCTGGTCATCACAAATACATCGGGGGAGAGCAACACATATGGATAAAAAGTGTGATTTTACCAATCAAAATTGTGGTTTGTTAATCAAACATGGCAATTTAACCAGAAAAAATGATAAATTTTACCATCAAGAATGATGGTTTTTCCATGAACATTGGGATTACACGACAGGAAAATTAATCGGTCTAAATTTCTTCCTGGCTACCTAGACCCTCAAATTACATCAAATTACCAAACATCACCTATAAGAATGCATGTTTTGTACTTTAAACAAGTTTAACAAAAAATTGGGTCAAGGCATAAGTCAAATTTGAGGACCCCATGATGAGCTTCGTGGCCACTTGAAGGGGGAAAACAATGATAAACCATCGGTATTGAAGCCAGTCTTGCTAGTTTTACCAAAAGGCTAGTGGTGGTTGATTTTGCTCGAATGTTCGCGAATTACGGATCAAAATTAGTTGCCCCTCAAACTGATTTGTTTTGTAAAAAAACATGCCATAGTTATTGTTAAATGGAACCACCATTGACTATGCCATACCCAGCCATTGAAGATCATCATTCCATTTTGAGGGATGGTTTCCGCCGGCCAACACAAACATAGGGAACAACCAGCCAACATTGCATGTGGATTGAAGGAACTAGCGACTTTAAGCAGCACCTGGAATTCATCCAACAGAAATGCTGATATTTATATAATGAGGGTTAAAAATGCCGTAAACCACCCATTTGGGAATGGTTTATAGAACCTATTCATGGTGATTTGGGGGATGGTTTATGATTGTTTTAACCACAATGATAATGACTATGATCCCACTATCCGCTGTCCCGACGCTGCCAGAGCACTTGGTCTTTTGGATCTTTTCATATTCAATCAATGGTGAAGGGCACCGGATTTTCAGAGCTTCCCAACAACAAAACCAGCCATATGGATTGATGGTTTATACCACACTGTGGTAAACTTGGGGATTGGATCAGCTGGATCCGCTTTTTATAACAGGAAACCATCAATCCAAATATGATCCCCAAAATTGCAATAGGGTTCATGTGCTTAACATGCAAAAAAACATAAAATATTCATATCCATATGAACCCAATGATTTGGGGATGTTGATAACATTAATCTGAACCCCACGAGAAGCTACGGGAAATCAGGCTGTGGTTCCCCGCTTTTCGCCGCCCATCCAGTTGTACTTGGGATCCTGGAAATTGGAGGATCATCCCCGTTACGAATCGTGGTGCCCCATAGTTAGATAACTAGATGAACTTGGTATAACTCGGGTTTATGATCATGAAATGTCATGAAGGAACATTTAATATCATTTAACTATATAGGTTGATGGGGGTATAAAACCAATTTCTATCAAATAAGTACAGTAGTTAATTATACAGATGGGATTACAAATTATAAACATTTATAAACCAACTTGAGCAGACTTAAGTATCTCTAGAATGAGCACACCTTGTACCTTTCTAAAGGGGGGCCCACATTGTCACTATTTTGGCAGGTCTATGCCGAAGATAGATCTCATCTCGGGCCATGAGCAACATGGAATACATGCACGTGGCATCCCTTAGTACATTTTGTTGATTTGTTTCATGTATTTTTCAATGTTGTGGAGATGAAAATTCGTTCTGAAGGGCAGTTGAAATTTGACAAGCTCTTGGAAGTTGTATGAATGCTCACTTGTTTTGTCATATCCTATTTCCTTCGTGATCTTTGACCACCGCACAAACAAAGTCGTCATCATCATCATCATCATCATCATCATCATCAAAGTGTTGCCATTTTTCAATTTTTCAATGCTATCAGATGCTACCAGCATTCACAACGCATCATGAGCCATGGAATGCTCCAAGGAGGGCAATGTGTACCTTGCGGTAATTAAACCTATGTTCAAGCCAGCCTAGACTACCAAAGGGTATAGACTCAGCAACATGGCACAGCCAACCATAATCCTCACCCCACTTTTAACAGAAATGGTTGGCATGAACCATCCAACACTGTATTACTAATGTGGTTATTGGTCAAAACCCTGGCACCCTAGGTACCCTAATTAGCTGGTGAATGGATGGTTATCCCAAAACATATGGGTTGATGTAATGACTCACCAACATTCTGGGGTTGCAACACTGAGCCATGTCTGCCCCCACACCCGCACAGTTTTTCCCCCACTTGCCTGCTGCCAGGTTCTCCAAATGTCACAGTCTGCTTGAGATCGCAAGGACCTAAAAGGCGACCGGGTGATACGTTGTGGACGTTTTCCAAGACCACACATGGATACGGGTGAAAGCTTTCAAGACATGGGATATGGGCAATTCTCCTTTTGCTTACACGTCAATCAAGCCGAACGAGCATGTTTGCCTTTAGCTAGTGGGACTCTGGAGATTCATAAAACCCAAATCTGAGAGCTATATGATGCTCATCCAAACATGCTGTTTTTGCAAGCAGCAAGCAGGTCCCAGTGTCACTTGGGACTGTCTGCGATAAAATTATGGCCCCAAAACATAACATCAGAATTTGCTTTGATGATGTGCATCCCAGTTGCGGTAACAGGCAAACGTCCTAATTAGTTTCTCTACAGCAAATGGAAGAAATCAGCTGATATATGTGGTTTATCCTATGTTTATCCCATTCTTTGTATCAATGGATTGGTTCAAGGGAAAATCTACACCGGAAACCATAGATTTTCCCATTAAATATGGGGCTTAAATTAATTAAACCAGTAAAAATTCCCTTAAACCAATCCATTATTTGCAGGGTTTCAACATGTTTCAACCATCGCTAAATTGGTGGATTTTTGTCCATGGCTCGTCGTACAAAAACTGGTCCGTTTCACCGAGTCACTGCGGCGGATCTCTTGGACGGTTCCACAGATAGGACTCTGCCTCCCGATGCGAGTCAAATAAGGTATTTTCATGGGACATAATGGGATTTTATGGTATTTTAATAGGATTTTATGGTATTTTAATGGGATTTTATGGTATTTTAATGGGATTTTATGGGATTTAATGGGATATATGATGGTTACCCTCCAGTAAACTAACATAACTATATGGAAAATCACAATTTTTGATGGGTAAATCCACTATTTTTATGGTCATTTTCAATAGTTTTTTGTATGTTTACCAGAGGGTACCACCCAAAACACGGGGTGGTTATAACTCCAACACTTCTGATTCAACGATCACACGATCTCATCTTAAACAAATGAGCTTTGTTGGCTTTGTTGACCGTGATTGTATTTTTGGTTTAAGTTTTTTTTCTTTTAAATGACCATGTCGTTCCCAAAAGATCTGAAAGGCTGTCCCTGCTCCAAATGTTGCGAACACCCTAATGAGCCATTGTATGGCAAATGGGTATGCAACATTAAGCAACCAACAAAAGTGGGGATCAGAATACCACGATTCGTTCAGACCAAACACTTGGTTTGAATTTGAATCATGGCCGAAGTCTTGCAGCACAAGGGAAGGTTTGTTCCATTTTTTGAGGCTGCATCATTGGATATGTCACCCATTACATCACATTCCTGTGTTCCTGAAACATCCTGAAACAAGTGGTTTTCTAGCAAAAAAACGGTGCCATGGTGAACTTCAGAATAAATAGCTGGTCAATACTTGTTCATCCTCTCAAACTCCCATTCAAACATATCCTAGGCGTTGGTCAATACAAATATTATATCATATGTTAATTTCCGTCCCCATTATACAATGTGGCCCCCCCCAGTTATAAGTTGGTTTATAAACCCCATGAATACTATAGTTTAATAGGTATCATAAACCATAGTTACTGAAGTTATAAACCAACTTTGCTATCTAGGGGGGCCCACATTGTGAGGTATAGGTGTGTATCTTCTCCATTCCGCAGTTTCAAACTTGGCTGCCTGCGGGGCACGGAAGTCCAGTGGTCGGATATCACTAGCAATGTTGTCGATAATGGTGGCGCGAGCACCATATACCTCGAGGACTAAGGTTGGAAGTGTCAGATGATATATTTGTATATTGTAGATGGAGAAAAGCAGGGAAAGAAGGATTTTACAACACTAAAACGATCCAAACGTAGGGAGATCATGTAATCAATGACCAAAAAAAAAAGGACCAAACATGACCAGTCCGACAGTCCATGGTGACTGGGGGTCGATTTCTACACCGAAGGATTACAATGGTCCCTTAAATGTTGAAAGAAAATCATGTGCGATGCAACTAAATTTTGCAAAACACTAATATAGCGTATTAATGACATGTAATGACATGTGTATATATATACAATAGTGTAATTAATACAGTATATATATATTAATATAGCTATAAACAATAATCCCCACATACTTGGACTGGATGTAACTGGGTAGTAACTGGGAATGTGGAACGACTAGTCACCAGGATTTTTTCTAACCACTTGCTGAATGAACCGGGAAAAAAAGTCTATCCCATCCCATAAAAATACAGGTCCGTTCATAAATAACCTCCTACATTAACCAATCAACCATTAATTATCAGCCATATCATATTGTCCCCATGTTTCTGATGGTTAAACACATATGTTGATGGTTGATAGAAGTAGCTTTTAATACAATGTATTTTTGCTACAAGACACTATCAACACCCCCATGTTACTATATGTTACCTATTTTCATCAATCAACTACAATTAGTGCTCAACAACCATGCCTCCCTTATTTTCAAGCTGCGCTTTGAAGGAAGTTGGGTAATACGTCAGGGAACCTGACCAAAAGAATGTCTCCAGGCACACAAGCGTGCCCTACCAGCAGACGCACGGCACCACACGTGTGCCACCCCGTCAACCGGCAGAACGCAGGCATGCACCCAAAAACAACGTGAAACTTGACAAACTGCAGACCTCCAGGGTGCACCCCCCCAGACCAGAAAAGAAACAAGGTGCACCCAGACACCGGTGTCCACCCCATCCTTTCTTCTGCCTGGAAGGCAGCAAAACAGGTAGCCACAGGCTCAACTTGGGCAAGGATGAAGTGAGAAGGCCAGAAAATGTTTAGCCCGGGAATTGGGGGGGCGGGGGCAAAAGAAAAGTTTGAACTGGGTCAGAGATCAAACTGAAAAGAAGGCCTGGCCTTTTTTGCCAAGCGCAACCAACGCGCATACACAGCTGATGGTGTGTTAATTTCTGTGAGCTGCGCAAGTGCATCCGTGATATAAATGCGAGCGGTTTTGTGACAAGACCACCTGCCAATGAGGCATGTTTGTCCTAGGTTATTTGTTCGTCGAAAGAATTGGGTAGCACCACCACGGCGAAGGGAATACCATTGACATCCCTCGGGGAATTGAAGATCTGTGAGTAGGGTTTTCAGCCGTTCCCTCATTATTCCAGGGGAAACAGATCGAAGAAGATCTCCTGGGTGTAACTTGGTAAGAAAATTTTTTAAGGCACGTGCTAACCATGGATCCTCAATGACAATAGATTCTTGCGCCCCAAGGCGTTGTCCACTCTTGGTCAAGGGTAAAGACCAAACAACCCGACGACCAGTATCCCCAAACACGAAATTTTGTTTCACTGCGGCAAAAAGTTCACCTGTTCGAGCAAACCGATCAAATCCCACCAGTAGTAGAATAGCAACATCTTCCCAACCAAATTCAAAAGCACGTTGCGCCAAAGCGTAGACCATGACAGGAGTCAGGGGGATAGCTCTAGCAGGCAGCTCAGCACGAGTCCAGCTCCCATGCAACCGCCACCCCCCTACAAGGTGTCGTTTCACGCTGGGGATAAAGTGGCCGAGCCCACTCAAACAGTCTGAAGCAAAGGCTTTGGGCTCCCCATTGTGCCATAAATATTCAATAAATTCGCAAACTTTAGCATCCAAAAGGGGAAAAGTACTGGGGTACCTAAATCCATGCAATTGGAGGAATTCAAGGAAGCGTGAAACAGCCTGGAAGTATCTAGTATGTGTTGAGGGTGCTACAACTAAGCTCTGCAATGTCCCCAAGGCTGGTCGATCAGTTTTTCGCTGGGCAAGAGAGCGCCGGCCAATCACTTGGGCCCTAGGCATGACGACGGCGTTTTGCCCATCGCGATGGGCCGTCAGCTGGGTTCCATTTGGATTTTACCCAACCAAAACAGACGACAAGCTCCGAAGCCAAGCAGACAGCAGCCACTCGGCGGAGCGGGGATTGCAAAGCTCGGGCCGACGTACGGCCCTTCGTCAGCACACTCAAAACCACTTCATTGTCCACCAACACGATCATTCGCAACTGGTGTCCCTTTGGGTGTCGGACCTGCTTGCGCAGGAGATCTAGGACAGCCACCATCTCGAGGACATTAATGTGGTGGTTCTTCTCTTTCCAGGCATAGCTCATAAGCACCTTCCACGTCCAGCTTGACGGGTCGATACTTTGACGGGTGATTTCTCCCACACTGTACGGTTGCCCCAGGTCGATGCGAATATCAGTTCCTCTGTGCGTACCATTTCGAGTCAGGAGATACACCAACAGTTCTTCATCTGTCAGTCTCCTCTCTGGATCAATCCACTGCCGCAAAGGCAATCCGGCGAGCGAGGAGATCTCCTGACGGAGACTCCCCACCCCCAACGCCCCTGCGGCCGCGGATCCAAAGCGCATCTTCCAGGGCTTTCCTTCGTTCTTCACACGCTGCTCATTGCGCTCCCACACTTTCCACAACAACAAAGTGATGTCGTGAGAGGAAGCTTCCTCAGGCATTGTCACCAGTGACGCTAGCAAGCGCGCCACCACAATGACGGAAAAGGAATTGCCAACAAGTTGGCCTTTTGCATCGGCTTGTAGCTTCGCCTTCAATTCGAGATGAGTGCTGGGAAATCCCATCAGCCTCAACTGCTCTTCTGGTTTGAGCTTCCGCGGACCATTCTTGTCGACCACCATGTTCTTGTTTTCGTACCAGTATGGCTGAAGGCGATATGAGTCACCTTTCCAGCGAGCAGCAGCTTTGGTAGAGACAGAATTGATCCCTGCCGGAGACTCAGGCGGCTCCTTCCGCGCCCGTGGGCGCGTGATCGTGGGGAAAGGCTCTCCTTCCTCCTCCATCTTGCGGCTTTGTTCATTCAGAAACCATTCGAGCGGTGGCCTCTCCGTGTCAATGTGCACTGTGGGAAGGTAGTACTCTTCATTCCGGACCTTTTCCTGTCGAACCAGCTTTCCGTCGCAGCCGGAGACAAAAGGCAGGTTCTTCATCCAATATATGCGAGGGCGCCGGACTCGTCCCACCATGGCAGCTTCGAAGAAAACTCCTCCAAAACCTATCTTTTGCGTTTGGGCTTTGTAGTCAGCGGCATCCATCACGACATTTTCATAGAATTCCATCACTTCCCAGTCCGGAAGTCCCACATCTCGAGGAGCATCCATCACCCATTGGCGAAGGGCTAGCATTTTGTCCAGGAGCAAACTGCTGGCGGCTTCTGCTCCTTGCCTCCTTGGATTCAGTTGACTGTGATTGATGCACGGCCAGCCCCCTCCAAGGAGAACCTTTGTGCACTTTGGGAACTTTCGTCGCCACTCTTTCACTTCTGCATAGGTAATGTCTTCAATCTTGCTGTAGATGATGGCGTGGCGCGTATGCTGTCTCAGCACCTTCTGGCATGTGCTGTCATTGTCAATGGAGATAACCCCCATTGGGACTACTCCCAGCAGGTCAATGGCCTGTTTCATCCCGCCAATTCCTGCGAAGCATTCAATCACCAGCAGCGGGTCTGCGTTCTGGCCCTCGGCACCCCCTCCTTCCTGAGAGAGGGTATGGACACGTGCGTGGCCCCATTTTGTAAGCCCTGTGCTGGCGCAGGCTCCTCCACCTTCCTCAGATGCGTCTGTCGCATACACATGGCCATCAAACTTGGTCCTCTGTGACATCCAATGGAGAGGTAGGCCCATGCTGAACAGGAGGAGCTCATCCTGCGCAGCCGCTGACAGCACCTTGCCACCACCCTGATTCATTTCCACGTAAATCCGGTCAAACAAGGCTGCCAAGCTTCTGCGATATTGCACTGAGTGCATGTTCTTGGACACGACGGATTGCAAGTTGATACTGAAGCAGGGCACTTCGTCTTGCCCCAGGATCTTCAGATTTGCCCCCAGCAATGCCATGCGAAACTTGAGGGAGCTTCCAACCCATCCTCTTTCACCGTCAACATCAGCTCCCAACGAGCTCCAGGTCTTGCTGTTCTCGGCAGCTTTCTTTGGGTCCCGAGCCACGCCTAGTTCGGCCATCTGCCCTCGGAGGGCAACTTGTTCGTCAGACGGACACCCCTGGTAATTCCCCACCTCCGTTTGCCACACAACCTTGAACTGGTCAAAGTTGTCGACGTAGAAGGAGAAGTAATCCCTGGGGGTCGTCAGAGGGCCCATAGGCGAGGCATCGCCCATAAGTCAATTTCGTGGGAAATGGGCCTTTTTCATTGGATTTGGGCTGCTGGTTTTGGATAGATTGGCATAAAATCTCTTGACCCACTTTTCTGACATATTGGGCTTGAGCAAAGCTGCGCGCACTGGCATAAAATCTGTTGACTCATTCTGCTCTATATTTGGGTTTGAATGTTTCATGTTGACATTGCCTATGTTGATATTACATGTTCTTATTTGCTTATTATATTGATGTCTGCAAGTTAAAATTCGTACAAGTATGTTTATGTAAAAATACAAACATAACTCTATATATATATATTAAATACATATATACACATAAATATTCTATATATATATATACATATATATCTAAATGTATACATGTAAATAATCACAAATATACAATTATTTTGAAATATGTTTGCTAAATATTTATAAATAATTTTAATACATATGCCTATATAGAACCATATAAAAATAAATATATAAAAGAGTTTATATACATACACATGTCTATATATACACATATATATATAGTTTGAATGTGTGTATAAATATATATATACTTAATTTTTACATACACATGCATATATATATACATACATAATATATATATATATACTTACATAATATATATATATGCATAAATACATAAAGAAATATATACATATATATATACATTTACATATATATATATATATTAGATATATGTGTGTATCTGTGTATATATGTATTATGTATATATGCACATATGTATGTGTATAATTTGTATTTCTGTATATATGTAAATATGTATATATGTAGTATGTATATATATGTGTATTTGTATATGTGTATATATGTATATATGTATATATACATACATATGTACATATATATATATAGAAACGCACACAAACATATATGTATACATATATCTTAATACTTGCATGTATTTGTATATATATATATATTTAAGATTTATAAAATACCTATGTTTATTGAATTCATGTCTAACTCATTATATAAACAATGTTTTTATATCTCCATATCTATGCACTTGTTTGAATTCTATTTTCAAGCAATATGTTGCAAACATTGCCAGCGATAAATGGACATAAACGATTTTATTTTGAACTGAAACCATGAATAATGGAAACAAAACACGGCCTTTTTTTAAACCGTTGCATGCAGACAGTGGTTTGGATAGTTTCAACCCATTTGCAACTGGAATTGATATTTAATATGCCTGTAGTGCTGTGGTCTTGTTTTTCAATGTCTTATATTTTTTTATTCAAGGTGAGAGCGCCCATGTTCTTGGGGGGGGGCAGGGCGTCCCAAAAAGGGCAACCGTGTCGCAAAGGCTGTCTTTTCAAATCTCCCTTGGCACCAGGAAAATTCTAGGCATCCAACAACCCAGGAGCAGGTGGAGTCCTTGCACATGGCGCAGTTGAGGAAAAAGAATTCGTTTTCACCACCAGTCCCAAGGAATCTGAATGGGAACATGTTCATAGAGACATCATCAAATTTATTTGAAAAATATTCAGCCGTTTCCAAGGAACATGTTCAGCTTGAATAATTTCCCCTATGGTCTGGATTCCGGCCATGGGGGCACTGAGGAATCCTTCGTTGTTGCCACCTTGCATCAGGATTCATTCTTGGGAACTTCGTCAGCCTCGAACTCAACACATGTCAACCTTTGGTTCTAACATGTTTCATCTAATGCAATTTTATCCATCTCTTTCCGATGGACTGGAGCTCCCCTATGGCCTGGATTCCGGCCATGGGGGCACTGAGGAATCTTTCATTGTTGCCAGGTTGTGTCAAGACGTCTTCATTAGCCTCGAACTCAATGCATCCCAGCCTTACTACTTCTAACATGTTTTAATTTTCCATATCTTTCCAATGGACTGGAGCTCCCCTATGGTCTGGATTCCGGCCATGGGGGCACTGAGGACTCTTTCATTGTTGCCAGGTTGTGTCAAGACTTCTTCATTAGCCTCGAACTCAATACATCCCAGCCTTACTACTTCTAACATGTTTTAATTTATTGCAAGTTTCCATCTCTTTCCAATGGACTGGAGCTCCCGTATGGTCCGGATTCTGGCCATGGGGGCACTGAGGAATCTTTCATTGTTGCCAGGTTGCATCAGGGCCCATGGGTTCTTAGTTTGCCTGGCGCTCAACACACACCAACCTTACTTTTGACACCTTTGATCTATTGCAGTTTTTTGCATTTTTTTCTTGAGAGCTGGCCCCCATGGTCTGGATTCCGCCCATGGGGGCCGTGAGGAATCTTTCATTGATGCCAGCTTGCGCCAGGAGTCTTTGCCAGGTCTTTCAACGATTTGATGTATTGCCCGGGGCTTTAGTTGTGTGATCCAAGTGCAGCAGATTGATTTATTTTGAGGATTTGGCCACTTCAATAAATGAACAAATAGGTATTGAATAAAAAAACAACACTCATCACCTACTAGATACTGACTATGATGATTCTGACAGTATTAAAATCTTCATGTATATATATATGTAAATATACATATACACACATATATATATATATCATCATGCAACGCGCTGCAACCAATTTGGCCTGGCCTCCGGCCTTTGGTCCGTGGTTTCCGGGACCATTCACTAAGGGGCTAAGGTAAACCCATGCCTGGAAATACCGGCACTGGGTTCATGTACAACACCAGTGTCTGGACTCCGACACTTGGTAACCATCGTGACGGTCTATATGCCAGTGTCTGGATTCCGACACTTGGTAGCCGGGTAGCCCATGGTGCTTGGCTTAGTTTTTTTCGCATGTTCAGAATTGAACCGTCAATGTTGATGTTCATTGATTGCTTTTATCTCTGTTTCAGATTTTCAAGATTGGATTTACAATTTTGAAATGTATGGAAGCATGCATGCATGTGTTCAATGGAAGCTCTGTGCATTGCTTGCATTTTTTGGTGCTTTCCTCAAAGCAGTGCTGTTGCTCTGAAAAACTCCAAATTTGAAACAACATACCTTGACTTGGTCCTGGAAGAAAAAACTTGTACAGTGCACTGCATTAAAACTTCTTTTTGCTTGCTCTTCTCCTGCTATTATGGTTTATGACAGCAAATCATTTGTAGCGCACTGCAGCCAAATTTGATCTTGTGCTGGCCTGGCCTCCGGCCTCACTAAGGGGCTAAGGTAATCCCGTGTCTGGAAATGCCGGCACTGGGTTCATGTACAACACCAGTGTCTGGACTCCGACACTTGGTAACCATCGTGATGGTCTATATGCCAGTGTCTGGATTCCGACACTTGGTAGCAGGGTAGCCCATGGTGCTTGGCTTAGTTTTTTTCGCATGTTCAGAATTGAACCGTCAATGTTGATGTTCATTGATTGCTTTTATCTCTGTTTCAGACTTTCAAGATTGGATTTACATTTCGAGATGTATGGAAACATGGATGCATGTTTTCAATGGAAGCCCTGTGCATTGCTTGCATTTTTTGGTGCTTTCCTCAAAAGCAGTGCTGTTGCTCTGAAAAATTGCAAGTTTGAAACAACATACCTTGACTTGGTGCTGGAAGAAAAACACTGTAAAGCGCACTGCATTAAAACTTCTTTTTGCTTCTTCTACTGCTTTGGTTTATGACAGTTCTGACAGAACATGATTTGTAGCGCACTGCAGCCAAATTTGATCTTGTGCTGGCCTGGACTCCGGCCTCACTAAGGGGCTAAGGTAAACCCGTGTCTGGAAATGCCGGCACTGGGTTCAAGGACGGTACCAGTGTCTGGACTCCGACACTGGTAACATCAACAGGTCTACATGCCAGTGTCTGGATTCCGACACTTGGTAGCAGGGTAGCCCATGGTGCTTGGCTTAATTGTCAAGATTGTGAACTTTCAATGCTGATGATGTTCATTGGAAGTTCTGTGCATTGATATCTTAGCAGTGCTGTCGCTCTGAAAAGTTGCACTTTTGAAATAACATGCCTTGGCGTGGTTAAAAATGAAAACCCGTTCTGACATGCATTGCTTTTAAACTTCTTCTTGATTGCTCTTCTCATGCTCTTGTTAGTGACTTTGGTGATTTGAAGGCTTCAACAAATAAACCTATGTACTATTTACATTCATCATCTACAGTAATAGTTTGTGACATGATGGTCCTTCCAGGTGAAATAAATTTGATCTTGTGCTGGCCTGGCCTCCGGCCTCACTAAGGGGCTAAGGTAAACACATGCCTGGAAATACCGGCACTGGGTTCATGTACAACACCAGTGTCTGGACTCCGACACTGGTAACATCAACAGGTCTACATGCCAGTGTCTGGATTCCGACACTTGGTAGCAGGGTAGCCCATGGTGCTTGGCTTAATTTTGTTTTTTGTCAAGATTGTGAACTTTCAATTCAATGCTGATGATATTCATTGGAAGTTCTGTGCATTGCTTATATCTTAGCAGTGCTGTCGCTCTGAAAAGTTGCACTTTTGAATAACATGCCTTGGCGTGGTTAAACATGAAATCCCGTTCTGACATGCATTGTGTTTAAACTTCTTCTTGATTGCTCTTCTCATGCTCTTGTTAGTGACTTTGGTGATTTGAAGGCTTCAACAAATAAACCTATGTACTATTTACATTCATCATCTACAGTAATAGTTTGTGACATGATGGTCCTTCCAGGTGAAATAAATTTGATCTTGTGCTGGCCTGGCCTCCGGCCTCACTAAGGGGCTAAGGTAAACCCCTGCCTGGAAATACCGGCACTGGGTTCATGTACAACACCAGTGTCTGGACTCCGACACTTGGTAGCAGGGTAGCCCATGGTGCTTGGCTCAGATTTTCATAACTTTTGTCATTTGGAAGATGGGTTGTAATTTTTCGGTTGGTTTGCCATTCCTCAAGAAAAACAAAAACAAGCACTGCCATTTTTCTTTCTTGTGGTGTGAGACCAACGGGGAAACTATTAAAGATTGGATTTTCAAGATTGATGTTCTACTGCAAGATATTGGAAACACTGTGCCTGAAATCTTTCAACAAAACATGTTGGATTGCCCTGTCGTTGTCGACTTGCAACAAGGCCTGTCCACGGAGCAAGCCTGCAAGGCCTGCAATGCTTGGAGCCTCAATGTTTAGAACAGAGCTCACATTATTGAAGCATGACAGCGTCTTCTTCTTTTAATTTTGATGCATGACAGCGTCTTCTTCTTCACTGTCATGCACTTGAATACCTCTAATTCAGGCTCAATGGAGAGCATGCATGAACGTTTTTCTGGCGAATTGCTTACATTGTACATCAATTATGCAAACTTAACCTAAACGCTTCCAAAAAAGCAGCCAATCCTGCAACACAAATCCAAGAAGAAAGAGGAACCCTTTACTAAGACCTTGCCAAACTACATTCGACAAACACATCAACTCCTTAGACCCCGCACAAACACATCAGCTACACCTAATTGCTGCATACTGCTCAAAACACATCAACATCTAACACATTCATTACATCTAATTAATGCAACACCATTGCCGTAGCCATGGCGCCAAAGCCGCACCGAAGTGAGAAGAAACAAAAGAGAGCATCTTGGATTACATTGTGGCTGCTGTCAACCAAACCTGATATGTTTAGTTGATGCAACTTAGGATGAAGAGAGGAGGAGGAGCAGGGAGGAAAGTGGGAGCTGGGTGGCTTGGCAAAATCTTGCAACAACTATGTGGAACGCGCAAAGTCTTTTTTGCATACACATTTTAGATTTTGTGGTGACTGCAGGCGCAACCATCGGCGCAGCAGCTTCAAGCTGAAGCTACAGCTGCTGCTGTCACGGGCTCAAATTTTACTCTCGGCTTTGGTGCTTTGTTTCTTAAAATACCTCCTGTAACTTTTCTTTGACGGAATTATTCCCACTGCAGTTGACGCAAGCATCCACTCAAGTGGCGAACGCTGCCCAGGTGCGCTTCCTAATTTTCCACTTGGGTTGGTCACCCCAAAAAGCCCCCCACAAGTCCCAAAATCTTTCATAAACTAAAGGGAAAACACTGTTTTTTGGGGACTTGTGGGGGGCTTTTTTGGTTAACCAACCCAAGTGGACATTTACCAGTTTTGACCTTGGCAGGCAATGCAATCGATGATGGCGATGCAAATGATGATGATGAACGTGATGCAGCAGGCGCTATGTTTTGCAGTTTGCAATGATGATTTTTCAGTCTTGAACATTTTCTCTTTCAAACTCAAGCTGGCCAGGGTGGGATGATGATGCCCGGGATGCCATCACAGGTGCCGTTTTGTGCTCTGCATTTTGTTGGTCGAACAATTTTTATTTCATAAACTCTGGATTCTGGAGGCTGCAGCACATCCGATGGCCGCTGCAGCGCCTGCCCACCAGGTGCTGTTGTATGTTGCCGCATGTTTTATGATCAAACAGTTTTTTATGTCAATTATTTGGGATTCAAGAGTTTCTGCTGGAGGCTGCAACGTCACCGCCATCATCACATCCGCCATCATCCGCCAAGGCGCTGTGTTGTTTCGAGTTTAATGTATGTAAGATCAAAGCAAACCGATTTGTTTTCAGTTTACCATTTTCTTTAACTTCCAGATGTCTGTGTTGTGCCGGAGGCAGCACCACCTCCAGTCGCATCCGAGGTGCTGCGTTGCTGCATTTCTTCTAACACTATCTGGGGGTGTCTCAAAAAGGGGGTGCCCCATATGCCCAAAAAAAAGTCACCCGCGGAAGCTTCTCGGGTCTCCCGGGCTCTACTGGCGGGTGACTCTTTTGAGGCAGCCAGTTTTTGAAACATACCCATCTAACAATTCTCTTTTTGTGTTTCTGCTGGAGGCGGCTAAAGCACCTCCAGCGAGGACTGCCAAGGTGCCGTGTTGCTGCATTTCTTCAAACGTGCTGTGTTGCCGCATTTTTCCAACAATTCCTTTTTTGGTTGTGTTTCTGCTGGAGGCGGCTAAAGCACCTCTAGCGACGACTGCCAAGGTGCCGTGTTGCTGCATTTCTTCAAACGTGCTGTGTTGCCGCATTTTTCCAACAATTCCTTTTTTGGTTGTGTTTCTGCTGGAGGCGGCGAGGGTGGCTAAAGCATCTCCAGCAACGACTGCCGAGGTGCTGCGTTGCTGCATGTCTTCTAACACTATCTAACAATTCTTTTTTGTGTTTCTGCTGGAGGCATTGGGCGCTACTCAGGAACCCAAGGTGCTGTGTTGCCGCATTTCTTCAAACAATTCCTTTTTTGGTTGTGTTTCTGCTGGAGGCGGCGTCACCAGTGGCACCACCGACCGCCAAGGTGCTGTGACTGCGTTGCTGCATTTTTTCAAACATGTTTTTCTGTCTTTCTGCTGGAGGCAGAGGGCACTACGCCACGGGCCTTCAAGGTGCTGTGTTGCCGCATTTCTTCAAACAATTCCTTTTTTGGTTGTGTTTCTGCTGGAGGCGGCGTCACCAGTGGCATCAGCGACCGCCAAGGTGCTGTGACTGTGTTGCTGCATTTTTTTAAACATGTTTTTTCCTGTCTTTCTGCTGGAGGCATCAAGCGCTGCAGCAGCTCCATGTGCATCCAAGGTGCTGTGTTAGTGTTGTTACACTGGTGCAGTTCTACAGTTCTACAAACAATTTATTTTGTCTGCCTGCTGGAGGCACCATCAATGCCATCGAGACCCAAGGTGCTGTGTTGTTGCATTTCTTCAAACATGTTCTTTTTTGGTGTTTCTGCTGGAGGAGTCAAGCGCAGCAGCACCGCCGAAAAGATCGAAGGTGCTGTGTTGTTGCATTTCTTCAACGAATTCTTTTTTTGTGTTTCTGCTGGAGGCATCATCAAGCGCTGCTGCCGCCGACAGCTCCGACTCCGAAGCTGAGGCAAGGAAAATATTTCATGACCAATGGAATAGGCAGTGTTGATCACCGGTTGCAGGACCAGCCTGCGAAAAAGCAGAAGGTCATCCAGTCGAAGGCCGGGTTCAAATGGAGAAGAGTTTACAAGATTGTTTTCAAATGTGTTTTTTCGTTGACTTGCTAATGCTAGTCTGCTAGTTGATAGATAGTATGGAAGAAAGCAAAGGTATGAGCGGCTTTCAAACTTCAGAGTACGTTCCGTTGGGAATCAAATCGTGATGTTTCTATACATCCAATGGTTGCAGGCAATGCCGGCCAAGGGGTGCCCCGAATGGAATGCCATCTACGACCTCAAGTTCGGCAAGCCATTGATCCTTGGAGTGTTTCATATGCCAAATGCCATATGCCATATGCCATGGGATTGCTACATTGCAGCTTCTGCATGATATCTTTTGTGTGTTTTTTCCTTAGGACGGAGCTGAAGGACTGGCTGGTCGTTGGTGGGCGGTTCGACTTGGCGAAGATCCCGCAGAAGCTGCAGAGGAAGATCGCCATCATCAACTGCCAGAACAGAGAGTGCCTTGGCTTGACAGTTTCCCTTGCTGTGGTTCTCCAGATGGAAGCGAAGGTAAGATTTATATTGTACTGTATGGAATACTCAGCTTTGCCCATGACTGTTGCCTGGCATCTAAGGGAATGCGATTCGCACCGCCAACAGTGCGAAGGACTGGGCATTCCGTTCCTGGCCATGAACCCCAACTTTCATCGGCCTCTGGAGAAGTTACTCTGCAGCAAAATTAGTGGGGTGGATTCCATCCAACATTCAAATATACTACTCACAATATACTACACAATCTTTACATGCCTAGGGCTATTCAAACATACTACATAATCTGTACATGCCTAGGGCCGGATTCCGCCCAACATTCAAATATACTACACAATCTTTACATGCCTAGGGTTATTCAAACATACTACATAATCTTTACCTGCCTAGGGCCGGATTCCGCCCAACATTCAAATATACTACACAATCTTTACATGCCTAGGGTTATTCAAACATACTACATAATCTTTACATGCCTAGGGCCAGATTCCGCCCAACATTCAAATATACTTTACAATCTTTACATGCCTAGGGCTATTCAAACATACTACATAATCTTTACATGCCTAGGGCCGGATTCCGCCCAACATTCAAATATACTACACAATCTTTACATGCCTAGGGTTATTCAAACATACTACATAACCTTTACATGCCTAGGGCCGGATTCCGCCCAACATTTAAATATACTTTACAATCTTTACATGCCTAGGGCTATTCAAACATACTACATAATCTTTACATGCCTAGTTCAAATATACTACACAATCTTTACATGCCTAGGGCTGGATTCCGCCCAACATTCAAACATACTACACAATCTTTACATGCCTAGGGCTGGATTCCGCCCAACATTCAAATATACTACACAATCTTTACATGCCTAGGGCTGGATTCCACCCAACATTCAACTATACTATACTACACAATCTTTACATGCCTAGGGCTGGATTCCGCCCAACATTCAAATATACTACACCATCTTTACATGCCTTTTTTGTTTGGTGTGTTTGAATTCCCGACAAAGTGCCTCAACCGAAGCACGTTCGGTTGGGGCACTTTGTGTTAGCCAGTAGAATGGTCTTGGTGACCGGCGCTTCCTACTGACTTGAAACAATAAGAATGAGTTGGTTTTCGCAACTCTCTGTTGAACTGTTGACGTTTCCATATGTTTGTGCACTACATTTTTGACTGCTCATTTTGTACAACTCTGTTGATGGAAGCCTTTTTTTCTGTCAACTGTTTTAAACAGAAAACATGCGAAACCCCATTGATGTGAATCTGCCCCATGACTCATTTGATTTTATGTCATCCCTCTGTTTTGGCTGAGTGATGTTTTTTTTTTTTGCCCGCTTCACTTCCCGGGTTGTTTGTTCATATATATATATATATGTACAGCCAAGCTGTTTTTAAATGCAACCTTATCAACTAGAACACATATCATACTTGCTTGGTTTTACCGTCATTCTCTGATGTTTGGAAATTTATATAGCTGTGTGTTGGTCCACTGATCCAAAAGTGATTGTTTGTTTACACGTTTACACTTAGCACAATGCTTCTGCAAGGTGGGCGGCTCTCTTCCGCAGTGTGCGGGGCATCGTCGAGAACGGCGCCTCAATTGCACTTATTTTTGGCTTGATCTCATACATTGCCAGCTCTGGTTGTAACACTGACCATACTGACCTTGCCTCACGAGGCCGCAAGACCATTGTCGTGGTGTGCAATGGGGGCCGCCACAGATCAGCAGCAGTGGCGTGCGCCCTGTTGGTGCTGACCGATGGACTCTCTGTGGAAGCGGCGGTTTCTTGGCTCATATGCTGTTGCTTTGTTTGGATTGTTTTGAATTGATCTTGCAGTGGCAATTTTCCACTTGGGTTGGTTCACCGAAAAAGGCCCCTACAAGTCTCAAGAATACACTGTTTTCCCCACATTGTTCCCAAGTTTTCATGACTTGTGGGGGCCTTTTTTGGGGTGCCAACCCAAAATGAAAATTAGCATCTTGCAGTGCCCCTCACTAAGGAAGAGTACATCTTTCAGCGCCGCGCGTGGGCAGAGCCGTGGGAGACGAGATGGCTCCTCGCCTTAAAGTTTTTTCCTGTCTCAACTTCACTTTGATTTTCGGTGTCTGAGTGTTGCGCTTCTCTGAGGTTCGTTGAGTGGTGCGAGCACAACAAGGAGCAGCTGTGGGTTCCAAAGAAAAGGGGAGGTTGAAACGGTTGAAATTTGGCAAACATATGATATAGATTCATAAATCGAAAATATCACCCCACTGCAATCTAATACTATTCACATCTAGTTGGAATCCACTTTTATACATTTCAAAGTGGCATCAAATCTCAAATCATTTCAAATCTTTTTCATTTGGAACCACTGGCGCTGCGGCTGGGGGCGGCACAAACTGCCAGCAAAAGACTGGCCTTCAGCCGGATTCAAAATGGGATGTTGAAATTTGAAAAATACGATATAGATAAATCTACAATAACTCCATTGCAATCTAACACTATTCACATCTATAGTTGGGATCCACTTTTATACTTTTCAAAGTGGCATCAAATCTCTCATCTCAAATTGAACCATTGGCTGGCGATGCGGCGGCAATGCAACTGGGGGCGGCACAGACTTCCAGCAAAGACTGGCCTTCAGCCGGGTCCAAAAAGGGATGTTGAAATTTGAAAAATACAATATAAATAAATCGATAATATAACCCCACTGCAATCTAATACTATGCAAAACTAGTAATCTATATAGTTGGAATCAAATCTCAAACATGTTCAAACTGATTCCACTCCAAATCTCATTTGGAACCTGGCGGCGGCAGCAATGGCACTGCAAAGACAGGCAATGGCAATGGCGAAAAAAAAGATTCTGAGTGCTCTGAGGGCTTCACAGTTGTTTCCTTGATTTGATCAGCCTTGGTTCACCCCGGATTTCTGTCCACATGAGTGTTGCCTAAACGCCTGAGGCTACGAGAACTTCAAAGGTTTCAAGCTCAGAACAAGTCACCACGAGCGCATCTTTTTTCTCATATCATCGAGTTGTGCAGAATCTCTCTTTCTACATCAAAAGGATTTCGTTTTCCTCATCATCCTTGGACTTCTTTGCCACATTCAAATTTTTGCACTTGACAACGAGGACTTCGAACTTCTCTAGACAGACAAAGAGGTGGTTGGGAAACATGAAGGTGGGCGCGGAAAACTCATCCTTGCTCTTGCAGAGGTGAACAAAGAATTCAGCGCAATGAATCTCCACCCCCTTCTGGTAGAGGGAAACCTGAGCGGTTGACTTTAACACGGGATTGGACACTCGTTGTTTGATTTTTCTCTCCTTTAATGGGATTGGCTGGACACCTTGATTGTTGCTTACATGTATCACTGGCACAAACAAGAAGCAAAAACCTACTACTGGAACATGTCAGTTTCCAAAAGCTATCAGTATCAGCATGTCAAGGAACCACTTTGTCATCAGCGTCAGTCGGCTTTGCCTTCTGCGAGGCCTGCACCCATCCCTCTGGGTTCACAATCAGCATGTGCTGGAGCAGGAGCCTGCATGCTGCGCGAGCATGCCCGATTGAGAACCCTAAAGGATGATGATGCTAAATACTTGTAGAAAAGAGCAGCTGTTTTTTAAAATAAGAATGATATGGTTTTGGGCACAAGCCAAACATGTTGTTACTGAATTGCCAAGCAACGCACTGAGACGATTTTCTTTGGCAGATGTCACAGGCTTCAAACAGATTTCCGTGGGGGGCAAAATCGTGGCTGATCCAAACTCCAAAGTCAAAAAATCATGGCGTTCTTCAATCCATTGGTGGATGAACTCCCCAAGATTGCCCTCATCAGGTTCCACATAGGTCTTGCCAGGCACACGGCATCGTGTCGCTTTAAGCTCCAAAGCCATGCCACCAAATCAAAAACGCAGAGCTTTGAGGGGCTTTTGGGTTGACCTTGGCCGAAAAATAAATGCTGCGGGCAAATTCTGTCAGGACTCAGCCATGAAGCCTGCAAGTGAAGGCGCCGGTTTGCTGTCACTGTTGTTCCCACGGGGCTTGGGCGGAATCCAGCCCAAGCCCCACAAACTAGCATCCAAACCCTGTGTTGAGTAAGGTTGGGGTTGGCGTGAGAGCTGTCTACTGTAATGCTTGCTCACGAACTCCTTTTGAATTAGCGTTTCCACTTTTCGTTTGTTATTCTTGGGCGGACTCCGGCCCAAGGCTGAACCCCTGCTGGATTCCGCGCAGGACTTGGCTCAGAAACATTCAAGTTGACTTTGGGCTGGATTCCGCCCAAGATGAACAAAACATCACAAAACCTGGGCAGGATTCCGCCCAACGTCCAACCAAACATATAGACTACCAATTTTCTATCTATCGATCTGCCTATCTAAAGTATCGATCTAAAGTATCTATCCATCCATTGATCTATCATTCTAATCTGTCTGCCTCTGTTTCTTCTCGATTTATCTATCTATCTGTCTATCTATCTATCTATCTATCTGTCTATCTATCTATCTATCTATCTATCAATCTATCAATCTATCAATCTATCAATCTATCTATTTATCTATCTATCAATCAATCAATCTATCTATCTATCTATCTATCAGCTGTATGTCTATTGGTTGCGTATCTGTCTATCTGTCTATCTGTCTATCTCTTTACTGTCTCTCCCTCTCTCTTTTGTACCATATTACAATACCTATGGGCTGGATTCCGCCCAACATACATTCAAACCAAACAAACTCCATGGGCTGGATTCCGCCCAACATTCATTCAAACAAACTCCATGGGCTGGATTCCGCCCAACATTCACTCATTCCAAACAAACTCATTCCAAACAAACTCCATGGGCTGGATTCCGCCCAACATTCACTCATTCCAAACAAACTCATTCCAAACAAACTCCATGGGCTGGATTCCGCCCAACATTCACTCATTCCAAACAAACTCATTGTGTCATACAGTCATGCATTCTTTTCCTATGCATTCTTTCCTATATACCCATATACCGTTTCGGAAGGGGCCCGGCCGTTTCCAGGTGGATAACGGAAGCGAAAACAGAAGCGGTCCAGAGCCCAGCACAGCAGCAGAAAAACCAGACTCACCCACATACGCTGGTTACCAGTCTGGTTCCTTTTTTGTGAACGCTTATTTTCCACACAAACAAACCCAGGAGTTGCATATACCTTTGACAGGCTGTTGGCAGGCATTGCCCTACTCTTGTTCCTCTCAGGGTGTTGGTCTGGTTTTCAGGGCTCAAGCTTAGAGGAAGCCATGGTTAAACAGAAAGTCACACGAGGCCCTCCCAGGGCAAAGGGTAGCCGAATTAAGTTGGCATGCGCCTATGCAAAATGCAAGCGAAAGACTGATGTGAAAAATGTAGGGCTGAAATTACAGCTTTCTTGCAAGAAAGTGCTTAAAGACCAATGCTGGAAGCTTTCTGCGAAGTGCAAAGTGGTCAGGTTTTGCTGCGCTGCTCACATGCAAAGGTGCCGCATGAAGCGTGTTGTTTCCAATCCACGTGGTGGGCGTCAACCCTTCACAACAGAGCAGATCATTCATGTGTATGAGGGTCTTTTGAATGTTGGGTGTGCCTGGGCGGCTGTGCTTGCACTCCTGCAACTTTTCATAGGGGACAGAGCTGATGCGGCAAGACAGTGTACATGGGCTTGGTTTTCTGGCTTGGACCCATCACAGCCAGAGAGCTCAAGCATCTCCATACCAAAAGTGAACGGAAAGACAGTAGCAAGAACAATACCATTGTACACTCCATTCAGGGACCTACTATGGCAATGGGCCTTTGGAGGGAAACCTTTGACTGCCAGTGATGGCACCACATGGCCACATCCTGACCAGCCTAAAGGTAGTGATGATGTGTTATTTCCCGGGTTTGATGCAAATGGCCAAAAAAGGAAATGGAACAAGAGTGTCTCTGAGAGAGCTTATTTGAGACGCCTGACGCAAGTGGCTGACGCGCTCTGCAAAGCTAGAGCAGCAGCCAACAGCAAAAAGCAACCACATCCCTTCAATGGCTATGATTTGACAAAGCTTGGCACACATTCTTTCAAAAAAACGGCTGTCACCCTGATGAGCCAACATGGCGTGCCATGGTCAGTGATTTCAGCTGTTACGGGCACTAGTGCCAAGATGTTGCAAACAACCTATGACATCCCTACAGAAGCACGGCAACAACATGCACTTCAGACCACCTGGGGGAACGTGTCACTACCAAATGGAGAGAGACAAGACAACACAAAAGGGAAGACTCGTTTTTCTGGATGTTGTGGCGCACCAGTTCGTGAAAACCACAGCTTTTGCACTGAGTGTGGGCAAAGGTTGTGAAGGGGCGAGACCTAGCTGCTGATACCCTTTGCATTGATTTAGTGTCACCTGACGCGAGAAAAAGTTGAGGAAAAAATTCAAGTCATCTATTCTAGGCAAGATAGCTTATCAGTTTCAAACAAAGTTCTTGTTTTGATCCGTTAATTCATATACCGAACTTTCACCGCAAGTCTTGACCAGCCATTGTCGGAATCCAGACAAGAGCTGCATGAGCTGCAAAAACATGTCGGAATCCAGACAAGAGCTGCATGAACTGCAAAAACATGTCGGAATCCAGACAAGAGCTGCATGAACTGCAAAAACTGGTCGGAATCCAGACAAGAGCTGCATGAGCTGCAAAAACAAACAAAGCCACAGTAAGATGCATCAAGAAGAACTGAAGAACATTCATTACATTGCAAACTGGATCAAGCATGACAGCCAAAACAGCATATGAACTCGGCGGACATTTTTTGAACCTCCTTTCGATCTGATGTCAAAATCAGCCACAAAGCCCACCATATAGGCACATCTACATGAACTTGCGTTTGCGCTTCTCCGCGTCGGACATCCCAACAAGCAATGCCTGCTTCTCTTCGGACTTCTGCCAGAGCTCACAAGCTGTCGTGTGGGCCTCCTTCTTCGTGAGATTGCGACCGGCCTCCTTGAACTCTTTTTTCTTTGCTGCAATGAACTTGTTGCGATGGTCAAAGATAGACTTGCTAGGATCAGCACAAGTTGCTTTCACCTTGCGAGCCGCCTTGTTCTTGGCCTTTCCAACCGCCTTGGGAGCCGCTTTCTTCTTGGAGTCCTTGGGTGAAGAAGTGTCCACGGTCTTTTTGGGAGAAGCTTTTGGTGTAGCCTCAGTCTCCTTGTTGTCCTTGTCCTTTTTGGAGGGAGCTTTGGGTGTCTCCAGCTTGTCATCTTCTGGCTTTTTCTCATTCTTCTGGGGCGTGTCACCCTCACCATCATCTTCACTATCTCCATTCACATCTTCTGCCTCGGGCTTCGAAGAAGAAGCAATGGCTGTTCCTTTCGCCTTTCCTTTCGGCTTTCCTTTCGGCTTTCCTTTCGGCTTTCCTTTGCCCTTTCCCTTTGGCTTTGCCACACTCGCCGGCCTTTTCATGGCAGTGCTGATGGCAGTGGCATCCTTCAACTCCTTAGTAACTTCAGCTTTCAACTTGTTTTTCTCCTCATCATCAATTTTCTCACCATCAGCCTCCTCACCAGTACCTGGTGTCTCTGCCCCTTTGCTGCTGTTGCGCACAGAAATTGCTGCGAACATGCGCTGCAAGCCTGGCCTGGAGGAAGCAGCGCCACCATGGTTGTGTGGATGAGGTGCTGCAGGGCGTCCACGTCCACCACCAGCGGCATCAGGGCTTCCACCAGAAGAAGCAATGGCAGGAAGAGAATGTGAAGGGCGCAAGGCTGAAGGACGTGGAGCACCTCTCAAATGCTCGCCCACCATATCCAGCTCAATGTCCCCTAGCCAGTCATCACCCGCCATGGTCGTGACAAGTTCAAGGGCAAGTTTGGGCCAGACTTTGCAAACCCGGCCATGGCTTGCACATCTCTGCCTTTGACATATTGTGGAAAATGGCTTGTTAAGTATACGTAGGCTCAGAAAAGGTTCCTTTTCACTTTTCTCTCACAACGGTCAGCAGTGTTGATGGTCTGATGACACTCTGGAGCCCTCACTCTTCTCAGCAATTTCAATGCCTGTCTTAAGTTTGCAAATAAGATGGTGAAAAGCTTTGTCAGAGTTGCAGGCAACATGCCTGCACAACTTGGGTTCCAAAGGCTTAACGGTGTCACTTTGCTGCAATATCGCACTTGCCTAGGAGAATCAAATGTCAAAATGGGCTGATACAGCGGCTGCACAACTTCCCTACACTGTGACAGCTCACTGACAGGACGAGTCAAAATCAGCCGGCCAAATCCCAATGACATTTCAGTGTCAGAGGGGAACGCAAAAGAATTGTGGCATCAGGCCGTCATCTTGGCATCTAAGGGCCGAAATCTGGACTGTTGATGGTGTATGTTAAGCATATGTATATATGTTGTAAAAGTAGGATGAATTATCTGTATACTTATTTTTGTGGGTTGTAAATAGTTCTTCCTCATCACAAGTTCCACAGCCCACTCAAAAATTGCCAAGCCATGACAACTGGCAGGGTCAGCCAAGTTCACACAATGCGAAGCGCCATACCAGCTACCAACTTCAATGTCTGAGCTTCATGGGCAATGAAGTAGAGCGGCTTCTTGGGAACCAACATCCCAGAGTTGGGATCCACGGCAACACGCCACAGCACAGCGATCCGTTGGCTTTCCACCAGCTGTGCTGCAGGAAAAAAATCCGCTGCATTGTTCACATTGACAGCAGATGCCTCAGGGAAGGCCTTTGGGCGCAAACACCAACGGGAGTCCGCATCTCCCTCAGCTTCAATCACAAAGTAATCTTCCTCCGCCGTGGACAAAGCAGCACCAGCCGGGCGCTTCACCGAATGGCCAAAGATCTTTAGATCCAGCAGCCCACTTGCTTCTGCCTCCTGCAGAATGGTCCGCAGGGATGCAGGGGCCGAATCTTCTGTTCCATTTGCATCGCCCCGGGGAACCTCGCAAACAACCTTGGCTGGAACTTCATTGAAAGAGACGGCATGTATCAAAAACACGCCGCCATCCAAAACCAAACGCAATCCAAAAACCTTCACAGTATTAGGAAAAACTCTATCCTAGAGTGGCCAAAAAACCCGAGTCAAGTCATTGGCAACATCAAAGACATGGATCTTGGTCTCATCAGAATTGGCAAGAAGGCGGGTGCTCTTTGGCGGCCGGAACCAATCCGTCCGCGCATGCCAGAAGATCGGCTTGTCCAGGGGCACAGCAACATCTGAGGTCGAGGTCAGATACAACTTAGTCTGATCATCCTTGATCCACAGGAGGAACTTCAAGTTGCCATCGACATCAGTGGCGAACTCGTGCACAGTTCCTTCAGGAATTGCCTCTCTCTCAATGATGGACCACTCACCTTCAAATTGGACTGGAGCTTCTGCTGCAGCGGCAGCGGCTTGGGCAACCACCTGACGAAAGCAGTCGAAGAGAAATTATGCAGTCAAGAAATGTTGACACATGTTGTATTTAAAAAAGCCGCCCACACAGCCCTGAATCCAGGCAAAGCACTTGTGGCTCTGCATTGTGCTGGGCCAACATGGTGTCGAACTTGGAGACCTCCGCTATCCAATCGGGGCCATAGACAATGTCTGAGGCCCAGCGACGTCTCACATCCTTCAATCACAAAGTCATGAAGAACATGCGGGGCATCTTTGTTTTGGTAGCAACCCAAACCCTTTGTTTCCATGGTTTGTATTGAAACCATCAACGCAGAAACAAAAAAAAGCAAAGCCTGCACTTATAAAATTAGAATGATGAAAATGTATAAGCATATATATATGTGTGTATGTATGTGTATGTATGCATACATGTATGTATTATATGTACATATGATTATCATTGACAAATACATGCATAATTGTGTATATATATATTTATTTATTTATTTATCAAACCTACTTTGGATCTCCACCAGGACCTGGGATAGGGTGGCTGCTCCACCTTCATCCAGCACCACCATCTGCAAAGTAGGCGGGGCCGCCACTTGAACCTTCTTCTCATCTTCTGCTGATAAAGCAGCCTGGAATTTCAAGTGTTGTTCAGGTAGCAATTTCCAACTTGCTGACTTCCAATCTTGAAGGAGACACTTTGCAACATGGTTTCGCGCAGCCACCAAATGATCTGCCCGCAAGCCAGTGGAGACAACCTTCCAGGAGTTGTGTGCACCAATGTTCATCTTGAGGATCGTTTTCTCGACGCAACCATCATATGGTGAATAGTGGCCAACAATCACCTCACAATGCAGTGCGAAACGCACACCAAAGAAAGTTTTGGTCATGTCTCATGTTCAGCTAGCTCTTCTTTGTCGAATTCATGCAGCATTTCATGTTTTGATTGTCAACTTAGCCACTTCTAGGTGGAACTAAAAACAACATGTTGCAGCATTTCTTTTTTGGATTGCCTTTTGGTGGAAATCATACCAAATAACAACAGGGAAAACAAAAATGGTCAGCCCAGTGACTTGGTCTGACGCTGACTTCAACAAGGGCTTTGGGACCACCTCGCAGTTCAAGGTCATGGCCTCAAAGATTCGTGTTGGAACCGACTCTCCACCCAAGATCTGGGCTGCCCTCCGCTCCTCTGACAAATTGCCAAGGTGGGATGCTTGCCCCGGCTCTGCATGCGTCACGAAGACCTCAGAGTTGTTCAGCCAGTTGGCTTCAATGGTACAGCACCTTCTCATCATAAAGCTCTCCTCAAACAGGTTCCTCTTGTTGCAGTCAGAGATAAGGATGTAGCAGTGGTAGACAAGGCTTCGGTTGTCATTGCCGTGCAATCCAGATCCCGACATCCTGATGGTTGTCAGCAAGGGGATGAGGCCCTTCGCTTCACTTTTCCTTTCAACTCGCTGTCGCTCTTCTCTGTCGCCTCCAAGCCCATGGCGGGTAACACTAACTGGGGCTGCACGTATATGATCGTCAGCAGTCACATCCTGACCTATTGTATATAATGAAAAAGACTTGAGATTGACCTTTTATTTAATGAGCAGCTACTTGGCAAGCCTAAACATCAAGCAGCCACACACAGCCCGCCTTTGGACCGCTTCTTGCTCACCAAGTTGGGCATCAGGAAGATTGCAGCTGTGTTTTCAGGATCTTGGATGCAAATGCGCTCCACAAAACCTGCGACGCAATCCAACTCATCATCGGACATTCGGCCGAATTTGTTTGCATCGATGTACAGCAATTTTGCCACCTTTCCACCACCACCATCTGCCTTCCGAGCAAAGGCACCAAACTCGGCAATGCAACGTTCATTGCTTTCGCAGGCGATCATGTGGCAATTGCCCTGCATGAAAGGTTCAAGAACATCTTGACGCCCCTTGTGAATTTGGTTTCTGACGTGCATGCTGACAGCAAGTTGCTTCATCTTGTTTGACCGCTGCTTGTCTGACATCCAAGTCCTTGCATGACACAAACGCAAGCTCAATTGTCAAAAAGAATCTAGCTTCTATATTATTTACATGTATCTTTCAATCTATCAATCTATCTATCTATCTATCTATCGACCTATCTATCTATCTATCTATCTATCTATCGATTTATCTATCTATCTATCTATCTATCCATCCATCCATCCATCCATCCATCCATCTATAAAGAAAAGTGCCAAATAAATTGTCAGCAAGATGCACAAGTCGGGCCATGTCTCCACTGAGAGCAAGGAGATCAGCCTTAAACCTTGCATCCTGCTCTGCAGTGCTCATCTTCTCCAGATCCTCCGCGCTGAGGCTAACCGATGGCATGCCATTCGCATCTTTTGAAGTGAACCCAGGAAAATCGTCCTTGATTGTCCATGCCGGATCTTTGATTAACACCTGCTGCTTGCACACCTGAACCCAGTCTCCTTCCACCAGTCGGCGGCGAGCTGATCTCACCTCTTCCTCACTCATCTCGGACATCTCCAAGGCGTGCCCTCCCCAGCAAGCATAATCACACAGCTCATTCCATTCTTCGATGCTGATCTTCATGCCACTGCTGTTGCCCTTCTGACGAGCTGCTTCTTGATTGCAGATTTCAAAGAAGAGAGTCTGCTTGAAGTCATTCATTTTGAGGATTTGGTCCCAAGGAGCTTGTAGGTTTTTAGGGGCTGCCCCCAAAATCCATCGACCGCTCGAAAGCACCTTCAACTGATACGGCCCCTTCTTTTCGGGGATCTGGTCCAAGGACTTCTGGATGAGAACCAGGGCACTGGGGCTGCTGTGGAAGCACAGATTCATAATGGAGTTTTCCTGGTACCAATTCAGCTTGTACCTGCTGTTGACGGACAAGACTCCATGAGAGTTGAATTCCAAGAGGACCTGCTTCCACAGCGTCTGCTTTGCGCTCAAGGTAGCTGTTGCAAAGTCGATGCCCTTGTCCTTGGCCACATCCTGCATGGCAGCTTGCAGCTTGATTGCCATGCTCAAGGCTGTGAGAGGAGCACGCTCCTTAATCTGCTGCGACTGTAGCAAGCATTCATAGTAGCAAGAGCGGCTTGTCTTGAATTTCATGATGTTGACATTGACATGCCACCCCTTCTTCAAGAACCTTGGGACAGGCGCAGCCAAGCCATATTCAAAAAGCAAATGGCAAACCTATCTCAACAACCATACTTAAATTTGTCAATAAGAACCACAGGAAAAGTTCTTCAAGAAACCCACTGGAAAAATCTGAAGCAAAACCCACCGGAAATTTTCTCAGGAAACCCACCGGAAATTTTCTCAGGAAACCCACCGGAAATTTTCTCAGGAAACCCACCGGAAATCTTCTCAGGGAAACCCCACCGGAAATCTTGTCAGAGACCTACCCTGAACCAAATCAAATCTGGTGGAATCACAGTGAACCCACCGGAAATCTTGTCAGACCAAATCAAATCTGGTGGAATCACGGTGAACCCACCGGAAATCTTGTCAGACAGACCCGCCCTGAACCAAAGCAAATTTTGTGGTGGAATCACCGTGAAGTCACCGGAAATACAGCTTGCTGATCTCATTGGATGTTTTGAAACATAGCAGGGGCATTTCTTGCTGGAGTTATGTCTTGTCCATGGGTGGATCAAAGCATACTTGAACATCTATCGAGTGCTTTCAAAAAATGATGCTTTCTCGCCAGATATTTTTTTCAAAACAATTTTTTTTTCTGGTGACATCACCGGGATCTCACCAGACCTATGTATATACCCCTGGGGCTAAAATTCACCCACCTGACCTCATATACTTACTGAGTATTACTGAGTATACCTCATTTACCTTAATCAAGTAATACTCAGTAAGTATATGAGGTCAGGTGGGTGAATTTTAGCCCCAGGGGTATATACATAGGTCTGGTGAGATCCCGGTGATGTCACCAGAAAAAAAAAATGTTTTGAAAAAAAATATCTGGTGAGAAAGCATCATTTTTTGAAAGCACTCGATAGATGTTCAAGTATGCTTTGATCCACCCATGGACAAGACATAACTCCAGCAAGAAATGCCCCTGCTATGTTTCAAAACATCCAATGAGATCAGCAAGCTGTATTTCCGGTGACTTCACGGTGATTCCACCACAAAATTTGCTTTGGTTCAGGGCGGGTCTGTCTGACAAGATTTCCGGTGGGTTCACCGTGATTCCACCAGATTTGATTTGGTCTGACAAGATTTCCGGTGGGTTCACTGTGATTCCACCAGATTTGATTTGGTTCAGGGTAGGTCTCTGACAAGATTTCCGGTGGGGTTTCCCTGAGAAGATTTCCGGTGGGTTTCCTGAGAAAATTTCCGGTGGGTTTCCTGAGAAAATTTCCGGTGGGTTTCCTGAGAAAATTTCCGGTGGGTTTCCTGAGAAAATTTCCGGTGGGTTTCCCTGAGAAGGTTTCCGGTGGGTTTGCAACAGTACACTGTAAAAACATTCAGCATATCTACCTGTACATGTGACACCCAAGGCTTCTATTCTACACATGAAACACTTTTTAAACATGGGAATCCTAATTGGTGTTGAGAAAGCTGTGAGTGGTTCGGCCAAGACTTTTGGCCAAGAAGCTCCACCCAAAGCGTCACATCCTCTGCCACTTGCTCATCTGCCTTCCTTTCAAAAACCTTGGAGTGGCCCTTGTCAAAGCAAAAGAACAAGCAACTCAAACGTGTGAAGCCCTTGCCGGCCAACTGAATGCAACCAGGAGTTTCCAGATTGGCTTGGGTTTCGAACTCATCTGACATCCATTGCACAAGGATCTGCTCTCGGTTCTCGTACCCAACAGCGAGAATCTCTTCCAAAGTCGAGATCCAGGAATTGATGGGGGGCAAGTCCAAGAGCGCACCATCTGCAGGGCAAATCCAATGAGCAGGCTAACTGTCAGTCTGTGTTCCGCCCCATTAAAAGCTTTAAGACACTTACTGCAACAGAATGGCCCACATTGGCCCACATTATAAAATCCTCAAATCAAAAAACCCTTGGTACCTTGAGTTGGCATGCTTGGCTTTAAGACACTTACTGCAACAGAATGGCCCACATTGGCCCACATTATAAAATCCTCAAATCAAAAAACCCTTGGTACCTTGAGTTGGCATGCTTGCGCGCGCCAGAACGAAGGCACTGAGAGGGGCGTGCCCAGGAGCAGCAGACACTGCATTGCCCAAAGTGGCCTGGACCATCTTATCCAAGTCTGCACGCGCAGCTTGCCCAGCTTCATTGAACTTCTTCAACATTGGCCCAGCTGGATGTTCTCCTTTGGCAGCCATTGCGCGAGCATCTGACAACAAGGCCTGGCAGCGCAGGTGGGTGGACAATCCCTAATGAGCGCAATGCCCAAAGAATCCAACACAAATCTCTAATTAGATATGTCAACTGTAGTTCCAACATGTGAGAATCATCACTGAACTATCCACAGGCACATGTGCTATTATGCAGATCTGTCTGGAAACCAACCATCAATGCACCAGCTGAACAATGATCACTCCATCCCACATGCAAACTGGAGGTAGGCAATGAAACAGGGCTTAGCAGCAATCAATGCCCAACGCTAAATTGCCATCAAGTGACAATTTTTATGATAGTTCTAGACCCTTGGAAGTGGGAATGAAACAGCGCTGAGCTGGCTGAGCTATTACCTTTGTTCCCCTGGAAATGAACTATCAACTGTTGACATCCCATTCGATTGGAAGGCAGCTATAAAAGAGGATTTACAGTACCTCTCACTCAACATCCACATGTCAAGTGTCATTCCATCCCAGACCTGCTGGAAAGCAACAATCACGGAGGACAAATTTTATAATAGTTTTAGACCCTCGAAAGTGGGCATGAAGCAGCGCTGAGCTGGCTGAGCTATTACCTTTGTTCCCCTGGAAATGAACTATCAACTGTTGACATTCCATTCCATTGGAAGGCAGCAATAAAAGAGGATTTACAGTACCCCTCACTCAACATCCACATGTCAAGTGTCATTCCATCCCAGACCTGCTGGAAAGCAACAATCACGGAGGACAAATTTTATAATAGTTTTAGACCCTCGAAAATGGGCATGAAACACCACTGAGCTATCACCTTGGTTCCCCTTGAAATGAACTATCAACTGTTGACATTCCATTCCATTGGAAGGTAGCAATAAAAGAGGGTTTACAGTACCTCTCACTCAACTTCCACATGTCAATTGTCATTCCATCCCAGACCTGCTGGAAAGCAACAATCACGCAGTGCTTTGAATGGTGAGCCAACCACATTCTCAACACCCCCCCAGCAAACTTGAACATACTGGAACACAAGGATAAAGATGTGTTTCGCATTGCTTGCTTGGCTTTGACCTAATGTCTACCCCGCCAACAAGTGAATTCAGAGGCCATTTTTCTTGATTTCACGCATTGCTTCAATCTCCATGTGCTGGTCTGATGCGGGCCACCACCCGCGCAGCCGGAAGCATGTGGGCAATGATGCCACAATCATATGGTATGAGATTTTCCACATCGGGCCAACCCTTGCACGACTCCATCCATGGAAGTGGAGGGAAATTGACATCTCGTCCTCTTTCACCTGCATTGTCGGAGCTGCCATTGGAAAACGACAACAAACAAAAAGAAACCAAAAACCTGAATCACTGTGCCACCATTCATTGTCTTTAGGTGCTGATGGGATTTAAAAACTTTTTGGTTCAAAGCATTTGCATTAACTTCTTTTGTCAGCATGCCCCGCCTCTTGCCAAGGAACGAATGTACTGGACTGATCGCTGAACTTGCTGCAGGTCGTAGCAATCCAAAAGTGCCTTAGCAACCTTTAACCACGTCTCGGCATGATTTTCAGGTGTCTTCGGCGGTCTCAACTTTGTTGGCACAGGGAAACGTGTCACAAATCCTTTTGCCCTCTCATAAGGCAAAACCAGAATCGGCGGCTGCGATAGCCTGCTGTCCCAAACGTACCGCTTGGCCAAAAGGACCACATCGCAGGGGTGGGGAGCAAATCCAGCCACCGGAGCAATGTTGTACGTTGAAGGCACATCCTTCCTGGGCATAAACATCCAGCAGTGAATGCCTGTTGCATCATCCCGCATACCTCCTTCAAGGTTGACAGATAAATCTTGGGCATACCCACTCCAATCACGCACCCCCTCAAGGACTTCCACACTCACTTCTGGAACGCCCAAAAAACTTCGAAGAGAATCTTTGCTCAAGATGTTTTCAATTGAACGTTTCACAGCATAGATGTCTTCCAGTCGGTCAACATACTGAAATGATCGCGCTAAGCATCCAAAAGCCTGGTCTAAGCAATTGTGGCTGTGACCTTTGATGTGGTTTGCTAAGGTGCAACTCTTGAATTGGCCTCGTCCACATAACAATGCTAAGTTCATCAAGACAGTCCGGTTCTTATTTTCTCTAGGAGTATTGTCCGTCCACAGGCAGATCTCTTCTGGCACTGAGATCTGGCGTCGTCGGCTGACAGACGCTATGTGCTCTAGGGCACGGGACAGGACCTCCATGATGAAGCTGCTGTCATGAGGCTGTGTGGCATCGCCCAAGATGACGTGGAATCCAAACCAGCAACACCACACGCCCTGAACAATCAATTTTGGTCTGGCCAGATTGGAAAATCGCTTGGCAGCTTTCCAGCCGGGCAATCGAGGGATTGCCCAGTGGGCCTGGTCCATCCCGTCTGTCAGGATGAGTAATATTGGTTTCGCCGCTGATGGCGGTGTTCTCCTCAAGCTGGCCTCAATCTCCCTGCTCAAGGTCACCTCCTTGTAGTGCTGGCGAAGGTCCATGGTGGCCTTGTAGAGCTCCCGGTAGCCTGCCCTTTTCGCAGTTTTGATAGCTTGCTTTTTCTCAGCACATGTGTCACAATCCTGAAAGTCACCCTTGGTGCGGAACTTCAAGATGTTGCTAAACTCCTTGTAGGCCCTCAAGAAGGTCATATAAGATGGTCTGTCGCAACTGTTGCCAATGCCACTGACCATATCCAAATGCAAATCCTTGACATTGCCAGGTGGCAAGAAACGCAGAGGAAGATCTAAGAGGTGTTCTCCGCAACCACTCTCCACCATCCTCGCAAAATGTGTGTTGTCAGCGAAGATCTCTGCCTTGACTGCTGCGGCCTCTTGTTCATCTGTAATGATCTCATCATCACTGCTGCTGCTGCTTCCATACGGATCTATTCCTGACATTCGCTTTTGCCGTCTCTTGCTGAACTTTCCTCTGTACTTGTGTGGAAGGGTTTCTCCAAGCCTGCAATACAGAGTGACCAGGTATAAACGGCACTTTCGCGACATGTGTTTCTCTCGCAGGAGTCGAGCTTGCCCCTTCAATCGTCGATCAGGATTGATCTGGCCCTTTGCAGCTGAAAATAGGCGCACCCGACCCAGCAAAAACAAGACGCGAAAACACTCTTTGCCCAAGTAGTGCCCAAGCACACCAATGAGATTCGGTGAACCAATCTTCCTGACATGTGTGCATGGCAAGAATGGGGCTGGCCCACATCAAAAAAAAATCCTACCAACACATTGGTTTGATAAAGACATGAAACAATTGCGCTGCACACACCAATACAGATCAATCTGGGCTGGTTTCCCTCATCCAAGGATCCGCAAAATTTCATCACGGACACCTTTTGCAGCTGTAGCAAACGCAGCCATCACGGCCATCAAGGTTGCAAAAACTGGTTTGAACTGGTTCCAACAGGTGCCCCTACTGCAGTCACAGCACTCTCTGTTGACGAGCTCCTGAACCCGGTTCTGGTCCATTCGCTTCTTCTGATCAGAGGTCATGGGCTTCTTCAAGGACACAGCAGCAGCTGCAGCAGCTTTGGCCTTGCGCCGCTTGCTGTTGTAGTGTGGCCGTTTGGATCTCAAGTCATCCTTTGGCATCGCCGGCAGGGCAGAAGCAGCTTTGGCCACTTCCTCCTCAATCAGCTCCAATGACAAATGCTCCGAATCACTGGGCGAAGACCCAGCTGCGTGATTGGACACTGCAACGGGTCTATCAGCTGCACATGTTTTTGCTGCAATGGATTGGAACAAAGCTTGACGGCTTTGATGACCATCACTCCTCTGCACTGGATGACTCACTTCCGCACCAGGATGACTCACTTCCGCACCAGGATGACTCGCTTCTGCACTAGGATGACTCCCTTCCGCACGAGTCCCAGCCAGCTGACTGAAAAAAGCACTGCGTGGTGATTTTGTTTTTTGGGACGCGGCCAGCTTCTGAAACATGATCGTACGATCAGTTGACATGATTTGCTGACCCTAGTCAAGCGACAGGAAATAAACTGAAAGCCGTTAGATGGAACTTATTTCATGAATCAATTTCAACGTGCTGCTGTCCTTTTCGAGCATGATGGTCATGATGCTGGTGGTGTTAGTGGTGGAATTTTAATGTGCTGCTGTCCTTTTCGAACATGATGGTCATGATGCTGGTGGTATTAGTGGTGGAAATTCAATGTGTTGCTGTCCTTTTTGAGCATGATGGTCATGATGCTGGTCATGATGGTGGTGTTGGTGCCACAGTGGTGGTTCCTGAACTTTTGAATGCCCTGCAAAGACTTGCTGCGATGATGTCAGAAGTGACCTTCAAAGAGACTTGTTGCAAAACTCAACTCTTGCTCCAACCCCTTACTGTATATAGTCCAAACTCCAACCAGAAAATACCACGAAACCAGAATGAACCTACCAGCATAGTTTCAGCAAGGCAGGCGTCTTAAGAAGTAAAACCTGGCCTCCGCCCAAAAGGAGGTAGAACGCTGCTTGATCTTCTTGTCACATCTGGCATCGGTATTGGTGAGCGATTTCCGCTTACCTGGCATTGCCTCGTTCCACTTTGGGTCAAAGCGAGTAAAGCTTTGCTAATGTATGACTTCCCTTGACATGGACTCAACTGCAATGATGGATATGCTCAGCTTCAATACAAACCATCTGGGCCCCAGGCAGCAACCAATCAGCCAGGCCAGTCACCGAATTGAGGCTTGGCACGCACACTGCGCTGCCAGCTGGAGCCACAGGTATGGATACATCACATCTGTCCATGACATGTCAAGTCGAAAGAAATTCACATGAGATTATCAATGGATACATCTGATCTGAGCAGTTTGGCAAACAGCTTTGCATAGACAGAACATGTTTGAATCACTGGCTTTTCTCTACAAGGGACACAGCTACGCATCAGCGACTCAATTGGCTGCATTTGGGGCACGCTACTGCTTGGAACTCTGAGCTTCATGTTTTGTTGTCAGCTCAACAAAAAGCAATGCAGCCATGCACGCAAGAGCTAAGCAAGGCGAAAACATCCCGTTCCCAGCCATTGCTTTTAAATCTACATCTTGAACATCTGGTGGAAGTGGCTTATGGGCCAACCCAAGCGTTTGTGAATCGCTTGCATGCACAGGCCAACCCATTGCTCGAAGGAGTTGGGCCCCGCTCAAAAATTGAGATCGGGACCGAACATACAACTTGTTGGTGGTCAGAATTGTTGGCAAACAGTTGTCTTTCAAGGTTCCAACTGGCCTTCCGGTACTCTGCTGCAAATCCACGATGTCTTTGCCATACAGCCTGTGGTCGGGCTCTAAACTTTCATATTGCTTCAAATGTTTTTTCTCGGAGTCTGTCAGCTGTCTCCTCGAAGCCAAATCTGGTCTCTCAGCGAAAATGAGCGGGTCATTTTTGGCAGGCAAACGTTTCACAGCTGCCATGCACTCCAGCCAACTCTGAGATGGGCCAATCCATTTGTGTTGCTTCAAAACCAAGATACCATAGCATCTTGGACGTGCCATTGGGTATCCAAAAAATCGTGGGTCCAGGTCATCCAGGAATATATTATACGACTTCCCCAACAGCACCTCGAGCAATCTGCGCTCAAAACGCGACACATTCTCAAACAGCACAATGTCTGGCAGCTCCTTAAGGATCAAGCATGCCCAAGCTTGCATGTAGGTGTACCGGTGGTCATCAGTACCTAGGCCTGACCCGAATGATGACCAAGGTGGGCACGGCGGCCCTCCAATTTCCATCCTCCACTGCTCTGTCAACTTGGCTGGCTGAGCTTCACACATACCCTTGTGTGTCACGCAGTGTGCTTTCCTAGCAACATTTCTGCAATGAACACTGCCCTTTTTGGAGCATTGGATCTTCCCTGTAAGACTGGAGATGTCCTCGAAGATGCACCTTCCAGGGTCGCGAGCTGATAGCACTTTTTGGCACACTGGAAGCCACTCTATCGCACGGCCAAAATGCACTCTGGTGGCATGTTGCGCCCCCAATGCCGCAACTGCAACCTCTGCAAGCCCGGAACCTGAAAACGAAGTTGTAACATGTGCCGTGGCCAACTTCTGCAAGGCTGCATCAACACGGTCCTGGCCCACTTCATTTGCCATGGACTGCGTAATCTGCTCTGGGATGATTGCAAATGCTTCGGACATGGACTTGAAACCCGAAGTTGTCACCGAAAGCCCCGCAGACGAAGAAGGACGTTCAGCAGGGCTCCGTGATCGATCTGTGCGTCGTGCTTCTGCAACAAATTGGAAAAGCTGAGCTCGAGGGTTCTCTCGCTCCCGAGACTGGCTTGCCAGCTGCTGGAAGAGAACAAGGCGCTGGTTAGGCTGGTCAGGAGCTGCTGGCTTGCTGGCATTCGCACCCATGGTTGGCACTGCGCAAGCAAATCAATGCTGCTGCCTTCAAGAAATGGCAAACTATGGCAACTATACTAATTATACTCTTCATTTGGCAACTATACTCTGAATTTGGGCAACAATACGCTAAATTTGGCCATATTTGGCCAATATATATTCATCATATTCTTATCATAAAATGCAATATATGTTTGCTTTGCCGTTGACTTTTCCAAGTTCATTTGCACGGGTGCAGCAACTTTCTAGAAACACCTTGGACATAAAATGTGGCAGTAATGAAAGTAGACATTGCGAATTTCCAAGAAAAACTTGTGCCTTGAGCCAGCCTTGGGTCAAGGTTGAAATGACACCAGCATTCAAGCAAGCCCAGTGCAGCAAAGAACCACTCACAAATGATTGAAAATTGCGCTGGTAACCAGCGTATGTGGGTGAGTCTGGTTTTTCTGCTGCTGTGCTGGGCTCTGGACCGCTTCTGTTTTCGCTTCCGTTATCCACCTGGAAACGGCCGGGCCCCTTCCGAAACGGTATATGGGTATATAGGAAAGAATGCATAGGAAAAGAATGCATGACTGTATGACACAATGAGTTTGTTTGGAATGAGTGAATGTTGGGCGGAATCCAGCCCATGGAGTTTGTTTGGAATGAGTGAATGTTGGGCGGAATCCAGCCCATGGAGTTTGTTTGGAATGAGTTTGTTTGGAATGAGTGAATGTTGGGCGGAATCCAGCCCATGGAGTTTGTTTGAATGAATGTTGGGCGGAATCCAGCCCATGGAGTTTGTTTTGTTTGAATGAATGTTGGGCGGAATCCAGCCCATGGAGTTTGTTTGGTTTGAATGTATGTTGGGCGGAATCCAGCCCATGGAGTTTGTTTGGTTTGAATGTGTGTTGGGCGGAATCCAGCCCATAGTTAGTGTAATATGATGGTACAAAGAGAGAGGGAGAGACAGTAAAGAGATAGACAGATAGACAGATACGCAAACCAATAGACATACAGCTGATAGATAGATAGATAGACAGACAGACAGATAGATAGATAGATACATGGATAGATGGATGGATGGATGGATGGATGGATAGATAGATAGATAGATACATGGATAGATAGATAGATACATGGATAGATAGATAGATAGATAGATAAATAGATAGACAAACAGACAGACAGACAGATAGATAGATAGAAAGGCAGACAGATAGATAGATCGATGGATAGATAGACAGATAGATAGATAGATAGACAGATAGATAGATAGATAGATAGATAGATAAATCGAGATGAAACAGAGACAGACAGATTAGAATGATAGATCAATGGATGGATAGATACTTTAGATCGATACTTTAGATAGGCAGAGCGATAGATAGAAAATTGGTAGTCTATATGCTTGGTTGGACGTTGGGCGGAATCCTGCCCAAAGTCAACTTGAATGTTTCTGAGCCAAGTCCTGCGCGGAATCCAGCAGGGGTTCAGCCTTGGGCCGGAGTCCGCCCAAGAATAACAAACGAAAAGTGGAAACGCTAATTCAAAAGGAGTTCGTGAGCAAGCATTACAGTAGACAGCTCTCACACCAACCCCAACCTTACTTAACACAGGGTTTGGATGCTAGTTTGTGGGGCTTGGGCTGGATTCCGCCCAAGCCCCGTGGGAACAACAGTGACAGCAAACCGGCGCCTTCACTTGCAGGCTTCATGGCTGAGTCCTGACAGAATTTGCCCGCAGCATTTATTTTTCGGCCAAGGTCAACCCAAAAGCCCCTCAAAGCTCTGCGTTTTTGATTTGGTGGCATGGCTTTGGGGCTTAAAGCGACACGATGCCGTGTGCCTGGCAAGACCTATGTGGAACCTGATGAGGGCAATCTTGGGGAGTTCATCCACCAATGGATTGAAGAACGCCATGATTTTTTGACTTTGGAGTTTGGATCAGCCACGATTTTGTCCCCCACGGAAATCTGTTTGAAGCCTGTGACATCTGCCAAAGAAAATCGTCTCAGTGCGTTGCTTGGCAATTCAGTAACAACATGTTTGGCTTGTGCCCAAAACCATATCATTCTTATTTTAAAAAACAGCTGCTCTTTTCTACAAGTATTTAGCATCATCATCCTTTAGGGTTCTCAATCGGGCATGCTCGCGCAGCATGCAGGCTCCTGCTCCAGCACATGCTGATTGTGAACCCAGAGGGATGGGTGCAGGCCTCGCAGAAGGCAAAGCCGACTGACGCTGATGACAAAGTGGTTCCTTGACATGCTGATACTGATAGCTTTTGGAAACTGACATGTTCCAGTAGTAGGTTTTTGCTTCTTGTTTGTGCCAGTGATACATGTAAGCAACAATCAAGGTGTCCAGCCAATCCCATTAAAGGAGATAAAAATCAAACAACGAGTGTCCAATCCCGTGTTAAAGTCAACCGCTCAGGTTTCCCTCTACCAGAAGGGGGTGGAGATTCATTGCGCTGAATTCTTTGTTCACCTCTGCAAGAGCAAGGATGAGTTTTCCGCGCCCACCTTCATGTTTCCCAACCACCTCTTTGTCTGTCTAGAGAAGTTCGAAGTCCTCGTTGTCAAGTGCAAAAATTTGAATGTGGCAAAGAAGTCCAAGGATGATGAGGAAAACGAAATCCTTTTGATGTAGAAAGAGAGATTCTGCACAACTCGATGATATGAGAAAAAAAGATGCGCTCGTGGTGACTTGTTCTGAGCTTGAAACCTTTGAAGTTCTCGTAGCCTCAGGTGTTTAGGCAACACTCATGTGGACAGAAATCCGGGGTGAACCAAGGCTGATCAAATCAAGGAAACAACTGTGAAGCCCTCAGAGCACTCAGAATCCTTTTTTTTCGCCATTGCCATTGCCTGTCTTTGCAGTGCCATTGCTTTCGCCGCCAGGTGCCAAATGAGATTTGGAGTGGAATCAGTTTGAACATGTTTGAGATTTGATTCCAACTATATAGATTACTAGTTTTGCATAGTATTAGATTGCAGTGGGGCTATATTATTGATTTATTTATATCGTATTTTTCAAATTTCAACATCCCTTATTGGACCCGGCTGAAGGCCAGTCTTTGCTGGAAGTCTGTGCCGCCCCCAGTTGCATTGCCGCCGCATCGCCAGCCAATGGTTCAATTTGAGATGAGAGATTTGATGCCACTTTGAAAAGTATAAAAGTGGATCCCAACTATAGATGTGAATAGTGTTAGATTGCAATGGAGTTATTGTAGATTTATCTATATCGTATTTTTCAAATTTCAACATCCCATTTTGAATCCGGCTGAAGGCCAGTCTTTTGCTGGCAGTTTGTGCCGCCCCCAGCCGCATCGCCAGTGGTTCCAAATGAAAAAGATTTGAAATGATTTGAGATTTGATGCCATTTTGAAATGTATGAAAGTGGATTCCAACTAGATGTGAATAGTATTAGATTGCACTGGGGTGATATTTTCAATTTATGAATCTATATCATATGTTTGCCAAATTTCAACCTCCCTTTTTCTTTGGAACCCACAGCTGCTCCTTGTTGAGCTCGCACCACTCAACGAACCTCAGAGAAGCGCAACACTCAGACACCGAAAATCAAAGTGAAGTTGAGACAGAAAAAACTTTAAGGCGAGGAGCCATCTTGTCGCCCATGGCTCTGCCCAGGCGCGGCGCTGAAAGATGTACTCTTCCTTAGTGAGGGGCACTGCAAGATGCTAATTTTCGTTTTGGGTTGGCCCCCCAAAAAAGGCCCCCACAAGTCATGAAAACTTGGGAACAATGTGGGGAAAACAGTGCATTCTTGAGACTTGTAGGTGAACCAACCCAAGTGGAAAATTGCCACTGCAAGATCAATCCGAAACAATCCAAACAAAGCAACAGCATATGAGCCAAGAAACCGCCGCTTCCACAGAGAGTCCATCGCCCATCACCAACAGGGCGCACGCCACAGCTGCTGATCTGTGGCGGCCCCCATTGCACACCACAACGATGGTCTTGCGGCCTCGTGAGGCAAGGTCAGTATGGTCAGTGTTACAACCAGAGCTGGCAATGTATGAGATCAAGCCAAAAATAAGTGCAATTGAGGCGCCGTTCTCGACCATGCCCTGCGCACTGCGGAAGAGATCCGCCCACCTTGCAGAAGCATTGTGCGAAGTGTAAACAAACAATCACTTTTGGATCATTGGACCAACACACAGCTATATAAATTTCCAAACATCAGAGAATGACGGTAAAACCAAGCAAGTATGATATGTGTTCTAGTTGATAAGGTTGCATTTAAAAACAGCTTGGCTGTACATATATATATATGAACAAACAACCCGGGAAGTGAAGCGGGCAAAAAAAACACCCACCCACCACTCAGCCAAAACAGAGGGATGACATAAAATCAAATGAGTCATGGGGCAGATTCACATCAACGGGGTTTCGCATGTTTTCTGTTTAAAACAGTTGACAGGAAAAAAGGCTTCCATCAACAGAGTTGTACAAAATGAGCAGTCAAAAATGTAGTGCACAAACATATGGAAACGTCAACAGTTCAACAGAGAGTTGCGAAAACCAACTCATTCTTATTGTTTCAAGTCAGTAGGAAGCGCCGGTCACCAAGACCATTCTACTGGCTAACACAAAGTGCCCCAACCGAACGTGCTTCGGTTGAGGCACTTTGTCGGGAATTCAAACACACCAAACATAAAAGGCATGTAAAGATTGTGTAGTATATTTAAATGTTGGGCGGAATCCAGCCCTAGGCATGTAAAGATTGTGTAGTATAGTATATTTGAATGTTGGGTGGAATCCAGCCCTAGGCATGTAAAGATTGTGTAGTATATTTGAATGTTGGGCGGAATCCAGCCCTAGGCATGTATAGATTGTGTAGTATATTTGAACTAGGCATGTAAAGATTATGTAGTATGTTTGAATAGCCCTAGGCATGTAAAGATTGTGTAGTATGTTTGAATGTTGGGCGGAACCCGGCCCTAGGCATTTAAAGATTATGTAGTATGTTTGAATAGCCCTAGGCAAGTAAAGATTGCGTAGTATATTTGAATGTTGGGCGGAATCCAGCCCTAGGCATGTAAAGATTATGTAGTATGTTTGAATAGCCCTAGGCATGTAAAGATTGTGTAATATATTTGAATGTTGGGCGGAATCCGGCCCTAGGCATGTAAAGATTATGTAGTATGTTTGAATAACCCTAGGCATGTAAAGATTGTGTAGTATATTTGAATGTTGGGCGGAATCCGGCCCTAGGCATGTAAAGATTATGTAGTATGTTTGAATAGCCCTAGGCATGTAAAGATTGTGTAGTATATTGTGAGTAGTATATTTGAATGTTGGATGGAATCCACCCCACTAATTTTGCTGCAGAGTAACTTCTCCAGAGGCCGATGAAAGTTGGGGTTCATGGCCAGGAACGGAATGCCCAGTCCTTCGCATTCTTGGCGGTGCGAATTGCATTCCCTTAGATGCCAGGCAACAGTCATGGGCAAAGCTGAGTATTCCATACAGTACAATATAAATCTTACCTTCGCTTCCATCTGGAGAACCACAGCAAGGGAAACTGTCAAGCCAAGGCACTCTTTGTTCTGGCAGTTGATGATGGCGATCTTCCTCTGCAGCTTCTGCGGGATCTTCGCCAAGTCGAACCGCCCACCAACAACCAGCCAGTGCTTCAGCTCCGTCCTAAGGAAAAACACACAAAAGATATCATGCAGAAGCTGCAATGTAGCAATCCCATGGCATATGGCATATGGCATATGAAACAGTCCAAGGATCAATGGCTTGCCGAACTTGAGGTCGTAGATGGCATTCCATTCGGGGCACCCCTTGGCCGGCATCGCCTGCAACCATTGGATGTATAGAAACATCACGATTTGATTCCCAATGGAACGTACTCTGAAGTTTGAAAGCTGCTCATACCTTTGCTTTCTTCCATACTATCAGCTAGCAAACTAGCATTGGCAAGTCAACGAAAAAACACATTTGAAAACAATCTTGTAAACTCTTCTCCATTTGAACCCGGCCTTCGACTTGATGACCTTCTGCTTTTTCGCAGGCTGGTCCTGCAACCGGTGATCAACACTGCCTATTCCATTGGTCATGAAATATTTTCCTTGCCTCAGCTTCGGAGTCGGAGCTGTCGGCGGCAGCAGCGCTTGATGATGCCTCCAGCAGAAACACAAAAAAAGAATTCGTTGAAGAAATGCAACAACACAGCACCTTCGATCTTTTCGGCGGTGCTGCTGCGCTTGACTCCTCCAGAAGAAACACCAAAAAAGAACATGTTTGAAGAAATGCAACAACACAGCACCTTGGGTCTCGATGGCATTGATGGTGCCTCCAGCAGGCAGACAAAATAAATTGTTTGTAGAACTGTAGAACTGTAGAACTGCAACAACACTAACACAGCACCTTGGATGCACATGGATCTGCTGCAGCACTTGATGCCTCCAGAAGAAAGACAGAAAAAACATGTTAGAAGAAATGCAGCAACGCAGTCACAGCACCTTGGCAGTTGCTGGTGCCACTGGTGACGCCGCCTCCAGCAGAAACACAACCAAAAAAGGAATTGTTTGAAGAAATGCGGCAACACAGCACCTTGAAGGCCCGTGGCGTAGTGCCCTCTGCCTTCAGCAGAAAGACAGAAAAAACATGTTTGAAAAAATGCAGCAACACAGTCACAGCACCTTGGCGGTCGGTGGTGCCACTGGTGACGCCGCCTCCAGCAGAAACACAACCAAAAAAGGAATTGTTTGAAGAAATGCGGCAACACAGCACCTTGAAGGCCCGTGGCGTAGTGCCCTCTGCCTCCAGCAGAAAGACAGAAAAAACATGTTTGAAAAAATGAAACAACACAGTCACAGCACCTTGGCGGTCGGTGGTGCCACTGTTGACGCCACCTCCAGCAGAAACACAACCAAAAAAGGAATTGTTTGAAGAAATGCGGCAACACAGCACCTTGGGTGCCCGAGTAGCGCCCAATGCCTCCAGCAGAAACACAAAAAAAGAATTGTTAGATAGTGTTAGAAGACATGCAGCAACGCAGCACCTCGGCAGTCGTCGCTGGAGATGCTTTAGCCACCCTCGCCGCCTCCAGCAGAAACACAACCAAAAAAGGAATTGTTTGAAGAAATGCGGCAACACTGCACGTTAGAAGAAATGCAGCAACACAGCACCTCAGCAGTCGTCGCTGGAGGAGCTTTAGCGACACTCGCCGCCTCCAGCAGAAACACAACCAAAAAAGGAATTGTTTGAAGAAAAGGTGCAACACAGCACCTTGACGGCCGGTGGCGTAGCTGCCTCCAGCGGAAACACAAAAAGAGAATTGTTAGATGGGTATGTCTCAAAAACTGGCTGCCTCAAAAGAGTCACCCGCCAGTAGAGCCCGGGAGACCCGAGAAGCTTCCGCGGGTGACTCTCTTTTTTGGGCATATGGGGCACCCCCTTTTTGAGACACCCCCAGATAGTGTTAGAAGAAATGCAGCAACGCAGCACCTCGGATGCAAATGGAGGTGGTGCACCCGTCGCTGCCTCCGGCATACCACAGACATCTGGAAGTTAAAGAAAATGGCAAACTGAAATAAAATCGGTTTGCTTTGATCTTACATACATTAAACTCGAAACAACACAGCGCCTTGGCGGATGATGGCGGATGTGATGATGGCGGTGACGTTGCAGCCTCCAGCAGAAACTCTTGAATCCCAAATAATTGACAAAAACAGGTTTGATCATAAAACATGCGGCAACATACAACAGCACCTGGTGGGCAGGCGCTGCAGCGGCCATCGGATGTGCTGCAGCCTCCAGAATCCAGAGTTTATGAAATAAAATTTGTTCGACCAACAAAATGCAGAGCACAAAACGGCACCTGTGATGGCATCCCGGGCATCATCATCCCACCCTGGCCAGCTTGAGTTTGAAAGAGAAAATGTTCAAGACTGAAAAATCATCATTGCAAACTGCAAAACATAGCGCCTGCTGCATCATGTTCATCATCATCATCTGCTGCATCGCCATCATCGATTGCATTGCCTGCCAAGGTCAAAACTGGTAAATGTCCACTTGGGTTGGTTAACCAAAAAAGCCCCTCACAAGTCCCCAAAAAACAGTGTTTTCCCTTTAGTTTATGAAAGATTTTGGGACTTGTGGGGGGCTTTTTGGGGTGACCAACCCAAGTGGAAAATTAGGAAGCGCGCCTGGGCAGCGTTCGCAACTTGAGTGGATGCTTGCGTCAACTGCAGTGGGAATAATTCCGTCAAAGAAAAGTTACAGGAGGTATTTTAAGAAACAAAGCACCAAAGCCGAGAGTAAAATTTGAGCCCGTGACGGCGGCAGCTGTGGCTTCAGCTTGAAGCTGCGCAGCCCATGGTTGCGCCTGCAGTCACCACAAAATCCAAAATGTGTATGCAAAAAAGACTTTGCGCGTTCCACATAGATGTTGCAAGATTTTGCCAAGCTACCCAGCTTCCAGACTCCTCCCTGCTCCTTCTCCTCTCTTCATCCTAAGTTGCATCAACTAAACATATCATCATATCAGGTTTGGTTGACAGCAGCCACAATGTAATCCAAGATGTTCTCTTTTGTTTCTTCTCACTTCGGTGGGGCTTTGGCGCCATGGCTACGGCAATGGTTGCATTAATTAAATGCAATGAATGTGTTAGATGCTGATGTTTTCAGCAGTATGCAGCAATTAGGTGTAGCTGATGTGTTTGTGCGGGGTCTAAGGAGTTGATGTGTTTGTCGAATGTTGTTTGGCGAGGTCTTAGTAAAGGGTTCCTCTTTCTTCTTGGATTTGTGTTGCAGGATTGGCTGCTTTTTTGGAAGCGTTTAGGTTAAGTTTGCAAATTGATGTACAATGTAAGCAATTCGCCAGAAAAAGGTTCATGCATGCTCTCCATTGAGCCTGAATTAGAGGTATTCAAGTGCATGACAGTGAAGAAGAAGAAGACGCTGTCATGCATCAAAATTAAAAGAAGAAGACGCTGTCATGCTTCAATAATGTGAGCTCTGTTCTAAACATTGAGGCTCCAAGCATTGCAGGCCTTGCAGGCTTGCTCCGTGGACAGGCCTTGTTGCAAGTCGACAACGACAGGGCAATCCAACATGTTTTGTTGAAATATTTCAGGGACAGTGTTTCCAATATCTTGCAGTAGAACATCAATCTTGAAAATCCAATCTTTAAGAGTTTCCCTGTTGGTCTCACACCACAATAAAGAAAAATGGCAGTGCTTGTTTTTGTTTTTCTTGAGGAATGGCAAACCAACCGAAAAATTACAACCCATCTTGCAAATGACAAAAGCTATGAAAATCTGAGCCAAGCACCATGGGCTACCCCGCTACCAAGTGTCGGAATCCAGACACTGGCGTATAGACCATCACGATGGTTACCAAGTGTCGGAGTCCAGACACTGGTGTTGTACATGAACCCAGTGCCAGTGTTTCCAGGCATGGGTTTACCTTAGCCCCTTAGTGAGGCCGGAGTCCAGGCCAGCACAAGATCAAATTGATTTCACCTGGAAGGACCATCATGTCACAAACTATTACTGTAGATGATGAATGTAAATAGTACAAAGAGCATGAGAAGAACAATCAAGAAGAAGTTTAAATACAATGCATGTCAGAACGGGTTTTCATTTTTAACCACGCCAAGGCATGTTACTTCAAAAGTGCAACTCTTCAGAGCGACAGCACTGCTAAGATATAAGCAATGCACAGAACTTCCAATGAATATCATCAGCATTGAAAGTTCACAATCTTGACAAAAAACAAAATTAAGCCAAGCACCATGGGCTACCCTGCTACCAAGTGTCGGAATCCAGACACTGGCATGTAGACCTGTTGATGTTACCAGTGTCGGAGTCCAGACACTGGTGTTGTACACGAACCCAGTGCCGGCATTTCCAGACACGGGTTTACCTTAGCCCCTTAGTGAGGCCGGAGGCCAGGCCAGCACAAGATCAAATTGATTTCACCTGGAAGGACCATCATGTCACAAACCATTACTGTAGATGATGAATGTAAATAGTACATAGGTTTATTTGTTGAAGCCTTCAAATCACCAAAGTCAGTTACAAGAGCATGAGAAGAACAATCAAGAAGAAGTTTAAATACAATGCATGTCAGAACGGGTTTTCATTTTTAACCACGCCAAGGCATGTTATTTCAAAAGTGGAACTTTTCAGAGCGACAGCACTACTAAGATATCAATGCACAGAACTTCCAATGAACATCATCAGCATTGAAAGTTCACAATCTTGACAAAAAAACAAAATTAAGCCAAGCACCATGGGCTACCCTGCTACCAAGTGTCGGAATCCAGACACTGGTACCGTCCTTGAACCCAGTGCCGGCATTTTCAGACACGGGTTTACCTTAGCCCCTTAGTGAGGCCGGAGTCCAGGCCAGCACAAGAGCAAATTTGGCTGCAGTGCGCTACAAATCATGTTCTGTCAGAACTGTCATAAACCAAAGCAGTAGAAGAAGCAAAAAGAAGTTTTAATGCAGTGTGCTTTACAGTGTTTTTATTCCAGGACCAAGTCAAGGTATGTTGTTTCAAACTTGCAATTTTTCAGAGCAACAGCACTGCTTTGAGGAAAGCACCAAAAAATGCAAGCAATGCACAGAGCTTCCATTGAACACATGCATCCATGTTTCCATACATTTCAAAATTGTAAATCCAATCTTGAAAATCCAAAACCAAGATAAAAGCAAGCAATGAACATCAACATTGACGGTTCAATTCTGAACATGCGAAAAAAACTAAGCCAAGCACCATGAGCTACCCTGCTACCAAGTGTCGGAATCCAGACACTGGCATGTAGACCTGTTGATGTTACCAGTGTCGGAGTCCAGACACTGGTGTTGTACATGAACCCAGTGCCGGTATTTCCAGACACGGGTTTACCTTAGCCCCTTAGTGAGGCCGGAGGCCAGGCCAGCACAAGATCAAATTTGGCTGCAGTGCGCTACAAATGATTTACTGTCATAAACCATAATAGCAGTAGAAGAGCAAGCAAAAAGACGTTTTAATGCAGTGCGCTTTACAATATTTTTCTTCCAGGACCAAGTCAAGGTATGTTGTTTCAAACTTGCAATTTTTCAGAGCAACAGCACTGCTTTGAGGAAAGCACCAAAAAATGCAAGCAATGCACAGAGCTTCCATTGAACACATGCATGCATGCTTCCATACATTTCAAAATTGTAAATCCAATCTTGAAAATCCAAAACCAAGATAAAAGCAATCAATGAACATCAGCATTGACAGTACATTGTTGAAAATGCGAAACAAAACTAAGCCAAGCGCCATGGGCTACCCCGCTACCAAGTGTCGGAATCCAGACACTGGCATATAGACCATCACGATGGTTACCAAGTGTCGGAGTCCAGACACTGGTGTTGTACATGAACCCAGTGCCGGTATTTCCAGGCATGTGTTTACCTTAGCCCCTTAGTGAATGGTCCCGGAAACCACAGACCAAAGGCCGGAGGCCAGGCCAAATTGGTTGCAGCGCGTTGCATGATGATATATATATATATTTACATATATATATATATATACAAATACATGAAGATTTAAGTAGTGTCAGAATCATCATAGTCCGTATCTAGTAGGTGATGAGTGTTGATTTTATTTATTCAATACCTATTTGTTCATTTATTGAAGTGGCCAAATCCTCAAAATAAATCAATCTGCTGCACTTGGATCACAGAACTAAAGCCCCGGGCAATACATCAAATCGTTGTAAGACCTGGCAAAGACTCCTGGCGCAAGCTGGCATCAATGAAAGATTCCTCACGGCCCCCATGGGCGGAATCCAGACCATGGGGGCCAGCTCTCAAGAAAAAAATGCAAAAAACTGCAATAGATCAAAGGTGTCAAAAGTAAGGTTGGTGTGTGTTGAGCGCCAGGCAAACTAAGAACCCATGGGCCCTGATGCAACCTGGCAACAATGAAAGATTCCTCAGTGCCCCCATGGCCAGAATCCGGACCATAGGGGAGCTCCAGTCCATTGGAAAGAGATGGAAATTTGCAATAAATTAAAACATGTTAGAAGTAGTAAGGCTGGGATGCATTGAGTTCGAGGCTAATGAAGAAGTCTTGACACAACCTGGCAACAATGAAAGAGTCCTCAGTGCCCCTATGGCCGGAATCCAGGCCATAGGGGAGCTCCAGTCCATCGGAAAGAGATAGATAAAATTGCATTAGATGAAACATGTTAGAACCAAAGGTTGACATGTGTTGAGTTCGAGGCTGACGAAGTTCCCAAGAATGAATCCTGATGCAAGGTGGCAACAACGAAGGATTCCTCAGTGCCCCCATGGCCGGAATCCAGACCATAGGGGAAATTATTCAAGCTGAACATGTTCCTTGGAAACGGCTGATTTTTTTTCAAATAAATTTGATGATGTCTCTATGAACATGTTCCCATTCAGATTCCTTGGGACTGGTGGTGAAAACGAATTCCTTTTCCTCAACTGCGCCATGTGCAAGGACTGTCACCTGCTCCTGTGTTGTTGGATGCCTAGAATTTTCCTGGTGCCAAGGGAGATTTGAAAAGACAGCCTTTGCGACACGGTTGCCCTTTTTGGGACGCCCTGCCCCCCCCAAGAACTTGGGCGTTCTCACCTTGAGTTAAAAAATAAAAGACATTGAAAAACAAGACCACAGCACTACAGGCATATCAATTCCAGTTGAAAATGGGTTGAAACTATCCAAGCCACTGTTTGCATGCAACGGTTTGAAAAAAAAAACGTGTTTTGTTTCCATTATTCATGGTTTCAGTTCAAAACAAAAATCATTTATGTCCATTTATCGCTGGCAATGTTTCCAACATATTTCTGGAAAAAAGAATTCAAACAAGTGCATAGATATGGATATATAAAAACATTGTTTATATAATGAGTTAGACATGAAGTCAATAAACATAGGTATTGTATAAATGATAAATAAATATATATATATATATACAAATACATGCAAGTATTAAGATATATGTATACATATATGTATGTGTACGTTTCTATATATGTACATATGTATGTATAGACATATATACATATATACACATATACAAATACACATATATACATACTACATATATACATATTTACATATATATATATATACAGAAATACATATTATACACACATACATATGTGCATATATATACATAATACATATACACAGATACACACATATATATAGTATATGTAAACGTATATGTATATATATATATGTATGTATATGTATATAGTTATTTATGTATATTAGTATATATATATATATATGCATGTGTATGTAAAATTTATGTGTATATATATATATATTTATACACACATTCAAACTATATATAGACATGTGTATGTATATAAACTCTTATATATATATATATCTATTTTATATGGTTCTATATAGGCATATGTATTAAAATTATTTATAAATATTTAGGAAACATATGTCAAAATAATTGTATATTTGTGATTATTTACATATATACATATATATATATATATAATATTTATGTGTATATATGTATTTAATATAATATATATATATATAGAGTTATGTTTGTATTTTTACATAAACATACTTGTACGAATTTTAACTTGCAGACATCAATATAATAAGCAAATAAGAACATGTAATGTCAACATAGGCAATGTCAACATGAAACATTCAAACCCAAATATAGAGCAGAATGAGTCAACAGATTTTATGCCAGTGCGCGCAGCTTTGCCCAAGCCCAATATGTCAGAAAAGTGGGTCAAGAGATTTTATGCCAATCTATCCAAAACCAGCAGCCCAAATCCAATGAAAAAGGCCCATTTCCCACGAAATTGACTTCCATTCGGATCATTTGCCCCGGGTCCAGCTGAGCTCGTTTGGCAAGGGTCTCAAAGCCATCTTGGATGAAGTCAACGACATTGTTCCATCCCATGGGGGCCGACCGCACTCTGGGGTATCCAGCCTCGGGGTTCCCATCATGGAATGCTGCTCCACTGGCTTTGCGGTTGAGTACGAAGTATCCTCGCCAAGCATACCCCGGACGGTACACATGGAAGCCGTGTTTTTGGTCTTCCGCACAGCACAAAATCACTTCATCATCATGAAGGTATAGACGCCCCCATGAGGGCCCGTACCCCATACGTTGCGAGGGTTTGCTTGGCACCCGACGCTGAAAGCTGTTCGAAGGTATGAGGTTAATGATGAGCCGCAAGGTTCTCAGCCAGGTCTGATCCTCTCGCAGGACCCACCCCTTGTGCACTCCAAATGCTCCATTCCGCACTGGGGTGTCTTTGTACCTCAGCGTCTCTGCGGGTTTCTCACGCTCCAGCATCTCCGACTCCACCAAGTGGGATACAATCTTGTCCCATTCATCCTGATTGGTCACTTGAACTGCAGCAGTGGTGCGGGGATGAGTTAACTCCTCGTCTGGAACCCTAAGCAGCTCAGGGGTTTCCACGAAAGGCTTCAACTCCTCGCTCACAACTTCGCAAAGATCAACACGCCCGGCTTCACCTTTCCCTGGGGTCGTTGGGCGGATGGCCTCCAGGGTCAGCGGATATGACTTTCCAGCCCCTGCTCCTGTATAGATGCCACTGAGGTCCTCAGACAACTCATCCCACTCACCCAGGGTCAGCTTCTCATGATTTGTCTCGACCCAGGCCTGCGCGTAGTCACGCTGCCTAGTGATCACTTCAGCCTGTGCATCCGTCCACGCTATAGAATGGCTCATAGTGTCCGTCAGCATTCGAGCAGTGCCTCCCCCGCAGTACATCGCATTCATCATCAGCACCTGTAGCCAGACCCACGCCTCAGCTCCTGTGGTCTCGGCCATTTGCTCAAATCGTTCCAATTCTTCATTCTGGAGCGGCTCATTAATGAAAGCGGTCTCGGTGAGCAATTCAATCAGCTTGCTCTCCTCTGCAGTTCCTGGCGGCAAGGCCATCGGGAGCAACTCTACCGCCGACTTCTGAAAGGTCTCCAAAGCGCAGCATAGGAAACTTCGTGTGAAGTTCCCCAAGTGGCCCGGGCGATGGAGCAACATAGTCTTAAGCATCACCCCGGCAAGCTTCAGAGTCAGCGGCTTTGAGAATAGCTTCCTCAAGCCTTTCGTCCAGGTTCCCATTTCCAGGATAGTTCCACCTTCAAGCTCCAGCTTATCAATTAGCTCTTTTGCCCAGCTCTCATTGCCAGCTGCCACATAAAGACGCCTCCCCGTCAGCATATCCTTCACCACATTTGTCCTGAGTGTGGGCAGTCTTTCTTTTGTGAAGATGGAATCTGGCTGGTCTTTCCGGCCTTTGCCCACGAAGACTCCATTCAACCCGGTGAAGTTCGACGGCATGAGACGTATCTCAACGCCTCGATGAGTCCCCCAGAGATTCCCTTCGACCTCCCCTGGAACAGCGTCCAGAGGAATCGCCGGGAGCCCCAAGGAACCCATCACATGCCTGTTGTATGCAGGGTCTGCTTCTTGTTCAGGAAACTTCCAAGCTCGACCAATCTCTTTGATGATAAGATCCTCTGGAAGTCCGTTCATCAAAATTAGGGACTTCGCAAATTGCATTTCCATTTCTTCCCAAACCTGCTTGGTTGGAAAGGCCGACCTTAGGCACTCCCAGATCGCACCCACCTCTTCAGATGAGCACACCTTCTCGAGGCCGGCTAAATTGGAACCCTCTAATTCCGGGTCCACCAGCGATTTCACCTTCGGCCACACACCAGCATTGGCTTGCTCAGCTTCTACCATCGCTTTCCCTTTTTGCCTTTTCCTCTGCCCTTCCGGCCCTTGGGCCCGTTGTTGGGCGGAGTGTCGCCTTTTTCTGCGTCGCCCTTTGTCTCGTTGTTTGGAGGCACTCCTCCTCCGGTGCCTCCTTCCCATGTTCTTCTCCGTCGGCTCCATTGATCCTGTAGCATCTTGCTCTCTGACTTCGCCTCTTGCTGTGCTGCCTTCAATTCCTGTCTGAAACAAGCTCTCTGTTCTCCTTCCGCTGGCACCAGCTCCAGCATCGTCGCCTGTGTCCAGTTTCCCTGGGCCACGAACACCTCGATTGCCTTCATCCTTTGAAGGGCTATGTCCAAGGCTCGAAGCGTGTCGTTCGAGGCCATGAGGTCCACCATGGCCGCTAGGGTGCGGAGTTCCCAGCAAGTTCCTCAAACCGAGGCTTGACTCCGGGTTCTTCACCAGGTAGATCTGTGTCAGATAAGCTCGAGCTGTCGGTGGAAGATCCGAGGCTGATCCGGCCGATCCCCCCCCCACGCTTCGGTTCAGGAGCTCGCTGAAGCGCTTCAGGGTCAGGTTTGCTAACGTTCCTGGTCTCTCCTGATGTAAGCGCTGCAACTTCTCTACTCCCTGGGGTAGGGCGGCCAGCCGAAAAACTGACCCCTCAGAACTGCCACTGCTCGATGAAGAAGTAGAAGAGGAATCACCTGACCTCTGTGTCCTCTTCTTGGCCTTAGCCTCCCTCTTCTTCTTCTTCTTATCCCTGTCCTTCTTGCCACGTGGCATCTTCAAGGCCGAGAGCTCAGGGGCTGCTGCCGTACGTTCTTGCAGCACTTCCTGCAACCGTCCAGTCCCTTCAGGCTTTTCTTTATCATCTCGTGCAGCCTTCTTCCGGCGTTTAGGGACTGGCTTTTCCTCATCATCATCCTTGGCCTCTGCTCGAGCCTTTGACCCCAGCGCATCCGCCAGCCCTCGTATGCCCTCTTCTCCTGTTGCCACCGTTGCCTCCCCCCTGGCGAGTACGCCTCCTGAAGCATCAGCCTCAGGAGCTACCTCACCAGGTGAGATTGCCGGCAAGGCAGCCTCAACATTCTTCTTCTCGTCATCCGAAAGCCAGCTAAGGCCCATTGCAGTTCTCCCTGGGAGCACCCTGAAAACATCCATGTGCAATGGATTTCGATACAGGGTCCCGGCACGGCATTGAAATGCCTGTCGACTGCAAGCATGTAGTGGCACCTGATTTTCACCATAAGTTTGCTGAAACCACCAATCAAAGTAGGGGTCCTCGATACCAAGGACCTTTGCCAGCCAGACCTGTCCTTCCTCTCTGGCTGCCGTCTCTCCTTTGCCTTTGAGTTGGGCCACCATTCGCCCTTGTTGGTTTCCGCGGTCATCGTAAACCGCCAGTTCGACCAGGACATCAGCTGCAAGTCCCAGCCAGTGGTCCTCTTTGGCCTTACGGCCAGTTTTCCTCCAGGGTTCTGGTTCAGCCATGGGAGGCCTGGACTAACCCACCAGCAGTCCTAAGACCACTGGCAGTGCCAGGACTCCCCCACAGCCTTCCCGTCACCCCTTCGGATCCACGCTGGGGCTTCTAGTCTAAACCTCTAAAAGCCCAAGTGCTGCGGGATGCAAACAGTTGTTTCTCACTATCATTACGGGGGCCCATGAGTTAATCATTTTTATCCCCACATGTTTGATAGTTAAACCTCCTATCAATGGGAATTTCAGGATCCTAGAATGGAGGTACTGTACCATATAAGGCAATATGTTGCTGGGATATTCCCTTGCATAAGCCTTAAAGCCTTATATAGGCCTTATATATGGTAGGTACCTGCAATTTAGGTTCCTGAAATTGCCATTGATCCTAGATTGACCAAGTTTTCTTTGGGGTATGTTTAATGGCCCTGCCAAATTCCATGATCCTCCACCCAGCATCCCTCCCTCCCAGGCCCTTGGTATCCCTACCGTTTCGGCTCTGACGCCGGGGATAAAGCCACGATACCTGCGGAAGGCGGCGCTCGGTGGCAGGAGTCGCTAGGAAATCATCTCAACCCACCATCCCACAATGTGGGGCCCCCCAGTTATAAGTGGGTTTATAAACCCCATGAATACTATAGTATAGTTTAATATAATAGGTATCATAAACCATAGCTATTGAAGTTATAAGCCAACTTAGCTATCGTTTGGGGGGCCCCACATCGCAAGTACGGTATGGTTGAGAAGCACTACATATTTACAACCCCAAACTGTGTTTCATATCTACGATAGAACCCCTGAACCAACCAACCCTCCCAAAAAGCATCCCACATTTTGTGGGGCTACGTCCTGACGCTATTGCTGAAGTCCATGTGTTCTTGGATGTGTTATGTGTGTTACAATGATGTTCAATTTCTCTGATGACTTTGGCGAAACATGTATATGTTTTTGTTCTTGGTTGATTTGTTGTCTCCAGAATTCTTGCTTAAATGCTCCTTGTTTTTCAGCTTCAAAAACTCCAACTGTTGGTCAAAACAATTGAAACCCTAGATTTTTTTGTGGTCGAATTCCGAAAAAAAATCACTTTAAGAGTCGGCTTCTTGTTGTCTCCAAAATTCGGCTGGTGCTTGATATATCGCTCCAGGGTCAGGAAATCCAACTTTTTTTCCAATTTCATAAACTCCAACTTCTGGTCAAAACATTCATACATTCATTCCATTTCATTCCATTTCAGTCCATTTCAGTCCATTTCAGTCCATTTCATTCCATGTCATTCCATGTCATTCCATGTCATTCCATTTCATTCCATTTCATTTCTTCATTCAATGATTGCATCTATAACTTTGGTCAATGAAGTGAAATATAATACAAGGGGTATGACCAATCTGAATTCTAACTGATCATTTTATTTCATGCATTCGTTCATCTTACTGGTGCTAAACGTAGGGAATGGATGGGCTGCTGGGGGTTGCTGGGATGATGAAATGGATCATTCCCGAAAATTTCCTGCGTAAAACGCACCAGTAAGTCACACATTCTGAAAAATCCACTATGTTTCAATTTCATGAGTTACCCTCCAGTAATCAGCTCCATGGCTTGCAGTAATCAGTTCGATGATTATTACTAGTGATGAAATGGATCATTCACTGAATTCACTTCACGTTTGGTGAGTATAACATTATATAACATTTCTGGAAGGATTCCATGGATACTAATGGATATTATCCAATGGTATCCATTAGTAATTCACAATTCCAGTAATTCGTTCACCATCGATGATTTTTTAAAAAATCTAGATCATCAGACAATCCGAAACTTTTCGGTAATGGTTATATACCCTCTGGTAAACTAACATAACTATGGAAAATCACCATTTTCAATGGGAAAATCCACTATAAATGGTGATCTTCAATAGCTATGTTAGTCATTACCAGAGGGTAATGTTTCTATAGATGATCAAGAAACATTTTTGAAAAATATAGATAATCAGACAATCCAACCACTTTTCCAATGGTTAATGATGGTTTTCATGTTTCTAGATGATCACAAGTGCTTCATTTTTGGTGAATCCCCTGTGGCGACCCGCCCACCCCCTTTCACCCCACCCTTCGATATGATCGCGTCGCAGCTCTTCCAGCCGCATGGTCGGCGCCACGCGGACCGCCTGGATCCATGGGGATGGTGGACGACCCCAGCCTACCCGGCCTGGTAAACGTTAACAAAAAACGATGGAGAAATCCACCATGTTTAATGGCTAAATCCGGTAAATCACCATTTTCAATGGGAAAATCACGATTTTTAATGGGTAAGAAAAAACGATGGAACTAATTCCACCATGCTATGAAAATGGGTCAATCCACTATTTCTATGGCAGAATTTGCTGCAAAACCCTCTGGTAAACGAACTAACATAACTGTGGAAAGATCCACCATGCTATTGATGGGTAAATCCACTATTTCGACTGGGCCATTTTCTATGTCGCAAACTGTTAGTTTACCAGAGGGTAATAAAGGTGGTCATGACTTGGGGATGGTCAACATGACTGTTGACATGTTCCATCGGATTTAAGCATAACCAAAACCATCACCATGACTACTAACTGCCATAGATGTATAGAAAGCACATAGAACTTCAGCAAAGAACATAGATGTACAGTATCACACACACAGTATCAAATGTTGGATCCAAGCAATAAACATGGCTGCTTGGGGACATCAGAATAGGGTAGTAGCTTTCAACTGTCCATTCTTGGGGAACTTGGCCCTTTACATTCCCATGAAACCGACAGAAAAGAAACCCACACCTCGGAGGGTAGATTAACGCCCCGTCTGTGGTGTAAAAATGTTGGACTAGGCCTTACTCCGAACAGTTCCTCATCGTGGAGAGTGGAGGGCGCGTTGAGATTACTCTGATGGTTAGTCCATTCTGAGCCCACGTGTTGGATCTTGTTGGCTTGTGATGTCAAATGGCAAGGCTGAATATGCAATGATCATGGCTAATTATAAAACACCCATTTATCAAGTAGCCTTTCTGGATCTTTCTGGATCTTTCTGGATAGTTATCCAAGTTTGGCTACATCCAATGACTTCAGCTGGTGGGAAAGTGGACATACGTAGACCTTTGGTCTATTCAAGAAAGAGCTGGTGTCAGAACCAAACGCTTCAAAACCGGAAAGGACCCCTGACTCCACCATTTTTCAATTAACGTCTGAGCATCCCTGCACTACTGGTCAGGAAAGGATGCATTGAAAGGCCACAGGTCGTCCTGCCAAGAAAGTGATGCCATGGACAGTGCGGTTCCCTGGATTGTTTGTGGTTTGTCTCAACATGTATAGGGTAAAAGCAATGTACCCACAACATCCCCCCAACGTTTCATGATGTTTCATCGTTCTTCACCACTTTCCCGCCTCAAATGTTGAGGATCGGAAGGAGACCTGGCGGATGATTTCCGATGTCTACAGTTCTTTTTTTCCGTGCATTGTCATGTTTGGTTTCTATCAAATAACAGTACAATTGTCATCAAAGGAGATGATCTTATCTGGTGATTTTTTTATATTTGCATTTTTGATGAATAAATAGATCAGATTGTTGCTGGCTATTCGTTTGCCTCACTAAAAAAAAAAGAATGATATAGAATGATGATGATTTCTTTGCATGTTCAATGGACTTAATTACAATGGGTGATTGCCACAGAATAGGAAGTCTACTTGATCATGAGTTTGGCCAGGTCATTGGGTAGATCAAGACCCATTCTGGTTTGGACCACGGCTGCACGGAAAAAAGCAGGATGAGAAACTCCCATACAATGGCTTGGATCCGGGCTAGGCTGCCTATATTTCAAACACCCAGTGGGTGCCGTAGGTAAACATAGTTCAATGGGAATTTCAGGATCCTAAAATGGAGGTACTGTACCATATAAGGCAATATTTTGCTGGGATATCCCCTTACATAGGCCTAAACAATAGGCCTTAAAAAAATGGAATCGGTACCTCCAATCAATCGGATCCTGGAATTCTCATTGAATAGTGGATGCATCCCATAAACCACGTCTACCGCGAATTGCCTATGCCAAATGCATCAATGTTTGTTAGTCATAGGTGACGCCCATGTGGGTTAAAAACCCCAAAAAACCACGATGATTTCGGCACAAGATCTTGTAACCGGCACGTAACAAGTTACAACCTGGACCCAGTATTTCATGATATGTCATGTGCTACTCCAAATGGGTCTTGATTGTTGACCCATGCTGACCCATGAGGATCATGAAGGAAATCCATTGGCGTTTATCCATGCTTTTCATTAATATGATCAACTGAATCGGTACACTACAATACCTGATGTTGTTTATAATATTTTATAATGATATAAATGCATTCAGGAAAGATCTTGATGATGCCTGTGAGCATTAAGAGAAGTTGGCTCCAAATGCCAATTATGAGTAGAGATGTCGTTCCACTTCATCAGCATGAAGCCTAAGGGCAAACAACAGCAGTAGTGGTCGAATCAGCTCCCCAGTGGTCATCTAACATATGGTTTTGGCAGAGAAATGGGATTGATCGACTCTGGTATGCACACAATTTGAGCATTGGACAACGTTTTTTTACCTTGCGGAAAGATGAATGAACAATCAACCGAAAAGCACAAAGGGAGCATCAAATACACACGAAGGGAGGTTGACTTGGCCACTCTTAGATCAATGATTGCCTTCAATAAAGCGATCCAAATTCTTGTTTTGCCTGAGCATTGTATTCACCAATTTAAAGCAATCAAATCATCATCCACCAAGACCCACCCAAGGTTCGCCTGAGCTCATGCCTATTCATCAGCGTCTTGCCCGCAGGCGGCCGCAAGTGCGGTGGCACATAAACCTGGTTGACACTGCAGTGAATCTGTCGTCAGTTTCTGTATATATATATATATATATGTGTGTGTGTGTCTATACATATTATAGGTAATTAATAGATTTATTCACGTGTATTCCATATACTGATGCGCATACAAGTCTGATATATCATCGAAATTTGTAATCTACATAGTACAAAAAGGCATAGAACATGTGCGAACATACCAGCCAAACAGCTAACAAAAACCAACGCTCCCACGCCACAACTTGCCTCGTCTGCCATGTTGTCCGATGGGGACCCAGCAGCTCAGTGAAACAAATGAAATCTTCGAAGTCAGAAATCCGTTCTGCTGGACATGTTCCCTACCGTCTCGTGGCTTGCCAGAGCACTCATCCTGCCAAGCTTTAACAACAATTCTGGTTGGTGGTATACCTACCCCTCTTAAAAATGTGAGTTCGTCAGTTGGGATGATGACATTCCCAACTGAATGGAAAGTCATAAAATTCCATGGTTCCAAACCACCAACCAGACAATGTGTCTTGCAAAAGGAGTGGAAAGACATGAAAATACCATTGGTTGACCACAATTCTGCAACTTCCGCAACGATTTGTGCTACCTTCTGCTCGCGGCAACGGGTACAGAATCTGACAGGAAGCCTCCCGCCATACTGCCACAACCAGTGGTAGTTTATCATGTTGACCTAGGGATAAATTACAATAAGTTACTACTGCAACCTGAAGAGCGCGGCCTTCTCGAGATGATTCCAATATATTCCAATATATTCCAATATATTCCAATTAATTATTAATCATAATCATAACTAAAAAATATTTAAAACATTTAGCATCATTTAGTGCACTCAACAATCATGACCATATCATACAGGAAAATCCATTCACCTTTCTGGCTTTGCGAGCAACACCTGCAACACGCAACTTTCCAGTGGGCCCACTGCGTCACTGGGCAGCCTCAACAAGTGCCAAATCACCATCTGGAGCTGGGCATTGCATCCACTTGAGCATGATTGGTATGATGGGCAAAATTTTATAGTTGCCAGAAAATATGGGAATATGGCAGATAGACACGCGATCTACGCTATCTCTCTGGAGCCAATTTCACCCTTGTTTTGATGGATTTGACCCTTCAGAGTGTTAAGTTGTAACTCTTGCCGAACACTTTGATAATTCATGGCCAAACTTAGATTCTGACGGCAAGAAAGGTATCAGCTGATTGCGTTGTTTCTCCATGGCATTTTATGGCAAACAAAATACACCACAAAACCTACCCGTCTCCCACCTGCTTCAAATGTGACTCAAACCTCAGCCCTAATTGGCTACACTGCCCACTTCGCTGATGCTGTGGCCACTTGGAAGCAATCAATTGATCGCAAAAAATTGAGAGAGGCAAGCACCTGAAGCATGGTCAAATTCGTCAATCCATGATGTCCAGAAGAAGAATTGGTAGAAGGGACCCCAGCCCAGCGCAAAATATCTGTCACTCCGATTCATTTTTCATCATGGATATCATGGTTTCAAATTCAGAAACTGTAGAGACTGTAGGGTATAGAGAGTCAAGTACCCTCTGGTAAACTAACGTAACTATGGGAAATCACCATTTTCAATGGGAAAATTCACTATTTCGACTGGGTCATTTTCAATAGCTATTTTGACATAACCAGAGGGTATTTTGAGGGTCAAAGTGAGAGTCACACTTTGGTAGATCATCCCAGTGGTCCCCAGGTAGGATTGGATGAAAATCACCACGGATTTTTTTCAGCCAGAAATCACCAGAGACAACCAGAAATCAGCAAAAATAAATTCTGAAATTCTATGAAATTCTCATATAATTCTCGGAGCAAATCCAGACTGATCCTTCAGATGCTTCACGCCACTTGGCTCTTTCAAAGCTTTTCCAGTGGCGGCCCCTCTGCGAGCACGGAGACATCAGGCGGCTCCCGTAAGGGTTGCAGTACTGCACCAGAAAAAAACAGAAAAAAGGCATCAAATCCCTAGGCACTAGTAATTGCCCCTGATTTCACTAGTAAATCTGATACTTAGCCCTAGTATATAGCCATGACTCCAGTGACGTGTCAATTGAAGGTTTCTCACTTTGAGCCAATCCCGGCGTTTCAAACTCAAGGTGCAGCCAACCGGGTCACAGCGTCTGACGATGTCCGTACAAAATGCCTCAACAGCAACCAGACCCAAATTTTTGTCCAACAGAATTGATGGAGAAGGTCCTAAGGTCCTAGCATGCTCTAGCTCGACATTTGCTGCTATATATTATACCCTCTAGTAAACGTTTACATAATGGAAAATCACCATTTTTTGATGGGTTAATAACCTATTTAATTCATTTTAATTCTATGGCCATTTTCCAGTTCGCAAACTGTTAGTTTACCAGGTTGGGTATGGTATGTTGTTTGTCTTTGTAAGATCTGCCCACCAGCTCGTGATTTCATTGGAACTGGCTGCCGGCCAAGCCAGATATTCTCAGATATCCAGCAACAAAAACTGCAGAACTCCTACGCGCCAAGGCGCCTACGTCAAGACTCAGCGGAGGTCAGTGGAGATGCTTTCTGTTGCATTCCTATATTCAATAAAAATCTACCATTTGGTATACGTAACTTATTCATTCCATTGTGACAAGCTGACGCTAGCACCAAGGTAGATAGACACGGGTCCAATATTTACGATTCCTTCCGATAAGCATGAATTTCCTTAGACTGAATGTCCAAGTACAGGACGGTTTGGTACAATAATCGATATTGTCACTTGCTCGTGTCAAGAAAGTATAATAAAGTCTCATTTGTATGCCTTGTGAGGAAAAAATGTCTGCGACAAAGGTTTGTCAATCTTGGCTCAGGGCAACCAGCAGGAACTACCTCCTCAAAAGCTATCAAAGCCCCCGGAAGAACATGAACGTATTCTTGGAAGACATTGGGGATTGACACCAACACAGAATTCAAAGATATGTTTTGGTCGTTGAACAAGCCGTTCTTCTTGAGTCTCCAAAACGTACTCTCTGGGAGCTGTCCCCTCTCGCCGACAATCAACAGCAATCGAAAGCACTGAGAGTGGCACTGGGGGATTTGTCATGTTTTGCCATGATTTGCCAACCTGAAACTAGCTCAAAGAATAAGGAGCTTCACCTTAATCGCCCACCATCATTCACTTTGAGACTGGCCATTGACCATTGACCCAGCTATCTCTGGGAAAACCCACAATCTAGAAGACTAAGCAGCATGTTCAACCGAAGACAGTATCACCATCTATAGATCACCACTGTTCTTGGTCAGCCGCCAGCCAGTTAAATCCTGATGTCCATCTAAACCACTGGGACCAACCAAGCCTGAGTAGCTAAAATTCTCACGGCATCAATGCGTGAAAAACAAAGAAACACCCAGCCCCTAGGGGCCTAGGGGCTTGTTCAACGAAGGCTTACCCCTTGGAAGCCTTGGGGTACCCTTCAATTTCCAGGGCCGAAGGTTGACAGCTGCGAGTGTCGCACCACACCCGTGCCCGTGCCCTGGAAAAAACGGCCTCAACGCCGCGGCGGTTTTTGGGCACCCCCAGGAACCCAGAAGTATCCGGGAATTTCACCTGAAACATTAGAAAGCCTGATGACTAACAAATACGATTGGAATATGCGTCCCACGGATTGGGTTCACAACTTGAGGGATTCCGGGATACCTGATTTAAGTATTGAATAAGTAGGTACCATGGGTACCATGGAACCTGCAGACAAGCAGCCGCAGTCGTCTAAGAATGATGGGGAAAGGACCAACAGTGAGCTGATTTAGTGAGCGATATGGACACAAGCGCTGCAGTGCTGCCATGATTGTCGATTCCGTCATGTCTCGCTGGTTATATCACCAATGTCTCCCCGATCGCAGTCCCACCTAGGTCAGAGAAACGCTTCCCGTGCTTCGTCTCAGCAAGTCGTTGACCTCAATGGTTCGGAACGACTTCGGTACGTCAGGATACCCTGCAATCCGTTGGATGAAGATGGTTTGATACCACAAAAAGGCAAGAATTATGGATCCTGGTGTTTTGATCTTTGACCCATAGACATGTGCTCTATAATTATGGTTGTTGTTTCTTGTGGTTACTGAAACTGTCATAATTAAAGATGTTAAATGCTTATTCACAAAGCACCAACCAGCTGCTTGAAGACCAACAGAATAAACATCTGAGGTCCTCCTCCACCGTAAGATGCCACAGGGAAGTGCGTCATGACGGCTTAAAAGCCGGTGACGGTGACTGATCCCAGTGGTTTTCGGACTTACGGGACTTGACCTGAGAAGGCCATTACCCAGATAGCCCAACATTTGGGGCCATGATGTCACCAAACCCAGATGCTCCATGGTGCTGGAATATTTACCTACATTTACCCCAAAAATAGCCCAGTTTTGTAGGTAAATATTCCAGCACCATGGAGCATCTGGGTTTGGTGTCACTATCATCCAAGTCCATCCGCGATCCCAGCTATTCCCAGCTGGCATCCAGACGCACAGACTGTCCTGAGAGCCCATAACTGCCCAAAGACCTCGAAGACATCACAAGTGCAGTCAAGGACGGCAACGTTCCTACCATTGTGGATGTTCAACACAGCGTCGGGGTAAAAAATAAAACTTGGGAGTCCGGGCGCGTCGTGGTATCTTTGCTTTCCTGTCAATCCAGGGATCGACGCGCTTCGCGGCTTAGCGGCACTTTTGGTTTGAAGTTTCTGGTCATAGATAAATTCATGTGTAAGTTCCCCACCTCGGGGTTATCCCATTTATATCCATATATTATCCCTGGAAAAAAACTATGACAAATTAACGAGGATTCAATGGATCCTAAAGCTTTGTAATTGTCTATAATTACATTAATTACATCGTATTTACACATATTATCACATATTATCATTAATATTATCACTAATACAACCAGGTTTTTAGTTCCAGGTCATTAATATTATCCATATTATCATTAATATGTGTAATATTATCATCATATTATCATCATATTATCATCAAAAATTATCCAACCACTTCTCAGTTCCGAAGGTTTTTCTCACTTCCAACGCCATGGATCCGCCATTTTGTTTTTCACCCCCACGAGGCGCCAGCGCCTGTCTCGGCGCGCGAGCGCTGAGCCAAGCTCCTGGCCAGGTAGTCCTCCATGGCCTCGATAAAAAAGGCCGTCATGGGATCGGTGCTTTCCCGATGCGAGTCAAATAAGGTACTTTAATGGGATTTAATGGGATTTTATGGTATTTTACTGGGATTTAATGGGATTTTATGGTATTTTACTGGGATTTTACTGGGATTTTATGGTATTTTACTGGGATTTAATGGGATATATGATGGTTAAACCTCCTATCAATGGGAATTTCAGGATCCTAAAATGAAGGTACGTTAGTACCATATAAGGCCATATTTTGTGGGGATATTCCCTGAAACTAAGGCCTCAAAAATAGGCCTTATATATGGTAGGTACCTCCAATTTAGGATCCTGGAATGGCCATTGATTTACCCTCTGGTAAACTAACATGACTATGAAAAATCACCATTTTGATCACCATGTTTAATATGGGAAAATCACAATTTTTAATGGGAAATTCACCATTTAACTAACATAACTATGGGTAATACTAAGCCAAATGGTTATTAGGAACCCAAATGGTCATTAGTGGTTATTAATGGTTAATAATGGTATGGGAATATCATTGGAATATGAAGGGAATATTAATATTAGCCTCTGGTAAACATTTACATAACTATGAAAAATCACCATGCTATTAATGGATAAATCAACCATTTCTATGGCCATGTTCAATAGCTTTTTGTATGTTTACCAGGCCGGGTAACCATTCTATCAAATGGGTGGTTGAACCTTTTGGAATGGGAATTGTGTTGGGTGGTTTAACCAGTCTACAAATAATATATATATATGGGTAAATTATAATATATCACTATCCTGAATTAAGGCCATTTTGGGATGATTCCCCTTACTAACTATGATTATAGTGAGGTCGCAGTGAGGTCGTTATAAATTACCCAAATATATGTATATATATATATATAGTCATGCAACCATTTTGTAACCATTTTTTATGGGTGGTTTAACCATGTTTAACAGTTCAATTAAAAAACACGTGTCATGTTGTTTATTTAACCATAATATAGAGATTGTTCATGGGATTTCTTTCGGAAAGAACATGGTTTAAGCACCAACTGAACTGGGATTCTTCATGGGATTGGAAAGTTACTGGAACATGGAGGTTTAATGCTAGTTTTATATGGGCTTTATATAGTTTCATAGGGTAATGATGGAATGTCCACAAAGGATGTGAAGCGAATCTTGCCGATTTACCGTCAACGGTGTCGTCAAAGATGGCTGGGAGATCCCAGAACTTGGCGATAAATGTCCAGCCGTGTTAGGAGTGCTGGAAGGCAATTCTACCGGGGATATTTCAGGTTAGGAGTGATGAATAAATCACGGCTTTTTTATTGCGGATTTGGAATAATAGAACGGGATAATGTTGGTTGAAAAAAAACTGATATAGCTATTATAGGGGTGATAATCAGGGATATATGAGGTTCATACTTTTTTTGGTGGTACAAATCAGCATTTAACCAATAGCGATGGGCATATAACAACCAAACATGGGGATAGTCAACTATTGGGTGTTAACCCATCAAGAAATCAGGATTTCGCAAAAACAAATGGTGATTGGTTTTGGTTGGTTTGCAACTACGAATGACTGTTGGATCTATGGTGGATGATATTTCGACCAGTTCAGTGGGTGTTTTTCAAGGAACTTATAACTATCCAGGACCTCACTTTGTAGGCTAGAAACCCAGCAAAATGAACTTATTCTCCATGTTTCTCCGCTAAAAATGACCATTTCTATGTCTATGTCACCTGATCAACCAGATCAACCCGCAAGGGAAGAAAGGGGTTGCCCCCTGGAAATTTCAGGATCATTGCAGCTATGAAACCAGGTTTTTCTCTAATTTTTCGGGTTGCATTTCTAAGAAAAGTCGTAGTAATGGTTTTTCGACTGAAAGAAATGAAACAAGACATTGCCTAAACATGGTTAAGTTGGGATGTCACATGGGGGATTCTTAAACTATGGAGACCACGAAAAACCATGGATTTCAACAGTAACATTCGAATGTCTAATTTTGGATGATGGCTAGCCCCAGAACATCGGAGACCTCCAATTTTTTTTGAAATCAAATCCCATTACAATAAGCATCAATAAGCTATCTGAAAATCCGTATATGGGATTATATCATATTATAAGTAATCATGGGATATATGGGATATTATGATAATGTGATTATATTATGATAATGTGATTATAATATATCATGGGATATTATATCAATATTATATCATCAATTCATATGAATTAAAGCTACCCTGCTTCGCCTCACGGTGCTCCGGGCTCACTCGCCATCCTGGGCCGATGGTGATGTATCCACGACTTGCCATGTGGAAAAATGATGTGGGGATGATGACCACATTCTGGATATACTGGATACAGTATGAATTGTATATATAATGGATGTGATTGATATACAGGATATAATATATATATATATGTGGATATATTGGATATGATACAATATGATATATATATATATACGGTATTCGTATATTATAATATACACCCATGTTTCGGATTTTGTTTTGGGGATTTACTGTAGTGTATGTACATACAAAAATTCCCGACAAAACCTCATTTCTTGTGTGTGCGATTTTGTGTACAATGTCAGCTGTACCGTTTATTTCAGGCCTAGTTCATCAACACCAGTCGGACTGTATACCAAGCAGTATGGTTGGTATGTTTGATTTACCTTTAAGTGAACACCAGTTGGAGTCAACTTTCCCTAGAACAACCTGAAGTCTAGTGGTTTCCTTCTCCAGAATCTCTACTGTATCCGTATTGCCACGAAACCTACAGCTGCAGTATACAGTGGTTGATCCACTCCCACCGGATGTTGGATGACGGGGGGTGCCTGAACATGCCATAAGATGCTGATGATTTCCGTGCTTAGTACCCTCTGGTAAACTAACATGACTATGGAAAATCACAATCTTTAAATAGGTAAATCAACTATAAATGGGCCATTTTCAATAGCTATGTTAGTCATTACCAGAGGGTAGTGTACCCTCTGGTGAGACTTGACACTTTGCGAACTGGAAGATGGCCCAAGTTTGATGATTTACCTACAAAACATGGCGATTTTCCATAGCCATGTTAGATTACCCGATCTCACAGAGACAGGCCGCCAAAGGTTTCGTAGATTTTCTCCACAACCGCCACCTGGTTGGAGCAACCCTCATCCCATCAAGTTGGGTCCTTCCAGAACACAAATATGACTATAAACCTATCATAACCTATCTGCCAACCCTACCAAGTCTGAATTCCGTGGATTGCAACATAATATATATATATATTATTTTATTATTATATATTCATCTATGGCTGTCCCAAATAACTTCTACCGTCCTAGAAAATCCACTCCAAGCACTGTCACGAATGGTGATCTGTTGAAGTGTGATTGGGGCATCAAACAAATCAAGACCGCCAGCTGGTGGGGGCATCTTGACTACTGGTTGGCATAGTGGAGACTTGAGAGGCACCACTTTTTCTTCTTTGGGACCTTGGGATCCTACTGTCCATCCCCAGGTATTCTACATGTTTTCATGCGGGACAATATCACCAAATAATCATACCAAATCCACCTTCACTACCAGCATTACAAGCATTCTGAATACAAATCCCATCAGTTTCCAACACCTTTGGTTGACATCCCCCGGTTGAGAGACCGCCGAGACCACCATCCGTGGTCGATTGGCGCCTGGGCGCAACGCTGGGCTTCCCGACGGGATCCGCCACCAAGCTCTGGTACTGTACATGAACAAGTCGCTCCACCAGCTCGTTGGCTTCCTCGATGTCAGGTGGTGATGTGGTGAAAAACAAAAAAAGACCTGAAATGGGAAGAACATATGGGTATAATATGGTATGAACATATATATTATATATATATGGGAGTATATGGCAATATGCTCCGACTACGAACCAAAAAAAATGTTTAATAAAATGATATAGTCCTCATGTAGATGGGCCGTAAATAGCCTGACCATAGCCCGACCATTGACCAACCAGTGGGAAAAGGATATGGCTTCCCACTGGGAAGCCAGTCGATCCCTGCCTTCTGCTCCAGCGCTTCTCCAGCCCTCAGCACCGACAGAGCGTGACCATCGTGACCTAATGAACTGATCACCAGTAATCAAGCCCTGGCAGGCTGAATCATGCATTAAAACATGTAATTCTAATATTGACATATTTTTGAATAGACCTCCAATGGAAGTATCAAATAACATTAAATATCTAATATTGGCAACTGGAAGTATGAATTCTAAGTTGACATATTAAAAATGATACTTCCAATTGCCAACTTAGATGAACTACGAGAGGGTATCCACTTTGGGAAGATTATCCACTTTGGGAAGATGCTTCATGTTGGCTTGCAACCAAAGTGGATGGTATGTGAATGATTATTGGGACCGTTACCGATACCTACAGTAGTATGTCTTTCAAATGTGTCGTTTTGACACCCGGCTAGCTACGAGATGGCTCAGAACGATCTCTAATGGGGCCATTTGGCTCTGACGTCGGCATTTCAATCCATGGTTTTTGGCTCACAGCCATAATGAGGTATTTAAAAATCAATTAATCCCTTCCCCGAAACTTTGAAATGTAATGATATGTAAGATATATAATATTAGGTGGGATAGGATTATTCCATATTATTCCAAAATATTCTAAGTACATCCCCATTATATCCCTATAAATGATCATAAATCCCCACGAATCCTTATAGTTGCAATATTAAGAGTTTCCTGAAATAGGCGTAGCCCCAAATCATCCAGTCGTCATGGATGACCTTCTTAGGATTGAAACAACCATGGTGACGACTCAGGTACCCCCATGACTTAGGAAACCTCCGCGTCGCACCTCTCTAAGGCATCCGAGAGGTACTTCAGAACTCCAGCACCCACCTGGTGGCCGGAGGTATCTTGGGCTAAACTTAGCGCTGCTTTCAGGTTCAATGACGTAACGAGTCCCAGTAGAATCCAGGTAATCCAAGTACTTTCTGAAGTATTTGGGGGTTGACTTGGGTGAAGTACCTTGTCAAATAGTATTTGGATCCATCGGGATTGGATTTATGAAATATCGAACTAGTTGATGGGGTGAACTAAACCAACAAGCATAGCGGCATAGGGGGCCCAATCTTAGGGCCCCACATTCTGTAAGTTCATATGTCAGAAAGGATTTCCTCATGTTGTTTCTTAAATGTTTGGAGGTGTTCTTGTTGTTTTCCTCAATTTTACTTCAGAAGGGTATTCCTATCTCTTGAATTTTCTTGACCCTGGCTTTGCTAGCATTCTTGCTGCCAACTTCCATGATTGGCATGATTTTCACTCCTCAGTGAGCAAATAATGTGGCTTGAAAATCGACGTTGATGACCTGGGGATCAGAGGATATTCGTACCACACATATCTCTGTTCCTTAAATTCTTGGGCTCCAGATTATCTGCAAAAATATCTGAAAATAATTTCACTGTGTTGGCGCTCCGCCCCCATGTTAATTGGAAATGATTTGCAATCTAGTATGGAAACATGCCTTCTGAGCATTGCTAGTACAACTCTCAAAAAAAACTTACCCTAAGCACTCAGAACTTCCATCCGATACTGAAGGCTTTCAAGAAGATGATGACCGCTCAGCAACAGCAACAGATAGTTCTTTGTGGTTGATCCATGTTGATCCCAATAAATCGAAAAGATAGGCAAAGATAGGCTCCCAGATGTGAACGCGAAACCTCAACAGGAGTGCCTCGTAGTGGACAATGACGATTGTGATGGTGTTGAAAATAAGACGGAGCTGGTGTTTGTCATGATGAGACTGATGTTGATGTTGATCGATCAAAAAACAATAGTGATAATTGCAGCATGGTGTTGCGTTCTGTTCATTAGGGACTTTCTCTCAATTAAATCAGATGCAATGCCACCCGAATCTCAATGCCTCTTCCCGCCTCACACTTGTCAGGGGCCTCGTTCAGGAACACCTCTGCCGACCGACTGACTCGTCTTCCGCTTGTGACTCTCAGAGAGGATCCACCAAAGCATGGAACGAACTGTAGAGAGGTTGTCAAGTTCCAGCTGACGATACCATAGAAGTGGATATGGATTCCTCATGTCAGGCTTCCAATATAGAAATCTTTCGATAGAGATCGAGATATCGATCAGCAACACTTGGGATGAAAAAAATGGCACCTCTTGTTGGCTCTTCCTCAATGAACAGAGTGATCCAACCTGAGGGTGCGCCAACTGGTGATCAGTGGGGTTAACTGCAGTTTTTTCGATCGGCACATGAGCCTTCCGGATCCATCCACCAATGCAGCCGCGCACGCCACACAGGCTTGGAGAAGGTCGCACCATTGTTAAAATCAAACTGCAGATCGAAACACCAGGGGGGACTTAAGCACAGGAACTGCATGAGACAGACAATGATCAATGCTACAAATACAAAGTAGATGCAGAATAGCCACACAAACTTAAGAAAATATATTTAAAGAAACAACATGATATACCCGTACTACAATTTCCCTTGCACAAAACCTTGCGCCGGTCTTGCGCGAAACTTGCGCGATGCAGGTTTTAAGCTACCCCAAAGTTCTCTACAAACCCGCAAACTAAATTTGAATAGGAGGGTTTTAGAACGATGCCCATATGATGTATATATATATACATATTTATACATGTATATTCTTTATATATATAGTATATTATGTATATATATATATATGTATATGTATTATATGTTATATATATAAACCCTATAGTTATTGTAGCTAACGAGCTGGGGCACCACCTTGCAAAAATCTTGCTTTTCGCCAAGTCGGGTGCCCCGGCCACTTCTTCTGCGGGGCGGTGGGACCAAACGACCTTGCTCTGGAAATCGCTCTGAAACAAGGTGGAAGCTCCCCAGTGATGTTGGTTAATGATGGCTATATAATGATTATATAATGGTTAATGACTGGTTGGTGGTATACCTACCCCTCTGAAAAATATGAGTTCGTCAGTTGGGATGATGACAGTCCCAACTGAATGGAAAAATAAAATTCATGTTCTAAACCACCAACCAGACTATGTAGTTATAACCACATAAACCCTAGTTAACCTAGTTCAGCTATAACTCGTGAGTTATAAAATATATAACGTGTTATAACCATAAAACCTAGTTAACCTAGTTATTTGCACCAAGCCATTTCTTGGGGCCCCACCTTGTAGGGTATGTAATCTCCCCCAGTTTTAAGTTCGATATATCGGGTACAAACTATCGCAACCCCCAAAAAGGATGTCCAAAAAAGTGTGAAACCAGCATGGTGGATGTTCATGTTAGATTTTCCGAACATAGTTCCAGGTGTCCACACTTTCGGAATCTTTTTGGGGGGTCACCACCAATATGACTATAGTTGAGTTTATATTATACTATATCAAATTGTACCAAATATAACTGGTATAAACTCAACTATATCAAATTCGGTTCATACTTTACTGTATATAATGTAAATAGTGAAAACTCAACACGTGACGATGGGATACACCTCCGGCGGCTTCCATGGCTTAAAAATTTGGCTTCCGCACGTGCGCTGAAGGGAAGACCGACCTGGCGGTCTAAAGGGCGGTTTTTCGAGCCGGGGATTCAACCCTCGAAGGTAACACCCTCCACATGATGGGATGATTAATAGATGATATAGATGTTAATAGATGATTAATGGGATGATTGATGGGATGATTAATAGCTGATACAAATGGTTAATAGATGATTAATGGGATGATTGATGGGATGATTAATAGATGTGATTAACAGATGATTATTAGATGACTAATAAGCGCTTTATTAATACCGTCCCGCTTTAAATCATTAAACACCCCAGAAACCATGGATGTAGAGATAAAACCACGTACTTCGGACCATACAATGGAGGTGTTTAATATGAACGGGGGATGGGATTAGTGGTTGATGATTGAACTACGATATAACTTAACCTTTATTGATAGATGATTGATCAGCGCTATAAAGGTGCCCAACTTGAATCTATCGTATGCTGAATCAGCAATAAATAGAAATACCTAGAAATACCTTTGAATTGGCCGGATTTCTTCACTGTGCTACTAAAAATAGATATATGACATGACACCCAAGAGCCAAATGGAGCAAACCCATGGTGCCCGGCTGGTGCCACTTCTGTCCCGTCACCTCAACTGCGCCATGTAGTGAAGATGAATCAACTGACCTGCAAGGATTGGCTGATAGTCCAAGCAACTCGTGGTGGTTAACGGTTAGGATCTGAGTGCTACCTACTACCTACAACTGGCATATCATGGGGTTCCAACTAAATTGATTCTTTGAACTGGCTGTATCTGGACGTATCTGAGCAGGAACAATGGTGATCTGATACATGATCCAATACGTATAAGTCCGTATAAGACCACAACAGTACAACAGCATTAGGTTTCCTGCAGTGCTGAATCACCATCTTTTCTTGCTCGAGTCGCTTAAGATCCCTCATGTTTGCTTGCTGTTTGGATCTCCATATCCGATGAATCCTCTCCCTGCCGCAGAAATCGCTCGATGTTTCAGCGCCTTTCAGCACAAAGCGTTTCTGCATGCTACCGCGGCGTAGCTGAACCTGCGCTGAGGGATGAGTTTTTTGGTGCAAGCATCAGTGAAATATATGGGGATCGGACAAAGATGGGGATCAATATTGTCCTTTTAGGAAAAAAAAACGGGCCGTTTTGGTAGAGTATAATTACCCTGATTATGATTTACCATGTAGGTAGTCAGTTTAATTATAATCTACCGACTGGTTATGATGATTATTATGATTATCAACAGCCAACAGTATAATTATAATTTACCTAATTATATGGTAAACTAATTATTCGCTACTAGGGGGCCCCTCTAGTAATCAACGAACCAGTGGGAAAAGGACGTTTTTCATGGGATGTTTCCATGATTTCCATGGGATTGCTCCATGCAACCCGATTTTTTGCTCCATGTATGGTACATAAAAACCACCTGACTGGGCACTTCTTGGAGTAAACGTTAGTAAATATGCAATATATACATGTATAATCATGTATATATACTTACAGGGAGCATATATGGTTGAGATCAGATATCCGCAATGAGGGACCCCCCAAAACTACTGAGATTCCATTCCAAATCAGGGGTTTCTAGGGTGGTATAAAAAGGAACAAGGGGAAAGGAATTACAAAACACTCAATGGGAATTCCAGGATCCTAAAATGGAGGTACTGTACATCTGTACTATATAAGGCCATATTTTGTGGGGATATTCCCTGAAACTAAGGCCTCAAAAATAGGCCTTATATATGGTAGGTACCTCCAATCAATCGGTTCCTGAAATGGCCATTGAAACACTGGGTTAAACTGTGCTTTAAGTAACGTGGACACATGGGATTCAACCATCATATGGGGGACATTCTGAGAATCACAACTGTCACCACATGGGGGAATCATCCAACGCGGACAATAAGCACATCTTTGAAGCCATTAGTCAAACAAAAGCAAGTTATATTGATGTACCAGGTTGCCAATAGCCAACTATCATAAGACACTTTTTTAGCATCTGTGGTATCCAGTGACAGATCATCTTTAAAAGGCTTACAACAATGCTTACAACCAAGCAGCCAACTGGTGACTGGTGACTGGTGAGCGGCCTGCTGCAAGTAAAGGTGATAGCGCTGGTACGCTGCCAGAGGGATCTCCTGCGAGCCCGAGAAGATGTCAATGCTTCATGTGATTAGGGTGATCAATGGTAGTCAACCATCACACCAGTGTTGTTGTTTTTTATTGACCATTTCGTTATATTTTTTCACATGTGTTCAATAGAAAAACCATCCCATTGACCACCATGATGTCACATCATCAGAGTGGTTAGTTAGTGTGATGGTATAAAATGGGATGGCTAATGGGATGGCTAACTGTCAGGAAACACGCAGGATTTTTTGTATTGGTTTCCAACTTTTGACCTCCCAGAGATTGGTTCCGTTCTTCTGGCACGTGGAACTCCAGCTCTCACGGTTTGACCAAAGAAACATTGGGAAATTGTCCATCTTGCATGAAGAAACAAGAGCGCAGCGCTTGCTATTTCATCACCACTGTTGGGCAACCATGAAACTGTTCGAGCAAGTGTGAAACTGCTTTGGCACGCTGCATGCATCTGTTGCAAAAAAAAAGGACTGCAACGTTTACAGCATATTCAAGCGGTTATCATTTATTACAAGGAAAAAAACTGGACAATTGACCCTTCCGCTTTCTTCCCGAAGAGTATTCACTTGAAACCAAACACCTACAGGAATGGTATGGCAATAATCAAACCATGCATGTATAGCACATTTACCTACATTTAGCGCATTTGGTTGATTATGGGATATTATATATAAAATGTACGTAAACATAATTACATTTATACCATGAACCATGAAAGCCCTATGGATCCAAATGGTACCTAAGAAGGTACTCAGCCTCCTAAATCATACCCCAAATGCTTCCTGAGATGGTATCTGGCTCCAGAGGCATGCATCATCTGAAATATTTTAGTTTGTCTGAACATGGGGTATGGCCAAATTTGATGGTTAAACGGCATTGTCCCCCACTAAATGGCCATACAATGGTGGTATATGTTTTCAGACACACTCATATCATTATTGGTTATATATCCCATTCTACTTCAATCCCCGAAAAATTGCATGGTGATGAAATCCCACTTAAATTGGTTGGTGAAATCCGTATCCCCACTTAAATTGGTTGGTGAAATCCGTTCAATTGCGAACGGCATCTCAAAGTTTCCCACTCTTATTTGATTTGATTATATATACCCATATTCATTCATATTCCCATGTGTTCTGGTTGAGTTCCCATCATTGATGGTTAAAAGCACCACAGTCTTAGCACCCATTGGGTGCCCCCAAAAAAGGTGGCATTTTCTCCTCCTCCGAGGCGTAACGTTCTAAGAGCCGCGAACGGGCCTGGGGAAGGGAGCTGTTGGGGATGATCGTTGAATACAGATGTGGCTATGGATCAATACCTATACATACCATTTTTAGGGGGATGAACATCCATAAATCCCAGCTATTTTGATGTGAACTACAGGGGTACAAGGTTTTGACACACTGCCATGTGGAGATTCGAATTGATTGGATTGAATGATTGAATGGCAAATTGGCAAAATGTTGATGATTAATGATTAATCATGATTTATTGTAATGATGAATTAAACCATTATGGTTGTAGGATTATGATGAATCCTTATTGATTGTAATTCATAATCCATAGTTATCAGACATGAATTTTGTGAAATAGTTTATCAACTGATCATAATGATAATGGACACAGTGATCAAATGGATAAATTCACTGCTAAATAATGACATCTATCCATTTGATCATAACAAATAGATATCAGTGACATATATATATAATCTATAATCTATAATTTCAGTGACATACAAATCTATCCATATCACTGAAATATATCACTGAAATCTATGTGTTTATCACATAATCCATCACTAGTGAGACATCATCCATATATATATATATATTCATTTTCATTATGTTATTATTTATGGATCCATACAACATAATCAATCTATACTAGTGATATCCATATCTAGAATCATATCCATATCTATAATAATATCCAAACATGTTTATCTATCAATTCAACATAGCATCCATGGATTTCAGTGACACTCTCCAGCGCCAACATCGTCCAAGGTCAGCACCCGATAGTGCGTATCAAGCCTCGCTGTAGCGGTAATGACAATGGTTACCATTGAACCTCTTTTGGAGTTAATATGTGTTAATTAATATAACTTAATTTAGTTGAAGTTAGGTCAGTTGGAATTATATAATGAATCATTAATCATAACCATTAATGATTGAATTAGACATTTTAGTGGTTAAAACTACTTATAACTCTACCTCTATTTGGAATATTATATAACCATAACCCCAATGCTCCATGGTGCTGGTTGTAGCAACATGTACCCCATGTATGTATAGTGTTCTAAATATAGTGATTCTGTGATGTTAAAACTTGGCACAGTCACAGAATCTAAGTGGAACCATTCATATGCAACGGACTCGGATTACATACTGTAGAGAAGCAAAGTCCTGTTCACAATTTCAGGTGTCAAAGTTTCAAAGGGCCTTTGTTTTTTGATTTGTTTCATAGACTGACAACCAGTTATGACCTGCTTTCCTATACTAGATGTCCAACATCTGTAGTTATGCATCTCAAGATATAAGAATGTCACGGTGGCAGGCAATTTTCAACCAAGGGTATGAGTTTTTAAACCCTGGTACCCATGTTTATGGGACATCAACAAACATCAATAAACATCAATAAACATCAATACACATCAATAAACATCAATAAACACGGTGAACATCAAAATGGCTTGTGATAAAATGGACGTTCAGAAGCCCCACTTTTAAGGGATACCCAACCCGGTGTCATCGGTCACCTGGCTTGCTGGAAAATACCCACCATGTCGACATCCATTTCGTTCGATGATTTTCCCGTGACCAAGATTCTATTGGAGATGTTCCAGCTAGCCATGTTTGATTACCAGATTCTGACTTCCATATTCATATAATCATCATGTACCATATCCTATAGGAAGTTAATCATTCCTAATGATTATAGGTAGTTGACATTACCAGATTATATTCCTATTAACAAATGTCTGACTTCCATATTCATATACCATCCTATAGTTAATCATCGTGTTTTCCATATGATCCCTATTGAATCCACCATTTTGGGCTCGAGACGGCATGCTGCGCTGCAAAGCGAAGAGACACCTCGGGCAGTCCCTAATGATGGTTGCATGTGTATATGTATATATATATATAAATATGTATATACACATGATTCTAGATTATACCAGTACTACCCGATATTAAATGGGGATTTAGTAAGATTTAATTCAATGTAATTCTATGACACTTTAATGGAACGTTAATGGGATCTAATGGGATTTTAATGTATAGTAACCCCCAACAAAATGACGAACAGAGTTTCCAGGATGCTAGTTTGCTGTTTTTTTCCTTCACAATTTCGAGGTGTCTAACTTTGCTATTTTTTTGGGGGTTGCTATATATATATACACATTGTGGAAACAAATAGTAAACTACTAGTTGCATATAGGTATCCTTTGCAAATAGTGTATATATTTCAATATCATTAAATATCCACATACGTGCACATACGGACACCAATGCTGGATGACATGACATGACCAATCCGTTTTCCGGGATTGGGTTTAGGGTTTAGGGTGTGTACCTCTGATTACATAAATGGCTACGGATACACATGCACAACAACCCGTAGAAGTATATGTACAATTGACGATCCGTCGCAGGTCACCCAGTTGGATTTTCTAGGTTCACTCAGAAACTCCATAATCACTGAATTGGTTTAAGGGAAAATCTACAGGAACCATGGTTTCTACCATCAAATATAGGGCTTTCCTGTAAATTTTCCCATCATCCAATTCTATGACATAAGAATCCCATGTCGCACTTGCTATTCCAGTCCGTTTCATGGCTTCACCTTAAGGCTGCCAAACTCTGCTTCTCACTTGCTGTTCCCCATGATGATGGCCATAACCCCAATTTCCGCATAGCAAAAACGAATAAAAATCTGGCCATAACCCCCATCGAATCACATGATTCTCAGGTTGCACAACTCTGATCTTTCAGACCCACTGTTCTTCCCCCGGGATCCAAACTCTTCCGGCGAATTGGCATCCAGCTGATGATGGTGAGGCCTCACGAAGAAGAGTCGGACCACTACTTGTGACAGAAGTTGGATAGGCAATTCTTTATCCAAATAGATTATTGTAATTGTATGTATATAGATGTTCAGAGATAGGAAATATCTAATTAAGTTATGTTAAGTTGACTGGGCTTATAAAGTTGCAAATGTGTAACCAATTTGCATGCAATTTGTTTCTTTGGGGTCAAGTCATTGGGAAATGACTAGAGTGCGACAAGTGCTGAGAATCAAAAACACACAAGTCAACAGAACACCCAGAGTAGATAGGTTTGACATCTAAAGATTGTGTTTTGGGATGTTTTGGGATTTGGAACTCGTTCTGAACGGTTTCCAATTTAGAAGACGCACAGCACATCTTGAGCAGAGGCCCTTGGGGGATCATGTCCAACTTCGGTGCTGGTATATGTGCAAACATTTACCCACTACCCTCTGATAATTTAACATAGCTATTGAAAATGGCCATTTCTAGTGAGTTTTCCCATTAAAAATGGTGATTGTCCATAGTTATGTTAGTTTACCAGAGGGTAAGTGACCCAAATGTCGGTACATATTCCATACATGGAGCATATGGGTCCTACATACAATCACCAATTGCGAATATCGAGGCAATCCGAGTCTGTTCCCAAGTTTTGAGGATGAGCAGCATGGCCAAGTATCATAGCAAAATATATCGTTGCTTCCATAGGTGTATTATCTTTCCAATCAAATATCCCATGATACGTCCTCCTTACTGTTGGTTATATTTCCCACTATATCCCAATTCCATTGTACTCCTCTTATATACCCTCTGGTAATCAAACATGGCAATGACAATCACCCACTTACAGGTGATTTTCCTGTACATATGTACATATATATACGTATATATATATATATAAAGAGCGCATTGAAACACCATTTACATAGGATGCTCAATTGTCTTTTTGGCTGAGGGTTGTCCCGGAATGGTCGTATGAACGTCAGTGGGAAGCTCATTTCTCTGCGCAGGCGCAGTGTTTATGACTCTGGTACATCTGTGAGTTAGCGCGGTCTAAGACGAATTTTTGGAAAAATCAGTCAGAAAAGTGAACCCTCTGCGGACTTCACGCGTTTCGGCCATTTCCACTTTTTCAATCTTTTCCACTTTTTGGCGACTCCGGATCTTACAACTTCTGTAAACCCTAAATGAAACCCCTAATAGAAGTATGCGTATATGTTCCATGGGGCCGGGGGATTTGATAACTCATGTAAACCCTAAATGAAACCCCTAATAGAAGTATGCGTATATGTTCCATGGGGCCGGGGGATTTTGTAACTTCTGTAAACCCTAAATGAAACCTCTAATAGAAGTATGCGTATATGTTCCATGGGGCCGGGGGATTTGATAACTCATGTAAACCCTAAATGAAACCCCTAATAGAAGTATGCGTATATGTTCCATGGGGCCGGGGGATTTTGTAACTTCTGTAAACCCTAAATGAAACCTCTAATAGAAGTATGCGTATATGTTCCATGGGGCCAGGAGATTATGACAAGGAAATGTTATGCCAAGGAAATCCCCGGGCACTGGGATAATGGAACCAATGGGTTGCTAGCTCCGCTCACCCTCGTAGGACGAGGGGTTGTCCCTTCGGGACGACCCCTCGTCCTGTGGGTAATTTTAGATAGCCATGGAAAATCACCCTTTCTTGGTTAAAACTGATTTGTAGATGAAACTGTGGTATTTTTGTATGATATTCCGTTTATCATAGGTACCAGGTAGTGGATATACCTATATTTACCAGATTTACCATGTACAATCATCCTAGAAGGTAAAATGTCAGATAACCAATATCAATTTGTAAATTATATAAATCGAAACGCTTGGGGATAGTTTGCAAAAAAAACGAATCATGGCTATGTGAGCAGCATCAACAACCTGGTTGCAAACTGGTTCCACTGACTTGTTTATAGCTACTGATCCCATAGGTTAGTAGAACCTGACGATTTTTCCCATGAACCAATGGGTTTTTAGCACTGCTTATGTCAAATTACCAACATCTTCGGAGATTTTCCCATGGAAAACATGGGGATTTTCCCAGACGGAAAAAATCCCACATCCCAGGGCCGTCTCTTTATCGGGCGACCACTGTGGGGCGATGATCTCGCTGAGGCGCATCAACAGCGCCAGTTTGGCCTCTGAAAAATGGCGGAGATCAGTCCTGACCCACAGGATTATACCATAAATAGTGGATGGAATAATAATAATAAATAATAATAATAATGGTATATATATATAGATATTCCATCCATCATAATAATCATTTATTTTTTAATATACCATTTATAGTGGATTTACCCAGCTATAAAATGGGTGGATTTTCCATACTGACGTAAACGTTATAAACGTTTACCAGAGGGTATCCATAAATGATTGGATGGAATAATAATAATGAACAGATTATTTCCGGGAATATATATATATATATATAATGTACAGATCAGGAAAATTAAGAATATCCAATTTAGCCTGGCAAATAGGGATTGGAAGACTAGTTTCCACTAAAACATCATTATTTTCAGGGTCTATGTGAATTTACCAGAGGGTGACCATAGGAATTAATAGTTGGATTATATAGGAATATAATACATATATAGGAATACTATATAATAGAAACACATAGGCATATGTTGCCATCTTAGAATTGGGTTTTAAAAACATGTCCAAGATGGATTATATATTTATATTATATAGGAATAATAATTGGATGATAATTGGATGTTGATTGAATAATTATGAGTAATTTCATAGTGTGGGTTCAGAATGCGGGCTACTGTTCCCCAACAAACAGAAGACCTTCAGAATCGCCCATGAAAAGAGGCTGGAAATAAGATGAAAAAACGTGTTTTCCAACTCTAACTTATGGCAAGGTCAATGTTAGCTGGAGAAATGGTGAGCAAACATTGTGAGAAGTGAGAACGGCGAGATGTTAATATCAAAACTGGTGATTGAACTAAAGAGTTGTTCAATTAAAGTTGAATCAGCAGAAAACACAATTTTCCCCATATGCATGTGGAAGCTAGGCAGAAACAATGGTGACTGTGTAGGATTCGAACAGCAAACATGGTACTTGAACTATATTGAAGCCACAAATTATGGATAGAACCAGCAAAATATGTCGCTTTGCATCCTAAAACGAGAATATTAAGATCAAGATCAAAGATTCCTTGCCAAAACAGGGTGCTACAGTTGGCCCCCCCAAAAAAAATATATCCATTCGTCCATCCGTCATCGACACCAGGGGCCCGATTCACTGTCTGGTGGCCCAATCAAGAGCATCAACCAGTCTTTGTGGCCATCCCTCAATGGACCTGCTGGTCACAGCTGGATCAAAGGATTTCCCATGGTAAAAAATGCTTCTAGTTAGACAGATTTCGGCCTAGCGTTGTTGATTTGCTTCTTGAAGTACCCTCTGGTAAACGTTTACATAACTATGGAAAACCGCCTTTTTCAATGGGAAACTCCACTATAAATGGTCATTTTCAATAGCTATGCAACAAATTACCAGAGAGTATGTCCCATTAATATCCCCATTTTTCTTGGTTCAATACCTATTAATCACCATAAAATACCATTAACTCATTTTGTTAAATTACCAGAGGGTACTTTTTTCAAAGAAGGGACACCATGGTCATTTTTGCGTCAAAACCTGGCACTGGCCATGGCGACCCTGGTCATGGCCAGCTGGTCCCATGCCATGAGGTCTGGTCATCGCATGCCATGGGAATCATGAATATAGGTATCTCACTGGATTGGTTTAAGGGAAAATTTACAGGAAACCATGGTTTTTACCATCAAATATAGAGCTTTCCTGTAAATTTTCCCATCATCCAATTCTATGAGTATCTGATCCCTGTGAAAATGGAGGACCATCCCCCCATATGAGAAGATCATGGTACATAGTCCAACTATATCATGAAAACTTCCCATCTATATCTGATTACTTCACTATTTGTTCATGTTTAGGTCCAAGTGTTGATCATGGCACAAATGACCCACACCATGTCACAGCTTTCACTGCTTTCGCTGCATTTTTTTCGCTGCGAAGCTTTGGGGCTCAATCCAAGTCTCGGGCAGTTTTAGCCTCTGCGCGCAGGCGCGTGGGGATGAGACTAGCAGCAAAAATAGATGTTGCGTCCAGCAAGGTGACATGGATTTTGATGGGATTTAACCATGGATTTACCATAGGGGTTGGAAAATCCACCATCCAGAGATGATTTCCGAGGCAAAATTTCCATAGCTGAAGATATAGGTTAGGCTACTGGAGGGTAGAAAACTAAAAATTGCCATGTATTGATGATGGTTGCCTCATAGGCAAACTCAAGCTTATTGGCAGGATATCCAACAAACATTCATTTTGTTCCTGCATTCTCTGTGAATATGCAGCATGTATATATATATACATATACATACAGTGACAGTATGTATGATTCAAGCGTGTATATATATAATATATATATACATATTGGACATTGAAACAACCCGTTTTCACCAACCACTCACGGAGGTTTTAACAAAAAAACAAATCCCCTCAACGTCGATCCACCTGGGCTTGCTCCACCTGTCGCACATAGGCCTCGTCGTCGCCTGGGCGAAATTTCACCGCCATATGAATAATCATAGGACTGACTCAGTGATACTAATATAACCAATATAATATCAATATATGTGTATCAGTATATATATATATATATGTAGTTATAGTTAACCAACATAAAACACATATATATATATGTGTGTGTACATACTGGATAATCAATGATTAACCAAAAAACATATACACTTGATAGGAACCAAATATCGGTGTCGAAATTTTAAACCAACTGGCTTTTGTTATATTCATTGATGTCTTGCGGCTGAGAAGAGAATGGTGTTTTAAATAAAGACATACAAATGTGACAAACCCAGCTGGTGCATAACCACAATGCATAATAAACTTATGGTTCATCAGTTGGAATCATCATCATCATCATCATCATCATCGTGATCCTGATCATCCTGATCATCCTGATCATCCTAATCATCCGGATCATCCGAAATAGAGTCCAGATGAGGTAAACATAAACAATCATCGGAATCAGCAATCAGATTTCCGTGTAGGGACTTACCCGCCTGACAGTACCGGGATGATTTAAGTGGTGTTACTACCTGACTAGTTTCCTCGGGTCGTGCACAACGACAAGTCCCCAAATGCGGGTCGGTTTCGACCCCAAAAAACAACACACTGGAACCCCAAAATGGGCGTTTCTAGTGGTAAATTCATCCTTCCACCCTGGGATTTTGGTTGATTTGGTCCCATTGGTCCATGACTGAAGATTTCATGATCCACATCCTGCCACAGCGGGTAGCAAACCCAGAGATCTCCCTCTGAGCTTGGCACTGTCAAGCGATTCACCATCCAACTCGGGATCAAACGCCTGCTGGCTGCTCTGAATGTCTTGGACTTCTTAAACATTCTGAATGGTAGATAGCCTGGAAACTCTGACCAAGTCGTTGCGCAAAAGAAGGATCCGTTGAAATTTTGGAACCAGCGATCAGTCGAATGTCAGAAATCCATAGAAATCCTATGAGTCTCACAACAAAATTCTACCAGGGCTTCAAAATAACGATATCCCAAGGGATGTCCATTCCCCAAGGCTCATGTTTGTCGCAGGTTTGATGCTGAAAATGACCAAGTTTGTGGTCAAAATTTCGGTTACAATCCATTTGTGGCATGGCTACTCCATGGAGATCAACTGGTTTCCCGTAGTTTCCCCATTGTGACTGATCAAACCATAGAAAAAACCACTCTATGAAATCTATGCTAGTAGTAAAATCACCATACTGTTTCTTAAATCCTAATCTATCCCAGTTCTCAAACCAATTCGATTCAAATCAATCATATTTTCGATATTCGGCGAAGAGAACCAAGTCAAGTCAGTCAAGTTATATAATGTTACCAAAAATTGCCATATTATCTGCCCTAGATCGCCTCTTTTTTTTGGGTGCGAAATCCTGTTTTTTTGCCCCGGAACCCCGGGCGGCCCGGGCCGCCTCAACGGGCTCCATCTGCAGCGGCCGCCGCTCGGCGTGATGCATCTCTTTTGCCCTGGTCTCCAGGACCTCAAAAAATCTGGAATTCTTTGGCGATTTTCCATAGCAAACTGTAAGTTGACCAGACGGTACCCTCTGGTAATTTAACATAGCTATTGAAAATTGCCATTTATAGTGGAATTTCCCATTAAAAATGGTGATTTTCCATAGCTATGTTAAATTACCAGAGGGTAAAGCGTGGGATTTGAAGCGCCAAAATCGCCAAAAGTTCGAAATGGTGATTGTTCATGAGATGTTCATGGGAAAAACATGGATTTCATGGGTTATAATATGGATTTTTTTATGGTTTTGTAATGTTTTGTAAGGTTTAATGGGATTATAATGGGATTTTCATGAGAAATCATGCAATAGCCAATGTCACAAACTATCCCCAAGTCATCACCATTTTTATGGGTGGTTTGTAAACCATCCCCAGTCATGGTAGGTTTAATGGTTTTTTCCGACATTAGCAAAGTTTCAATTAACAGTGAAGTACTTTTCAATATAGCTGTATCCAGACTTCACCATTTGAGACATGAGACTTTATTGTACCCCTCACATGGTGAAGTCTGCAAAGGTTCAATTAAAAAAGTATGGGTTGATTTTTCATGAAGGTGTTAATTGCTGTAATACCATCCAACGGAGATTGCTTAAACTAAAGCTCCCTACAGGAAAGCGCGAAACTCATGCCTAAGTCACGCCTGTGTGCTGAAAATCTGCTTTCCCCCATCTAAATGCAATTTCCAGGAAGTCATGCCTATGTCATGCCCGCAACCCAAATCACCATCTAAATGCAGCGGAAACCTTTGCTTCATTTTGATTAACTGATACCAGTAATACCGCACAAGGCGGTGGCGGAAGTTTCAAACATAGTAGCCTGTAGGAAGTGTTGGGTTTTTGAGTTGCATGGGCGGCAACATCAAAACACAAACTAAATGCAACGACCAAGTCTTAAGTAACTCAGATGTGAAGTCTTTGCCCAACATGCTGAACACCAACTGAATGCAGGATTTATATAAAATCATAGATCCGATCATGAAAACAAGAAAATCATGCATTTCCTATGCGTTTCACAAAAAGGCACGACTTTTCAAAATCAAGTGCTCCGAAGCTATTTTCAACGATTCCCACTAATCTAGGCACGACTTTAGCAACTCTCTGTACATGGCCAGTAAGCATGATTCAAGTTTCATCGCATTTACCGCATCAGCCGTAGCGGCATATGGGTGAACCAACCCAGGTCAGGATTGTCACAACTCTTGGACCAGGGGACCATCGTTGCTTTGAACATCGGCGATAAAGCCATTCGATACATTGTTTCAGTTTCATCATCATCATCATCATCATCATCATCATCATCATCATCATCTTCATCTTCATCTTCATATTCATCTTCTTCCTCCACGTTCTCCATCATTGAGATTGCAATTTCTTGGTGATAACTCCTCCAGTGTTCACATCCACTGGGGCAGCCAACATACAGCTCATAGGTCAGCAGTCGATCCAGCAGCCACTTTTTCCTCAGCTCCTGGGTCCCGCGAAAATTTCGACAGCTTGCCCTTCGCGCCCCAAAAAATGACCCGTGCTGCTGCTGCTACCAACCTGGGTCCCCTGGGTGTTGGGGACAATCTGAGGAAACCTCCATCTGTTGGGATACACAAAACGACACATTTCTATGAGCAATTTGTAGAGCAATTTGTAGATGATGGATGAGATGTGAAACCGTGTTTGGGGATGATGGAATTTGCTTGCTAGTACTTGGCAAAATCATCCCCACTTAGTAAGTAGCTTGTACCTCCACTCAAAAGTGGATTCCGGTTATCCAACTAACAAAACCAGGGATGTATAATATAACCTCCTTGCGATCCATGGTATGACTTATACGACACATGTTAATGTTTGAAAAATGTGGATTTAAACATGATGCAATCATCATGATACTTGGGATATCAACTGGGCTACACCAGTTGAACTCTGAACTCTTCAGTGATTTCCCAGCCTCTCCCATCTCATGAAATACAATCGTTGGTTCATAGATTTCCCTCAAAAAAATGGCTTAATTCACCATTAATAAACTCAGGTAGTATACTCTCTGGTGATCTAACATAGCTATTTAAACAAGGTCCATTGAGTTCGTTGATTTACCATGATTTACCTATAATTTACCACTGTTTTACTATGATTTGCCTATAATTTACCATTGAGTTCGTTGAAAAACCGTGGTGATTTTCCACTTCGCAAAGCGGCGAAAAACGCCCGGGCAAAGCATCGTCCAACCGTCCTCCGGAAAGCGGCCACCAATGGCTTCTGCCTTCTCGGAGAGCTGAACGTCCTGAGGAATTTCCCAACGAAGACTTCAGTGACGATAAAAAACGACCGGCATGGCAAGTCAGAATCTAAAGTTATATCATGTTATGTCTATAATATATAGTTATATAATGTTATATATCTATATATCTCTATATATATATATCTATAAAGTTACCCTCTGGTAAACGTTTACAGAACTATGTGGAAAATCCACCCATTTTCTAGCTGGGAAAATCCACTATTTCTATGGCAATTTTCAATAGCTATGTTAAATTGCCAGAGGGTATGTCATGTTATGTCTATAATCTACTATAGTAATTGTATATATATATATTATGTGTATTTCAAAAGATGGGTGTATATGCAGATGGCCAAGATATGTCCTATATGATGTTTCTACATATATTTCTCTGATTGCTTAAGAGACTAAAGTACAACGAGGCACGGTTTGCACGGTTTCCCCGTCCAAAATTTCTGATTCCATGAGGAGTTGATCATATATATGGCATGATGTTGTTTCCATCAACATATGGAGGTTTCCAAAATGGGGCTACCCCTAGTTATCATCCATGTTAGATTAGGATTTTACATGATCAACCATGAATTTTAAGGGGATTCCCCATTTATGGAACCCCCCATATATATCCCCCATTTTGGAGAAATCTCTCCATTTTTGCGGCCAAAGATCCCAGTTGAGACCTTGCACCTTGCAGATCTTCCTCGGAGAGATAGGGCCGCGTTTTTAGGTGGTGCCCCTGTTCCAAACACACAAGTTGGTTAAGTAAAATAACTGATCATAACTGATGGGTTATGGTAGATATACCCAACTATAATATTCATGGGGTTTATATATATATATGTATACCATAAATGTGGGGGGCACCACCTTGAAGGGATTTCATGGGACTGTAAGATGGAAATGTGACACCCAATGCGAAGAATGCTGGTTTCATGAAATAAAAATGGAAGTATAAATCAGGATTTACCTAAACAATAGGGATTGTAGCAGGGAGAAAGAACATTGATAATCAACCATGGAATTCAACATGGGATCAATGTTTGATGAGTCATCCATCCCATGGCACATATCTTGTCCAGATCACTGATCAATATCTCAGCAAAAACGAACATGTCAAGCTACAATTCTTGTAGAATATTAGACATACACATAGATGATGATATATATATATGCATATATATATAGCGAATCATTTGGATGAAACCTTTCAAAATCACATGTGATTGAAATGACCAGGCAGAGTAGTATAGAGAGTTTCTCCATTTTCCTCCATGTTTCGCAGGGGCAGCATTTCGACACATTTCAACCACGCAATCTCCATAGCTACAAATTCAATATGATACCCTCTGGTAATTTAGCAGTCTACAGTCCGCCATGGAAAAACCCAATTTTTAATAGGTATGTAAAGTAGTGACGATCCATTGACTGATAAACCAATAGATACAATTGATGGATTGTGATTGTCAAATAACAAAACAATTCATCAGCATTAATCATGAATAGAGAAATCATCTGGAAAATTGACACTATACGTGTATATATATATATATAATGTCAACTAATATATGACTATCATTAGTTGACATTATGGTGTATATATATACATATACATACGTATAGATCCAACTATAGTAAGGTCAAAACATGATTATATATATATAAAGACCTTCTACTTCTTTTTTCCTGTGCACTGCAAGACGAGATTTATAATGGCACTAATCTGCCATGTTCCGAACTGTAGTGCTCGAACTTTCGAGCGGACTTGGGGGTCCATTGGGATCCTACTCATCTGACACTGCTCGGCCCACCCAACAAATCCAAACAACAAACTTTATCCAAATGGATAAAGGCACATAGAGGAAGCATATATAATAATATATCCATAAATATGTATATTTAAGTGTATCTATCAACATGGACTGATTGATAGTGTGCCGATTTATGCTGTATATATTAGTATATTAAACTTTGAGTGTTTTAAACAGGGAAACACAACCCACATCCCCGCCTCACTTCTACATCCACACATGGCTAAGCTTACATACCCCATTATTTATCGAAATAATGAACAATAAACATCCATAAACAAGGTTTAAAGTAGCCATCACATAAAACTGACTGGGCTCTTTGTTGATTCCCTGCTAAAGCTTCACTTAACTGCTGTTTTTTTTTAAATGAAATTTACACATCTCCCTGAAAGGTGGGCCCTATCGAGTCGTGGATGGCGGGCCCCAATCCATCTAGATAACCTCCAACATCCTCCGCGCCAAAACTCTCGAGCTGGCTAAAGTGTTGCGACTGCCACTCCGCCACTTTCACCATGAGCGAGTCGGGCAGTCTCACCCCTGGATTCCAAAATCGGAGAATGAAATTGTCGTAGATACAATGATTACAATGGTATGTACCATGTGAACACCAAGTTCAGGCGAACATCTTGGATCATACAATGTGGGGCCCTTTCGGTTATAAATTGGTTTATATATAATCTCCAGTAACTATAGTTGTAAGTACCATAAACCATGGTTATTGGAGTTATTAACCAACCAACCACAAAGTGACCCTTCAGAAGCAACAGTCAGATCGTCCAAGTTAACCTGGGGTGAGTACCCGAATCACCCCTGGCTTAACAACTGAACTAGTCAAATGTTGAAACATGTTGAATGACTTTGGGCTTATCTCTTTGTTCGGACACAACCACATGGCTCTCAACAAACCACTTACCAACGCTATTACTTATGACGTATATATATATACACTATATAATATAGTATAAATTGTGAAATAAGATAGTATAGATATAACATATAATACATACTAACATAATAATACTATACTTATATACAATTATACTAATATAATGTAATAAGTTTAATATTATTGTAATATGATACGTGTATAATATCTATGTGTGTATGTATAATATATATATAAGGTGTAAACAGTATGATACCTATATAATAATTGTATATACAATAATTATGAAATAATTTATGTAGCATAAAAATGATAGTATATATAATATATTGTATATATACATATATATTATGTACACTATATAATATAGTATGAATTATATTATATATATATGATATAATATAATGTATAATATATAATATACATTTATATTACATACAGTAGAATATATATATATATATGATACATCATAATAGATATGTATGTATATATATATGATACAATAAATCAGTGTTTCATGGTTTCAGCGCCATTTTTCGCGGGGTCAATCACTTTAAATCCCCCTGTTTTTTCGCTGCCCGTTTCGGGTGTCCTTCCGCCGATATGATGCCTTTGATCATGGACGCTTCCAGCCTGATGCTGGGACTCGACCCATGGACTGGTTCGGTATATCTACCATCAACCAACTTGTTATCCTACTTACAGTTATGGCATGTTATGGCCATTTATTAGTTTATAACTGGTTATAAATGGGATTATACAATCTATAAATGGGGTTATAAGTACTTATAACTGGTAAAGGGCCAAAACTGTATAACACGGTTAATCATTACATATAATCACGACTACAATTAACAATGGTTAATCATTGTTAATAGCCATTTCAGTAATGGCATAGAATGGCTATCATGTAGTAATTGATAATGGCTAATGATTTTATCATGTAGTTGGGACATGTCATCATTACTTATCATCATTCATAATGGTTGTTGATTGTTTATAACGAATCCATAACAGCTACGAATATGTCATACTGTGGCATCACCTAGAGGCATCACCCAAGTTCCAACCAGGCTGGATATATTCTGTAGGCTTATGAAACTGATTGATACCGTGGATGTCATCAGATACTATACCCGTGGTTTATGAAACCCATTGATACTATACCATTTAATCAATGATTTGTCAGATTGTGAATATACTAGTTACTATACCCATTGATACTGTGGATGCTTCAGAAATCCTGCACCAGTTGGTAGACGGGCTGAATTATCCCATTGCAATCCCATGATTTACAGTGTTGAATTATCTTACCAATTCAATAGTAACCAACTGGTGCAAGATTTCTTCCATCCACAGTATAATGGCTCTCGAGCGTAGTTGGGAAACTCCATTGGACTCTGATTGTCGCAGGCTCCGTTGTGAAAGCTCGATGGAAGCTGTCCATGTCCATCAAAAACATCCAGCATAATATCATCATGGGGATAGTCAAGATGATCATCAGGAGAAGAACTTGCAAACAATGGATGCAAGTACCTGGTTGTGGTCATGTTGGCTTAGAAACCTGATTAACTATATATTTAGATATATCATACACCTATATATAATTATATATATACCATAAATCATGGTGCAAGAACAAGAACCTGATTTATTAAATTGCATTGTAATTGGTCAAACAAGTACAGTTGAGGACTTTCGTTGATCGTTTTCCATTTCTGACGCCAGCTGGAAGATCTCAACCAAGCCCAACATCACAGGGTTTTTTCTGGGACATGCTGCAGGAGACCAACGGATTTTGTGAGTTGCTGTTGTTTCAACCCCAAACTGCTTTAATCTTATTTCTTGGTGAGTTGTCTACAAAATAAGGGAGACCTCCCCGAAAAAAAATCATGGGGTAAAACATCATTCTCATTCTCCCAATTCAAACTGCCATAAATTGTGGTATTAACCCATGCTATAACCAATTTTCATGCTCCATGACCGTTCAGCTGGACGCAACTGAGAGTCCCTTTGGTGAACTTCGGAGTAAAGATCGCCTCGAGAAACGTCGCACAGTGTAGATGTAGATGTTCATCTGATCATGTTTCCAAGGTCTACATCTACAGTTGACATTTACATGATCCAGTTAACAGTAGGATATGATTTTCATGTAGATGTAGATGTAGGTTATACAGTTGACAGTTGATCCAAGGTCTTGATTGAACTGGAGCAGTTGATTCAACCCCTGTGCCTGGAATTTTAGTGGATGAAACACTGCAAAGTGGGGCTTCCCAAGATTCCCGATGGCTTTATGGACATATCTAGAGTTGAATGGGTTTGCAAACCGATCTATCATTGGGGGGGGCCGCACTGCCAAAGAAATGCACGCAAGGTATCTTTGAGAAACTCATACATTTCATACATGGAGAGCCTGAGTGACAAGCGAATAGGCCAACAACTAGGGACCCAAAATTGAGGTGTTTCTTTTTGAACATGGGCCAAGTAGATCTATTTCGGGAATCTTCGAGATTTGTTCATACGAGTTTTTGATCCTTGCTGACAAGTCAATTTGTATCCCTTCGTATGATCAGGTTTGAGAAGTCAGAAGCCCAATGTTTGTTGCTGAATACCCAAGGTTTCAAATTGGTCCCAGACAAAGCCACAAATCACCCAAAATGATACTTGGTGGTTCATTCCATTTAATCCCGGGTTATAAGTGGGATATGCAGGGCCATCCACGTACAAGTGGGGTTATAATCTACTTCCTAAGCTTGGATTTGCTTCAGGAACAGGAAAAAAAACTATTGCCTTTTTGGATTCCCCAAGTAGTGGATTTCCCATGGTTGAAAAAAAAATGATTAGCACATCCAAGTAAGAAAGATAAACTCCCAAGTAGCCAAATGGACCATACACATGGTCAATCTTTGGTAGTCCACAAAAACATCATCTGTTACTACTTGTGGTTAATTTCCTGTAACCAAAAAGCCGAAGGATTTTTGTTTGCCTATCCTTCTGGTTGGGGAAGACAATGTTGGCCTGGTCATGTCAGGTCTGCCAGGTCACTCGCTCAATCCAGGAAGCAAGGATCCGATGGACCAAGGAAAGGTCCTTGACACCTGGCCGGAGCCCACGTTTCTTGCTACAAATGCATAAAAAAATGATGGTCCTTGTTTGGTAATTGTTATCCATATTTTCCATGCATGGAATTTGTGATTGAGTGCTGTCTTTTTTAGTAAGCAAACCTATATATATATTATATGATGAACCTGATAAAATGGCGGCAAATTCAATCTGTTCTATCTTTTTTGGTGCTTGCTGTATGCTACTGCAAATTGTTTCACCTCACATTTCCCAACACAAAGCCAAATGGAACATGAAGCAACTCCACTGAGGAACATGCAGCCGGGGGATACAGGGAGTTGTCAACTGCTATCAAATGGCAGTGTGTCAAAACCTTGTACCCCTGGTGAACATCAAAATAGCTGGTAAATGGATGTTCATCCCCCTAAAAATGGTATTAATAGGTATTGATCCATACCCAGATGACAACCATTAGTGGATTAGAAGTGGTTGGTTCGTCACTTTTCTCAGCTGAAGACTTCAAACATGTTTCACATCTTTCTAAACATTTTTTTGCTACCTACCGCCCCACTCTTCTCAACTAGGGGAACACCGGACAACAAGCAACCATTATTATTCTAAGGTCAGGACGAAAAACTTCCAATAGTAGCATAATAATTCATGTCCAATCATTGAATGTTCCACTCAGGATTATTCCATTGAAATATGTCCAATATTCAATATTAATATAAATTATCAAATAAAACAGAATATAAATAGTGTCAATCATGAGCAAGCATTGGAATAATCCAATAAACATATTCCAATAAATAAATAAGTCCATTGTATTAATCACTGGATATGTTAATGATCAGTGGATTGTCATGAGTATTTTCACTGTAGAACAGTGGATAACTATAAGTATGCCAATAGTATAACATAGTATAACAGGTTCCAACATAGATTTTTCAATAAGTGAATGTTCACTAGTCCAATAAACAATCCAATAAGTCTAATATTAATCCCAAAAGTGGATTGTCAACTGATTGATCATGTTTGAAACCATCTATATCTTATTGGAATAATCCAATGCTTGTAATAATCAGTGGACGATCAGTTGGAATGATCTTCAACCAGTTATTTTCCAATGGTTATTGGATTTGTTTTTAATGTATGTTCCAATGATGGTTCCTAACATGATTTTCCAATGGATTTCCCTCATGATATCATTGGTTACCCTCTGGTAATTTAACAGTTTGCTATTGAAAATGGCCATATAAATAGTTGATTTACCCCTTAAAAATTGTGATTTTTCATAGTTTTTTTGTTAGTTTACCAGATGGTATCCAATAAAAACCCGTGGATTTTCGCCAGTTTTTGCCTCTGAAGAGTCGATGAAAATCTTCAAAGGTCTTGGGCAAGTGGGTCTCAAACTCCCGGCGGTACACCTTGGTTGACTCGTGATACGGTTAAGCATCATCCATATGGCTTTTCAGCATGGAAACAACCATGGAAAAATCTGGGGTTGTTTAACTGATTCAATGATGGTTAATGATAATGATATTACTCGATACGTTTGATAAATTGATGGTTAATAATTGCCATTTCTCAATAGTAATGGCCTTTGGCAAATGATAACAATATAAATCAACCACTCATGATGGTTGGTTGATGTTGGTTGATGTGTATGACAGCTTTCAAAAAACATGATAGGTATATCATGGGTATACTTGGCGGTGCAGCCGAGATCACTGGGCACAACGTTGGGATATAGCATAACCTACAAGGTGATGCCCTGCAGCTAGCCAAGTTGTTTCAGTTCACAACTAGGCTAACTAGTGTTTATGGATTTTATGGTAATAACGACTATATATATGATATATACTATATCTATAAAATCATATGATCACCATTCCACAGCAATCATAAGCTTTCTAGTTCGCCTATATGGTTAGTTTATAACCCAACTGACATAACCATAAATGTTTAAAAACAAGTGAGGCTTCCCCACCACCTTTCGGGGCTAGGTGCTACGGCGCCGGGTTTGTAGATGCTGGCAGCGTTGTGGAGGATGTCTGAGACCAGGCACAGTCTCAGGCACCTATCCGAAAAACGGACGGCAGCGTCAACGCTGCGCTGCAAGCAGCAAGCGAAACACTTGGGAGAATGATAGTTGATATATTGGATATAATGGATATATTCTAATGGATATATTGGATATATTGGATATAATGGAGACAAGAATTATGAATAGTTGATATAGGATATAATGGATTGACAAGAATTTCAGGTTACATTCTAATAGATTATAATTACAATGATAAGACTGATCAAAATGTTAAACTGATAAAACTGCTACTATTGATACGAATGATACTAATGATAATTGTGATGATTAATGATGAATGTCCTTTCCTCGACCTACTTTACACTCATACAAAACATCGTTGGCGATTAATATCCATTACATCCCCATGTTTCCTGCTGGTAAAATTCCCATTCTTACTGGGTCAATAAGTGAACATACCCTCCGGTAAACTAACATAACTATGGAAAATCACCATTTTTAATGGGACAACTCACTATAAATGGGCCATTTTCAACAGCTATGTTAGTTTACCAGAGGGTATCTTGCTTCTGCAGCAAGCTCTACCCAGCAACTGCTTCGCAAGATCCAGCAATTGAACCATTGAAAATACCCCTATCCCATCTGAGTATAGCTGGTTGAAAACGGTTTCCCTACGGCCCTACGGCATGCGTTTCTTCATAGTCCCCAATAACCCAGCTAGTAGAACTCCCATTTCAGAACCAATCACCAATGATTTATCGCCTATATCACCCATATCTTTGAGAGTTAGAACCTCATAAACTCCTATGATTGATGGATGAGTTCCCATTAAACAAACCCAATCCGCCACAGAATTGTCAATGGTATATATCCCCATTGTATTCCCATTATTTTCCCCATATCTTCATGGTTGGATCTTATATCGCCGTATCTTTGATAGTTAGCACATATTAGAACCATAATTTTTGATAGCTAGCACATCTTAGAACCTCATAAACCCTCATAACCCCTATGAATCATAGGTGATTGATGGTTGAGTTCCCATCAAAAAAAAACAGTCCTGCAGTCCCTGCGCCTCTCATGAGCCGTGATATCCTCCTCCTCCAAGCTGTCGAGCAAATGTCGCGACACGTCGATGGCCATGTCGTCGTTGTCCAAACACCACACCTTGAAGATGGGATTTTCATGGGGCTGGGGACTCATGGCCTACTCAAGGGGATTAATGGGGAGTGGCATAGGGGATTTATGGGGTTAATATGCATTAATGATTTATATTGATTTATGGTCATAGTTGGCGATCAGCGATATCATTCACCAATGATTTAATGATCATTCATGATGCAATGGGGTTTTCCTCTAGATCAGTGGGGATCAATAGATCTATGTATTTAGGTCCAACAAAAGGGTATACCCGAAACATTATCCAACATGGCAATAAAATATGGAGAAACGGTTACCAAAGAAATGATTTTGGGGGTACTCAAATAATCTTCAAACTAGTGACAAAACGGAAGCGAAGTTTGTGAATGGCACTTTGACACTCCATCCCTAAATGGAAGAGAATCGCAAACAACAAAGGACAGCATAGCAACAGAATCCTGATGTCCTCCAGGATGTTGCAGTGTTCTTCACTTTGGATTGGCTAAGAAGACTCCAAAGTCCAAAGTATATTGGGTGTTTAGTAATAGGAGGTTCCCACAATGAAATTTAAAATCCCGATACAAGTATGCAGTGAACTATGTATCACTCCTATGGTTGGACGAAGAAGCGTATTTTGGGCACTGCTCACATGTTCCGTCTGCAAAACACACACTCAATTCCCGCTCAACGTTGGGCTTTGTCTGAAAATAGGGTGCCCCAAAATACACTAGATTCACTAGATTATATAGGTCATCATCATGTGTTGGTGATATCCCATTAGATCGCATGGCAAAAGCACAGAATTTTTCCTGGTGACAAGTCCAGCAACTTGCTGGACAAATAAGATACTGTAACTCCCCAGATTATGGTTAGATTATAATCCATTATTAACCATTATTATCCATTATTAACCATTTTTTTTGGTTCTGCTGAAATGAAACAAGTTTCCACACGTCCAGTGAAAACGCCCATGGCCAGCTATAGCCCACGACCAAAAAATGCGGCTTAGACTCCATGGCTCTGCGAATGTCACAGGCATTTACAGAGAGATCCTGCGCTGAAGCATGTAGCAGCAACGAGCGACAGTTAGGAGGTGGTGGAAGCAACCGTGGCCTTGGGAGTTTTTTCTGGGATGTATATAACATTATATAACTATCACTAACAATATATATGGGGCTCCGCACGGTCCGCATCTGTATGGCATTGATATCATCAGGAGCCCATCTTTACTCGCTCAGCCTGTCCCAAAACTTTGAACAAAAATACTGCCCAGAAGAGGCGGATCCAGATCTCTCGTGCTCAACAAGTCACAGATTTGGGGAAAAATAGCATATGGTAAAGTCAAGCATCCAATGTTCAGAGGTACCCACCAGTAAACTTTGGTTATTTTTATTGAGATAGCCATGTAAAATCTCTGATTGAGTTGGATTATTTACCTATCAAACATGGTGATTTCTCATAGTGATGTTAAGTTACCGGTAAAATCCCAAAAAAAAACTCATTCAAGTCCATCAAAACCTCCATTTTTTGATGCTTGAATCAGCTGAATCCCATGAATTTCGCTGGGCCTTCAGTAGTCTCTCCAAATCTCGGACGTCTCGGCGTCGCAGGCGTTCGGTGCCCATCCGTTTCCTCCGGCGCTTCGCGGGTGGCGAAGCTGGAAGTACCCCATGAAACTCGAAATGATGTGTACCCTCTGGTGAACTAACATAGCAATTGGCTATTTATAGTGGATTTTCCCATTAATAGCATGGTGATTTTCCATAGCTATGTTAGTTCACCAGTGGGTATGTAATGTATCATTGTTATCCCGAAATAAATGGGTTACTGATGGGTTCCTAAGCATGCATGATCAAGCAAACGTCTGAGTTTGGTGGCACATGGGCCTGACATGGGGGTAGTAGCCAGTTTGCGAGCCATTTCAATGTCTATTGGAGTATCACTAGGTATCACAGGATTCTCATGTCTGATGTCACTACCCTTGCTGATGAGTTGGCTAACTGCGTAGGCTGACATAGAACCAATCAGGAAAACTACATAGAACCGTTCTTCACTTAAGTGGCTTTGTCTGAAATTAGGGTACCCAAACAATCTGTGGTTTCTCATCATATTCCCCATTTAATAGCCGTTTGGGGAATATATATATATACCTTATTTTCAGACAGACATGGCCAGTCCTGCCGTTGGCTTCGGGTGCGCCATGATGCTCTTCCTCCTGCAAGGCAGCTGGTGTCAAGCGATGGATGGATGGATAAAAATGAACCATTATGATAAATTGGTTGATGACTGTATACAGTTCTACATAGGAAATATCATGGGAAATATCCCATTTAAATATCTAGGTACGAAGATAGATAGATTGACGGCTTGTTGGGAAGACATACGGCAAAGCGTGATTTGTCCAACAAATCTATTCACTTCAACCTATTTTGGGGTGGTCTAAACATTAGGTATGCAATGATATGATTCAACAATGGTTTTACAATTGAACATGGCCACATGCAAATGGGATCAAGAATGATTCAGCTCGCATGAAAAAGACCGCGCTGGGTCAATCCGGATCATGTCGGTATATGGAAGGTGGATCACATCGAAAAATATTGAAACAAGATTGAAACCATGTTTCAAAATAACAACCAGGAAAAGCATGGAAAAGCACATATCCCTCTCCCCCAGACAAAAATCGCACCTTGGAGTTGCGAAAACCTCAAGCAATGGCCAGGATGCTGCGATGATTTCAAACTGTTCTAAACAAGGCCATGAGTCAGCCGATACGGTATTGAAATGGCCAAATCCAACCATGTAAATGCCAACCAAAACACGTGTTTTGATGGCCAGAAAGGAAAAACGCATCAACATGACTCGCAGGGAGAGACTGCATGGAAGTTCGTTTCCCACTGACGATACATATCGATGCATAACATACCAAGGACCTAGGAAATGGTCTACTTGGGGCATCCCACTTAGAAAATTGGTTTTACCCAACCGTTATATGGAATATCCCCACTTATGTATGGGATTATACGGGGCATAGGGGTTATATAATGTTATATATGGATTATAAATTTTAAACCATTTACTAAGTGGGATGCACACCCAAGTAGAAGCGGGTACAGACCTTGCCACATAGCAACCTAAATAATCTTCATAATATGCCACACCCAAAAAGACTCCTCCAGGGGCCCCAAGATAGGTAAGTTGGTATATAACTCTAACAACGGTTGGATTTTTGTTGGAGACTAAACTACAGTTGGATGTATCTTCAATCCAGGAGGAAGAATCACGGTATCATCCCATTTTTCAGTAAAGTTTCAACATGTTAATCTGACCATAAAATTCTTTACTTTCCCAGACATGGGATCATACTGGGATATATCATCTAATGGTTGGTGGTTTTAACATGTTTTAACCATCTCGAAAAATATTAGCCAATGGGAAGGATGACATCCCATATATCAAATGGAACATAATCCAGCCATGATCCAAACCACCAACCAGTCTATTTTAACATACAAAGCTTCAATCCCCTTCTGGATCACCCAAGATTTTCCCAGACTTTCCCCATGAAACCAAACTGTGCTGCATCGCTTCTTAGAATGGCCAAGGTGCGACGCGTCCAAGCGGCAAAGACCTTGGAGTAGTCCGCATGCTTCACCTGAGAAAAGCCACCGTGGGTTTTTATATGCCATAACTGGTGATATCAACCATACCCTCTGGTAAACGTTTACATAACGAACTGGAAAGATCCACCATTTTCCATGAGAAAATCCACTATAAATCTATAAATGGTCATTTTCAATAGCTATGTCAAAGTACCAGAGGGTGACTGATGTATATATAATATATGAACATTTACCAACAAATCATCAATTTATCAATTGCGAGACTGTGATGTGTGTGTTGTTTCAAAAAATAACATCAACTGAGAAACTGCGGTTCTTGTTTCGGGTGTTCTTTTGGGCTTTGAAGCAGCTCTTTTTGCAACATGATGTCCGAATCGCAAAGGTGATCACCAACCAATAAACAACAGGTTGGTGCTAAAGTGAAAACAACCTGGATAAACTATATAGTAATTCACACAGCTGAAATAAAACGAAATAAGGCCATTTGAAGATAGTTACCAGTTACCCTATGTATAATATATATATACATATCTATAATCTATAAATCATCATTCCAGTGATGTCACAATGAGGTTGTCATATGTACCAGATTAGGTGGAGTCAAATCAGCCCATGAAACCATATTAAACCAGGATTGTTCATGGTAAGATCTCCTCGTTTTCCCCAGAAATCCCCAGTTCTAAAATGTCCAAGGAGGAACCTCCGTGTAGGGGTTGAACTTCATCATGGCCTGCAGCAGGTCGTCTCGGTTTTGGCGTCCCACAAGGCTTCGGCTGTAGCTCAATATCGACCTCTAAAATTGGAATTGAATAACACATATACTTGGTTTATAAGGTTAACAAAAATAGCACCTATTACGTTGAAGCACCGAAAATGATCATGGACACTTGGTGTTTATGAATCTTTGTGATAGGTTTGACTTGCAGTGGATATTTAGACTATAGTTAGATGGGTTGATGTACAAATACGATTTTGCATCCCACTAGTGATACATCTGTGATACATGACAGCACATCTGTGGCATGTCTGGCATGTCTGACATGTCTGACAGGGCCAACTGGGCTTGGTTCAAGCACGTGCTTGCAGCCTCTTGTTCATCATCTACAAGCGGTTGATTTGAAATGATTTATGATGTCTTTGATTGTACAGATGAATACACACATTTATATGGCAATAACATGCCAAACCAATATTTCTGAAGGAAGTGGTCATGGCAAACAACATCATCCTCATCCACTATCTCTGATTACTCCTCATACCTCATCATCAACCCGCCAAAAATCAGCCTTTTGGCATGGCAAATCTTGGATATCCTGTTAAAAAATGTTTATCCCCAATTGATGTCAAAAGATAAAGTTGTACTAAACTACGCAGTTGCGTGACCCACATTATCCATATTGTTGGTTCTATGTGTCTGTCTGAAAATGGGCCATACCCTCCAAATGAACATCTTCAATCGGTACAATGAGGTTCCAACCAGATTTTCCGACAGACCCATTTGACGCTCAGCCGTGGAATGCAAAATCTGAACAATCTAAGACACATGTTTGTATTTATCTATGAATATATCTTTGTATATAGATGTGGCTCAAGAAAACGGGTATGGATCGGGGCCAAGGATCACCTGTGGGTCCAGGGTATGGATCGAGGCCTTACATTATCATCCAGATATGTCCATTTCATGATCTAATTGAATGATAATCTAACTCCATGGATCCAAATTATGATGAACACAGTAGAATTCTACTATATCCCATTATATATAGCATCATTTGGATATATCATGGATATATCATATATATATAATGCATATTTCATATGATATATATATATATCATATATATATACCCGATATGTCCTAAAAGATCTATCCCCGACGCCCAATGGGAACCTGCTCCCTCAACTCCGGCGGCAGCTCCCGCAACAAGAGCCGCGCGGGGCGGTCCAGCTGCCACTTGGCGCAGAAGTCGTCCTCCTGGCGCCTCGGCGACGACGCTACGCAAGCAACGCGTTGCAGGGGAAAACACGGGGAGAACGGGGGACAAAACTGGAAAAAATGGGAAAACATGGTGGGATTATGTGGGTTTATGTGGCTTTAAGATGATGTATGTGGAGGTTTTTTATGGAATTTGAATGGAATCGAGGATTTCCTCACGGAACTTTGATGGTAGTTTAATGGTAATATATAAAAAAACGATAGTTTTTCATAGGATAAGTTGATGGGATTTTTCATAGGACCATCCCAACAATCCCGGAGACTGGGAGACTGGGAGGATCTCAGTGATGTGCTACGCTTAGTTTAGGAAAACATGGTTGGTTTATGGTTGAGAAAAACCATAAAAGACTTGCAAAATACAATGGGATATAGCGTCAATGGGTAAGTAAATGAAGTAAATGGTTTCGTAAATGGTTTGGTAAATGGTTTATTTGCTGTGGTTTGTCAAATGGATAGCAAATGAACGTAAGTTAGTTTGTGAGTGGTTTATATCAGGTGATAATTGCGCCTCAACTTTCCATCGATATGTGAGTTTGTCAAGTGGACAGTCAAGTGTCTGAGTCTTGTAATACTTGCGGATATAACGGGATACTATGATATAACCCTGTTTCCAACCGGCTATCTCATTCCATGGCCAGCATTGGCCAGCTATGGCCGGGCGATCTGGGATGATCCATCGGCAGTGAACTTAGTTTGAATGGAAACACTGTTTTGAAGCTGTAACCATGGTTGGTGATCTATCTATCGTCAACTGCCCATGTTGAAACGATTTAGAGAGTCATTTGAACAGATCAGTCAATTGGGATTGTCATAGGAAAGGGTAAAACATAGGAACTGTTTGAAACCGCCAAGCAGTCCTTATTCGGCTAGATACGCGATGGTTGTTGACCATCCCCAATATAAGATTCCAACAAGTGGATTGTACTCCCATTGAATCAATTGGTATTCAGATGGCAAAAGCACATATATATTTATAATGATTTAGTAACTCAACAAAAACAAATAGAAACGAAATTTACCATTGCTCTACTAGGATTCAGGATTCTACTTTTATTTTGACCACCTGTAACCCATTTCTCGTGGCGCCATCAACCAGGAAGTCCCAGCGGGCCTATATCCCGGTGACAACCGTGAGCGGGAGCGGGAGGAACTGGAGGAATCGGAGTCGGAACCTCCTGTGGCTCCAGGGTTGCACCCCGGGTCTCCCAATGGCTGGGTACCCAAAAATAGATGGAGAATGGAACATCCTATTTATTCTATTTCAATGGATGATTTGGGGGTACCCCCATTTTGGAAAACTTCAAACTGAAGATGGAACTGAATCCTATGTTGGTCTACTTACCACAGATGGAGCGTTTCTTGGATTTGCGGAAGCGCCCATTCTAACTGAAACATCTTCCCGTGTTGAATTTCCCCAAGTACTGGATTTCAGTGGGAAAACAAGAATCATCATCTTCAGCAAATCCAAGTTATGTCCATTAACATGTAAGAAACATGCACCAAAAAAAGTCCCCTTTCAGCGAGGACAATTCGCATGAGTTTGTCAATGTCCTCTTTGGGATGAACAAAATGGCATTGGGCCCAGTATACTGTACATCTCTATGAGTTTCCATCGTAATATCGTAATATGTCAATCTACCTTGATAAATCTATCAATTCTTGAAAAGGATAGTGAAGTAAATACTCAATACAGCCAGCGTTTTATACAACGCGTTAATCGTTGCCCGCAGCTTGAAGTGGCGACTCCTCGATTCCGTTGGGGAGGATGCCAGACCATGCCTTTCCTTGGGGCAGGTTCCCGCGGTTTCCGGTGACATCTGGTGACAGCAGGGTCCCTGCCATTAGGATTGTCCAACTAACGAGGTATCTATGTATCTAACCCAGATGCTCAATGGTGCTGGAATATTTAGCTACATAACTCGGCTATTTTTGGAGTAAATGTAGGCAGGTAAATATTCCAGCACCATGGAGCATCTGGGTAAGGATGTCATCACAGAATCAAAAGACATCACAAGGTGAACTTGCCTTGCTAGCTGGAGTGAAATCACCCCAAGTGTGCTCTTGCAGTTCCCATGTTCATCGCGCCAATTCCAGCCAGGGCACGTGCACATCCTTGGTTGAGACTCATCCGTGTTTTGCTGCAAGAAAACAACAATCAGAAAGTCATCTGCTGGATCTCTATACCAGTTTCACACAAGCAGGGGCTATTACCTACTGTAGCATAGCAGGAGATGGAATCCCCAGGAAATCATACACCAAATGTGATTCTTGAAATCCAAACGCCCTCGCTTCCGACTTTTTCAGGTGGTGTGGACTGAGGTATGTCACAAAGCCACCACTTTCATCCCAGAAATCAAACGCCAGAAGTGCGACTGAGGAGCCAACCTCTTGTGTAAAATCAGATATAATACAATATATATATAATATAATACATAAATATTTATATATCATACATGTATATCTATATATATATATGTATATATGTATATATATATCATATATATATATGATATATATATATATCATATATATATATCATATATATATCATATATATATATATCACATATATATATATATCATATATATATATATCATATATATATATAGCATATACATATATATAGCATATATATATAGCATATATATATATCATACATATATGTGTATACATATATATATATCATATATATATATATGTCATATATATATATATGTATGTGTTGCATATATGTATAATATATCATATGTATAGTATGTATGTATGTGTTTATATATAATATTATATAATCTATTTTTGGGGGTTCGGCTGATTTCCAAAAAATCACAACTGCAAGCTGCCCACCGGCTACCGGGATACAAAGGGATACCCCCGGGCATATCACCCATGAACCGGCCATGGCTGGGGTGCACTGATATCTCCCCAGCCTATGTTTAACACTGAAATATCCAACTGGTTGGTGGTAATGATGGTTAATGATGGTTAATGGCTGGTTGGTGGTAATGATGGTTAATGATGGTTATATAATGCTTAATATATAATGGTTAATGACTGGTTGGTGGTTGAGCCCTACCCCTCTGAAAAATGATGGACTTCGTCAGTTGGGATGATGAAATTCCCAACTGAATGGAAAAATAAAATTCATGTTCCAAACCACCAACCAGCCAATTTTCGGCTGAAGAATTTTGAGTCAACCCCGGAAATGCAATTGCGGTTGGTTCCTTATATAGCCTCCATAAACATCCGAGTGTTGGTTCTGCATCTCCTATTCTTATTAGTTGCACCCGGATGTTGGTTTCTTGAATACCCGTTCAGATGTCAACCCCCCCAATTCCCCCATATTTCCACTAAGCATCTGGTGCCAACCATGATGGTGAATCAACACCCATAAAATCCAATGACCACCAGTTCAAAATGCCATCTCAGTCACTGAAAGGGCTCCATGCGCCAGTGGTGTCGCGTGTCACCCTGCACAAAGGAAAAGGTACGCCTTAGGCCGGGCCACCAATCGCAGGTGATCCATGCCCTAATTCTGATCACTCTTTGGGATGGTTCGACTTCCGAGGTGTATACAAAACAATGTTCATTCTGAAGCATGCAGGTAGAATGAGGGATATTTGAAACAAAGAACCTCGGGGTTGCCTGGGAGGGAGCAGAAACCACCAAAATTCCAAAATGGTACTGAGTACTGGGTTAGTCTGACATGGTGTAGACAATGCATGGAAATCTCATGAAATCCCCATTGACTCTGCAAACAACAGAACTGACCAAGGCTCCAAGGGGCCAACAGGATAACCCACGGCCCATGCCAAGGTGCCACCGATAATATTGGGCTTCTGGAGAGGAATGCTCCTGGCCAAATAGCTTAACGATCACTTGCAAGTGCAACAGGAAAATGATCTGCCCAGAAGGTTGTCTGACTACCTTTTTCATGGCCAAAACCATGGCTACCAAGAGCTGCCAAATAACATGCCAAAATGAATGATCATCCCACTTTTATTGGTTGTTATCCAATGTTATCCATTCCATCCCGTGGTAGCCCACCTGGATACCCGTGCGTTGATGGGCGGATCAATCTCGGCCTTTCCGTGATTAAAAGAAAAAATTGTTGATTCAATCCCTACTGTACTTTCTGGTGGTCAAAAACTATTCAAATATTCATTTTGGCAGTTAAATCTCACTTTTTGGCGGCTCATTCTGAGTTGCTCCTACATGTATGTTTGTGATAATCTGATGGTTCAATTTCTTTAGATATGATTCGTCTTCCACATTCTTTTTGTTTAAAACTCACCTCCCAGAAAACCTATGTGCCATGGCCAAAACATTGTATATGGGTTATGGTCATCCCACCATCATGAATGCGATTACTTATAATGACGGGATACAGTGGAGATATTGACCTGAACGTTCCCTTTTATGGGAAAATAACCCACAAGATGATGCCGCCCCAGGTATGTTTGCTTGTTTGTAAACTCCGTTTGCCATAGATATATGTACCATAAACTCTAGTCAAGCGTTATAAGCCAACTTAGCTACCAAAACTCAGATCAGTCCACCATCAATCCCCATGGTTTGCCAGTACAATCGCCATATTCTCCACATTTTTCATGGTTCAATAGCTATCAACCAGCTGGGAGAATAGTATGGTTATAGCTGGTTGATAGCTATTGCACCATGAAAAATGGAGAATAACCAGCTATAACCATGGGGCACCAGTCACTTCACCATGGCACCACCGTCCCTGGCGTGGTGCCGACGTATCGCCTTCAAGAAGGACCAATCGATGCCGCGGTCGCCGTCGCCCCGCGCCAAGCGCTGCCGCAGGGCTTCCTCAAACCTGGGAGCGAGTCATCAATCATTGGAAGTACATAGGACTAATGACTATCATATTGACTGATTAATTATGATATTATCATTAACAATATAAGTACAGTATATGTTGATCAGCACAGTAATATATTGATCATAGGACTATAATTGGGATTAATGACTGCAACATACTACATAGATGATACATATGCACATCTAGTAGGGCAACACTGGTCATTGGGGGTAAGGCAATATCCGAAGATCCACCTCACAGTTGTCAAACATGTCAAATATCACTATCATGATCTATCATGAATATCGTCATTTGTGACTGGCTAATACTGGCTACGGCTACTGGAAAATGACAGCCATGATCAATGATCCAAGATTGATTGTTCGATAAAAGTTTGGAAACTGAACAGAATCCGTTTCACCTCAAACGTATGGGACCTATGGGAATGGATGACATGACATCTTAACAAAGCCATGTCATCTGGATCCCAGAAATAAACACCAGAAATAAACAATGGCAGGTCTCAGGGGATCATCCTGCCCCAAGAAATCCCCAAGAAATGCACCAAACATGACACAACGAGCTGCGCCAGTTGCGTTCTCCCCGATACAAGTGACGGCTCCCCCATCTGCGCCACATAGTTCGCCAGCAAATCCTGGGATCCAACTGCTGGAGAGTTCTGCGACCTGTCCAAATGTTTCATGGCTGGGTACCCAGCCAGTTGATGGTTTAGATTGACATTTTCCCATTTAAATTGGCGGTAAATTGGGGTATCGAAATTTCCGGAAAAGAAGAACAAACTGACTCTTGAAAGCATATATGCATATGGCTGAAAGGGAAAAGGGTCTCTAGCGTGTCGATGGAGCATCTGAAGAAGTGAGCATGGTTTAGTGTTCCATAAGAAAACTCGCAGTGGAGGATTCCTCCTTAACTGATCTTGTAAAAAGCGCCTGTCCAACGTGGCTGTTCTTCGTGGAAAATCAGCTGTCCAAAGCTCTCTCAAGAGGGATTTCTTTGGCTGAAAAACGATGTTCCCAGGTTACCCTCTGGTAAACTAACATAACTATGGAAAATCACCATTTTTAATGGGAAAATCCACTATAAATGGTCATTTTCAATAGCTACGTTAAATTACCAGAGGGTATGAGGCAAACAACAACAACCTTGAGACAACTTGAGACCACCCAACGAATTGCTGTCCCAAGGTTCGATTACTCGTTTCAGCTTCAAGGGAGGCACTTGCACATGGACCTGGCTGGCAACAAGAGGTGCGGGACGTGCGGGACCAAATAAAAAATAAGTGGATGATAACCATATGGGGGTTTCCCACAATGAAAATATCATGACCTGGTGAATCACCCCGTTACGTTTGCTTCAGGCCCATACCCCATCCTCCTCATACATGAAATGCACTAAAATACCGCGGGTATATCGGATGTATCCTGATATGGGACTCAAAAATATAAATCCACATATAAAATTATATACCCTCTGGTTATTTAACAGTTCGCCATGGAAAATCCACCCATTTTTAAGAACGGTAAACCATCTATTTCTATGGGCCATGGCTATACCATGGCAAACTGGGTTTCAAAGGGAGCACCTGTCGCTCATTGGCGGAAAGGTCCGAGGCAGTCACATGCTTGGCCTGACGGTGACAGCACTAGTTTTAAGGTACCCACATTTTGAGGCTTCCGCCATGGCTCAATCCAAATCATGGACTTGTCGGTTCAAGCGCGTTCCGGAAGGATTTGCAGGATGGAATGTTACATACCTTGCTGGGAAAATTAGGTAGATGATATAGATGTTAGATCTACAGATTGATTTCCCTCCAGACCCTGAAAAAGCGGGCAACTCGTCCAAAAGTATCAACAACAAAGGGACTCTACACCTTTACAACATGGCTTGCAACACCAAAGACCCAACCCATTTTTGCACTCCTAGGTCAAAGTCCAAAATCTTAAACTCTCCTCAGTCTGCTCGTCATGTTTTCTCCTGCTTGATGACCCAACCCTTGACCCCGACCCTCGCCCCGTACCTTGAGCTCTTCAAGGAAGCCTCGGCAAATGGGACCAAACCATGGCAAGGTGACCCTGTTGCTAGGTCCTCTACCTCCAACTTAAACGCTTACCCAACAAAACAATACTAAACATACGCTGATATAAATTGTAAGGAAATCAATGGAAATCATCATACTATAGTAGATTCTTTGTTGGTGGTACTTGGATGAACAGAAGCCTGCATTATTTTTGGCCAGGAATCCGCTTGAACGATCATGAAATCGGTAGGTTCCAGTTATGGATGCTTACTACAGAAACCATCGCAGAAATCACAGCAAAATCATCTGCTGTAATCATCGCGGCCACCAAACACAATTTTTATTCATGCGTTGACATAAAATACTAAAATCACCACAGGGATGGGAGATGTGTAGTGATCAAACAATGTCGAACTATACCTAATTCAAACATCTATGGTTTAGAATGAACTCCCAGTCAATAATTATGGATATATATATATATATCCGTAAAAATCTATTATGGATCAATAATATGATCCCAGTTCTATTTCTACTTCACGTTCTGAACTGTGACTCCTTTCGTTTTCGCCTTGCCAGGTGGCTTGTCAACTGCTTTCCGCGCTTCGGCTCATCTTTTCCCATCACATGGCAGAACGGCAGAACGGCGCCCGAGAGATCGAGAGATGGCATTCAGCTGCTATTCGAGATGTGTTTTCCTTGGTTGAAAGATGTTGAAAGATTACCCTCTGGTAATTTGACATATTGAAAATCACCATGCTATTAATGGGAAAATCAACTATTTCTATGGGCCATTTTCCATGTCGCAAACTGTTCGTTTGCCAGGTTGGGTATGTTCAAAGAGTAGTTGAGAATTCATCGACATATCTGTCACACGAAGATCACATTCTCTTGTTGCACAGGCATGGGTCACAATTGGATTCGACAAAATCATATAAGCAGAATCGACTTTGCAAGGCAAAACGGCAAACTATTATTAATATGTTTCCAGGGTCTCAATGTTCGACAAATCCATAGTAGCTTTCATATGGATCTGGGGGTAAACAGGTCACTCAAATTGGGCCCGGGATGGCCCAGGTGTGATTGGGAGTTGACTGTTTGAGATGCCACTGTCTGACTTGGGCATCCAGGATTCGTTGAGGGCTGGAAGCAACAGCTCGAGGGGGCAATGGATGGCTCTGACCTACTGTGAAAACCTCTGTTGTCTGGAAACAGCCCCAGCACCTGGTCAGAAGTAGTACAGTACAACTACAGTAAATTAATTTGCTATGGATAGAACCAAACACCAACTCATGCTGATCATGATGACTACAAACATGTCTCCAATACGACGCTAGTTGCTGGAAGAAACATGAAAGCCACTTGGGATTGCCATCCCACATTGAGAATGGACAAAAACACGAATCTGAAAAAAAAAGAAAACTTCCCAGAAGCAACTGCAGGTTTTGAACATCCGCATAGAGATTCCAACACAAGCATGAAAGTATACATCCCCAATTGGCATAGGCAATCTAGTTTATCAATGCTGGTTGGTGGTTTTAACCATCTTGAAAAATATTAGTCAATGGGAAGGATTAGTCCATATATGATGGAAAAAATGTTTAAAACCACAAACCAGATCATTATTAACCAACATCTAACCAACATTATTAACCATGTATATATATATATATTATATCATAGTTTCCCATTAAGAGGAGTTTCCCATATATATATATTCCCATAGTTTATCAATACTATTGGATTGGTAATGCCTCCCCTCTGTATCCAATCCTTTTTTGACTTCTATGTGAGCCTGACTCGCCTGGTACATCGCATCAACTCGTAGGCTCTCAAGCACTGACTTTCGGGGTCCAAGGCCTCAAGCGGAACGGCCGGCTGGAGAATATGATTGATAATCCATACAGAAGTTAATATCCATACAGAAATCCATATGGCTTATTGAAAATCCATATGGCTTATTCATAATCCATATCCATAATATCTATATAAGTCATTGAAATCCATATAGATTTTAGATAAGGATATGGATTCCAATGGATTATATTATAGATATGAAAACTTCTATATGGATTTTTAGATAGATGTTGGATAGATGATATATGTATAGATGATATATGTACATATTACAGGTGATTATAGATTAGAGATGATTAGAGATCCAATGATTATCAATGAGATATATGCATAGATGTTTGGATAGATTTCACATAGCTATCAATGATATTATATGTATATATATATATATATGTTAGATATAAATAGATGATTTTAGATTATAGATCAACAAAAAGAAGCCTCCCTGTAAAAAAAAATCAAAGTGTCGATATGATATTGTATCGATTATGGATTGGATTTTCCCATCATTGCAGCAATTTTGAATTGGCGGTTCTCAAAGTGCTTCCCACAAATTAGACGTGCGTAAATTTTCTATGTATACGGTATACGCAAATATGTTCCATGCACGGGGTGTCTGCTAACATTGACCCACCCAACATGTTGGCCACATGTGTATATATATATATAGGTAAACATACAATGCATGGAGCAAATAGTCCCTCAAAATTAATGATGAATGATCTTGGTATTATGAGTATATGAGCTCCAAACATGGGAACATCAAATAAGGTAAGACTCTCTACATCACAATGGTCCGACCGAAGCTTGGACAGCACAAGACCATACAAAATGCAGATTGACTTACTCTAAAAAAAAATGAAAAATCTTCCTGGGCAGTTTGGGAAGCCATTAGAAACCGTTGTTTCTTCAACGACATGGGATGACCCATGGAGTTGGTGGTCAGCTGGCTTCATACCCCGAAATTCTCCTAAGATCTGGAAGTTTCCAATCCATGTACCCCAGATCCTTCATTTTGATAGCATTTTTGGATACCCTCTGGTAATTTGTTACATAGCTATTGAAAATGGCCATAGAAATAGTGGATTTTCCCATTAATAGCATGGTGATTTTCCATAGCTATGTTAGTTCACCAGAGGGTATATACTGGTTGGTGGTGTCAATTCCCCTGAAAAATATGAGTCAGATTGGATCATCATCCCAACTATTGGGAAAAATAAAAAATGTTCCAAACCAGGATACCCTCTGGTTATGACTAACAGTTCGCCATGGTTTTTCGATGCCCCTAATCGAAATAGATGTTTACCGAACTTAAACATGGTGATTTTCTTTCCATGGCGAACTGTGAATGTCATAACCAAATGGTATATAATATATAAAATTATATAAACCATCCAGCCATTGTGGATTATTTCGGGTACCCCCCCCATTTTAGGACACCTCCAGCAGTCGCAGGAGCTTCAACTCCCCAACCATTCACATCCATTCCTTTCAGAAATCATCCCTGTGTACCACGGCACCAGCAGGTGATGGAGAAGGGTGGTTCCAGTCCGCCTTCGCTCGACGAGACCCCAGGAACGATGCTTTCAAACCGCACAAACAAACCATGATACCCTCAGGTTATTTAACAGTTTGCCATTTAACAGTTTACAATGATCCTAACTAAATCAAGAATAGCATCCATCGCAGTTTGGGAAAGGATTCTTCGTCAACACATGAATCATGATGAATCATGCGTCATGTGTTGCAGAAATGAACATCGTTGCGTTCAATGGCCTGCAAAGATTGGAACAACAAAAATCCATCCAAATCCTCCATTTGATCACATGCAGGTCTGGGATGTTCGCACCTGGGCAAATTAGATTTGGTAACCATCTGGTTATGACTAACAGTTCGCCATGGAAAGAACATCACCATGTTTAAGTTCGGTAAACCATCTATTTCGATTAGGGCCATCGAAAAACCATGGCGAACTGTTAGTCATAACCAGAGGGTATCATTCCCAAATCAAAAAAGCTAGCCACTCTTGGATGGTTCCCCTAATTCCTTAGCATTGATATGGAGTTTGGTCGTCTGGTGAGACTTTGTTAATTTGACCAAAATAATTTGGAAGTTCCGCTTTTTGGGTGGTTGACCTCCCGTTTAAACCGCCCTGTATGTGGGTAAAATTGGTGATATGTTCATAGACAAATCCACCATCAAATCGCGCCTGCTACAAAGTTGCCCAGACCATTGGTTTCAACCATCAAATCTGGTGCAGGGTTTTGCAACCATCCCCAGTAATATATGGTAAAACAATAATAAAGCATCCCCCAAATCAGCCAAATCACCATTTTTATAGGTGGTGGATAAACCATTCCCAGTCATAGGTGGTAAATTTATGGCATTGTTTTACTCACATTAATCATCATTAGTCATCCATGAATCACCATTATTAACCGTGACATTAACCACTATTCACCACTATGTTCGGATTGAATCCTCCGTTTCCCGTTTCGTTTTTACTGACGTATGTTTCGGCCAAGACACGGCAAACCCACAATGAAAATGGGCGGTCTCAGAGTGCTGGAAGTCACTGGATGCCTGGACCAAAATTCCACCATGATTCCATCAATGATTTCACGCAGAAATTTTGATGAATACCATATTACTTATTACTGTAATCAGAAATCATATATAATATACATTGTGAATAATATTAATATTACATTGTTGATACTGTATGAAATCATGATGGGAGTTCCAACTGGGGATCGCATTTACCTTATTTTACTGTGACCAGTCAAAACGGATCACCATGGTAATTTACCATCAGGGTAAAGCGTGAACGCCCAGGCCTGTCAAAACTGTAAGAAAGAAAAACAAAAAATGTGTCTGTGCTAAAAAAAAAAATACTGTGGATGGAGGAAATCCTCCACCAGTTGGGAACTATTGGTATTGTGAAACACTACAAATAATGGGATTCTAATGGGATAAACCATCTACCAACTTGCAGGATTGCTTCCATCCAAAGTAGCATCATTGCGAAGCATCAATGCACAATTGGCAGAAAGACAAATGACACAATCTCTGATTCAATGTAAGTGTCTATGCTCATTGTAAAGACTCTTGTTGCAGATTCCCTCAATGGCTTTGCCCCTTGGCATGGTCAAAACGCAGAACAAAAAGGGTATGATCATGCAACGGTTATTTAGCATTCCTGATGTTGAATAGACTGTACCTTGTACACACACGTGTGTGTGTATATATATATACATACCCTCTGGTTATTTAACAGTTCGCCATGGTATAGATGGCCCATAGAAATAGATGGTTTACCTATTAAAAATGGTGATTTTCCATGGCGAACTGTTAGTCATAACCAGAGGGTAATATACATTGTGTTCTACTATGGGTATCAGCGCTCTCTCCCTGTAGTTCATATCCCCAAAAAACTGACTGGTGACTGGTCTTGGCTGGCTTGGGCTGCAAGTCACAATCCAAAAAAATGGGGTGATTGGTATAACAATGGATCAATGGATCAATGGTATTAACGAATTATGGTAGAACTATAATTTATAGAATTATTGGGTGTGATTGGTATTAACGCAGGATCACTATTCATTGGTTGATGAGTTTTTGTTTTGCACGTATATAATCCACAGTTGAAGATTGAACACTATCCATTCACCATCCCAAACACCACTTTGACAACGCCACGTCCAATGTCTGCACTGCCTCTCGATATCATTCTGCAGCACTTCGTGTGAGTGCACATGCGTCTGCACGCGGCTCACGTGGGGCCCGTTGCAAACCACTTGAGGGACTTGAGATCCCAAGAATCAGGCATAAGTGGGAATGCAGAATTCATCATATGATCATAGAAATTCATAGAACGTATATCCTTTACATCTACATGTGTGGAGTGTTTTTCTAGAAATATATGGTTTAATGGCATTAAACCATGAACTTTCAAAAACTGATCTGGATTTCCTACAAGAACTCTTGGTGTCAGAAGACCCATCAAGCCGTCAAACCTGCCATTTTTCTCGGATCAGCCGGGAGGAAAAATCGTCTAACCCTCATCCCGCCATGCCCAGATGCAACCCATGGTGCTGGAATATTTACCGACATAAAAACCCCAAAAATAGCACAGTTTTGTAGGTAAATATTCCAGCACCAGCATCTGGGATGGGATACTGATCGCCCAAGAACTGGGACGGAAAAATGACGAGATCTCCCCAGTACTTGGTCCAAATCTCAGGTTTCTGATATCCATCCAGGACTCTTTCAACTCTGGCACGTCACAACATACCAAAACGGCCAACCATCCCCACTTGCCAGTGGCAAAATGTATGGTATAGTCATTCACAAAAACTAAAATTGGATAATTCACCCAGAAAATCATCATTCATGGTGGATTACTCCCAACAGAAACCATAATTTGGGGATTATCCATCAATTTGGGCATGATGTTCCCAAGAGAAGTCGGCCAGTAAGGTCATCACCCACGCCTGGTGGTATCCGCAAAATTTAATGGTTTAATCCTCATACTCTTCCCACATCTTTGGACCAACATCTAACAAAAAAAACATTTTTAAACTCCCTTCTATAGTTATTTAGTGATATAAATAAGTTATAAGTTAGTTTACAAACCCATCGAACTAGAGTTACAATCACTTAAACGACATGACTTGCGGCATCAGTTTCTTTCGTTGAATTCAGCAGCAATCCCAGGCCTGAACCGCCCATGCAGTGATCAAACGCGCCCAGAAGCTCAATGGTACGTCCTGTGCGGTGGGAAGAATACCCCCATGGGGGGTTCCCTTCAAACTGGGGGATACCCCAAAACCGTGAAAAACCATGGGTTTGTTTTATACTAAAGTTGTCTAATTTTGGACATGTGGTTATTTGCAGTTGCACATCACCATCTTCGAATAACTATCGTCCTGCTACTGTAGATCGAACCCACAGGACCCCACAGGAAATGTCTGTAACTAAAAACTATATAGAATGTGACGGAGAAAAAAAGCAGTACGTCAGATTGCGTATTTATTGGAGATCATAATCATAAGTCATAGAGTGATCACTGATTGAACAGTATATACCCTCTTGTAAATTAACATAGACCCTGACAGGACTAGTTTTCCATTAAAATTGGTGATTTTCAGGGTCTATGTTTATTTACCAGAGGGTATATATATATATATCACGTATACTACCTACATATGTATGTATATATATCACTTATATATCACTTTCATTCAGTTGGTATATCCCATGTTGAATAGTCTTAGTCTTCCTCATTTCCCTCTTGAAGATGATCTAAAATTCACGACCGTAGACGGTGAAAACCACGATAGACGCACTGATCGCACCTCCAAATCTTCTGCAAAGAGACCAAAAGCCTTTTGCGCCTGACCAAGGGATGTGCACAGTGAGAATGAAATGACTAGAAAATGGTTCAACAATCAGTAAAATATAGTACAATCATTACGTCCGAAGTTAGTCAAGCTTGAATGCTTTGATACTCTAATCATTCGACCAGCCCAAATGAGCTTGTCCAAACATGGTGGGCATCCCCAAATTAAGACTTCAATAATGCACATGATTCACCAATTGCTTTTGATGGATTTTCCAAATGGAAACGCAACGTGTGGCCTCCAACGGCACACAGCGGTTGCTGCGCACATGACGGATGAGCTGTGCAACATCCAACCTGGCGAAATCCGAGTTTTCCAACAAATGAACTACCCTCTGGTTATTTAATAGTGATTAATGGTGATTAATGGTGATTAATGGAGGTTATTAATGGCTAATGGTGAATGAATGGTGATTACCCTCTGGTTATGACTAACATAGCCATGGAAAATCACCATTTACAATAGGTAAACCATCTATTTCTATGGGCCATCTATACCATGGCGAACTGTTAAATAACCAGAGGGTAAATGAAGTGCAAAATCATATCCACAGCCATCTCTTTTGTCAGGCATCAAGCCCCTAGGATTTCTAAATGGGGTTCCATCACCTTGATCAACTGGGGTGTGGATGATACAGAATCCACATGTTCTGATAATTCTGGTATCCCTATAGTTCTGGGGAGTGGATGCTGAAATCCCATGAAGATACAGAACCAGCAACTCAAACATGGCACTGGGAAATCATCAACTTTCATAGAAAAGACAGGAAAACCATATCTTTAAAAATGAAGATTGCCTTGTAGGGACCGACTTTGGGTGTAACCCCTGAAAGAATCAACCGGCATCTTCCTTCCAAGATCTGAATACAGTATATATAAATTGCAATAACTCGCCGATTCTGGATGATACTCCAAATTGTTGATGCAAAAACATGTAAAACACCTATAATTGAACAAATGATGCTTAAAAATGATGGTGAGCTCAATGATGAATTGCAATCGTATACTTTGATAATCCCTTAAATAAATGCTGGTTCAAACATATATATCTGGTTGGTGGTTTCAACCCCTCTGAAAAATATGAAAGTCAGTTGGGATGATTATTTCCAATATATGGGAAAAAATGTTCCAAACCACCAACCAGATTATGTGGTCAATATAGCGATAGAAATTCTCTATACATAACCATGGTATCATCCGGATGATTCCCCTTACTAACCATGATTCCAGTGAGGGAGAACAGTGAGGTCGTTCTAATTTACCCATATATAATTATATATATATCATATCCATATATCATCTAGCCATATATCAGTATTCTTCGTATCATATCCATATCTAATCCCATTATATAACCATTAGAATCCCGTTATAATCCCATTGTATCACCATATCCATATTCATATATCCATATATCAAGCACCAACCATATATATATATATATTATTGAGATTTATTGAGTATATAAAAAAGGATGGTTAACCAGAATGATTCCCGCCTGGGCGTTGACCAACTGAGATCCAGAGCTCTCCATGACCCCAGGTGTAGGAAACATCTGCGCCAGGCACCTGGCCATGTATTTTGGGCTGCTTTTTGGAGCTGCTTAAAGGGAAGAAATTGGAGTAAAAACATCCAAAGAGATGTGGAAAACTGGGGAAATCCCAGGAAAGTGGTCTAAAATGGTTGATGTTCCGCATCGAACTCTTAGTTTACCCGAGGGTAATCAACTTGATTACCATGAACATATCACTCAAATTGGAGGTTTCCTAAAATGGGGGTACCAGTACCCCAAGTTATTGTAGCCATAGTTTAGGAAATCTCCACATAATTGAAAAAACATGTTTGATGGTTATACATGATGAAATCATATGATATCCATAGTTTGAGAAATATCTTAAGACACATTTCCCAAGTTTTCATGGGTGCACACAGTTTGTCTTACTTTTCTGTTTGATAAATATCCACTTGTGAGTGATTTTTACTATATCAACGCGTGAACCTGGGAGTTTATATCGATTGTTCATGGTTGTACCATATGTACCACTGAATTTTAACAGTTCACTCTACTACCTGTAAATAGCTGAAACATCATAGGGCGAGCAACAATACATAAGGTTGACTTATGATACAGCTGAATTCTAATTCACTCCATCGCAGATGATGTACCCTCTTATAATTCACTCCATCGCAGAAGGCGGATGCGGGAAGATCATGAAGTTACCCTCTGATCATTTAACGGTTTGCTATTGAAAATTGCCATAGAATAGAAATAGTGGATTTACCAATTAAAAATGGTGGATCTTTCCAATAGTTACGTTAGTTTACCAGAGGGTACCCCCATGATATCCCATTATACTAACATATCTGTTGGTTAGATCCCAAATTTTGTTGGTTATGACCACAAGGAAGTTTTTAACTATGCTATCTGTTTTCCCAACTTTGTTCTGATACATCGTTTATTGCCTAATAATCATCAACTGTGTGGATTGATCAACTTAAGAACTGAAGAGTTCATATATCATCCATATTTCACGCTTATACATATACGGTAAAAAATATGGATAACTATATCAACTCCCAAGTTCAATGACATCCATTTTTCCAGACTGTTGGAAGGTTCTTCAACGACCTCGGTAGGTGGAGAGGTGCGCTCCCGCCGCAGTGGCTGCGCGCAGGCCAAGAAGGTGGGCCATGGTGGTTTTAATCGCAAAATGGATGAATGGTGAAGGATTTGTTGTGAACTATCCTGAAAATCATTCACCATTCTAAGTAAAAATTCTAAATAAATGTTCTATATAAGTAAATTTTGATGCCTTATGTAAATTCACCAAGATCATGTTGATATTTACCCCATGCCCAATGTGTGTTTGGGTAAATATCTGAATCGTGGGAAATTTCCTGAGGTATCTATGACTTTTGCAACCATAGTTCGAGGCTGGTCTCGGGCCGGATCGGACTTGATGCTTTCGAATGATTCAATGATTTCTCACTATTTCAAAGGTGATTCCCATGTGTTTTCCACTTCCCCACACTTAAGATTTTTTGGGCACCGCATGATGGGCAGTTTTGAGGAGCGTGGATGTTCGCAAATAGCCCCCTGCCCAGTAAAATGTCCCGCCCTGCTGGGCACAGCTTTGACCAAAATGATCCGAAACACCGGCGGGAGAAATAGCAAGGCTGAACAAACATGGGTGTGCCTGAAAGTGGGGATATCAATATTCTTCCAATGTTGATGAAAGATATGATAATCTGTTGGAATTGTAGCCCAAATAAACATACGTACATCTTGACACTGCGTTCCCACAACACAAATGACCTTGATCTATGCAATTATGACACTAAACCGTTGATGGCATATCTTGATTGCAGGTGTAGCAAGAAATCAGGAAATGGAAAAAAATGAGAAAATATCTCAAGAGAAAGTACCAGTGCTTCCAGGCTATCTGGCTATCTTGTACATGAGTGTAATGGTGGATTACACCCACAAAGAATCCTCACAGTAATGAAACCAGCCTCCAGTCTAAACCTTCCGGTTCTTTCCATACGATCCAAAAACACCAAAGTCAGCAAAACAGTTTGCACAGCAATGACGTCAGGATATACCCTGGGGATTCATCCCAAATGATAAAACACGACCGGTCCTCAAAATTGGAACCTACATGACCTACATATTCAAACCTACCCTGCAGCTGCCATCACAATGCCGACAGCTATTTTGGAGCAATGGCGACACGCGCCAGGGCTGGGCAGCTGGGCAGCAAGAGACGTTTCTTGCGCCCTGCCCTCTGTCCATTCTGACGTGCCATGCGGAAACCGCAGGCATTGGGATTTGCTCAAGCCCATTTCTGGTAAAGTGGAATTGTTGCAATTGTTCAATGGGGATGCTAAGTTGAGGCCCAGCATCTGGCCAACTGTGACAGAGACTCACATGTTCCAAGCAACTTTGCGAAGGGTCTCGTCAGATCTTGGCGTTTCGGAACACATCACTGTGCAGACAGAAACTCAACGGCGCGCTCGATGCTGCCCTGGGCATCGTGAAATTGTGCCTATTTTAGGTCCATTGGGTCTACCCTCTGGTAATTTAACAGTTTGCTATTGAACATGGTCATTTATAGTTGACCCATAAAAAATGGTGATTTTCCATAGTTATGTAAACGTTTACGGGTATGGTTCAAGTTTTACCAAACCCCCAAGTTGGATTTAGATCCAAAGAGTGACCGTTTTTTTGATCGTTCCAGGAGGGTCTGCCGTAAACTGGTGCAGCAAGTTTCTGGAAATGAGGAGAGGAATCAATGAATTTCTCGTTGGTGGTTTTAACCATCTTGAAAAATATGAAAGTCAATGGGAAGGATTATCCCATATATTATGGAAAAATATGAAAAATAAAAAATGTTTGAAACCACCAACCAGATTTGTAACCATTGATACATCACCACAGGGAATGAAAAGGTGGTAATTACTTTGGAATGATTCCCCCTACTAAGTGGCCATTCAATTGTAAGTTGGTTCAGAATGTAGTCATATCCACCACACGTCCAATTATTGGAGTTACAACAGAAACTTATTATCAATCAACTATAAATATCCCATTAGTTGGTGAAACCACACATGCTAAAGTAGTGGATATTAGTCACACAAACAGTTTACTTAAGTCACAATTTCTTAGTAGTTGAATCCCAATCGTTAGTTGTGAAATCTCCATTTCTAGTGCAACTGGGTGGTCCCACAGTGGGTCGTCATTTCGCAGTTTCTGCGACGTTTCTGACGTTTCTGACGGCCTCAATTGGAATTTCAGGATCCTAAAATTAACATGGCTAGACATTATCATAATTTGAGCCATAGAAATGGGTATGCTATCTTCCCTCACATAGCCCTAAAGCATGGTAAACATGTATATATAACACATAGGCCACAAAAACGGTGGGTACAGTAGCTCCAAATTTCATCGCTACCTGAGTCCTGGCAGTACCCGGCCTTGGTATGAAGCAGTACATCTTCTAACGCCTTCAGTCGACCCAACAATGAACATAGCCATGGAAAATCACCATTTTTTAATAGGTAAACCATCTATAAATGGGCCATTTTCCATGGCTATGTTAAATAACCAAATGGTAGACTAAACATCATCGCCAAAAATTGGGATCTATCTGATTCGTGATCTATAGCTGCTATAATTGCTATAGCTACAATACCCTCTGGTGTCAACGTGGCAAGCTGGAAAGTCCATGAAAAACCCTATCAATCGAGCTATTCACACCTGTTTTTGCCGATTCTTTGGGGGCCAGTGGCCAGTTGATCCATCCAATAAAGGTGAACTCCAATCAACATGAAAACCACTAATTCTCACAACCAACCAACATGTTTTTCATGATTCCCATATTTGATATATATATATACATATATATTTATACATGTTTATCATCATTATTCTGGTTAAACTAGCATCTCAGGGCAATAGAACTATATATCATACTTATAATGACAATAATCCCTCATGCACGTGTATTTCAGGGCATAGCAACTAATTATTACTATAATCAACTACTGTACATATTGTTGTCAATATGAAGTCGATCGATATCATTAAAACCAAGTCCACAGTGAAACACACACACACACCATCATTTCTGAAATTCCAAATCATTTCACCATTAACAATTTGGCAAATATTGGAGAATATCTACTAAATAACCACATCCCTGAAATGACCATGTCAATATGCAGATAGGTCAAAACCTGTTACATACATTGTCTTTGCATCAGCCATTTTTGTTTTCACCATGGCTTTGACATGTTTGGACCTATAGCCATGTGTCATCATCCCTCACATCTAATCTCCACTACTAGTATCATATGTTGATGATTGTATATATAGTTATATATCTTAACAAAATATTGGTATATATCTTAATATTCATAGATAATTATCACGGTTAATCAATGTCAATTCATAGCCCATGACACATGATAATAATCATCATGACTCATTTTAGATTATCAGTTTAACATTAATTAACAATAAATTCTGGATATGAAAATACTTCGGATCGCCATAATCATTGTGTATCAATGTCAATATTATTGATGCTTTGATTGTTAATAGTTACTAGCTAAAGATGTGGTTCATACATGAATGATCATGAATGCATCTTGGTAATATGTACCTGAATAGTATATGGATACATGTTGATACGCAATCGATATCAATGGATATATGATCCACCAAATATCTAGCTGGATAATCTTATCTTATATGTCATACATCAAGTATTGACAATATATGTGGTTGATAAAATAATCACAGATTAATCTTCTATGAATCTATGAGTGCATGTTGATAGTATTACCCTGATGGTATATATATATAGAGGTTATATCATAGCAATCGGCAATCATTATTCTTAGTATTATACTATGCAAAAATCATATCCATATATTTGGTTGATGTGACAATATATGATATCATATACAATGTATATCATATCCATTTTTTTTGGTTGATATAAGAATATCAAATATCATATACAATACATATCAATGTATATACATATATATATATATGGGTAAATAATAATATTTCACTAACCTGAAATAAGGGTATTTGGGAATGATTCCCCTTGCTAACCATGATTCCAGTGAGGGTGAACAGTGAGGTCGTTATAATTTACCCAGATATATATATATATATTATATATATATATACATTATTCAGATCCATATCCATATTCATATAATCATATCCATATTCATATATCCATATATCATCATATATCATTATTCTTAGTATCATATCCATATTTAATCCCATTATATAACCATTAGAATCCCATTAGAATGCCATTAGAATCCCATTATAATCCCATTGTATCACCATATATTGTTGTCATATCCATATATCCATATATCATTATTATATTATTCTTAGTGACTCATATCCATATTCATATATTGTTGTATCAATCTTCATATCCAGCCAATTTTTGCGGGCGCTGAAATCAAACTCGCAAAAGGCCTCGCGGCCACATCTGAAGCCCATCTCCTCCAAGAGCTCCACCGCGGAAGTCGTGGAAGGCGCAGCGACAGGCGGTGGGGACCCTGGGGACGTTGGAGGGAACCGATGAAAGATGAGTGAAAAATGGTGATGATTCAGATGAAATCATAGAAATGTATGGAAATCTATGGAAATTTCAGATGAAATCATAGAAATCTATATGGATCCTTAGTTTTTTTTATCATATGTGATATAGATTTTGATATGATTTCTGATGATTTACCTCTTAAAAGGGGTGAGTTTCCACTTCGCGATGTTCACCAACGGTTATTTTCCATGGTGAAATTGCCTGGATTTTTTGTTATCAACTCAAGCGACTGAGTTTGCGAAAATCCAGCCATTTTGAATAGGCAAAATGGCTATGAACTAAACTAACAGTCAACCATAGCGAACTGGAAAATACCCTCTGGTAATTTAACGTAGCTATTGAAAATGGCCATTTATAGTGGATTTTCCGATTAAAAATGGTGATTTTCCATAGTTATGTTAGTTTACCAGAGGGTACCCCATGAAAATGCAGTTTCGCTGTAGGCAAATCTTAACTATTTCGACTGGGCCTATTTTCCAGTTTGCTATGTCAAATTACCAGAGGGTAGTTCTCCCCATCCAAATTGAAATTCAATGAATGAATACCTCGTTGTAGTTTTTTTTGCTGCTACAAAGCTCACCCAGTGGACGGAGGCCCATCGCCTGCATCGAACTCTGGAGCTTCGCAGCCTAAGGTGAGGATCATTCCCAACTGAGGCAACAGTGGTTAGTAACTGCCCCGAGTTCTGGGGCTATACCATATATAAGATTATTAACTATAAAGATCTATAAAGTATATATTAATGGTATAGCCCCACCATTAATCATTCCCAACTGCTTCCCACAGTGATTATATGAATGTGGGATGCAACAAGTTATAAAGGACGATCCTGCAAGAAGGGATCTGGTCAAGGGGATGGAGTAAGCGTTGCACCGAAAAATGGATACAAGGTGACCCCCCCAGTAATGCTTGCTGGTGTATAATTAAACCTTCATGTATAGTGGTGAAAAATCGCCGATTTTGATGGTTAATCAATCATATCTCAGAATCATCCCTGTATATCCTCAGAGTAACAAAGTATCTCCATTACCTCCCTATTCATTCATATCTCATTAATTATATATAATATATACCCACCCAATAAAAACAACAAACGGTAATTCATATCCATTAAAAACAAAAACATATAACACATCAATGGATTCAAATGGTAATCAATATCCATGTTATAACTATAGCGAATGAATATCGCTTGTCCCTATAGAAAATGGTATATTGTACCCACTCTACCCCAAAACAATCCACAGAAAACGGCACCCAGCGACGCCGCAAGTGCAGCAGCAGCTGCCGCATGCTGTCGCCAAAGAGTTGGCCACAGCGGTGGCAGCGCAAGGTGTCCTGCATCACTTGAGAACCAGAGAACAACTGTTCTATCTGTTTGGGTCCATTTCGTGTGTATTTAAGTTAAATATGTAATTATGTATATATATATACATATTGGGGATATATAAAGATGGTAGAATGGGGATGTATGAAGGGTGATTGCAAATGTCCGTTGGAGATAAATACCTATGGAGCTATTTTAGTGAGAACAGTTGGCCAGTATCAAAATCAACTGATATATACTGGTGAATGGTTTCAACCCATATCTTTTTTTGTTTTTTGAGGTGAATCAGCAATTTCCATGAACTTTTTCAGCTAAAGGACATTGTTCTCCAAAAATATAGATCCCATCCCGAATAGGGAAGTAACACATATCTTGACACCAATCCGGCAGCACTTACAAATGGACTCCGGGTTCATTTTAAAAAATCGGCAACTGTCATTCTAGTTGTTTTTTTTAATGGGCACCCAGAGGGCTTGACTTCCAAAAATCCCGGCGAAACAGAATCCTAGTTCCTCCAACCAGAAATAAAAGCCTGTCAGGTCATTCTATTCCTACTACCATCACTTTTGCTGAAGTCGGCCAGTACACATCGCCATTTTTTGCGCCAGTCAGATCTCAGCCCAGAAGAAAAACACGCAAAATCCCCAGCCCAGCCCCATCCCATCCCCACCTCCAACTTGGAAGATCCCCCCAATGTGGAACCGTCCACAAGGTGCCGCGCCAGATCCTCCAAGGATATGAAGGCTGTGCTTCCTGGCCATTGGATGTTGGAGGCTTCGGCAAATGACAGCAATCTTCAATGCAAACATAAGAAAACACCAAGAAAAATCAGTGTTTCAGTGTTTTAGTGATTAGTAGATCAATGTAGATCACCTGGAAAAACCACGATATATTTAAAAATGCCCAAGGGCTCCATGATCCGAAAAGTATCTACACCATAAGCCCCCGCTCTCACCTCTCCCCAGACTCCCCCGATCCCCAGCACACCTGGTGCTTCGGTGAACTCCAAGAAGTGGCGCCGCGTGAGGTCGCTAAGGTCGGGGGGTACCAAGTCCATGCTGATGAGATGCGCAAAGACCTGACCCCAAAGGGCCCCAAAGTCATCAAAGTAGTAAAAGAAAAGCTCGCCGAAATCCCCCGCCACAGCTTTAATTTCACCCCTACATCAATGGGAGATCTCCAGGATCCTAAATTGGAGGTAGAGGTACCATATATAAGGCCTATATAAGGCCTATGTAAGGAGATATCCCTGACAGGTCTGACAGCTTTGGCTCCCGCCTGAGTATCCCTGGACAACTTGCGAGTCTGTAGGCCCACCTGAGGATCAGGGGGGCTGAGCAGTGAAGCCTCCGGTACATTCCTTGGGGATCACTATGGATCACTGTAGCACATGGCCAAGTATCACTAGGAAATAGTAGGAATGGGGCTAGAATCGCTGTAGAGTCACAAGAGCTTAGCTGCTTAGCTGGGGTCGTAAGATTCATAACCTGACGCATGAAGTGTGACTTGGAAATATGATGTGAAGGCATTCATCACATGCCTTCGGGGGGGATGAACCAAATCTGCTCCACGGACCTGCATCCCGGCATGCGAGTCCCGTCCCGTCCTTGAAGTGATGTTTGCCCAAGAACTCTCGAAGAAGATGGCCGTAAAGCCCCAAGCGCCTTTATAAACAACGGACAATGAGTTGGAGTAGGGGCAACCGCTGTGGAAATCAACCAGACAATGGTAAACTAACATAACTATGGAAAGTACCCTCTGGTAAACTAACATAACTATGGAAATCACCATTTTTAATGGATAAATCCACTATAAATGGCAATTTTCAATAATTTTCAATAGCTATGTTAGTTTACCAGAGGGTAGATATGTAATGATATTTCTTTTCCATCTAACCATACTACTGTAGAGGTTATATCCCAACTTACGGGAGTTTATAGCCATGCTATGCCCTAGTTATCTCCAATTGTAACCTCAATTATTTGCACCTCCAGGCAGATTCGGCTAACTATGAGATCTATGAGTAGGTCTGCTTTCCTGGAGGTTGAGTGGGAATTATATAGATGACAGAAAAAGAGAAGTGGGAACACCATGTTTTACCCTCTGGTAAATTAACAGTTGGACCCTAAAAATAACCCATGTTCAGTGGAAACTAATCTTCCAACCCCTATCTACCAGGGTCTATGTTAATTTACTGGAGGGTAAGCATAGTGGGGTGTGGACACCTTGTTGTTTCTTGCCACACATCCGCGGTGGCTTCGTTCCGGAAAAAATCGGGTGGCACCACAGCGAACATGTTGCTCTCATGTTGAGTATATTAAACATGATTAAACCTCCCCTTCCACCTGTAGCTTTACCCTCCGTTCAACTCAACTTAGCTCAGATAGTTATATATAGTTATCAGATCATCAACCAACTTACCTACGTAAGCTTTCCCGAATTGCCGGTGGTCAACTTTACCGCCTCAACAAGGGAGCTTCCATGGCACTCAACTCGTTGAAGCGCAACGGACGTTTGGGCGTGAGCACCTAGCAATTTGTAAAGGCTGAGGCCGGCAGAGAACGCGGCTGAGGGAGTATCGAAGAAATCATTGCAAACATACCTTTTTTTGTATAGAGCAACAAATTTAGAATATAAAAATTTGAGATGTTATTGGCCATATATCAAAATATGGAATATATATATATATAATCATTATAAATCTACATTGATCTTAATATTAACGACATTTTATGGCAACTATTAACATATGTTAATCGCAACATATTAATGGATAAGTGAATCAACACACATACATATATAATAGAATATATATATATACATATGATAATATATATACATATGATATAATATATATATATATATTATTGATATGGACAATCTTGGATACGAAGTGTTTTCAGCTGCTGCTTCAACATGTGTAGCTGCTAAGCAGGTAGCCACAGAAATCAAAGCCACGGAATCCACAGAAATCCTCCGAGATCGAGATCGATCTGGTCAATGACCTACCCTCTGGTAAACATACAAAAAGCTATTGAAAATGACCATAGAAATAGTGGATTTGCCCATTGAAAATGGTGATTTTCCATAGTTATGTAAACGTTTACCAGAGGGTAATGCATTTGCTGTGTGGAAGCCATGGAACACCAAAAAAACGTATCCAGTTGTACTGTACTACACCAAAAAAAAGCCTGGAAATGTTGGTACCACAGATGGAGCTTCGAGGCTTCGAGGCTTCGATCCTGGTGACATTTCCATGGTCCTCATTCACTCATCGCAGCCAGCGGCACCAAATGCACGCTGCTCTTTGGTCGAGCCAGGTAAAGGGCGCAAAACTCACTGCCTGTGGCTGATTGAATCCCCAATGAAAATTCCAAGGTTTTAATGAGTTTTAATGGGAAAATCATCTATAAATGATGTTGGAGCCCATGATTGCCGGCAACTCCGGCAATCTTCTGAAGGTTTGCGGGAAAAAAAACATCCAATGGAAAGATATGATATGGTGCAACCTGTGGACAAAATTTTCAGATCTCATATGATCTCATATCCAGAATGATTATCTCATGGTCGCCCACTTCAATTAATCAGTGAGAATCGGAGATCCTGCGTCACATCCAATCCCCACTGTCCGAAATTGCGAAATTGGCTTCCCAGTCCAAACAATGTTGGATAGACAGTTGCTATCACTAGCTTTTTTTTGCATGTCTGTTGGAATGTCACTCTAACTGACTCTAACTCATAACATTGCTGTATTTGGTAGATTTGCATTCAACGACTCGAACCTCCACACATCATAATGATTCATAATTACTAGCCAGCCCAAGCTAGTGACATGGAAGAAAGTCTCCATTTGCCAAATTTCACCTGGTGCCCACTTTGCATGATGTGTGAGCACCACCGTCGGAAACTCCAACATGGGATCGAGTCGCATTGGTGGTACACCATCTGGCTGATTCGGCCCTTGCCCTTGCTCTTGCGCTGGATTCCCGACAAATTCTGGATCCTGAGTTGCTACCATGGTGGCATCACCGAGCTATGTCCAAGTTTTTGTTGGGCCACCAGGGCCAGACCGCTACTTTTTTTCGGTTTAGCCATCGTCGGTTACCGACAGGACATGTTCTGCAAAGTTTCAACCGACAGGATATGTGCCATGGTCAATACTCACTATATGGTTGATGGTCATCCCATCCATAATAAGGATCCAAAAATAATGGTTATTATAAATCCCATCCTGAACCAATGACTAGCCCCGTTTTTAATGGTTATTAACCATGAGTATTGACCATAGCTCATATTTTTCGGGGATGGTTGGGATCATGTTGGATCATGTCGGATCCGAGCATCACTTCCTGTATCCAATTCCTGCTGTCAATCACCTGGCGACGTTCGGCCAGGTAAACATTAACGTACCGCTGAGTGGCGTTATGGAGAGTGGCTGCACCAGAAATCCAGACATGCTCCTGGATTGCAGTAGATTCTAATTAGCAGAAATTTATAGACATAGATAGACGCAGATAGATATAGATAGATATATAGATAGACCGTCTGATAGACATAGGAAATACATGAACATATACCTTACAATCCTTACATTTATCATCATTTATAGATAAATTTATAATCAATAAATGTTCATTCTTGTAATTTATAAATAGATTTATAATCAATTTACTTGTAAGTATTTATCATCATCATTGTTCATTTATAATCATTTATCTATACTTCTCCCCATTTCTCCCCCCAAAAAAATCCTTTGTCATCCGCCTTCGCCTGTGGCACATAAGGCCCGGGACAGCTGATCTTCACCTGGCGAGCGGATCCGATCATTCTCCAGTTCCGCCATGACTTGAGGGATTATTAACCTATGAAGCCCTAATACTGGTACTGGATTAATCCATTAAAATCATTTAAAATCTATTAACTGATTATTAATCTATGAACTGGATTGATCTATTTAAATCTATTAAATATACCACCGTTGAACCCCTAGTATTGGATCTATTCAATCTATTCAATGACTTGAGGGGGACACGACGGGATTATGATGATCTCAGGATGCGATGTACACTTCAACTTGTTTGACATTTGGTTGCTGACTTCAAGCCTCTCAAAAAATGAACATTAACATGTGGGTATCACAATGCCACGGCTGCCCACCCAAATACGTGGAATGACATTCAAGTAGATCTCACCTTGGGAAATGCAGGTGTTCAAAAGACTCCAAACCTTCAGAAACTCAGATCCCCTGAAAATAGGCTACCCTCTGGCCATCTTCTGGAAATGTCCATCATCGAAAGTAAATATATAATTCATCAAAACAAGTCATGAAATATCTATCTGTCAAATACCCTCTGGTAATTTAACATAGCTATGGAAAATCACCATTTTTAGTGGGAAAACTCACTATAAATGGCCATTTTAAATAGCTATGTTAAATTACCAGAGGGTACCTACAAATATCTATACAAATACTATGTTGTTCATTGCCATGCTTCCTGAAGGGAGCAATGCCACATTTCACTGTGATTCTCCGCCCCCGCCTCGCGCAAGAGTTGAAGCCCCGCAGAACCCAAACTGCGTGAGAAGGCCTCGGAGATCTTCACGTCCTGCACCAATGATCGCAGGCAGCGTTTCTTGTACCGTGTACTGATCCTGATCATGGCACTTGTTGAGATGGAAACAACATGGCGGTGTTGCAACCAGTACCAGCTAGAGATGGAAGATAGAAATATCTCGGAATGTGTTTGATACCAGAGGCTCTTGAGGTAATCTGCTGGAAGGGAGTGGCACCACGCTGCTACTTTGCATCCCAGGAGCAAGGTGAAAAACGCAAAACAAAAGGCCCAGGAGCCTCAAAAATCTCCTGGATATATCATGGATTTCTATTGGGCATGACTATTCAAGGAACAAAATCCCAACCTTCCCAACATCCCGGAATTGGCTGAAGGAAAATATTGCGTTAGTGTGTAGAACAAAACATGCTGGCAGATCCGTGGTTTGATTTTCCTTTGAGCCCAACCCTAGTGACAGCAGATTCTCAGCATTTCCCAAGTGTCGCTGTGTAGATTCCTTTACTACTTCCTATGTTTGTAAATGAAACATGTTTTGTGTTGCTAAAACACCAAAAGCTGGTGCTTCTTAGGGACCAGCTTGTATCGCGTGTGTATTGTTAGGGAAAACCAATCTTAACTTGGTGGTCTGTTGACCTCCTGGCACCATCTGATCCCAAAATTTAGAACACATGCAAGCGTGTGGCTACCATCCACCCAGACCAATTCGTAGCAAATATATTTTGAAAATCAGTTCTAAATCCCATTACATCCTAATTTTCTCAGGGTAAAACCACCATATGTTATCCATGTTTCAGTTTCGAAATGTTTCGAAACAGGTCACCCAAACGTCCCACGGGTCTTCCTCAACTGGCGCTTTCTCTGCAATCTTCTCCGAGGACACTGGCCTCGGCTTTTCGCAATTACCAGGGAACGCGACGGGAACTCGGCTGCACGGAAGTCACCTGGGGGATTCTCCCCAATCATCCCCAATCTATAGCAATTTCAATAAGAAAAATGCTGAGTTCCTCTGGATTGCTAATCCCCTTATTTAGTTTCACGCATCTAAAAATGATCTGTAGATGGGGGGCAGTATTTGATGATCCTTTGGAAACATGACTGTCCTATCTTTTTGGATTCGATTTACTGTCCTATCTTTTTGGAGACAAGGTCTGTCGTCTTAGTCTTAGGTCTGTGCAGTCTGTTAGGACCATCATAGATCATGCAATCCCACATCACTCACTAAATCATCTCTCAACATCTCTCAACTAGTCAATGGCCATTTCAGGAACCTAAACTGGAGGCACCTACCATTTATAAGGCCTATGTAAGGGCTATGCAAGGGAATATCCCCACAACATATGGCCTTATATGGTACAGTACCTCCATTTTAGGATCCTGAAATTTCCATTGAATCATATTAGCCATTATGAACCATTATTATTAACCATTAATCACCACATATCACCGTCACCACCATTGATGTTTTCCATATACTGGCCAATGAAATCCCAGACCGACAAGGACCGTGGTGCCTCTCTGTGTGTTTTAGTTCCTCAAGGCCATCTGGAATCCAGCAGGCAGGCTTGCGAAGCAATACCAAGACACCGAGTATCTATACGGAGGTTTCCAATTTATGGGGGTACCCCAAGCTCGCTGGATGGTTTATTTCATGGAACATCCTATCTATGAAAGGATGATAACTAGGGGTACCCCCTTAACTTGGTAAATCCACCATACATGGCTAAGCATAGAAATTTATGACCTAACAAGACCATCCCAGGGACCTAATCTTTGTGGTCTCCCATCCCTTGTCATATCCTGATCACTGCAACAAAGCGGCAGCAGCTGCAAGGTGAAAACCGGGCAGCCAGATTTGCAGGGCCAAAGGCCTAGCCGTTCCTGCGCGAAGTGCTTCGTAAATGTTCGTTAGCCTGTTACATCCTGCATGCCCGATATTTTTTTCTGCCATTGTCTATCCCAGATGCTCCATGTATGGAATATTTACCTACATTTACCCCCAAAATAGCCCAAATGCAAGTAAATATTCCATACATGGAGCATCTGGGTATGAATGGGGTATCAACATATTCTTTGTGTTAAATGGGATAATCATCCGAGGAGTGCGGTAAACTCAATCATCAAACCCAATGTTTGATGTTACCAACCCATTTCCAACTTCAGGGGATTGTTCATGGCATTGGCTTTACCTTGCCTTGTCTAAGTCACCTGATAGAAAAAAAACACATCTTCAAATCCACTGGTTGAATCACAAGCAGGATAATGCCATCCACTGACATGCTGGGATGTGCTTTCCTCGGATTTTGGTCAACACATGACAAATCATACAAATTCTGTAGTAGTGATGACAGCTTACCTCAGAATCACCTAACATGCAATGCCCTCACTATTGTGAGATACAGTGCACCTCTATATATATATGATATATCATGATATACACAAACAATGCTGGATTTCCGAACAGATTGCTTACCCATAATCATATGAGGCTACACTTTTCGCAGCCCAGAGGCCAACTCTTCCAACAACACTGAGTCGTTCTGCAGAATCTCACGATCCTGAGCAGCCACGCTGCCGTTTCAGGAGCCGGCAGCGTGGCCTTGTTGCTTAATGATGATAGGCGATAGGAGGTTTTACTAATATATTGTCGGGGTATGTCGGGGTTATCATAATTAGGATAATCCTTATGATCATAATCTATTCTGGCAATCCCCATTTACCAACTAGTATAATGGAATTTGAGCAGTGCCAAACTCTTCCGTCGATACAATTGCGTCATCTTCACACATGCACATGAGGGCATGGCTCAATAGTTTGCACAAATACAAATGATCTGCGAAGTGCTGCGAATCCTATTTTTTTCCATCAAAAAGTGTCAAAATGCCTGATATCATCTTGAAGTAATATCCAAGAATCGCGATGGCGCAAACCAATTTGAGTTCTTTACAGGCTGGCTGACATGGTTTCCACATTCTTCAATCCTGACCAAATGGTCAGTGTCAGTATAGTACCCGTGGCCCAATAAATGCTCATCCTTGACAACCGGTCATATTTCCACTTAGATGGATAAAGAATCGGACTGCTGTGGGTCAAGTTTAATTTCCCAATGTGACGGACTTATTGTGCAAACAAAGTTGTGGGTGAAGCACCTTCTATTAATGAACAACACCGAAGATATTAATCATGATAGTGACAAGAATGCTAGTCATCATAACAATAGTATCACAATAACAACAAATAGAACTAAGCAGTATGAAAAATAATTCAAACATACAATCTCAATAACTTAAAGATCTATCATAATAAATTATCCCAAGTTTTATCCCAGGTTATGGCAGATCCAAATATTGTAGTCGTCGTCATCATCATCATCATTGTCGTCGTCGTCGTAGCAATCATAGATATAATAAATAAGACTATCAACAACCATAAACAATTTATAAAACCAATATATTCTCAATCAACTAATAATCATGTACCATTGATCTTTGATTGTTTCATACTGATAACATCTGATAACTATGTTGTTTTTGGTGTGTTTAATGGCGGTTATTACTTTTTTCGAAGCATCACTCTTACCGAATCCCCGGTCAAATCGCCATGGCTCCCTTGTCTCCGTTGCCTCTGCGGCCAGCACCACCTCACCCACGGGCGACAGCACGTGCTCCTGCAAGCGCTTCAACATCTCGCCCACGGAGAGCGTGGGATCGCGGGGCGCGTCCACCTGGGGGAAAAAATGGGAGTCAAAGATGGAAATCATGGCTGGTTGGTGGTTAATGATGTTTAATTAATGATGGTTAATAATGGTTATATAATGGTTATATAATGGTTATATAATGGTTATATAATGGTTATATAATGGTTATATAATGGTTATATAATGGTTATATACTGGTTATATAATGGTTAATAATGGTTATATAATGGTTATATAATGGTTATATAATGGTTATATAATGGTTATATACTGGTTATATAATGGTTAATAATGGTTATATAATGGTTATATAATGGTTATATAATGGTTATATAATGGTTATATACTGGTTATATAATGGTTAATAATGGTTATATAATGGTTATATAATGGTTATATAATGGCTATATAATGGTTATATACTGGTTATATAATGGTTAATAATGGTTATATAATGGTTATATAATGGTTATATAATGGTTAATAATGGTTATATAATGGTTATATAATGGTTATATAATGGTTAATAATGGTTAATAATGGTTAATGATGGTTAATAATGGTTAATAATGGTTAAGAATGGTTAATAATGGTTAATGGTTAATAATGGTTAATAATGGTGAATAATGGTTAATGATGGTTAATAATGGTTAATAATGGTTAATAATGGTTAATAATGGTTAATAATGGTTAATAATGGTTAATGATGGTTAATAATGGTTAATAATGGTTAATATTGGTTAATAATGGTTAATAATGGTTAATGACTGGTTGGTGGTTGAGCCCTACCCCTCTGAAAAATATATAAAAATATGAGTTCGTCAGTTGGGATGATGACATTCCCAATATATGGAAAATCTAAAATTCATGTTCCAAACTACCAACCAGATGAAGATTGAATGGGAGACATAGCTATGCTATATAACTTACCAGAGGGTAACCTGCAAGATCATAGATTCTACCCGCAAAAACTGGCTTTAAGCTGCACAAATATATGTATTCAGCCAGCAACAGCTTTTTCTTGCCTGCTAAAACTAGGTTAATCAACACCCATCAAATAGAGTGGACTCATCAATAAACCAGCCGCAAAAACTGGCATTTAAAATCATTTAACTAGGAATAATGTCGATTTAAGCTGCGTTTTTTTTGGTTTAACCAGCATTAAAAAACAAAAAAACGAAATGTGGCCAGGAAACATGGCTACCAGAAAATTGTTTGAACAAAGTAGGTGATGGGAAAAAAACACATGAATTGCCCTTCAAAAACGCAGAGGGGACTTGGCACAATTGAAGAAGGAACACATGCATTCCCCACATGGTTTGCGGGGGGACAGTCTGTCTGGCAATCAAGTAACTCCATGACTGATGATTTATCAATGAAATACCCATCATGTTTACCGATTAACCCTCATCAGTTGCCAAAATTCAAGTCAAAGCAATTCACCCTTTAAATATAAACAACATAAGATAATAAGATATGTGTTTCAACAGGTTGCCTCTGCATTATTATTATTATTCATATAGGTTGAGCCATGTAACCGATCAAACTATTGCCCCAGCACTTATATACCCAAGACGGGCCTCTTGATTCATCCAACAAGTCACAATGACGGGGCGGCATCGTGCTGCTCCACGTGTCACCATGCGTTGCAGCAGTGCCGTGGATGGCACAACGCGCAGGCGGTACTGACGATTGGTCGCTGCATCGTTGGAGTGCGCCTCAGGCGGTACTGACGATTGGTCGCTGCATCGTTGGAGTGCGCCTGGCCATTGGTCAATACTGATAACAGCAAGCTGAGTATTTATGTGTTTGTCACGGTTCAGAACATTATTAATGGTTAATATGTATTCTTAGTGGCTAACAATGGCTAGTTAGAATGATTGATCATGGATGATGACATATATATATATGTACATATTAATATAGACTATCATATCTATATATAGGATTATATATATAATTAATAGGTAAACAATAAATTCAATAAATAATATCAACATGTGTCAACTCCTGATGAATGTCAACTCCTAGGACATCAAAAAGCTCGGGTCCCACCAGCCATGACCCCCCCAGTTCCGACGCCTCCGCGTCATCAATGGTCTCGAAACCTTTGCAGTTGATAGGAACATCTTCTTGAGTCTAGCTGGAAAATAGAGCAATTGTTCAAAAACTGGTTGTATAATAACTATACTCACTGTCAAAAACCATCACTATCCTAAGCTAAGCTAAGCTTGTCTTTTTTGTTCACTTTCTTTTTGCTCCGCCCTGGACCGTCGTCATCCGTCGTCCAGTGCCTTCCAGGGCCCAAAAGCGAAAGGTGAGGTTCGTGCGCTCCCGCCGGATGCCCTCCATGGCCGGCACCGCATGGAGCCAGTGCCGTTGCGAATTCTTACCTCGCCGCGCGGTTCCGCGCGAGAGGATCCCGTTGGGATCCCATGGGAATGCTGGGAATGACAAAACCGTGGGTAGTTTGCCGGATCTTCGTCGTGCACCTATTTGTTTAGATGTTTGGGGAGAAAAAGACATTGGGTTTTGAATGGCTTTGACGATATATCCCCATTGGACTGGGGTATACTTCAATGTTCACTAGTGATTTGACTCATTTCGGCGAGATACCCATGACACAGAGGGATCCATGAAACAATGGCAAGGTCAGGTGGATGATGCCGGAGCTTTTCCGCAACGATCCATCTTTGGCAGGTCGGACACCGTGCCACTCGCGCTTGCTCTTGAACCTGGGGCGATGATAGCGTTGGAGCTGCCAAATACAGCCAGGAGAAGTAAAAAAAAACCTGAGAAAATAACATCTACTTGGAAAAAGGTCACCTGTGCAAAGGACGTTGATCAACTTGCAGTAGTTTGGAGGATTGAATCTGGGATTGCGAGTATGAATTGTGTTTCCCTTTCAAAACATTGGCAGGCAAGCCATCTGCCCAAGAGATAGAATAAGTGGAGTTGGAAAGTGAATTCAGTGTTTCACAAAAAGTAGACCCCCTAGTGGTGACGCTACAACTTTGACGCTTGCATAAATCACAAGTAAATTAATATGACTCGTATGACTCTATAGGTTACCCTCTGGTAATTTAACATAACTATTGAAAATCACCATTTTTACTGGGAAAATCCACTATTTCTATGGTCATTTTCAATAGCTACGTTAAATTACCAGAGGGTACCCTGGTGAACACCAAACAAAACAAAAAACCGCTGTGGAAATGCAAACCCTCTCCGACTCGACCCTGAAATGTTTGGTGTCTGTGTGTGTCTGTGTGAAGCCATTCAGTACCCTCTGGTAATGACTAACATAGCTATTGAAAATGGCCATTTATAGTGAGTTTTCCCATTAAAAATGGTGATTTTCCATAGCTATGTTAAATTACCAGAGGGTACCCAGCCATCAACCCATTCAAACACCAACCACATCATCCTGAATCAGCCCCAGCCCATTTCCAAAGAACGCGAAGTCGCGGGTAGCTCCAATGGACAATGAACCGATGATGGGGTCAGGCCCCAGGCCTTCATTGCCATCCGTGTGCCAATGAATCGTCACGGTGCCATCACCTAGGATTAGAATCCCAGATATCCCAGGCGTCAGTTGGGTCAGTCAATGGTTATATTAATAATCCCATATGCTCCATGTATGGAATATTTACATATATTTACCTACATTTGGGCTATTTGTGGCGTAAATGTAGGTAAATATTCCATACATGGAGTATCTGGGATAATGGTTATTCATCTATGTTTGCTGGTGGTTGAGCCACCCCTCTGAAACATATGAAAGTCAGTTGGGATTATCATTCCCAGCATATGGAAAAATAAAAAATGTTCCAAACCACCAACAAGTATGTTTGTTGGTTAATAAAAGGTATATAATGGATATAACATAACCATACATAACCAAAAATAAAAGACGAATATATAATAGATATGTCAAACAAAAATTACTCCATGTTCCCATGTCATTATACGAGATTATACTCGGTTGAACACGGTTTCCCTATGGGGTAGTTCATCCCCAATAACCCAAGTATAAGTCAACTCCCTACCAAACAAGCGCACGGCGCACGGATTGGGTTCCAGTTGGCTCAGCAGCGGGTTCCAACTGGATGGCGGGATGAACCAAGATCCAAGTTGCGGTAATGGTTGAACCAAATGGCGTTAAACACCTCGCAGTCAAACAAGACGAATCTTGATACATCTGGACGCACTTGAGTGAAGGGCTTACAGTGGAGAATCGTGTGTGTGTGTGTTCGCAAATTGGATAACATATATATATATGTGTGTAATATGGATTTATAGTAGTAATTATAATAATACTACCTAATCATAGTAATAATAGTAATATATATATATATAATATACACATCTATACATGTATAGCCTACAGGGATTTAAAGAGGGTATGGTTTAGTCATGTTTAGTCTATCCTGTTCGCTACCTTACCCAGAGTGTAAGGGCTACATATATCCCCATCAAGGGCTGGTCTTCCTGGTGTGATTCCAAAAACTGATATTACAAATGGCTTCCACTGGAATAATTTGAAACAACACGCAGTAGGCTCTTCTCACTACAACCCCTCAGGTGGAAGGGATTGGAAGGGGCCAACTATGCCAGAGTTGGGGATGGTTCGAAACCCATTATCACCATATTTGGGAAAATAACAATCCATTGACCAGCTATTGTGTGGTACCTAGGGTACCAGCGTTTTTACCCATAGCCAGTTGATGAGTTGCAGTCACCGGTCTTGGCCAAGCAGCACTTTCACTGGCATGTTCAATCCGATGCATCAGTGACCGAGTCCATGGTTCCATCTTCTGCGAGACGTACAGCATGGATTTGTCGCGAGAACTGTCGTACTGGATGCCGAAATTGAAATCATCACCTCTGACGATGGATCTGGGAAAGCGCTTAGCCCCCTGGTTCATCATTTCACCATGAAAATGGCCATAAGGTATATCATGGTATACCATGGTATACCTATATGTATGTATATATATATATACATATTGATTGATTGCATTATCTCAGTTTTGGACAAACCCAAACTATACAGAATCTGTCGTTACTGGCAAGGCAGCGGTAAAGATGGTAAAGAGGGATGATGAGCAGACTCCTTGACTGGGCCTTCAACAATCTATGCTTATATTATTGATAGTGAGCACTGCCCATGGTATACATTTGCGGAGATGCCTGACCAGGTCAACAAATCCTGAGAAAATGAAAGACATGTCCTGAACTGAGCTTAAGCCGTCTGCTTTTCGCTTTGTACAGTCAGGATCCTAGGATCCTATGATTCTCCTGTTCTTTACTTATGACATCTTCTGACATCAAAGTCTATCAAAGTCTTTTGGTCTTCTTATCTCTTCTTGTTTTGGACACCCTTCACTTCACACAACTCGAATCACAACTCCAGTGTTTTTCAGCCACGTCACAGATTCTGGCTTGGCCCTTGCGATTGACGGTTTCTTGTGTGACGCCACTGGGTGTCTGAAAGAGATAGGTCGGGTGGTACATGGTGATCTTCTCCGTGACCGTGTCCTGGATAGATCCAACACATGCCACCAGGGGAAGGGATTCTTCCGAGATTCCGCAGATATGGATTGACCAAACACGTTGAAAACCTGGCAGATGGAGCCCAACAATCAGGATTGCTCCAAACACTACAGCTACAAGGCTGGAGAATTGGCTAAATAGAATGGTAAAATGGCGACTGTTCTCCCTTTGTATCATCTACGTGACAGCGGTAATTCTTCGAGGCAAAAATCAGAAAATCCCCAGATTTGAGGTAGTGACCTGGTGGATAGGGAGATCAACAGTAAATGAAGTGGTTGCCAACCATCAATGGAGTAACATCCGTGGTCCGGCGATCTTTTGGGGGGTTTTTTTTGCTTTCAAGATGCTCATAGATGTGATTTTTAGCAAAATGTATCCTAAAATATCCCAAAATATCTCAAATATAGGGAAATTCCATGAACATCCGACTCTTGAAAGAGAAAATCGGCACGCGGATTTTCTTCAAAGCTCTTCAGCGGATGCCCACTTAAGGATATTTTTCCGACAGTCCTCGAGTTCATCGGCCTCATGCCTGGGTGAAAAGCGCAGGAAAAAGTGGTGATCTTGGAATTCTGATCTGAATACCCCCCTATATACTTAATAAATAATTATGTTAATATGTTAATATCCCCCTAGTTAATCGACCCCAAAATATGAATGGATCCTACAATACTCTGAAAACCAGGGTTTCAGTCAATGAGGATCATCGTCCAAGGTAGATTAGACATCATGATACATGATTATATAGACATCATCCTACCAGAACATATTGAAACCACCAAGCAGAAAATACATAGTATATTATAGTATATTATTATAGTATCTATTCCCTGGCTACTGTTTCTTTCTGTTACTTTTTGCTTCCATAGTTGCTGTGATGATACTGCTCCTACTCTGAACCGCTGCTGGTGTACGAAATGCACCGCCTGTTCCCCGAATGGACTGTCCATCAATATCCATCAATAGGAAGATCCAGTACCAACCGGAAATTGCAAATGCAAGTTCAAGTGGACTCTGGAACTTTACTGCTGCTTAGAGCTCTTCCATCCATTTCACAATGATTATATAATTTGAAGCGATCAAGAGTGGGATGGTCTATTCCTTTTGAGCTAGATACATACAACTTGAAGTTGGGTGCTTCCAAGAATGATCATAGTCATCCTAACCCTTGATTTCACAGTGGTCACAGGCTTAAATAGAACAGACAATGCTGATATTTTGCCATTTTGGGGGTTCCAGTCTTTTGAACACCACTGATCCAAGGCGCTCGGTCAAGAAGTGCGGATACCACAGGATTTCGGTGTCCCAGGGCAGTCTCAAACGATAGGCTTTGCCATCGCGGAGTTTCTCCTCCCACTCCTAGGGTGAGTTGCCCCCAACTCAGTGAACACTGAGTCCATCAGTTCAAAATCGACTCACCAAGAGATTAAGTGAAAACCATGGATTTGCCAAAAACATGAAGCTAAGACTCAGCAGATGAAGTGGACTCCCAAGACAACACCGGAAGCGAGTTAGCAATCGTCGCCGCCTACGGCAGGAGAGTAGTCCCATGCATTTTTGGGTGGTGTGACCTACATTGGGCTGTAATACTTGGGACTGGACATTCAAGTGGGTTAACCGCTAAATAACTGCGTGTATTTGGAGAGGATCATCCCGCCTAGTGACTGGCTAGTAGGGTTGTAAGATGGGCAGATCGCAAGTCAACGAGCCCCATGGTCCATCTTAGCAAGTTGTACCCTAAACTCACCTATCTTTTGAAAACTAGTGTTTTTATTTGTGTAGGAGGAAACCCAATAACTTGAGCTAAAAAAAGGTTTGAACATTCCTGAAATCTAACCATCCAATGAAAATTTCTTTGCATAAGGTCCATTTTCGTCCATGTTCATCCATTTTCCTGAAGATATACTTGCGAGCGAACATTCACCCAAACATGAGTCAGTCAAATAGACCGAGCGGTGGCCCGGCCTCCACCTCACCCAGCCGCTTGTGCCCGTGACGGCGCCATTTGCCGCTGTTAGTAACGACTCCTAGGTGGAGGTTGGTGGGCTGACCTTGCGGATCAGACAATACCATCAACAGGGAGGCCTCGAAAGTAAGGAATGAAGCCACCCAACCAGTGTTTAGCCAGTTTTCATGGGAAACTTTGAAACAGACTAAAAACCACATCATACCTGATACATGCATATAATAAGAATAGTGGAGGAAAAGTCTGACAACTCTTCATGACAAGTGTTTTTGGATTTTGCTTCTTAGGATTAGGACTGCACCAACAGAAATCGGTATATCAAGCAACAACAAAACCACCCCAAAAATGACATGGGCTACAACAATGCCAGAAGCACGAAACATGAGAACTTGACCCAACAATAGTGTGGAGAGCATCAACAACAAGGCATTCCTGGGTCTGCACACTCCGCTTGGAAAGAAACCGAGCATCGCTTCTGCTTCTCACGTTCCAAACACTCCTTGGCGAGGCAGGCAAAAATCCCCATGTCTGATTTCTCCATGGGAAAATCAACAGAAAGTGGTGGATGTTCTACTTCCAAACTAGTCATAATATCCGCGTGGTATAGCAACACATATTGCCAAATTAAGCCAAGGATTACAGACTTGAAATATGGATTTTCCTACGGTATGTTAGGTACCAACAAAGGGCAAAGCAATTTTATCTCCAAGTAGACTCTATGAGAAAGACCATGAAAAACCTATGAAAGACCTTTTCCTGCTTTCGGATTGAAAGTACCTGGACTATCAACGTACACATCAAGAAGGATGAAATATGATGCAACAGCACCACGATTCTCGGGATTTCTTTGGCAAATATCCATGTTTCTTGCAGTATACTGTATACTGAAGGTTCAGGAAGTCATCACAAACCACAAAACACTGAACATCAATGTTGATGAGGCGTTGATTGCCATCTTCATCTGACCATATGCCAAGAAACGTTGAAGTAGCTCACCCAGCGATTGTACAAGGTCTTTGCCTTAAAAGAAACGTGATGTTTGATGATTTCTTTCCCCAACGCTGTGCCTCGAATCCAGAATTCCATGTGGCTCAATCAACAGAGCAGTTTGGTAACATCCATTTAAACCATATAAAAACGTCCATGTTCTGACTTTAAATGGCACCTTATACCTATACAGCGTCTACTTCTAGTGGCGATACCTTCTGCAGAGAACACTTAAGTATGTCTACTTCCGGTCATATCGCAGCGGAACAGCATCTTCAGTCACCGCACATGGTGATGGGTCAAAACATGTCAAAACCTTGGTGCCCTAGGCACCCTAAAATAGCTGCTTAATGGATGGTTATTCCCCCAGTCTTATGGGAATTTCATAGGTAACTTGGCCCATCCCCACATGTTCAGTAGCCAACAACCCTGGCTGAACCCGACCTCCTGATGACTCAACGATTTGGTCTGTCCTCAGAATCGATGCGAAGCGAAAAAAAATGGGCTGTGCATTTTGGGTCAACGGCCTGAACGGTCCCAAAAAGATCCAAAAAGGATGTAATAAGTGGTTTAACCCATGAATAATAGTGATTTAACTAGGAGGCCTGGGGATGTAACGGGATATATTAAACCAATAATATGGGATTTGATGGATTTGGCTGCCTTTGATAAATCATCCAATGAAGAAATAACAGAATGGCAGCAACCTATGGCAGCGAATACAAAGGTCTCGACCAGGAATTGCCACAGACTGCGCTTACTGACCAGTGCTTTGCAGAAAGACTGCTTGGTGGTTTCAACCTACCCCTCTGAAAAATATGAATTAGTCAGTTGGGATGATGACATTCCCAACATATGGAAAAATAAAAAATGTTCCAAACCACCAACCAGAAGAATGTTGGACAAACATTGAAATGGTAAGGACTGAAGACTGCTATGGGCCGTCTTCGCAAGTCGTCGCAAGTCTCCTATGCCGTCCACATGTGGCAAAACATGTGTGCAGGAGCAAGAATGGTCACATCACAGATTCCCGGATGAATTTCTATATTGGATGTATTTCATTTGGTAAACAAGCAAACGTTCCCTAGAAGTGGCTGAACTAAGCTTATGCATGGCATGATCATGCATGATTAACTATGTTCAGAACACATACCATTCCTGAGTCCCGCACATCAGTTTGAAGGAAGATGATGGTTCACCCTATTGGTTCAGCCTAACGGTTCACTGGGAATACTGATACCATATCCTCTGGTAAACGTTTACATAACTATGGAAAATCAAAATGTTCAATGGGTAAATCAACATAAATCAACTATAAATGGGCCATGGTCAATAGCTATGTTAGTTTACCAGAGGGTAATATTCCCATTCAATCACCATTCAATCCCATTAAATCCCATTAAACCACCATTAAATCCCATTAAATCCCATTAAACCACCATTTTCCTATGGTTTTCCCATGAACATCGCTTCATCCATTCCGAAAAACGTTCACCCTTTAAGACGGCTACGTCACCATTCCCTCAGGCCGTGGAACGATGATCTTCCCACATCAGATGCTGCACTGAGTTGCGCCTCACTTTAAAACCACCAGGATCTTCAGCTGGAAATCACGGCTGGGTGGTGGTTAATGATGTTTAATGATGTTTAATGATGGTTAATGATGGTTATATGATGGTTAATCATGGTTAGTGACTGGTGGTTTCAACCTACCCCTCTGAAAAATGATGGAGTGAAAGTCAGTTGGGATGTTATTCCATTCCCAACTGAATGGAAAGTCATAAAATTCCATGGTTCCAGTCACCACCAACCAGATGGGGTGTAGATAGTCCGTGGTGAATAAATGTCTGAAATGTTGCGACGCAGATGGATGAGCAGAGACATATCTTATACCTATGAAAAGGAGAATTTGTAACACAGGTCACAGAAGCAGCGACAAAAATCAAGCCAAATTGATACCCCCAATGCTCCATGTACGGTTTATTTGCCAACATTTACCACCAAAGTGACTAAGTGACACAAATGTAGGTAAATGTTCCATACATAGAGAATATGGAGGTTTCCATAAATGGGGGTACCCACAAATGGATGGTTTATAATATCAATTAATGGAAAATCCACTAAAATGGATGATTTAGGGGTACCCCTATTCCAGAAAACCCCCATATCGTCACATCAGTGTGGACACCAGGAGTGATGACCAGCAGTTGCTGGCCAGGCGCTTCAACTTGCCGTATTTGCCTGGTTTGAGGCTACCCCTTGAAATGGTCACAACTTACAACCCCAAAAATGATCACAAAATGTTCACGCGACTATATACACTAAATATTTACATATTCAATCATATACACCATATTGAATCATACAAATTGAACACAATTGATGTTTCATGCTACCCCAAAGACGCTGTTCCTTCATGGATTCTTTCCCTCCAACCCATGGCCGGGGAGCCCGGGAGGCAGCAAATCACAGAGATGTAGACGGTGGCACTTGTGCGGCTCGTGCATGTGTCCCAAGATACAGATGGGGCCTTGCGGCCTCAGAGAATTCTGAGTTTTCTGGGCCTGGAAAATGGGATGTCTTGCCGATATGCTCCATGTATGGAAAATTTACCTACATTGGGTAAATGTTGGCAAATATACCATACATGGAGCATTGGTGTTGGGGCATTGCAAGGCCATGTCACATTTCACTACATGTTCATACAATAGACCGAAGAGTCACGCTGTTGAGCTGCTTGGAATTTTAGGTAGCTGGAGCTGAATGGTGCTAAGCCAAAGCCCACGCATTTTTTTCCAGCTGGCTGTGTACCTATTTGTTAAGTATCCGGTTCCAAAGATAAGATGTATAATTATAATCTAAGACTAAACAATGTTCTATAAGGAAATAACTAGGGGGCTCTTCTAGTTCTAGCCATTGATCATCATTTACCCTTGGTTGTAAGATGTAAGGGGGCTTTTACCCCTTTCTTAATCAACACATGGGAAAGAGGACATCCACGGGGCCTAGATATCAAGCAATTATCAACCATTGGCAGAAGGACATTTATATTAATATTCCACTCCAAATAGTTGATACTTGGGGATCAAACCATAGTATCAAAAGGACATCTACCGTTGTATACACGTCATAATTACTCCTGAAAACTCCGTCTGAACTCGCGAAGCTCAAGAGTTGTCGAGGCGCGCTGATGCAAAGAGACCTGGTGCACGCGTTGCTTGGTAGGGATGAAAGGATCTTCCATGGCAGCTGATGCCACAGAAGCCGTACCCAATATTATGACTTGGAATCATGGTACTGAAACCGAAATCTTGTGAGGAAAACACCGTTTGACTACAGTGTCTACAAAAAATGATACATATGTATGACATGAAATGACATGCAAACAAAAGATGGGACAAATATGGCCCCATGGCTGTACCCACTGGTTTGACCCTAGAACGCATTCTCTATAGTTGTCAACCGGTTGAACCCCCGTTTAAATTGTGTGACTGGCCAAAGGGTTGTACCGTGGTACCCCACGGACACATAACATCACCAGGCACAAGTCGAGATTCCAGCCCTTCAATCTCTGCGGTGTGGATTGGTTTGGTTTTGTCTGAATACTGGTACCACATTTGTTTCAATATTGGGAACATGGTGATAAAGCGTCAAATTTGGAGTTGTGCACTGAATTTTCAGACAAACCGACTTGGATTACACAGCAGTTACAGGAGGTGTTCACCGTCATTCTCAAACGCGCATCCCCATTCTCATTGCTTTTACCAGAGCTCTTTGTTGCTGAAAGATCTTTCTTTTCTCCTTTTGACAAGCAAGGGGTATCATTTTTTTGCGTATCAAATAATGTCATATGGCTATGGATCAATACCTATAACATATAGGGGGGATGAACATCCATAAATCCCGGCTAATTATTTTGGTGTTCACCAGGTGTACAGGGTTTTGACCCATCAGTCCCCCACTTCCCACCCCGCACGGCGCCACGGCCTTTCAGAACTCGTTGCAGTTCTTCGGGTCCGTCGCACATCTGATCTTCTCCTAAACGGTCGCCCCAATACTCATAGCCTCAGGGGGAAGCGACACCGAAGCTGGAGCGACATCCAAGGAAAAGCTATGGGAAATGATGATTATTTCAGATGCTGTCTATCTTCTAGGCAAAATCCTACCTTTCTGAGCCATTATGTGTGATATTTTGAGGGGAACCTATGGGAACAAAGCAGCGACCATCAGAACTATCAGAACCACATTGGCCCGCTGAGTTTGCAAGGAACGAACGCCGATGGTCAGCAAAGCTTTTGTAAAGTCCTTTCCTCAGTCAGGGCATTCCCTGGCAGGGGAAAAAAACCTGTAAGACATGTATAAAAATGGGGCCGGCTTACCATACCACTTCAATATTGGTTACCCAAACAAGGCAGGTACTTGTTGATGGGTCCATTGTCCCACGATGTCCCACGGAACCGTGATTTGCGGCACTTTCTTAGGGGCAAAGCTAACATTGGGTACCCTCCGGTGTACTGAAACGTGGCGATCGCTGGCAAATCTGCTATCAATGGAGGTAGCTGGGAAATCAACTAGATGTTTTTTCGATTACACTAATTTCATGGCATAGATCCAGTTTAAACATCATGTTCCCAACTGCCATGGGTGATGTTTCCCATCATTTCTGGACAAAAAATGGGACGTTTTGCCGCGGGTCCCTTGAAAAGTTGCTCCTCGCGACCAGCTTTCGGATTTCCACCTGGGGGAAGGTTGAGAAATGCAGCCAGAGCCCGGTAGTGCAAAGGTTCTTTGGGATTCTTGGAATTGGAATGATGGGAAACTATTTCCGATATAAAGGATCATGTATAGATCATGTAGACCACGGATTTCTATCACCACAAACTATTTCCTATGTCAAAAGTCGATGTAAATCCCAACATGTGGATCCCCCATGGCGGGTCATACCTAGACCCTCCCAACTTGTCCCCGTCAAAAATGCTCCGTTGCCACAAAATGTTCGTACGTGTTAGTACTGTTACCAATCTTATCCAATTTTTATGGGTACTTGGAGGGTCTGGGAGTTTGAAACAACGTTGCCATGAGACGGATCAACTAGGCATTATTAGGGTCTGGGTTAGAATGGTCACAATCACTCCTATCCAACGGACTCCGGCTTTAGAGGACTTGATAAATCCCAGATACTCCATGTATGCAATATTTACCTACATTTAGCCCAAAAATAGCCCTCATTATGTAGGTAAATATTCCAGCACCATGGGTTGCATCTGGGAATTATCCTCAATCCATTTCAAGGTCAGATGGCAGTGTGTCAAAACCTTGTACCCCTGGTGAACATCAAAATAGCTGGTAAATGGATGTTCATCCCACTAAAAATGGTATTAATAGGTATTGATCCATACCCAGATCAAAACATCCAGCAACTGCAACTGTAACTGTCTGTAACCGGCCCATAAATAAAGGGATCTCCGAGGGTTGCACGCACGTCCACCAGCAACTTCACATCTAAGGAAGACAGCTGCCAAAGGTACACCTGGAGCCGATGGCGGGCAGCTGGGGATGGGTTTCCCTCTGCAGATTTCTACAACTTCAGGATGGAGCTAGTGAAGTTTAGTGAAGCAAGGGAGTTATGAGAAATTTCTTGAGATCGGATTGGTGGGTGAAGGAAATATTGCACAGTTTCCTCGAGTTTGCTATGTGTTCGAAGTCGAGTACCCACTCATCGGGTGAATGATGATGGAGACGTTTTTGCGGACGCGTAAACAGCAAAGACAGGGTTGAGGAAATTCGCATGGGTTCCATGTTGCGGCTTGTGCCTATTTATGACTCCCACCCGAAAGTGCATGTGTCAAGATTGTGCCCTGTTTCAACAAACATGCAGTTTCAAAATGTTTCAAAACTGAGTTCAGGGAACGACACCTGACTATCTATGGTCTTCTTATCTTTCCTATTGATGAACCTACAGTAGTAACTAATGAGCCAATCATTTCATCGCCCAATCCACGCATGGAGTTAGGTTTGGGGACTTTTTATGGTAGATGATCCAATTACATACCGGGCAATCATCATTTGGGCCTACCCTCTGGTAATTTAACGTAACTATGGAAAATCACCATGTTTAATTGGAAAATCAACTATAAATGGCCATTTTCAATAGCTATGTTAGTTTACCAGAGGGTACATACTCCACTTAGCAACTGCTCAATCACAGCCATTTGTATCAGGGGATAACTCCAGGAATCGGGGACGGCACCTGACCAGGCTAAACAAACGAGTGACGAGTTTTTTGAAGTCGGGCCCCCAGTTCTGTTTGCTGGTTATGTTCGCCCATTCAACTAGTTTATGATTCATATATCCATCATAAATCCAACATTGGTGCAATAACCAAAAGTGACACCTATCATCAATCAACTATCCCGTATTTCTCTTGAGAAAGCCTGCTTTTTCAACATATTCAACCCCAAATATTGTTCACTATCAATCCATATTTTTGGTGCTTGCATGAGTTGTATCCCCATGTGAGTCGATTCAAGCAATCTGCGCCATTAAAAGAAACAACTAAACCATCTTTTCAACGATATGGAGGTTTCCAATCTATGTAAAATTACCCCCAAATCATCCACTTGATTTTCGGAATTTTCCATGAAACAAACCATCCAGCTATTGGAGCACCCCCCCATTTATGGAAATGCATTGGAAATGCCATTGGTAAAACCATTGATTTCTGGAAGCATCCAGGGATGCTCAAAAGATCCGAACCACCTTCGCACCTCGCGGCTGACCCGCCAGGTGCCCAAGGTGTAAACCTGACGTGGCGCTGTGGGCGCCATGCGCATGGCGGGCGCAGAGAAAGCTCGACATGCGACAACACTAAGATAGACGATCTCGGTTTTTCTCTTCTATCCATCCTAAAGATAAATAGATACATGGATCAACTTACTGTTTTTTTAATACATATATCATATAGACTAACCATATTAAAAAAAATGAGTGCCTAGACTCTGCGAGTAAAAATCTAAGTGCGATGATAATGGATGAGCTGATGGTATAGCTGATGTTATGCTTAAAGGGACGAGGTAGATAAATGAATCAACTTCAACTAGATAACTAGTTCTGATTAGTTCTGGCTGTTGATTGAGATTCAGGTTGAAAAGAAAAAACTGAGCCCATGCACAATTGGCATGTCAACATGTCAACCAAACCCTTGTCGTAGGGTAACAGTGTTATAGGGACTTACGACTGACACAATCTACAACTGGCAAACCACCCTTTGTGCGCCAGTGGATCTCCCCGGTAACCGCCACCTTACGCTGATCCGGAGTGTCGTAGCCTGGACACAAGGACTTTCTGAAACACCAAGCAATGGCAACGTGAGTTTCTGACCATATGATCAATCACGTGCAAAAAAGGAGGAAAATTGATAGTTTCCGTCAAAGAAATCACGGTTCTATCTAGTTTCTGTCAATCTTGGATACCCTGCGGAAAAATAGATGGTTAGTACATATATGTTGCTGTCATCCAGTCAGGTTCTCCAAAAGTTCATTAAATATGATCCATGATAAATCCACAAGTGCTAAATTCCTGATTTGTCCGTGGTGAAACGTCCATCTTTGACCTTCTGATAGGTAAATCACCATTATTTGCCCATGATTAACCATTATTTGCCCATGATTCATCCCATCGCTCCACCAAGTTTGGTCTGAAACAAAGGTGGACCCTGAAATGATCTCATCCCCCTAATAATACTAAATACCCCCATTGTCGTGTGGTCCCAAATATGTGCATCCCCTTCTGGGTTTCTGGGAGGTGTTTAATTTCTGAATGGGGGAATGGATTAGCCTGGATTTCCCATTGCCATTCAATTCTTTTCGATGGGGAAATCCCTATGAATCATCATGAAATGCCATTACCCTCTGGTAATTTAACATAGCTATTGAAAATGGCCATTTGTAGTGAGTTTTCCCATTAAAAATGGTGATTTTCCATAGTTATGTTAAATTACCAGAGGGTAAATCGCATTGAACCTCCGTTTTTCTCAGATCTTTCCCACAGCGACATTTCTCAGTCTGCCGCCTTCCGTCTTTGGCGCCGCCTCACTGCGACTGGCGGCACGGGACCAACGACTGGGCTTCGGTGCATCTGGCGCCAGCTGGGATGAGTTGCTGAAATGGAGGTATCCTAAGTGGGGAGTCATGGGGGTACCCTCAGTTATCCATATTTAAGAGGATTTTGCATGAAAACATCCAGCTATATAGGGGTAGCCCAATAAATTGGAAACCATCAAATTTATGGATTTGATGGTTATGTTTGCAAGAAATGCGGGAAATGTGTTTGAATGTTATCTTAAGTTTGATGGAAATCATGGTGTCACATTGTGGTGTCAATAATCCAACTGGTTATAGGAAGGAGATGGAAGGAGTTAGTTCGTGACCATTCATAATCACTAAGGTTTATGGTGATTTATAATATGATATGCCTACGTATAGTTAGATGGGGGTATAAACCACCTTATACTTGGGTGGACCGTTGTTGTGGCTTACAAAAGGCTATAAACCCATCATATAAGTCAGATATTCAAAATATACTTGAACTAGTTGGATAGTATGGTTAGTAGCTGTTCTCAAGGAGGTCGATGCTGCAGCCGGGATAAACCTTCTGTGGATTTTCTACAGTCACTATGGCAACCCCAAAAAAAGCTGCTGAAAAAGTTGGGAACCTGGTCAACACATGGGAAAAAACACCTATACCATGCTGGGAACACTTGGAGGTTTCCTAATGGCTGGAGGTACCCCAATAGCTGGATGGTCTACTTCATTTCATGGGGAAAAAAACATGATTATTTGGGGTACCCCCATTTTAAGACACCTCCACTTGTCTATTTTTTGGTGGTTAGACTGACCCAAATGATGTGTGGTTTGTAGCTGGACTGATCAAGCCCTACAAGTCAGATGTAACAATGATAGTACTGGTCAGCTCCATGCATTTTTTTGGTGACAAGTCCCATTGGAGCATCACCTAGTGGTTTTGGCAACAATCTCCTTTCAGCCCATCGATGTTGGCAGTCACCAGATTCCAAACAGCGGCAGTTCATGGGCATCACACGGCGTCCCCAACTCAGAGATTCTGCTGCAGTACTGGTTACTCTGGTGCCATGTGGAGGCCTCAACCTGGAACCATCCTCCATTTCCGACTCATGTTACCTCCAAAATCCAATGGCTTAAATTACCCTCTGGTAAACGTTTACATAACGAACTGGAAAGATCCACCATGTTTCATGGATAAACCCACTATTTCTATGGATATTTTCAATAGCAAACTGTTAGTCATTACCAGAGGGTATCATGTTCCCAATCAACAAAAAGATGGGGCATCCCCCATTCTTCGACCCATACGAAGTCCTTGCCTATCGACTCTACCATCGGTCGTCACACATGGCAACCAGCATCGAGAAAAGCAGCTAAAGGCTTGCTATCAGTGGATTCACTCTGTATGTGAGAATTACAACATGTCTTTTATGTGTTGGTGTATATCTTGTCATGTAGACTAGCAAAGTGTATGAAGTAAGGAACTTTAGGAATATCGTAGTTAATGAATCTTAATGATTTATACATATTTATACTACAGCCATCTGATTTAAGATATGCTATTCAAGTTGTTTCCCCTTGCTTTCGGAAAAAACACGGCCTTCTTAATCTTTGACACTTTGACGCTGCGGAGTCATATGCCAAAAACTCGATCGACAGCTTTGGTATTGCAAGCAATCGCAACACCAGCAGTAATCAATTCACATCGAGCTGCAGCTTTAAACCACTGAAGTATACAAAAGCAATAAAATTAAAATATCTTGGTAGATGTTAGTCATGGAGAGCTGAACAGCATTTGACATCATTTATCACCACCAAGAAGAATAGTTCCAGTACACTACACATGTACCAGTACCTGTACTAAATGTAATTAATTTGATATCAAATCCACCTCTGTAAAGCTCGCACATCTGTAAAGAACAATCGTACGACATCCTAATCCTGCATCAAAAGAGTAGCAGTGTGTTTCATCTTCATCACCTCGATCTTTCTCAGATTTTTCCTCACCACTGCACTGCTGCCATGGCGAGAGAAACGGCGGCGCTCAGCGCGGATCCACTGATGCCGGGTGCATTACACAACCAGCCCATGCTGGAAACAGCGAGGGGGTCACCTAAGTGCAACAATGAACCCTGCAACTCGTGCTGTGTTTCAGCATAACCTGGGACCTTGGGTTGGAATTAGCATGTTTATTGAACCTTAAAAGAAAGCCAAAATTCCAGGTCGAGCAAATTCTATGGACCGGAAACATAAATTCTGTTGCTGGCAACCTATGAAGTTGACGGCTCCTAGCAGTTAACAAGTGAGGGACCAGGAAAAACTGGCTAATTAGTTGTTCCAACTGCTTTGTTTTTAACCCATCAAACTGAGTTTATGTATAGATATGTGTAGTATTGTGTAGTATACATATAGTCTCTCTTATAATGATTAATTACATCATATTTGGTTGTTGTTAGTGACCTGGTCACAACTAGTAGAGGCCCCCATCATTGTCACTGACCCGAAACGCCTTTCACCGCCATGGTCCCCTACTTTGCTGCTCCAAAGCCGCCGGCAGCGGCTCCCTGACCCTTTGGCATCTTGCCCTTGAAACCGTCCAAGTCCTGGACAAAAAATCGGCTGCGACATTTTCGGCCATGGTTTTTGTTGATCAGCCGAGAAAGCCATGGAGAGTGACCTGAAAAAAATGAGCACCAGGAGGATTTCTGGTCACTTTGACATCGCAACGCGATGTGATCTCCAAAAAATACTCCGATCCGCAGAACCATCCCTCCTTGGACTGGTAGAAGTGTGGAGCCACCTGTGCTGAGGTCATTTTTGGCCCATCTGTCTATACCCAAGGTTTTTGGTGGTCCCTGATATTTCCAGGCTCTGGTCCCATGTTTCGTACTGAAATTGACAATGGCAATACGTCTTCAAAGTAACGCACTATTTCCTACACCACGATGGCAATACGTTCATTATGTTCTTCAAGCGATTCCCGTAGAAAATGCAAGCCGGATAGATCATGATAGATCCTCATTTATATTGATTATATCCTCATGTTTGTTGGTTCATGTCAAATCCACATTTGTTGATAAAATCCCCGCTTTCAGCACCGTCCACTGGAGGAGAGACCAGCACCTCCAACAGCCACTCGGGTTTCACTTCAATGCACTGGGCGGCAGTTGAGTGGTGCATATGAAGTGCTTGCTTCGGGTAAACGATATCACCAGATACATGATATCACCAGATACATGATATCATATGATGTCTCCTTTATGTATGTGTGTATACTATGTGTATACTATATACAGTACTGATATATATATATATATTATATATATATGTTGTTATATAACTATTAATTACTAGACTCTTACCATATCTTAATATACACATATACACAAACGGTCACACAGCGTGATCCAGCATCTAACTGGGAGGCACATTCGAATGGGGTCTTGTAACCGCCGAGGTTTGGGGCTTCCTCTGGCTTCCCTTATGGATAATATCTCCTCACAAAAAAGAACTGTCTAGCAGAAGGCTACGGGTCGAAATTCGGTATCCCTAAAGTTGGATGTTTAATACATTTTAATACAAACAAATGAGCAAAACATGCGGTGCCCTAGTGTTTTGTTTGTGTGTCGGGGTCAAGAGTGCACGCACCCTAAGCTCTGCGAACTTGACCCACGACAGATTGGATGATTAACATTGATTAACGATGTAGAAGTCATTGTCAACATTTCTGTGGACAGCCACAATGATGCTGGTCTCGCTGCGGCTGAGCCACTCCTCGCATGAACTCTTTCGTGGTCAGCACCAGTTCATGGTAGCACACCTCATCACCGTGGCGGCTTTAGTGGACATCTTGCTGTTGTCATGGAAATTGACCTAGAAGCTTGAAGTTAAAAATCATGTTTTTGGGGATCCATCTTACTGTATATCAAGGGATATCAAGGGTGTTTTGATTGCTTGAGCTTATGTCCCCATCCCCTGCCTCATCGATGGGCAAGACTGGAACGTCTTGCGAATGGCACTGGGAGGATTCAACCAACCTCCTTTCTGAAATTCCGTGCCTTGATGGCTTGTCATGACCCCACAGAAATTCCTCCAGTTCAACCAAAACCAGCACCTCTAAACCAACAGTTGGTGAATGATTCACTGGTCCGTGAATCTTACATCCACAAATGCCTCAACAGCTCTACAAAGTCAGAAAGTAACCAGTAAATTTCCTGTGTGGGTAAAACAATTTCATGAACCATCCCCGAAATCGCCATTTTTACAGATGGTATAAACAATTCCCATTCAATGGGCAATTTATTATTAATAAGTTTTACCCACATTAAACTTTGAGACGTCGAAGTCGTTCAAGCAAGTGCCCAGGCCGTCAGACCCCGCAACAGCTCAGTTTCCCCGACCAATTTCGGTTGCTGCCCGAAGAGCGAGGAAGTCGGATGGATCTCAACCTGATGCAAAACCATATGAAGAATTTGAAGAATTGATTGAATGGAGTCCGCAAAAAAAAACGTAAGCCATTTGGGACCCCTCCCAAATTTTGGAAAGTACCACTGGAGCAGTATACCCTGATATACCCTGAACGCATGGTTATGTGCCCCCAAGGACCTGATCGAGACACCAAGAGACAGTATGTGGATGCTTCACCGTCACATATGACCTTAGCCACTGAATTTCGTGGGGGCGATCCTTGCCAGGTTCATGAATTCTTAAATTGCTCAAAGGGACGACCAAAAATGAAGCCCGTTTTCAACATAGCTTCCCTTTGGTGAATTCCAATGGGGAACATGTCCAGGTTGTGACCTCGTAGGCCAAGAAAGTGCCTCATCTTCAGATGTTGTATGATGCTGTTCCAAAAAAGAAATCCATGAACTTGGATCCATGGTCAATCTTTGGTAGTCCAGAAGAAAACATCTTTTGCTGCTTGTGGTTATTTTCCATTTATAGCCAAAGAATAGGGGATTAAACTACCTAACCTTCTGGCGGATTGATCATGCTGATCATGGCCCCCCAAGACCTGCCGTCTCAGTTCCAGACCCATCTTTCCTGAGCCGCGCGGTGTTGTAGAAGAAGCCAGACAGGATGGCCTTTCTTTGGCCTCAGGATGAAGTTTCTATCCCACCTGGGAAACCTCGGAATGAACCGGTTTCCCAAACCCCAGTCTTATGCTTAGTACCAAATTTATCCAATGATGTAAAAGTTGGAACTGATCACCAACCCTGTAGGAAGTTATCAGCCCCAACAATATCTCAAAGAAGGATGTATTGATAACCACCATTTATCCTTCTTGTCACGATGTAAACCCTTGCTCTTGACAGCCTTCCATCTGCTGTGGACAGGATCCCCTCCGGAAGACGAGCTTTCGAGGTTTCTGGGAGCTGAATCTGATGGCATTTGGTGAGCAACACATCATCAACTGATGATCATCGCTTGATAAATCCCTATAAATCCCAATTCGTAGGATTCGGTTCAACAACAATGAAACATGTCATAAAAAGGTAAAGCGAGGTGTGGTTTATGATTGGGTCCACCACATCACCATGGCAAGTTCTTATCGGCAACCCCGATCTGACCGATGAATCTTCATGCCCGGTCTGGGTAGAAACAGGGCACAGGTATACACAGGTGATATTGACGAAAGAAACTGCGCCCAAACTCTCCAGCACATGGCCATGCTGCTTGAGACTTTTCCGCTACGGTGATTGATTTCTATGGTCTCGTCCAACTGAATCCACGGCGACCAAGTTGCAAACTTTTCTGGATTCATTTGGTTTGTAAATTGGTCATGTCATCCAAAACATGTTTGACAATTTCCAATTTTTATGTGATGATTCTGTGATGATACAGAATCCACTGTTTGGGATGACTCCCAAGTTTGGTCACGTCATCTACTGACTCAGGAAGTCAACCCTCAAGCGATGCCATCAGTAAGTGGCCACTGCCCATTGGCGGCTTGGACGCTTTCGCACGACATCCAGTTTTCAGGTGCCGGAATTGTTCAGATCAAATTTCTATGGCTCAAAATAGGATTTTCCAAGAGAACCACAGCAGACTTTGGGGGTATTCTTTGGGTATTCTAGTACTAAAATTACTAAAACATGTCCAGCATTTCGATTTCGGAAATGACAAAAAGTCAGGCTATGTCAGGCTCTGTTTCCAGCAACCTGGCGACCTGGCCGTTCAAGTTCTTGAACTCCGTAATGCCTCCAGCAAAGGCTGGAAGAACATCCAAGAGAGACTGCTTCACCACTCGCAGTTACAACATGTTACGACGAATAAAATCAGTTGTGGGTATCAACCAACTGTTTATGTATGTTTCCAGACCATTTGCCCATACATGGATACTGGTACGAGTATCTCCCAAAAACTAGGCACCCCCCAAATCATCCAAAGAGGGTACACTACAATTAAAACAGAAACGTCATAGACACACAGAGTAAAGAAAATTATGAATGGACGTGAAACCACCGACAAGTTGCCATCAATGTGGTGGTGCTTGTGCTCGAGTTCTGATGTGTCTTGGGCATAGACGCGAATAAACTCAATGCCTCTTGATGCTGACTGGCACGCTCACAAGCACCAATAACTATGCCTCGCTTGTCTCACTGTGTACAAATCGTCCAACAGTATGGGGAGTTCCTAAAATGGTTGACCTCAAAATCATCCAAACATTTGCCATTACTAATGGGGAAAGCCATGATTTTGGGGTGCCCCTAGCCTAGGAAACACCATGAAGCACCCACATAGATATCCAAACACTTCTGTAGAAACAGAAAGAGATTTCAAGGACTACTGCTACTACTATTGACTATGACCATTCTTGCAGTATTGCTGACTAAAGTGGGTGCAACGGTCAAGTTCAGATGCATCACAAAAATTCACACCACAAAGATATTGATTCCCAAAAAAGGTTTTAGATAGAGATGTAGCTAAAGATGTAACAAAGGTTTTCTGATAAACCAATTTCTATGGTTTTACCCTGGCTTATATAAAGATAATATTTCATTTTCAGCTTTCGAAACTGGTGAGTCACAAGTTCCTTGTCACTCGCAAGTTGCACGTCACTGTTTGCTCCACGAAACTAACAACAACCCAAAACTCTGAAAACTGCCAGGGTGCTGTAACTCAAATGGTCTGGCTGGACCTTTTCTTTCAGCATGGCTCGGAACAAACCCAGAGCATGCTGCCACTGCCCCAGTTTTTCAAAGTGACCGATGATGGCCGTATAGCCTTGAAGTGATACAGCAAAGTGACAGAAACAAACCCCATGAACAAGCGGGACACCTTGTTGGATTCAAATCTGGTATTGAGAAAATGGATATTGTCTAATCATGTTTGATGGATTTTGATGGTATGTGATGAAAAGGTATATGATATATGTTTTCCTATGCAACTAAACTTGTCATCTTGAAAAGGCAGCTGTCGTTCTCAGAATTGGCCAAACCATCTCGAACCCTGTGACTTGAAGGTTGAGCTTAGCCGCCAAGATCCATCCAACACTGCACATTTCATACATAACTCTCCCCAGGGTTCCCGTCCCAAAAAAAAAACATAATCCTCTCTCTTTCCAGCCCAACTTAATCTTCCCATCCACACTGCGTTTCCCATACCCTTTTGGCAATTCAACATAGCTATTGAAATCACAATTTCAAATAGGTAAATCAAAGAGAACCATCAAACTAAATGAGCCGTATATACCATAGCTATATTAATTTACCGGAGGTAACTCTCCCACAGCGAAAGACATGAAGACATCCACATTTTTCCATCATCCTTCATCATCCAAGGCACTGATGACGTTGGGCAGAAGCCTGGCTTGGGGCCAGAAGAATGCCACATTCTTGGACAGGCCCTCAAGCTATGAATATCTATATATATACATATTATATTAAATATCACATATTATATATTATATTATAAATAGTATATATTATATATTATATATATATTATATATTATATATTATAAATTATATATTATATATTATATATATACTATATAAATTATATATTATATATTATATACTATATATTATATATATACTATATATATTATGTTATATATTATATATTAAATATCATATATTATATATATATTCTACATATTATATAGTTTATTTTATATATTATATATTATATAGTTTATATTATATATAATACATTATATATTATATATTATATATGATATATATTAAATATATTATATATTGTAAATTATATTGGATTTATTAAATATGATGTATTAAATATGAAATATTTAATATGAAATATTATATAAGATATATTATATATGATATATTATATATGATATATTATATTATATACTATACATTATATATAATATATTATATATTATATATTATACATTATATATTATATATTAAATATGAGTTATTAAATATGAAATATTAAATATGATATTTTATATATGATATATTATATTTCTGATTTATGATATAATGATATATTATATATATTATATTATATATTAAAAAAAAATATATATATATATATATTATATATTCTACATTATGCATTATATATTATATATGATATTTCATATGTTATATATAATAGTATATATATATATCCATCAATTTTAGTCCTATTCCCCGTTCAGGTCAAACACCCCCATGGTTACTGGTCTCAGATATCTGTAAGTCACTAAAGCATGCTTGATATTGGGGGTGTTTGATATGATCTGGCCATTGATAATAAAAATATCACCAGTATGGTTGGTTTAACAAGGTTGCTCCCTGGCCACCACAGATACATTTTCGAGGAAAATTGGCAAAATCAAGAGGTAAAATCATCACTCTTGCCTTCTTGTGGCAATCATTCACCTACAATCTTGGAGCATGGATTTGCTGGGTAAATCCCATTCGAATCCCATGAAACCTCCATGAAACCCCAAAGTTGGTTATCTGAATTTCCCGCTCTTTTCATTGCCAGGGCCCCACCTGGCGGTTTTCATGGATCCCAAGACTTGCAGGGCTCGGTGCCACTCCTGTCCCTTGCTGCAGGCGCTGATCAGAGCATTGCAGCCGATGACGTCCGCTGCCACGCCCTCCGCCTGCATGCGCTCGAAGAGGCCTTCAGCCTGGACGAAATCGAGGGATGAGAAAATCAGGAGTTGGGGATGAACAAACAAAAAGAGACCCGAGGTGATTTCACTTGTGATTTCCGATTGATAAATTGGTATGTTACATGTCTCACTTGGTGGCGACGAGTTTCCCATTATAAATACACATCAATACTACGTTATGGAGTGGTGACCACTTGCGAGTCCCGGGACGCACAGCACAATGATCAAACAGCCAGTCGAAATCATCTCACTAAGGCTGGGGTTATCACTTATCTCACAGTCCTTCATCATGGTTACAATCTACGGATATCCCGCCTTCAAAACCCTATTTCTATCGGTGAAATCCCATTTTTCTCAAGAAAATCCGGTGATAGAAATGGCACTTTCTCCGTCTTTTGTCACCAATCCACCAAGTTGTCGTCCAGCCTCAGCGGCTTGACCCAGCTTCTCGCAGGCGCTGATGGCGGCGCTGAAGCTGATGACGCTGGGCTGTACCTGACTAGATTCAATTGGGATCCCCTGGCTTGGGACATTTTGAATCCAGTTGAAACATTGAAAACCAGCTTGAAGCATTCATACATTAACTAATCAGCTAGTTCATCAATTATCTAAGTAGTTTAAATATGTCTAAATCAGTTTGAACCCGGCCAGGTTGTAAGTCCACTAGCCAGGCCATTGAGGCATTGATTGGTATTGGCTCAACCCCATGGATCTTGCTCTTCCTCCAACAAATGCAACAACGGCCCTGTAGTTGAAACATGTGAACTCCCTACATGGCCATCGCTCCAATTTTGTTTTATCGCTGAGACCGCGGAAAATGAGCTGGTTATGCTGTAAGGTCAGCCATCCATTGTGAGGTACCCAATGACTTGCCCCATGTTTTGGTCAAACTCCACGCCTTCAACCTTGACATGGAGTTCAACAAGACGATTGCTTGCCACCATTGCCCACCTCAAACTGCGGTGGGTTTCTGAGGGTGGCAGCGAAAAAAAACTACCCACAAAAAAAAGAATGGCTGGGGGCCACTGGCCAGCTTTCTGCATCTGAGAGTACTGGTCCCCAATAGACTGCACCAGACAAAACACCAAGCACAAGACAGACCAAACATAAAACCTGAGACCCAGCCACATGCTGCACAAGCACTGATTCCAGCATTGCAGCTGATAAGGTCTGGAACCAACTTTGACAGCTGCATCAAATCAAGAACTCTTAGAGCCTGCTGCCACTGCCCGCCCTTCTCACAAGCACTGATGGCGGCATTGTAGCTGATGTTGTTTGGCAACACCGTTGCATCAGCCATGGCCTGTAAAAAACGCAAAGCCTCTTCCCATTGGCCACTTCTGGCACAAGCCCCTATGGCTACATTGTAGCATATGACGTTCGGTTGCACATTTGCTTGCGGCATGAATTCAAATAAGCTCAATGCCCGAGACCATACAGCACCATTTACACAACTCGCTACCGCCGCACTGTAGGTAATTGTATCAGGGAACACCTTGGATTTGTTCATAGCTTCAAAGATCTTCAATGCTGCTTGCCACTGTCCAACCTTTCCACAGGCGCTAATCGTGGCATTGTAGCTGATAGCATCTGGAGAGAGTTTCGCTGCAGGCATCGAATCAAATAGAACCACGGCGTTTTCCCAGTGACTGCTCTTTTCATGCGCGCTGATGGTAGCATTGTAGCCTTGGTGGCGGAAAAGGAAACTTTCTGAACATGATGTGTATCCTGGGGTATTGGGATCATTCCGTGATGATGGGAACAAAATACCTCCTCCAAAATAGTCGCAGTTGGGACTATTACCAGAGGCATGGTAGGCATGAAAACTGAACAACCATTAAACATACTTGAAACTACCTTCCAGCAGCTGATTGTATCTGGCAAAATTTCAGCCTGCTGCATCGAAACAAACAAATTCAATGCCTCTTGCCAATGACCACTCTTCTCACAGCCACTGATTGCAGCATTGTAGCAAATCACATCTGGTCGAATGGTGGCTCTGGGCATCATCTCGAACAAACACAGGGCCTGTTGCCATTTTCCAAAGCGTTCACAGGAGGTGATGGATGCACTGTAAGTGACGATATCAGGAGATACTTTTGCCACTGGCATGGCGGCAAACAGGCCTATGGCCAACTGCCATTTTGCACCGCTGGCACATGAACTGATGGCCACATTGTAGCTCACAACATGAGGTTCAACTCTTCCCTTCATCTCCTGAAAAAAATGCATGGTCTGCTGCCATTCTCCAGCCTTTCTGCAAGCACTCATGGTGGCATTGTAGCTGAAGATGTTCGGCTGAAGTGCTGTTTCCGGGATGGCGGCGAAAATCCAGCAGGCCTCTTGCCAGAGCTTGGCCCGGCCGCAGGCTGAGATTCCAAGGGTGAAGTTATGGCTGTCCAAGGCGCTGGAGCAGTGTCCACGACGTACAGTTTCCAGCAACTCAAAAATTTGTTCCTTGGGGGTTGTTGGTGAGATGGAGGGGGAACAACCCAAATCAAACTCAAAATGGGATTGACCTTGAGCAAAAAGATGTGTATATATATATGCATATAGATATATATATATATATTTATGAATTTTATATATATGTGTTTATTTACTCTAGAAAAAAAAATACCCAGAATTACGATTGGTTTGTCCAAAAACGGAACATAAATTGGCTGGTTGAATAAATTTCCACGATGCCCTTTCGGAAAAAAATCACGTCACGATGCAGTTTTTCCGTTGACTGCCTCCTCTGCAGGAGGGGTCTCGCGCGCGTCATTATAAAAAAACAAACAAACATTCAAAAAACAGAAAGCGGGGTGAGATTCCTTGTAGCCTCCTTGAAAATTTTGCACCAAAAAAGGATACAATGTCATTTTGGATGGTATTTGAAAATAATTACTGGAAACCCCAATTCAATTCCAACTTGAGAACGAGAACACGAAAGGTAGGATGCCAAGATGCAAAATAAAGGAAAACAGCAACAAGGCAGCCGTGCTTTTCAGCTGGGAACAAGTGGGTGCTCACGTATGAACTTCAACATGATCGAGGGAATGGGATTCAGAGACCTTATTTTCTGCCAACCAGGCATGAAAGATTGGATAGAAAAATGCAAATCATATCCAAGCATTTTCGATTTTAATGTTCATGTCCGGGAAAAAAATACGCCATATAAATGGTAAGCCACATCCCGGGACCGATCAGTAAACCACCCCCACAATAAAATACGGTAACATTTTTGGGAAGGCGCGTTGCCGCATTTTTTCCCCGAGGATTTTTCCTGGCTGATTTTTTGTTGAATCTGACCTCAAGAAAAACAGAATCCTGAACTTGCATTTTCTTACAGCGTTTGGCTTGACCAGGTCCCTCCCGCCCTCAACCCGAGACCCTTTGCACCCGAGTTCTGTTTTTTAACTGCGATGGACGCTGAGTATTGGAGAAAAAAAACCGCTTATTGGGGGGGGTTTTCCATCGGTCCCCACCGATCTAAGAAAAGACCCTCTTATGGGGGAGATCATGCAAGGAAAACAGTTACACGCGCAAAACAATTGTGTGCGCAACACTGAATTCCACGAGAAAAAGCCCTTCTCCCGGGGCGAGCAGCTGGCAGCGTAACACCTGCCGCTGGCGCGCTTGTCCAGCCCACCCACGCCGGCGCCAGCTGGATATGGTAGCGCTTGAAAATCTTTGTTGGTTGGCGTGCCCAAGCCTCCGCATCGGCGAAGGAGCCTATAGGCTTGCCAACTAGCTCAGCCTTTTCGCGTTCGCGATAGGAAAGGTGGAAGCATCAGTCAGCACTCGGCTGCACAATACCGCGAGGGTGATCTTCGGCGGCGTCAACAGTCTTTTGGATTCTGTTGCGGTTATGGCCACAAATGCGATTAAGCTCTGAGTGTGTTCAAGTACATTCCGGCAGTTCCCTTCACACGTTTGCTTCCCGCATGACTTTGGTTCGCCGGATCCTCACGGGTTGTGCATCACCTGTCCCGTCTCGGGGAAGGCGTTGCAGTCTGGACGTCATCCGCAGATCGGTCCACGTCGTCTCGACGGTCATGCGGCATGCCAGTGAAAAGGTCACCGCCCGCCGTGGTACGAACAAGGTCGAGAGTCACGGCCTTTGATCTTTGCGGTGCCTGACTGAATGTCTAGTGTGATCTACTTAGATTAATTGGCCAAAAATGGTTGCTTGTACAACTCGTGCAATGCCGATGAATATGCAATATTCTTCAGTCTTTCAAGATCTCAACTTTGTCCTTCGAGGCAGCTCAGCGAACCCAAGCAGGCCACACCAAACGAGCCACGATCCATTTCCACTTCAGACTTCTCCGGTGGGACGTGCAGAATGCATGAATTTCCCCCAGCGAAAGGACACCGGGCCTCCAGGACGATGTATTGAATTGATAGTATGGCTTGATGTAATCCCCATTGATCATCATGGAGTTCCGGGGCAAACATGAGCAAACTGTTTGCAGCAAACTGATCAAGAGTATTCCGGAATCCTGCAGGTCCTGCACCGCTTTCGGGGATAATATGCAGTGGTTTGCATTCGAATTATCGGATTCGATTGTCGATCCGAATTCAGGTGATCTGCGAAGGCCTTGGACAAGGCCCGTCCCGACTTCCCGAGAATAGAGATTAAGACAAGCCGCGTGAACAGAAACTGCATCATCTCGGGTTTCCATCATGTTCCATCCCCGCCCCTACTTCTAGGAATTTCAGCCTCCGCAGACTTGGGACCTGAAAACACGCGACACGCTCCAACCGCCAAAACACCAAAGGGGCATCTCCAAGTATAAGTAATTATATTTGTATGGTGATTCATGTGTTGGTCATTGTTTTTCATTGTTTGCCAATCAGCCAGACCTTTTGAAACCGTTGCTTTGACATTTGACCACCCCAGGTTCAAGGGAACCCAATGACTGCGAGGATGCTCTTAGAGACTGCCATAAAACGTGCACGCCTTCACCTTGGAAGCGGCAAGCAAATAAAAACCCATATTTGGTCATATTTGTATATACAAGAAGAGGTGTAACCATCTCACGCACATGGAAGCATATTCATCATCAACAATTACGCATACGTATGTCTCACTACCGCGATATTTTCCATTTGGATAAAAGGATACATTCCATACATGTCTATTTGTTCCTGGATATTTTTTCGAAAACGAAAAAAATCTGACCGTCGGGGGAAGCAGGGTTGGTGCTACGACCGCGTTCAAACAAAACACCCGAGCGTTTCTTAAACTAACTTTAAAGCTTCGGTCTAGCAACCACCCTTTGAAACAACAACTTAAAAATGTTTTGCCCCCCTCAGAAGGGGTGAGCATCTGCAACAGGATTGGCATGCGCAGCACCACCATGGCCGCGTTGATTGCCACCATCATCATCATTGTTGCAGAAAAGAAAAAAGGCTGGAGGGAGCAAGGACAAACAAATTGATCAAGAAAGCTGCGATGTGCTCCATGTGGCGACATGTCGTTAACCCACTGGACAGGACCAACCCCCGGAAGCTGGAAGTAACACAAAAGCCACCGCTCAATGTTACAAAGCCCTTTGGGCCCATTATTGTCGGAGGCTACCCAAACGGTTTTCAAGGCTAACAAATAAAAAGGGAATCCAAACCACAGCATCTGACTCCTCCAAATGACTCAGAGGAGTTCCCAAGAGTGACCCTTTTTATGAGCCCCAAAACAAACCTTGTGGAGCTCTTTCGAAAGCAATTTTCTACATATCCGCAAGGTACCAGCTCAAAAACACAGAAAAACACCGGGGCCACAAGCACCTTTCTTTGTCAGTCAAGCCAAGCCACCACAACAGCAGCCGCCTGAGTTCCAAGGGGCGTAGACACAGGAGCCGGAACCTCCAGGTGACAGGTTGATCAAAAGTCTTTGGTCACTCCGGTCTTGTGAAAATGCGAGAATCAGCCAGTCACTAGGTACAGAATGCCAGGTTCTAGAATTCTGTGTTTTAAAATCATGTGTATATGGCATATGGGATCCGGCTTTTCATTTCTTTACGAGAGACAAGATACCAATGGCGCAAGCAACCTTTCATTTGCTCAAAGCAAGCCTTCAACTTTCTATGGCACAAACATTGCAGCTCACTCCCAATGACTTCCAGCAACGGCTTCTCCAAGAGTGAGCCCCTTAGGAGTCCTATTCAAAAAAATGTGTAGCTCTATCGACGGCAATCCGAACTTATCCGCAAAATACCAAATCAAAAACCTGGCGCCCTCGTTTGCTGTGTCTGTCAGGCCAAGCCACCACAGCAGCTGCAGGAGTTGCAAGGGGCGTAGACACAGGAGCCGGAACCTCCAGGTGACAAGATGTCAAAATTCTTTGGTCACTTTGGTCTTGTGAAAATGCGGGAATTAGGCAGCCACTAGGTACAGAATGCCAGGTGAGATCTGGGTTTAAAAAACCTCATTGCTTTGCGCAAGACCAAAAAAAAACTGGCGCTACAAGCGCCCTTCCGTTTCCTCCAGCCAAGCCACCGGCGGCACGGGCACCACAGCGGCTGACTCCTCCAAATGACTCAGGGAAATTCCCTAAGAGTGACCCTTTTTGTGAGCCCCAAAACAAACCTTGTGGAGCTCTTTCGAAAGCAATTTTCTACATATCCGCAAGGTACCAGCTCAAAAACACAGAAAAACACCGGGGCCACAAGCACCTTTCTTTGTCAGTCAAGCCAAGCCACCACAACAGCAGCCGCCTGAGTTCCAAGGGGCGTAGACACAGGAGCCGGAACCTCCAGGTGACAAGATGTCAAAATTCTTTGGTCCCTCCGGTCTTGTGAAAATGCGCGAACAGGCAGCCACTAGGTACAGAATGCCAGGTTCTAGAATTCTGTGCTTTAAAAAACCTCAGTGCATGGGATGGGTTTCCATTGCTTTGCGCAAGACCAAAAAAAAAACTGGCGCTACAAGCGCCCTTCAATTTCCTCCAGCCAAGCCACCGGCGGCACGGGCACCACAGCACGCCAGGGTTCTGTTTTCCGAGGATGCTAGCCAGGCACGGGTGATTGGGGTGAGCCGTCAACTCATGCCAGCACTCAAAGCCTTACACTGGTAACTTGTTGAGGTTGTGAGAGCCATACCACTTACATCATAGAAATGCAAACCTCCAGGTGAATATCACGGACAGCATGATGAAAGACATCGTAGAGAATTACAAGACTGGTGGCTCAGTGAAAGACCTCGCCAACTACTACAAGTCGTGCGTTGCCCTTGCTATAGCCTTCTGTCTCAAGATTTGTTTTTTGATCGGTGTTGGTTTATGTATACCATGTGACATGCATCGCTAGCTTGAAGTATCTCGAATTGAATCCAAGGCAACCCTCATGATGAGGGCACTCACAAGACCGAGAGCTGCGAAGCACATGGCTGGTTAGGCAACTTTTTTGATCTGTAAAAGATCTATGGCGTTGATTCTTACTTGGAATCCACTCGGTGTGGAGCTGCAGCTACCAGGTGCCAACACTAATCTGTCTGGGTGACACTTGAAATTTCTTCTTGGGATCTTGGGCATGGATTTTGGCAGTGTCCGGACAACATACCATCCTTGATCATCCCCCCCAAAGAAATAAAACAATCATGGCCATCTCCTAGCCGTGGAATGGAGCTGGTGTTTTTCTAGATTGCTTGGCTCAAGGTTGCGCAACTCTTCCCTCAAAAAAGTTGGGGACAACGTCGATGAAAGGGTTTGCTAGAGTTACTTTTCTTCACAAAGCTTTCTTCTCAAAATGATTCGCAGCATGCCAGATTGGAGCAGGTGCTCATTGAGACCCTACCCTGCGCTCTCACTATTTTTGCGGTTTGCATCCGCGCCCTCTTTGGTTGCATCGAGTTTGCGCGCAGCGTGTGCAACACCATTTAACTGCAGGCTAAAATGGCCAAAGATTTGTCAGTTCCAGCGTTTGGGCTTACAAGCCCAAGCTGCAGGCATGTGACGATATTTCCAGAGATATCACAAGAGACAACTTCAGTCCAAGGCACCAAAGGTGCTGAACCCTCTTGTTTTTAGCTGCGAGGCCAACGAGAGTGTAGTGTGACACGTCTCACGGATCTCTCGCCGTGTTTGCTCCAGAACTGCTAGCGGAAGAGTGTTGGATCGAATCTGTATCAAAACGCAAAATTCCTAGACAAAAAATTCAAGGATAAACCAAGGCGCCGACACACAAGTCGGTGATGGAGAAGGCTCAAAGCTACTGAGGGGGCAATCAAAAGACAGCGTTGGATTGAGAAAAATCCCCAGGGTCAGCAGGCACCAAGTCCCATTTCTCAAGTTGTCGTTTTGGGAAACACCCTGGCATTTTGTACGGAAGTTGGCATTTCTGTACCCAACAAATGCTATTAGCATAAATTAATGCTAAGTGATGATCCAGGTATGTGTATATATATATATAATTATATTATGATTTATGATAGATCTAGATCTGGTTAAGATCTCCAAAAGGCATGGAATTCTGCCACCAAGGCACAGAGGACTGAAATACATATTGATGAGGAACAAGCTCTTAGCAAATGACCAAAAAAGGTGACTTGCTGGTGGGTTGGACGCCCCCAAAAAAGGTCCCAAATTTTCCCGGGCCTACGATGATAAATTTCAAAAATGGATTCAAATTCAACTTCAAACTAATTTTCATGTCGGTTTCAAAGAATAATGCTTAGAGCCAATGATTCCAATAATCATTGAATTTCAAATCCAATAGTTTAAGAGCAATTTAAATTCACTTGCAAATAAAAGGAAAAATCAACGTCAAATAAATCAGTTCAAACTCACTTTACTTTCAATAAGTTAATGTTGAAATGAGATCCAAATTCGGCTCAACGCAATTCAAACACAAGCAAACCAAGTCGAAGGCGATGCAAGCGAAAATAACATCCATCACTGGTCGACCACCACTCCCAGACAGCATATTAGCTGAAATACAAATCAACAACGAAAGGTGCTGTAAGGAAGTGCTTTTTTCATCATTAAAAACATTATTTGACCAACGATCCGTTCAGAAGTGCTTGATGGTAAGTGAGTATGAAAAACGATGGGCGCGGCTCCCAACAAAACAAGAAAGCGCATCGCTGGCACAGCGACACATAAACATTCCAAAGGTCTGTTTAGGGGAAAAGACCGATTGAGCCCACCTGGTGGGGTGTGAGAGGGGGCGAAATGAAAGGCAATCAACTGCAGGTAAAGGGGCACCCTCCCCTTCAAGGTACCCCCAGAGGATCTACCTGTCGTGATATCACATCCAAATTCATCGTCTTTTAAATCGTTCTTTTGATTTATTTTGTAGGTTGGACATCTCGAGATTTTTTTGCAGAGGCTCAGCTTGCTTTTTGGCTGCCAAGATCTTCAACAACCGCTCCAAACTTCGGCTCGTCGTCGGCAAGACCGCAGTCACGTCCAGTGTCTTCTTCCCGCAAGGTGGAGAAACTTCCTTAGATGTATACCATTGTATACCAGTCATCCCAGAAAAGGACAGCTGAGATGATTCTTAATGCCTGTACTAAGCATATCTAAGCATAGTTGGATCGACTCTTGCTGAGGTCAACAACCCCTCCAAAATGATGAATTGAGACCTTACCATTGAACTGATCTCAAGATCGCACGGTTGGGGTTAACATGCTTCGACATTCTGTGACCATGCCTGAAAGATCGCAAAGTGTTGGAAATGTTGGCTTCCAAGTGTTGAATGCTTCACAATTACCCGCTGTGAGACATGTATCCTTTAAGCAATGCCTTCAATGTTCAACCATTCCTGGATGATTGGAATGTTACCACTTACAAGTGACTGACTTTAAGCATAGTTAGTACGTAAACTGCTAAAAGGATGGAACACGTCGGAAACGTATTTAGCAAAACACATTGTAATAGTTCATTACATATATCTGCATAAATCTAGTAATTCATCAGTCTGAAAAGTTCGGCCATCATTAGGTGATAATGAGGGAATGACAGGTATGTTATTACTCAGTCACTTGAATTCTATCAGAATAATAGTCCATCAAATCAATCAACATTTACAGATATATGTCACTATAAGCTAGAATTAACCCTCTGGTCAACGTTTGCATAACAATCGAATTCACCATGTTTAATAAAGTTTAATGGGTAAACCGACTATTTCTATGGGCCATGGCTTCCAGTTCGCAAACCGAACTAGTTATTGAGGCTATCCATCTGGATGGAAGAAACGTCACCACCGAGTTTCCATGCGCGGCCCCCGCACTGCGGGTGCACCGGCATGCAGCCATCGACGCAGCATAGTGCTGTGAGCCCAGTCGGAATCTCTCAGAGGGTCAGCTGTGACTTATGTAGTCATGTAGTGCAGAGATATAATAATTGTGTACTTCCATATACCATCTTCATAGATATGAAAAAATATATGTTATAAGACATACCCTCTGGTAAACGTTTACATAACGAACTGGAAAATCACCATGCTATTAATGGGTAAATCAACTATTTCTATGACCATATTCAAGTTCGCAAAATGTTTGTTTACCAGGCCGGGTATCTTGCAACTTGCTCAGCCGCGTTTCTTGCAGTCCCATGGGAGACCCTACCATCCACATCATTCACGTTGGACGAGTGCTCGATCTCCACCTCGGCATCTCGGCATGACATAAAAGGGCCGTGCGCAATACCATCATTTTTCCCACTGTAATGTGTGTAACTTTTCTACAACATGGGAGAACATATTATCTAGAACTATGAATGTATATAAATGTGGGAAAGATCAAGTAATTACCCTCTGGTAATTTAACATAGCCATGGAAAATCACCATTTTTAATAGGTAAACCATCTATAAATGGGCCATCTATACCATGGCTATGTTAAATAACCAGAGGGTATATCTATTTGTATGTGGGATTTGGCCCATTTTGAGGCAAACCTGATGGCAAACTCGTTGGAATCAGTGTGATCATGACTCATCCATATGGCTAGTCATATCTTCGGGCAAGATGCGGAAAAAAGGGATGTTAAGGGTTCAAATTGACAAACCGAATGGGGTTGAAAGAAGAAATCATGGAAGGTGTGGTGCATGTGTCAAGTTAAGCCCGTTCTGAAAATGCCACTGCTCCCACCTTCTCTAACATATCCACCAACTGCTCTCGGATATCTCGGGCGCGTTTCAACGACCTGCTATGAAAAGAGCAGGGGTTGGGAGCGAGTTTGATGGACCACTCATGATGATTTTGCTGAATGATGCCATAGTTTTTCAACGTTTTTCATATGGAATAATTCAACAGCTTGAAATGAGGGTCAGGTTGGAAAACTCCCACACTCCTAACCATCCTCTGTACTGATGTTACTGTGACGTCGTTACTTCAGCTAGGATGATGGACCAAAAATCAGGCCCACCGGCTGGAACAAGATCGCCGAAAAGAGCATGATTCAATACCTAAACCTAAACAGTATTAGCAACCACAACTGGCGGAATGTACTCAGAGGATGTTTGGTTATCATATCCCTTTACCATCCTTTATCCACCTTGAATGCCAGTAATACATATATGATCTTATATGTTCTTATCCTTTTGGTGCATATCCTATGGAACAACTAACTGAATCTTATCTATATAGATGTGGTGGTCAGTATAAGGGATCCCTTAACCTGAGCCTATCCTCAGGCGGAAAGTCCCACTCGACACTCCGTGACTTCTGACTCGACGAACTTCAAAAGCCTGACATCTGGATTCACCTGACTGAAATTGCTTCTATGGAAAAAACAAGTGAACTTCATCAATACCTCAGCCATCCCCCAGTTTTTTTAAGGCAAACAAACATCACTACATTGGCCCACCAGCCCCTCACTCCACCTGTTTTGCAGGTAGTTCTCCATGCACCAGTTCAGAGAGAAACCTGTCTCTTCCCACCTGAGCTGTGCTGCTTAAATCAGATCCCACCAGTCACTCTCCTCTGGTGGTTGACGAAACCCCTCTGAAAAATGATGGACAAATCGTCAGTTGGGATGATGAAATTTCCAATATGATGGGAAAAATAATCCATTCATGTTCCAAACCACCAACCAATCCTCTATGTCTCACGAGTTAGTAGCAAACCTATTTCACCCCAGGAATGAGCCATGCTTTTTCAAGGCGCACAGAATGGTTTTCACATCCATGCCGTGCCCGTGCCCTACACAAACCACCGCAAATGGTGCTCATCCAAAAGGACTTTTTCGGTGGCATAGGTGCCCCATAGATTGGGCTTCTCAGCACTTGTTCTGGCTTCGGATGACCTCCCAGTGATACCAAGGGGCTGCTTGTAGACGTGCAGCATCGTCATGTGATCACCCCCAGGCTTATGGAAGTTCTTGCGCGAATTGTCCGCATGCAAACCTCCATTGGGGGCCGTTCATTGATGGGGATCGCATGATACAATGAATCTACAAGCTGCTAATCTAAGCTGCAAAAAGAACTCATTTTATCTATGGTTTGGTCAACATATGTGTGACTCTCAAAGCGCTTTTGAAGGGTAATCCCAGCACTAGTCAAGATTCATTGGAGTGGGTATAGAAAATACTGGGTCGTGACCCCCCAGACTGGGAAGCGGGCTGAAGACCTGATTTCCTATAGCCGCTTCTACAGTTGGCATTATAGACAACCAAATTAACACTTTTCTTAGGTGGCAACGCAGCCCAAGCTTTGGGGGCTTAGCATGACCACATCTTGGCTGAGATCCCCAAAGATTTCCAGTGCCTTTGTCTTTGGGATGGTAGAAGATAGCTCCATCTACACCTGATCTGCGCGTGGATCAACGTCAGGTGACTCACGTGACGTGACTCGACCTCTAAAAAAAATGATGACTGGCGGCAGAAGTGGACTAGACTGTGACATCCATGTCCTGTTAATAATGTACTGTACATACAATTTATATATATATACATACATACATTTGTATAATGTATGTGTATATATAGTAATAATAATATTATAATAATGATAATACTGATAATATATATATACCAAGAATATGTAACGGGATCCATCTCTTGTCAAGATGTTGGAAACTGAACCATTTTGCCTCCCATATGCCACAATTAGGAATACATGTCAATATAATGTCATTGTATTTTGTACAGAATGCTCAAACACCAAAACAATTAAAAAGAAAGATAGTGCAAGAAACACCCTTGAATGGGTGTGCCTGAGTTCGACAGCAAAACTGTGAAGACAAATGGGGGGCGCGTAATTGATTTTGAGCCACTCTTGCATCCTGTCTTCCAAGCCCCATTGATGCCAATCTAAAATGTTCATCTGTGGCTCCCGGACCAAGCATACTGCAAATGGTGACCACCTCATCCACGCATTTGTATTTGTCTGCCTGGCAACGACGCGGGAGGCTTGTCTTCCGGCCTGGGAGCTCCATTTCGCACTATTTTGGCAACGTCACTTACAGCTATTCAGATATATAATGATAAGTATAGCCTATATATCATGTTGGGAAATTCTTAGCTCCTTCACTCCCCATTGGGCAATAATATCCATAGCTCCGAAACCGCTCGCTCCATTCCTCACTGGATACTATGCAATAGTATAAACATTCCCGTGAGTTCTCTCCATTAATCATCATTTACCTCTGGCAATTTCTGCCATAGCTATTACAAATTACTGTTAGTAGGTAAATCAAACTCAATGAGCCATCTACATGGCAAAATTGTTAAATGACCAGAGAGTATATGTACATTGAGGCGCTGTGAATCACCATTACCCTCTGGTAAACTAACATAGCTATTGAAAATGCCCATTTATATTGGTTTTACCCAATAAAAATAGTGTTTTTCCATAGCTATGTAAACGTTTACCAGAGGGTAATCATCAGCAAAACCATCAGCAAAACCTGGAATCATCCCCCACCTGAATCAAAGATTTGGACTGCTGCGGATCCATTGGAAACTCCGCCATGCGTCGACCTGCCATCTGCAACTGGCTGAATTTTGTGATATACCCCGCGACTGGCTATGGGAGATGCAAAATGTGCTAATAGGAAATGGGATATACCCCCCGAATGATATGGAAAATGGGAAAATATGTGATATGTGATTCTCTGAAAATCGGATTTACACCCCAACTATGTTAAATATCTTAATCGGAAGAATATGGAAACATGGTGATTGGCCAATGATTCTTGGGCTATTCCATTTTCAGACTTTCAGCCGGCCATAGTAATTCACCTTGTGCTGAGTGAGATTCTTAAAATTTACCCTCTGGTAAACTCACGTAGCGAACTGGAAAATCCCCATTTTTGATCGGTAAATCAACTATTCCTAAGGTCATTTTCAATAGCAAACTGTTAAATTACCAGAGAGTACAACAATTTAACCAAACGTTGGGAAAATGTGTTCCAAGTTTTGCTCTAATCTGAGTACAACCCCCAAACTTGGATGCTTTCAAAGACTACAACTGATCAAGAAATCTGCAGTTGTCAAGGTCAGGTCGCCTCGATGTTCCCTTAACGGAGCGATCTGTCTACCAGTGGATCATTACCCACATGGCCATTGGAAAACCCTATAAAAGGAGATTATAGTGGAAAATCATCTCTAAATGGGAAATTGTCCATTGCCATGTTTTGATTACTGGAAGGCAGATAATGTGCACATACAGAACAGATATATATATAATTATATATTATATACGGGTCAGATACATGTAATGAATCATGTACATGTAAAACCATTACGATCATGTACAGGTACCCGATCACATGTTTCTAGTCTAGAAACTCAATAGATCCAGGATCTTGACTCATTCCCAAATCCATACGTTGAGTTATGGCTGTTTCTCAAGTCATCGGGGCACCCCAAGTCACAATTGCTTTCCGGATTTTTTAAAATGACAACTTGGATGAGGACGTGGAGCCCAACGATGGGAGAAACCTCCAAATCCCAATTATTTGTTGGCTAAATCACCACTCTTGTTTGGCTAATTGGGGGTTTATTAAAATTCGGGATCCCCAAGTCATCCAAATCACCATGAGTTTCAGTATTCCAATCGTCATTCATGACGACTGGATGATTTGGAGGTACCATGACCTAAGGAAACCCATGGAAACCACCAAATCACCATTTTTGTTGGTGAAATCCCAACCAGTCCTGTTGCTTCTGCTTGGCCTAGAAACAGACTCTCCTGAGACGCCCCACCCAACTTCGTCAGGTCGCCCTGGTCATTCAAGGCCTCATTCGCGGGATTCTCAAAGCTGGGATCTCTGAGAAAAACTATTAGTAAAATCCATTATTAGAGTAATCCCCAAAAAGATAGAAACGTACAAATTATCACGTCATTTACGTCGGAAATCTATCAGATTCTATCCCTTTTGGGGGTTGCGTACTAAATGAACTTTCATATAGTTGAATCATGTTGAATCTGAAAATAAATGTAACTATGTTCCCTCATTTTTTCTTGTGCTGTTTCCATGTTTGCCAAGTCTGTTCATGTACATTAAGCTGTCATTGTCTTCAGGAACACTTACTAAAAAAACCAAAAGCGCTGCGGCGCATTGCATCAAGGTATCCTTGTCAGAAATATGTCGACTTCCTGATCTTGAAACATGTAGTGCCGCCTCTCAAGAAACAAGGCTGCAAAGTAGGCCATTACATTAAAAGCCAGACAACCCGGTTTTCAAATCAAAACGAACATAAACTTTAAAACCCTATACATGGAGATTTCAAACATGGAACTCAATGGTGGATTTTCCATTGCAAACTGTTTGCTTGCCGGACAAACATGATGATGTCGAAGATGTTGAACTGTTTGGGACCGTCAACAGCAACAAAAAACAGCAACGATAAAACACCTTGGACATCGTCTGGCGGATCACACGGACTGAAGCCTATACTAATTGGTTTCTTATGTTTTGACGTTGGTTTTCCCTGGACTTTTGGTGAATTCCCAATCTTTACTCCAAACACCGGGCCTCAGAGCCTACTTGGAGCGGATTTCTGAAGGTCAAATCTCAAGTTTGTTGAAGTTCCAATGGTTGGTTGGTGAAATGTGTGAAATGATCCTTGTGGATACTTTCTTGGGTCGCTGATGATACAGAAAAACCCAGCTCACCCATTCATAACGGATGGGTTACATATACTGTAGCCCCATATCTTGCGGAGATGTCCCGCAGAGTTTCTGCATGTGCCCACCGGCGTTCGTTCTGAGCGACACTGAGTGCATAGAGCTGCTCGAGTGCCTGCGGTGGGACCATCCATAAGATTCGACCCATGAATAGACCAGAGCGCTGGGTATTTATTTGATAAGGGGAAGTGATAGATTATTCCAAATAAAGATGTTGTTATCACGAGAATTGACACGTTGCCGCTTAAAACATGGATTCAAGAAAAATGCAAGGTAACGGTAACTAGGGAAACTCTGGATTCCACCAAAACTCTCGATTTAACCAACACAAATTGGGATCTGACCAGCAAAAACAAGAGAAATGAGAAGTTACATCCCCTTTGCGTATATCGTGTATGGCAATCTATTCAGCCAAAAAAATTGGGAACCTTGGGATCCCATCAGCAAAAAATGAGGATGCTACCAACGTTCATGAACTTGATCCAAAGGGCACCAGCCTTTTCAATCATTGACAGCTACCAGTAGCAGTTAGTTTTGTCTAAAGCAGAAAACAACCCACATGAATTACAGTTAATTAGTTAATTATATACAGCATCAGTTTCCCAAATCACAGACAGAAAGCCACACACCAACGATTCTAGCAGATCCAATTGGTGAAATCCCCAGCAGCTTGGAATCCCCAGATCCCAGCCATGGAGCCGCGCCTTGATCAAGGTCTCAGGGGGCGGAGGATCCATAAAGTCGAAATGCAGCAGATCATCGATGCCAATGGACTTCAACATGAGCCTCGCTGGCGAGCGAAACGGGCTTAACCGGACTCTGGCAGCGGAGGCTTAGGCTCTCGTTGATCTAGATATAGCCTCTGGTAATGACTAACATAGCTATGGAAAATCACCATTTTTTATGGGAAAATCCACTATTTCTATGGCCATTTTCAATAGCTATGTTAAATTACCAGAGGGTACGTCAAAACACAAGGGATCTGTACGTGCACAACGGCCAAATAGAGAGATAAGTTTGATCTCAAAATGGAACATCGATGAACGTAGGTCGGTTTTACCAGGAACCAAAGGTACTCAAGTTATCTTCTGTTCAATACCAATACCAGAAGGACATGGATTGGACTCGCAGCCGGTCATATGCTCATCCCACCATCGTGGTCATGGGATTTCTAGAAATATATATATATTGGTATACAAAACTATAAGAATGCCTAATAAATGGATTGATAACCTACAGATATGATATGAGTAATTATTCAATCCAACTTTTGACCATGACACATACGATATCCTCCTTTCATGTTGGGTCAAATCCGCCCTCTTGGTGCCCGCACACCACGTGTCCCAAGTTGGACCGCTGAATCTCTGGTGCCTCAACCATCGCCGCACGGTGAAAAAAATTGGTGCAGGATTTTCCCAATATCCCCCCCCAAAAAAAAACATCCATTCTACAAATGTGGCGCCCCCCAGTGATGTAAGCCAGTGATGTAAGTTGGTTATAAACCCCATGAATACTATAGTTACAGGTATCCCAAACCATCATAAACCAATATAGTTATTGAGGTTATTTGCACCAACTTAGCTATCGTTTGGGGGCCCCACAGTCTAGGGATTCAGCACCAGCGAGACATACTGCCATGGCACATTGTCGTCGTCCAGCTCGTGCTCGTAGGACCATTTGGTGAAGAGCCGGAAGCATTTGCCCGGCTTCACCTGCGGTCGCCGGTTGGGATGATCATCCAAAAAATAGGGGCCGCACCTGTTTTTTAACAAAAAAATATGTGAAGTCACCAACTTATTGTCATTGGCTGATATCCATTTGGCTGAACTGTAATAGACAAATGTCATATCGGTTTGACTGAAAATAGGGTATCCCCCAAATCAAGTGGCTTCTCATAAATTTAATCAGTTTGCCTATTCAAATGGGAACTTTGGGCACACCCATGTTGGATGAATCCAATTAGGGGAAGTACTATCTTATGTACTAACTGTATATTATTTGGGAGGTATATGCAACTACAGTAGTTGGAGACTTCCACCAATCAGAAGGATATTGCTGTGCATAAGATTTTGTGTCACTAAAAATGCGGACATCCATCCACAAAACCGACATCCTGGACCTACCAGGCAATTTTGCCACTGAACGGTAATATGATTCGGTAATATGCAGTATTCAGGTCGTAGACATGTGGGTAATGTAGGTAAAACAATGGCATAAACCACCCATGACTGGGAATGGTTTACATCCCACCTATAAACATGGTGAAATTGGGAATGGTTTATGATTGTTTTAATGACATTGTGTTTTTGTGCCACAAAGCTCCAGGAGATGATATGTTTACAGTCTACATAGGAACATACCCTGCGGATGGCTCCGAGACCATGGGATAGCGCGGGATCATGTGCAGCTTTACGGAAGGACAAAGGACCCGGAATGGCAACAACCAACAAAACCCCACCAACATGTTCTTTTCAACTGTATGAATGAAATCAATTTGAAATCATGCAAACCATGCAATCCCCTTCCTCTAGACATAATTTATCATAAACACTGCGAAGAAACAGTGATTTAGTTTTGAATCTAAAAACGCTATGGCCCCACCCCACTCATAGGAGTCTTGTGATGATCAAGGGATGACACTGAGCCACAGAGAAGTCGAAATTGTTGATGAAAACCCCATTGTTTGCCGGTGAAAATCACCATTCTTGCGCGTGTTGTTTGTCAAATATCCATTTTTGGGGTGAAAATCCAATTTTTCGCTGCTTCAACGGGTTAAGAATTGTGGACACTTCTCATCAGCTTGGTGCCGCACGCGCCCGGCACGGCCAGCCCGCTGGTTGGCGGAGGCTTTGGAGCAAGGCACCACAATCAACGACCTCTTGGCTTCGCCAGAAAGCGGTTTTGAGATCTTGCTGGTTCCAACAAACCCTGTGGGGTTTTGCAGTATATCAATGGATTGGTTTTCTTGGGAAAATCTTAACCGGAAAACCATGGTTTTTACCATCAAATTGATCGGGGCTTCCTGTAAATTGTCCCGTCATCCAATTCTGTGAATATAGTGTAAAGCAACAGGAATTTGAAACATTGATATCACCAAGACATGATGAGGTTGCAAACTGGCTGCGAAGCAACGAAACATGGTCGATCAACCACGAACAAATGGGGATATCACACCAACACCTGGTGATTTGGCCAACAAAACTAGGATGGGATGGCATTGAACCGGGTCGGCTAAGAATGATAAGGATTTCACATTCGGCAACCTCTAGAAGAAGTTGATCAATGGATCAATTGGTCCACCACTTCCGAGAATCCAAATGGCTACAATCTATGTGACTGGAGCTTTGCAAGGGTGACCATTTTTTGGTGATTTAATGGGGATTAATGGTGATTTAATAGTGATGAATGGTGATTTAATAGTGATCAAGCATTCAATGCAAATTTGCGGGCATGATTTAATCGTCTACTCTACGGAACCTACCGATAAGTATGATGGGAAATCTACAACCGCTAGACTCTAGAAATGCATCCTGAGGTCCAAAACTATCCAAAAATGTGATTCGATCACGTCTTCATTGCCATTTTGTTGGCCATGACATACAGCGCATACCTGTAGTTTGGTCGATGTGATGTTACACATATCTCTGATATTATCTGATTATATATATATACACGTAGATGTGGATGAGTAACAACATTTGCATGTGAAGGTTCATATAGCTCGCTACTGTCATGATCTGCTTGTACCTTCTGAACCACTGCACGGCAGGGAATCTCAGACTTTTTCTTGCCATTCTCCGCCATTCAGAACTCGAGTTGGAAAATGATACGAAAACGGGAAAAGTGGAAAGATTAGTTAAAATCATTTTGCACTCCTCGCTGGTGAAGGGGGCGCGGGTTGTTTCACCTTTAGGTGAAACCAAAGAGATTGGAAGTTGGACGTCACAGAAGTATCAGCTGGCAATGATATCATTAAGATACCCTCTCAAATTCTCTTAAATATCTTAAATGTACGATAAAGTAAATAGATTCAACATGTCTCAATCCATTTCACCCGGGCTTTGTTTGGAGGGTGTTTAAGGCAAGGTGGGAATGGAGTACCAAAGGCCGTAGCAAAGTAAGAGACGACCTACTACTTGTTTCCTTGGCTTAGAGCGCTATTGTTTGAAGATCGCCAGGGAATGTATCTGGGTAGATTACAATAATTCACAAACCTGAAAAGTTCGGCTATATTGGGATAACGCCTCTTACTAACCATCATTCCACTTAGGTGTGGTCAGAATGTCGCAAAATCCAAGGCCCAAAGGTAACCTGAAACCTATTGGTTCTGACCTTGCTGGCATTTGAGGGTATAAAACATGTCCATCCTGGTCATAGTACACTATGCTTCGTGCTTGCAGTGCATATATCATCGACATTTATCATGGATTCTACTATATGTTTTCCATAGTTCATGTGGATTTTCTCCGGGGTAAACATACAGAAAGATCTGCGGTTTACCCATGGTTTACCCAGGACCTCATCGGGATTCATGGTGGATTTTGTCCAACTTCAAGCCGGCTGCTGTACTCACGACTTGTCCTGCCGCGTTTCAAGCGGCGTCTAGATTCATGATGGGATCCCTAGGGTAAAACTGCTCCAAGATAGAGCAAAAACCCGTGAAAACCCATGGTTTCTGTAGGAAAATGGTCGACATTCACGCTGGGTCTGTACACATTTATGTTACTCTTGGAGGGCAAGTCATTTGGATAAATGGATGATAAATCTGCAAGAAGGGATGGAAACAGGAATATAGATTGAAACCAGAAGGGACCGCTTTTCAAAAACACACCAAGAGTGGGTTTTTGGGCAATTCAATGCAGGTTGCCTAGAACTGTAAATTGTAAATTGAGCTCTTGGGCAAGAAATACCCTCTGGTAATTTAACATAGTTTATAGTGGATTTTCCCATTAAAAATGGTGATTTTCAATAGCTATGTAAACGTTTACCAGAGGGTAATTGGTGAGTGTTTCAAAAAGCGGCAGTGGTCTCAAAGTTCGACCCGTTAATGGCTGAACTTGCCGGAAAAACAGCGAGTTAAACCTTCCCGTGTTTCACACGGGCCGTGGAGTTGTCTATTGTGATTTTCCTCGAATTCGATGAAAGATTTAGAAAACTATGATGTGTGGAGTTGTCTATTGTGGATCCCAAGAAAAAAAATGACCATACTATGTTGAATAATAGTATGTTAGAATAAAATGACCATAAATCAAGAAAAATCTATTGTGGATCTCTAGAATGGTTAGAATAATTATGAAATGGTGGACTTCAGGGTTTGCCACCTTTCCCCGCTGGATGGCACCTTGACCAAGGCGCCTCAGCGATGGGTGAGAACTATGCTTGACTTACCCTCTGGTAAACTAACGTAGCTATGGAAAATCACCATGTTTAATGGGAAAACTCACTATAAATGGCAATTTTCAATAGCTATGTTAGTCATTACCAGAGGGTATATCTAGATTAGGACAAGTAAGGACCATGATAAACCAATCATCATGCACTTGATGCACATTTCTTCGCCACACGGTCCTGTTGTTGTGTGTTTGTTCTTCACCAAATGCATTTCTTCAGAGGCACTTTGGGTTGAGATCCCTGACATAACTACTGCAGTTATCACTGGTGTTGTTTTGATCTCAGTTTCACCAAAGGGCTACCCTCTGGTAAACGTTTACATAACTATGGAAAATCACCATTTTCAATGGGTAAATCCACTATAAATCACCATTTTCAATAGCTATGTTAGTTTACCAGAGGGTATTTGTTGCTGGCCAATCAGCACTCACAAAACAAAGAGAAAGGGTCGTGCGGAAAAGGTGCAAACAACAAACAATCTTTAGGGCAAGAAAGTAAAAATGGGTATTCAAAACATCCACAACAAGCACGGGCATTTTTTTCCAAAAGAAAGACCATCGTCAGGTCGATTTTGGGACTTCCCAATTGTTGAAAACCCAAAAACTCGTCATGCCAAGCTTGAAACAAACATATCTCCTGAAAGAGAGGCACGTCTCCAGACCAACCCAATCATCCTAACCCACCAAGAAACATCTACAGACCCAGTCACCAATCATTATGAACATCTAAGGCCGAAGGCCTTCCTTTTCGAGGTTGTTCCCACAAGGTGGCTAATCCCGAGTTACAATCCACAAGGTGTGTAAAGCCCATTAACTATAGTTGTGCCCCCCATAAAACCGTCGAACCGTTTAAATATATATTATATATATATAACCATAGGTCCAGGCTTTCTATACCAACATTATAAAGTCTTATGTGATATCCATATCCGTAGTCACCACTCTTAAATCCATGGTGCTTTCCCCGGAGGATTCCACAGCATCAAGGAGCAGGTGAACTCCTTCACTTGCAGGACCTTTTGTCCGTCCACGAAGGCTGCACCGGTGATCTTCGCGATGCCCACCTGGTCACGGAAGCCAGGCATCTTTGATACTTCCAAGGTCTGATTTATAGACCAAAGGTCTTCTGAGGTTGTATCATGTTGTGTATATATATATGATTTGATATACTGATATATAATAATATACTGCATCTACAAAAATAACCCCCGCATCTTAACTCATCTTGACTCATTCCCAATTGATCCAGAATGGTTCGGCCTTCTCCCGGAACTTCTTCACCTCTACCTCCATGACCAGCGTATCACCTGGCACCACCGGCTTCCTGAACTTCACCTGGGAGGAGATGGATGCGGGGAGATGGCGATTTTTTGCCATGAGTTCACCTTTTGAAAAATGGGGATTTAACCAACAGAAATGGAGATTGATCTAGCCACTTTAGCAACAAAAACTGGGATTTTTGTTCGGGTTTCCCAAGTTAGAGGCTCTTGATCTTTGCTTGTTGGTTGCACCACCTACGGTTTTGGTTTGGAAATGGTGCCTTCAAATTTTCATGGTCTATCAATGTGTTCCCCATTGAAATTGCCATAAAAATTGAGCGGAAAATCCACAGATCTCACAGAATTTTCCTAGTGAAATTCCTATCCTTGATGATTTTACCTACTCCTCATTCATCTGGCTGAAATATATCAATTCACCAACCTGAAATGTGGTGATGTTTTTCTGGTAAGTCGTCGGCCGGTGAGGTCCCCACTTTTGTTGCTTCAGTCGTCCCCATGTCTGTTGGTTAAATCCCACTCTCTGTTGAATCTGTTGAATCATGTTGAATTCACATGTTCTTCCCTATTTTCAGTTGACAAAATTCCGAATCATATGCCATTAACACCTCGCAACCACCAAAGAGATAGGGTGTTCGGAAACGAGGAAATTATTCGGAAAGCATCCTCGCACTACCATCCTGGAAATAGCAGTCGCTCTTTTGGGGGGTGTCATCCTACTTAGAAACTGATGAGTCGCGGTTTACCCTCTGCGGAAAAAAAAAAAAAAAGTTTGCTATTGAAAATGGTTCATTCGGTTCGATCATCATAAATGATGAAACATACCACGAAAACTTTAGTGTTTTTCTCCATAAGTGAACTGTTAAAAATACCATGGAGAACATCATAAGACCAGAGTAAAAACACCATCTTTAATGACTACATAAAACCATCATTTTCCGTAGGCAACAAGAATATAAATTATGGTTTACCAGCATCATAGAAATTCCCACATGTCGATGGTCGCACCACCATTTTTCATGGATTCCTGGGTCGAGTCAAAATTGAGTACCCCAATATGGATCAATATGGGGGTTTCCTCAAAAAGGGGTACCCCTAAATCATCCATTTAAAAAAAGGATTGTCCATTATAAATTATAAATCAACCAGCTATTGGGGTACCCCCATGACTATGGAAACCTCGGAAAAAATGACTTCATAATCCAATCATCAGTGGATTTACCTATTATTATAAAAATATTTATAAATGGTGATTTACCCTCTGGTCAATGGGAATTTCAGGATCCTAAAATGGAGGTACCTACCATATATAAGGCCTATATAAGGGCTATGTAAGGGGATATCCCCCCCAAAATATGGCCTTATATGGTACAGTACCTCCATTTTAGGATCCTGGAATTCCCATTGATCTGGTAAACTATCACATGACATATTCCATTTGTGGATGGTTACCCAAAATCGACCAATCCAATCCTCCAATCCTGGTCGCCCAAAAGGGCCCCAGTTCCATCCAGTTCCCCAGTTCCTCCGGTCGCCACGGTACCCCATCGATGCCGGCGAAGAGCACCTGGTCCCCCGGCTGCATGCAGACCACGCCGGCCAGCTGCGCCAGGGCCTAGACTGGGGGATATCCATACCCTCAGGTGATCATAAAAATCGTGAGTATTACCCCAGGTATGATTACTTAATTCTCATTAGGAGTGAGTATTGATAGAAAATAAGACTAATAACAATGGTATCAATAATGGTGACTTAGTAAGTATATGATGATAATGAATAATAACAAGTATGTATGATGATAATGAATAATAACAAGTATGATCTATAGTTTGAACATATTATCTATCGTTGTTATAATCTGGATGATAATAGTGGATGATAATAACAATAGAGAATATAATAACTGATAGTCTGGAAGAAAAGTCAAAGTAACTCAACAAATTGAAGCATTAAATAAATCACTATATAGTAGATATATTAACTAGTATGGGTGCATTATATTACTGAAATTTTGAATGATTATATTCGACCATACTAGAAGAAATACTAAGGTCTACCAATATCCATACTAGTTATCTAATGTCTCAATATCAATGATAGTCCATCTCCTATTAGAAGCTACTATAGTAGCTTTGGAAAAATCATATGCGTTATCTGATTGTCAGAGGATTCCCAATATATATCAACCATCCTTCGTAGTTTTTTATCGGCTAAATCCACTTCTTTCCACCGGGGTGGTTAGTAAACTTCTTACTGAGTGTGATTAACCACCAAGTAGTAGAGGTATGATAATATAGGTATAATATAGCTATTTTGGTATGATTAACGGCCAAAACCCGGGGAATGCCCTGGTAAACACCAAGTAGTCGCTGGTGTTTCGCTGGATGTTCATGCCCAAAATGTGGCATTTCATAGGTTTCGATCGATCCAAAGCCATACAGATTCTCAGAATGATAATGGCTGCTACATTAGAATGGTAAATATAGCTGGATGTCATCATTTATGCAGTATTAAAGGCTCCGGTCTGTGTTTCACTCAAACATGGAACATCTTGATTTTAGCTCAACGTTTGGTTCTCAAAGCCCTGTTTTTCTTGGTTCGGTTTCCCTTTTGATTGTTCAAGTCTCCATTTCTATAGCTAAGAAACACGCAACACCGGGGGTTGACACAACAATTTTGTTGGTGCCATCAAGCCATCACATGATGTGGGGCTTCACGGATTGGCTGCTACATTTCTATGCATTTGAATAATATTGCAGTTTGTCTGGCATCATCTCGAAGTACTGACATAGAGGATCCTTTGGATGGTATGCGCCTTACAAAGTTCAGCCTGTCTCTCTTCCAGCATGGTGGCTTCAGACAAGACAAGCACGGAAAAACAAAAAAAACAAAAAGAAACTTCTTGATCATGTTCATAGCGTAGAAATTTGGACTGTTTTGGTAATTCACAGGGGTTCATATGTTTTTTGCCATTGGTGTGTCACCCGGTTCATCTCGGCTGACCCCTCTCGGCTGACCTCGACTTGCAGAACTCCGGGCATGATGGGATTGTCGGGAAAATGGCCTTCACTGGCTGCAGCCAGTCACCATTTCTCCATCCACCACTGGTTGGTGGTTGAGCCATCCCTCTGAAAAATATGAAAGTCAGTTGGGATTATTATTCCCAATATATGAAGAAAAAAAACATGTTCCAAACCACCAACCAGAAAAAGTGTGGATGGATTCACAACAAACAAAGCAGCTATCATGCATGTAGGAATTCAGAAGAAATGCATGGAGGAATTTAGAAGATGCTTTGAACCCATGAAAGCATTCGAAAAAAACGGCTGGACTATCATTGAATCATGGGAATGGATGAAATGGCCTTCAACTACCATTTGAAGCCACCAAATCAAACCACATTCTCAGTTGTATTGCTGAATCACCATCCCATAGGATCCATGGTGCTGGTATATATGCTAACATGACTGGGGTATATTAATGGGATCCATGTTACCATATATGGCAGCACCATGGATCCGTCATGGGCATTTTTCACAAGATCTCTTCCAGGTGAAACAACATGAAACGGTGCCATTTTCGGAACCCAGATTTCCGCCACCCGAAATAACCGACCTGTGAACTGCGGCTCGTTGGCAGTGATGTTCCTAGGCGCCCAGCCAGTGATGTCCGGACGGATCCATGGTGCTGCTATATATGGTGTGCCATGGATCCCATCTATATATACCCCCTTTATCTTAGCGTATATATCAGCACCATGGATCCGTCATGGGTTATGTGAATGAAACCACAAGCGACTCATAATTTAAACCTTCCATAAAATGGAAGATCACAATTATCATCTGCCAGTTATTGGACATCAACTATATAATCATGATTCATTATCCACCTAGAGAATCTATGAATGTCTCCCAGGACCGTTTTGTTTTTTGAGAACCCCCTAGCGGCTAAGCCAATACGAAAACTCACCAGCTGAGGCGCTTGATCCCAACGGCGCGTTTCATCTTCTCGAGGTGGATGACTTTGTCCACCAGCAGAAAGGGATATCGATGGGGCAAAATCTTCGCAATCTCGATGTTGTTCTAAGCGCGGCAGCCCCAGTAAGTTCAGGCTGCAGAGCTGTTTAAGGATCAAAAACAAGCAGGTCATTTGCAAGTAGAACAACAAATATCAACAAATTTTGGTTCAATCATTTTGAAATGTTGACCGCCATACCCAGGGAAGAAATTTTTAGGATCATCCTATAGGATGAAGGCGCCTGGGTTGGTGGTTTTTCGCCTGCCAGCCCTCCGAAAAATCATGGAGTGAAAGTCAATGGGAAGGATTATCAACCAGTTACAGTTTGTTTATGACCATAAACCCTGGATGAGCATAGTTGAGCTTGGCAGCTGGGCAAATGAACCAACTTACCTATCTTCGGGGCCCCACGTTGCAGTCAAAACACAACCATTCCAGCTCCCACGGACTCCGTCAATCCCGAGATGGTCCTCGGTTTGATTCAGATGGCCCACGCGAGTTATCATCCCAGCTACTATTTGGTTTAGATATTGCCTGAAAATGCTACAGGATGCTGATCCCTTCCGCAATTTTTGTGCAGTTCCCTCTGGTAATTGAAAGTTCGATATGGAAAATCACCATCGTTAATTGGTAAGCCATCGTACTAAATGGACCCTTTGTACCATGGCTATGTTGGATTACCAGTTACCAGAGAGTACAGTAGTTTATTATGGATCCGAAAATCTGATGGTTGTTGATTTTGTCAGGATGTTTGAAGCTGCTTTGATGGCTTCTCAATCATTCCGAATACTGATGGTGAAGTCTTTTGACGTACAATGGTCATGATAGTTTATATATATATATGTACCATTATGATCCATTATGTACCTACTTTCAGACAATCTTCCCTGACACTTGGCAATTTCACTTAGATGATTTCTCCGATTCAAAGTGGAGATTTCCCACTACATACTTTACAAGCAGAGATCCCCAGCTGGCTGAGTCGGTGAATGACCAGGCTTTTGCGGAAAACAGCATGCCTCACGGTCGCATTTTCTGGTTACACTACGTCACTGTCATAATTGTTGTGGTTATGTAGATTTCACCTGTTTGTTGGTCAGATTCGTTTTTTTCTGGTTTGATGGTGTTCAATATTCACTCTCCATCTTCAGGAAACCTTGGTCCATTTCCCTTCACCCACAACCCAGGTGATTTCATAATAGACCTCCCGAATTTAAGATGGAAGCTACAGTTGTGACCATGTCCAAGTGGCGCAATGAGTTTCCTGGGTGGTTTCGTTTCCCTTTGACACAATCTCTGCGTCAACAGGTAGCATCATCCCGTTTCCGTTGAAAAAAGATATTTGAAACCATCACTGTTTGTACCCATTGACAAAGTTTCAAATAAAACATGGAAGCCACGTCAATCTTGGCTGGTTCATGCGGCTTCCTAGTGTATGGATTCATGGACTAGCCCGCAATTCCTTGAACCAGACAGCATCACCCTATGACACCCCCCAAAGTATAATCATCGACTACTAGTAGTTGGCTGGGCACTGCTCCAATCGGATTTACCCATTAAACAACCCCATGTAAACGATGCTGAAAAAACCACATGATCCTCATAGTTTAAGCGTGTTTTTTTTTGCAAATCTTTTCATGGACAAAAAACTAAGAAACAAGAGGTTCAAACCAGTCCTGAATAGATGGTTATAAGATGTTAATGACGGTAGAATCAAATAGATATCATTTATATAAATACCTACCCTACGGTAAACTGCTGCAAAAAGATATAGAAAACCCTAGGTTTCCCGAAATGATCTACATTTTTGGTGGCCTTTCAACATCTGCGTTTTGTAAACGTTTACACATGATGGTAAATCTCATGAATCCTTGTATTTATAGTTAAATCCACTGTTAAATCAAATAAGTCCATCATGGTTGTAACCAGTTATAGAATATATCACCATTGAATCCCATCAAAAATCCCATCAAAAATCCCATCTTCTTCTTCTTCTGTGAGCTCCCCTCAGTCTAGGTTAGACTGCGCTCGGCGTGAAACTGAATTCTATGCAAACAAACCTGCCATGACCTGCCGCTACAGGCCGAAAAACCATCAAAATAGTAAACAAAAAACTGCAAAAATCATCAAAAATCATCAAAATCCCTATTGTATCTATTGTGTCTGGTTTTTTAATGGTTCAAAATTCCTCCCATTTTGCCCAGTAGCTTGGCATCACGCCACTCGCCCTCACCTGCCTCCTGGCTATTTTAAGGCTTTGCGGGTTAAAATCACCATGTTTAATAGGCAAATCATCAGAAATCATCTACAAATGGGTCAATTTCTATATGTATCCATATGTTAAATAGCCAGGAAAACCATGATCCTCCATAGAAACATCATGTTTTCGTTGGTTGGAGAGGGTAAATGGTGCTTCAGGACCATCATTGGCTGGAAAGTGCCACCGCACCTCATCCTTGCCGGCGCGCACCACTCGGGAACGGGTACCGCGGAGAGTGGACGTGCCCAGAGCAAGGGCCGCGGCACAAAGACCTGATGGCTAATCCGTATGGAAAACTGAGGTCATACCATATTATAAGTATATATAATATGTATAATATATATATACATACATATTTGTATATATATATATATTCGTATTTATCATTATATCATGGTACATAAATGTATAACTGGTAATCCTTATCAATATATCATATGGTATATCAATGTATATCCCATATCACTGGGGTACGATATGTTTAGTACGTCCGAGAAGATCAAACCTGGAGCCCTGGCAGGATATTGCCAGACCCGAAACAGGTGGTTGAGACCCGACTTGCCACGTGGCAATAAGGCGTACTTGCATCTTAAAATTTGGCAGTGCAACCGTCATCCAACTCTGAACTTCATTTAAAAAAAACATACCCTCTGGTAAACTAACATAACTATGGAAAATCACCATTTTCAATGGGTAAATCCACTATAAATGGGCCATTTTCAATAGCTATGTTAAATTACCAGAGGGTAAATAACTCTTTCCAAACATTTCCAAACCATAGCCTCAGCTTCCCATGGCTTCCCACATCACCTTGCGATCCGAGTTGCCCAAGGGTGCCCAGCTGCCACCGTCCAGCGCGGCCTGGCTCCGTGCTGTGCCCGAGGCCTGGCTCCGTGGCGCCACGGCGCCGCGGCCAACCGAGGGTGCCACGAAGCCCAGCCCAGCGCCCAGGGCCGTCAGCGCCAGAAGCGGTCGCGCCATGGTCGCCGGTTGGTTGGAGAAAGGGCCGGCCAACTGAACCACGGACCACGGGGCCACAGGTGGAGGCAAGGTCTCCTAAGGTCCCAAGAATATGGGGATAGTATAGGACAGTATAAGCCAGTTGAGAACCTAATTAGTTCATAAGACAGATCTAATAATTAAATATAATTCATAATTGTTTTCAGGTACCCCCCAAAATGGGAGACTTCCTAGAACCGATGACACAACATGACCCAACCAGGATCACTGAAGCAGTTCACCATGGAGCTGGGATCCCTGGGATCCCGAGCTCCATTCCTGTCCGCGGATTGAAGGAGTTCTGCTTGCAGAAGCCCGGATCGATCACCTCAAGGCATACGAAGGCATATGAAGGCTCAAGAGAACCCAGGCTGGATGACCAGTACCAGAAATATATTGATGAGCTGTATGATTGCATAATAATATTGCGTATTTCTCATACATAACCTCTACATACCCCTACTATCCGCCGTGTACAGTCTTGTGGTGTCTTGTGAATACCTTGCAAACTTGCATGGTAAATCTCACTAGCGAATGATGCTAGGGGCACGAATCTAAAACCAACCCAAGAACTGAACTGTCCAGTTCAAAGCCCACCTTACATTTAGTATACTTGGTATATGAGTGCTGCATGTTTGCACTTCATTTAGAATATCCAATGTTGCAAGTGAGAATGCTGGATAATGCCAGAATGACCATGCCCTCCACTTCAAGGCACCAGCTGATGGTGGTAGAGGGTTCCACAACATCCTACATCTCAACTTATTCACCTTCATACCTTCCATGAGGAATGCCCCTGCTGTAGACAGCTGCGTAGACAGCCGAGCAGCAAAAACAATGTTGTCAATGGTGATGGACGTTTCCGCCTGAGAAGTCCAGTCGATGCTTCTGTTCACAGAAGCCAAAATCCATCAAAAACTGAGATGGGGATGGGTCAAAACCCTATCCCCCTGGTGAACATCAAAATAGCTGGTAAATGGATGTTCATCCCCCTAAAAATGGTATTAATAGGTATTGATCCATAGCCAGATCTGTTTTCAACTTCTTGTCCAGGATTGTGCCCGTTGAGATCTGCAACCAATTTTGGGGGGTCCCAGACTTCAGGATGGGAGGCTCGCTGGGTCGTGAAACCTGGGAACCCTATCTATAGTAACCAGATCCCCAATTCTCCATAGTGCTTGCCAACATTTACTCGCTAAGTTGACCCACATCTAGGGAAATAGTCATAAATCTTCCAGATTTAGCAGCCGTGTGCATGTCATGGAAGGTCACCAATGTAACGTTTCGCACGTGCCATACCAAGATACAATGTTGGTCGCCAACACCACTTTTCGCCTCAGAGTCCATCTTTCAGGGATTCCATTCCAGGAGAGTCATCTTCCACCATCTTCCACCAAAATGCCACAGAGATATCACATCATGTGGGTAAAACAATGCCATAAACCACCCATGACTGGGAATGTTTTATACCACCTATTTATGGTGATTTGGAGGATGGTCTATTGTTGTTTTACCCGCATTAAATGAGTAAACAATTTAGATGATGAATCGAATACTGTTGAACAACAGTTGAACAACATGCCATAGAGATCAACATGTTCCCCACTGTTCCCAGTTAAGTGCATGATGGACTCACCATTCGACACAATCAGCCGCAATGGCAAGGGGAAAGTTCTTTCAGATGTGTCACTGGTTGGTGAGGACATGATCTGAAAAGACCATACGGAGCTTAGACTTACCATCTGGTTATGACTAACATAGCCATGGAAAATCACCATTTTTATTAGGTAAACCATCTATTTCTATGGGCCATCTATACCATGGCTATGTTAATCATAACCAGAGGGTAGACATCATGATTAGAGCTCTTTTCCTAAGAAACGAACTCTCTTCAAGGATAGCCAGCATCGAATGCAGATTGCGATCCCATGGAGAAAACTGACCCTGCGAATTTGTCTCAAATTTCCCGGGCCACATTCTGCCAAGGCCCATGCAGCTTCATAATTTTTAAGACTGGATCTTCTGAAGCTAATTCGTACAGTTCACTTGTCATCTCAATATCAAGCTCATCATCGACTAGTCGACTGTTTGATGTCACAAGATCGGCCATCTTGGTTTCTTGGTACTTAGAAAACCTGATTTTGTATTGGATCTATTCGTTTTGGATCCCATATTACAACAATATAATAGGAGGATGGGGATGGGATTGCATATGATTTACAGTATCATTGATTTCTCATCTGTATCATCTATATGACAGGCCAGATCCCCAATCTTCTCTCCCCTTCTTGCAGATTTGCTATCCCCATAATGGTTACCATCCGGTTATCACAAGTGGCTAGCTGGGAAATCCCCTACAAGTAGCGGTGTCAATGAAATAGGTACCCTCTGGTGAACTAACATAACTATGGAAAATCACCATGTTTAATGGGAAAATCCACTATAAATAGCCATTTTCCATTGCTATGTTAAATTACCAGAGGGTATGTCCCACATGTTTTCGTGATAACCTGGGGTTTTGACGTTTACATGTGGAAAAGCCACCAGAAATGTAGATGTTCCCAAGGGAAACCGGGAGGGTTTTCCACATCCAGGCTTCCAGACGCTCCAGGGGGTGTGGCTTCAAAGATCTTGGCCTGGAATCATGGTGAATGGCACCACCCATAGGTATCAAAAAGTGCTCATTCAGCTCTTGGAAATTCTGGGAAACATATAGAACATACATAGAAAATATACAATATATATATATGTAAATATATATATAATGAACATATATAGTATATAGAAATATATGAATATATCCATAGAGACCGGTATCCACACAATGTCCCCAAAGGTTCAGCAACACAACGCCGCACAATGTCCCGCAATCGCAGCTTGGCATCTTTGGCGACCCATCGCTGCGCAACGAGTGGAGGTCGCCCCTCACATTCCGGCGAGCACCGTCTTGGCGCGGATCAGATTTTCCTTCTCCTCCTTGGCTCGAAGAAAGGGACGCCACCGTACGGAAAATCATAAGACAAAAAAAGGGCCGCCCAGTAGCGGAAGAAAACCGAAAAAATGTATAAACATGTTCCAAAGTGTGGTTCCACATTTGCACCATGTTGGTAGACTCGGAGTCTTGTGGGAGAGCCTATGTCGAAGGAATTGGAACTCTTCCCCAAACCCATTGCAGGAAACACTGAAGACGCGAAAAAACACAGCAGGTCTCCATCACTGTTTGACTGACTCAAAACAAGGGAATGTCTGACCCAACCAACAAGTTCCGTGATTCGAGGCCTTACTTTCGAATAGAAACTGATTCGTGTTATTATTTTTTTCAACATGTTGCCATTACAAAGGAAGCCTGCAGCTTTAGAAATTCTGACTATGATTGTGATCGAAAAAAATAGAAAGCATCTACGACTGAGACATCATCACTTCTTGTTTCAGGAGTTTCCCAGCTACTTGGTATTTGATTTGTTCACCTTGGATATGCAGAAACCAATCAACACCTACAAAATATGGCATTTCTACTACCCGTATGATCAGATGCATGGTTTATATTCACCAACATTTACCCCAACAAATAACCCCGCATCAAAGGTAGTATGTATAAATACAATGTGTATATACACTATATTGTATACTACTTATATGTATATTATGTATATATATATATATTATTATATTAAATTACACTATGCAGAAATACACCATACATGGAGTATATACACGGGAGCCAGGAAACGCTGCGGGCTTCCGCGCGGAGGTCGAAGTTTTGCAGGAGCCAGTCACACTCCTCGAGCAGCGGTCCCATGGTCCCTTTGAGAATACGGAATACCCCTCCAGCTATGACAGTTTTAGAACATCTTTAAATTTTAGAAAATGATGAACCACCTGCAAAAAATGCGGTTTTCCCTAAATTGTCAAACACACACAGATTTAAAAAAAACTGCTCACTCTAAGACTCTAAGAGCCATATAGTGGGGATTGTTGGGCTATAAAAACCAATCAACATGGGTTCCAACATGTTCCAAGCAAAAGTTCTTCGGGAAAGCTGGCTTTACCAATCCGAGTCCTGGTGCAAATTCGAGGCAAATTTGCTGGTGGCCATCAAGTCCTTCTTTTTGCCCTGCCATTCTCTGGTAAAATCACGCTAAGGCTCCAAAAAAAAACAAGACTGGGGTAGGAAGATTTAGGAAGATTGAGCATGTTATGTCATGTTTAGTCTTTACAATGACCTTAGAATCTTTAGTGGCCTATATCTATGGTTGTTGTGGTAAGGATGTCGGTCGAGTTTGGAGTATCAGGTAGTATTCTGGACCCACTGAAGGTCATGATAAGTTTGGGGAATCGATTGGAGACGGTGATGTTGCTTGGGGACCTGGGGATGATATCACTGAATCTACAAATATAGACATAAGATGTCACCAGATATTGTCATTTGACCCAACAAAAGCCCTAGGAATATGCTAAGTACAACAACTGGTCGACCGCTGAGCTGTCCTGCTGAAGAATATGCTTGTCATTTTGCGGATCATCATCCCATATTTAGGGCTCAACAGAACATATTCTTGAGACCGCAAAACCAAATAATGTGACCCCATGTTTTGGGAAAACCTAGTGCTCTAAATATGGGGTACCATTTAAAAAAAAGGAACGACGGAATCACCTGTGGCGGCACATCTCCCGAATCATCACCAGGGCTTCTTCCATAATCTTGGGTTTACATCACTCAGGATACTCAAAGTGCAAACATCTGAATGATTAATCATATTCTTAATGTGTAAACAAAATTTTGAAGTACAAATACTGGTTGGTGGTTTCAGACCCTCTGAAAAACCGCCAACCAGAACATCATTTGAAAATGCTCCGCGCTCCGCATGAATGGTCCAAAACCACAACCCAGAGGGAAGTTTCCAATCTCTGAGAGAAGTCCGTAGCTGTGTTCAGGCCCTTCGGGCCCCATATTTTTGACAGGTCAAATGTGGTAAAATGATGGTAAAATGTGGGTTCCAATGGTAAAACCAGCATACTTTATGCTTTCTACCAACCTGAGTCCATTTTGTGCGCCTGTTCACCAGTCAATTTACGATGATTTATGCAAATTGACTAGTTAAGACTCATATTTTGTTGTTTAAACCACAATCTTTGACGGATATTTATCCCTATCCGTCCAGTCGGTTGGTTTACCCACATGTTGATGTTACATCCCCATTGATACTCCATTCAAATACCAATACAATTCCATGAAATCCCACGATAATTCCCTTGAATCCTATCTTAATTCAAAAAAACATCCCAGTTCATGGTAAAATCCTTGAGTCTACTACTCAAATCCCCATCTTCACCGAAAAAAGAGACACCATTTCTGGCGCTGCCCCTGCCGCCTGTTTGTCCGTCTTGTCGTCGTTGAGGTCCGTCTCCAGGTCTGCCTTGTCCTGGGACTTCTGCGCCACCAGAGCCAGGTCGGCATCGCGTTTCTGAGCGGCATCCTGGTATCAGATGGAATGGTCCATGGTGGCATCATGTTACATAGAATGCATATATATATACGTATATATATATATATAATATCTTAATATTTGTATATATATATACACATATACATGTGTGTGTGTGTCATAATCGGGGTTACTATACTATATCCCCCTTCTTATCACATTCATTCACATTAATTCACCGTTATATTCTACTATATTCATTTTTTTTGCTTGGTGATATATCCCATGATCTTCCTGCTGTATCTCATCAACTCACCATTCATTATCTCCCATGATATGCCTCATTAAATCACCATTTTAGTTCCCATTATATATATATATATGTATATGAATGTTGGTGATTATTATATGAATGTTGGCGATTATTGCTATTCATATATCCAAAATTACTATCAACATCAACAATCATCCCATTCCACCGTTCCCTAGTAAGAGCACCCGTAAGAATAGGATACGTTGCTCTTGAATCGCTTATTAGTGGTGGCTGGTGTTTATAAGAAACATGAATAATAATAAGACACCATAAATAATATCTGAAACAACCGAAAAAACTCTTATTAGGAATTACAGTATAACTAGCTGGATATTAGAGCTTATAACCTCACCATTAACAAAAAAAACCTACAACAACAACGCCACGCAGCACGTTGGTTATGGCTGTTTCGTCGTCACCGGAGGACTCGGTTCACTCCGCGCCTTGATGGTCTCCTCATAGTCCGCCTGCGCGTTTTTTTCCTCACTGCTGGCCACGGCCATCTCCTTCTCGATGTCGCTGGACAAGGTGTCGATCATCTTCAGGACACCTACGGTTTGAGTCAAAACCCATTTTGGAAAAACACCATGAGAAAATCATGGGAAAATGGGGAAAAAACATGATTTTTGGAAAACCATGGGAAAATGATGATTTCATTGAATATTATAATGGGATGTTACCATTGGAAAACTCGCTTCATACCACTTTAGCAAGCAGATCTTCAGGACACCTGGAAAATCATGCAGGTGCACTGAGAATTTCACTATCAAACACTGACATGTTGTTTTTTTTTTCACCATGAAAATTGGAACAGATTAGAATGCAAGGTATGATGAGAGTTTTCTCTTGAGTTTCGTAAAGACGGCATTCTAGGGTTTCCTGAAATTTGCAGCTACACCCAGGCATCATCTACAGCAGCCCTGGCCCTCATGTGGCCATGAGGGAAGATGATGGTGAACCACAAGATGTTGGGTACCTGACGCCCCATCTTCAGAAAAACCTAAATCGTATTAAGTTGGTTGGTTGTATACATATATATATAGATATATACATGTGTATATAAACATATATATATATGTATATACACATACATATATATATATATAGATATATATATATATAGATATATATATATATATATGTCCCAGTATATCCCCGTTTTTTGCTAGTTAAATCCCCATCAAATTGATGGTAGCTTAAACTTCAGATTGCCAAGGCTCCATTGCTCTCCTGGGTCTTCTTCTCATAGCCTCCCTCGAAAGTGGGTGGTTTTTGTCCCTTGATCTCCAGCAGGGCATAGGGATCGTAGGGGCTCTTGGTTGTGGTCTCTGGCACCATGCTGGGGTTGTAGACCTGGCGCAGATCTGGGGTCGATGGGGTCCTCAAGTTGTGATGCAAGAACAAAGCCATCAAGATGATCAAATAATCAAACATTGTACTTTGATCGTTTTCCTCCATGCAAGGAGGACACAGATGTATATATAATATCTATATAGTATGTATATGTATATATTGTATGATATGTATGCATGTGTATATATATATACAATATATATATATACAATATATATATATATATATATATACAATATATATATACAATATATATATATACAATATATATACAATATATATATACAATATATATATATACAATATATATATACAATATGTATATATACAATATATATATATATTAACATATGTGAAATAATATGTATATATATATGCATATATAAATATGTACATAGATGATCTCCATCCCACCATCATCTTGCCTTATTGAGGCGATTTCGCGCTAAACTCAACAGATCCAACGCCGCGGAATTGGACGAGCTGCTCTCCTCCATGGGACCATGGGATGATGGGATAGCATTACTGGTTGGTTTATAAATGGCATCTATAAATGATGGTTAATGATGGTGAATGATGGTTAATGATGGTTAATGATGGTTAATGATGGTTAATGATGGTTAATGATGGTTAATGATGGTTAATGATGGTTAATGATGGTTAATGATGGTTAATGATGGTTAATGATGGTTAATGATGGTTAATGATGGTTAATGATGGTTAATGATGGTTAATGATGGTTAATGATGGTTAATGATGGTTAATGATGGTGAATGATGGTTAATGATGGTGAATGATTAATGATGGTTAATGATGGTTAATGATGGTTAATGATTAATGATGGTTAATGATGGTTAATGATGGATTAATGATGGTTAATGATGGTTAATGATGGTTAATGATGGTTAATGATGGTTAATGATGGTTAATGATGGTTAATGATGGTTAATGATGGTGAATGATGGTTAATGATGGTGAATGATGGTTAATGATGGTTAATGATGGTTAATGAAATGATGGTTAATGATGGTTAATGATGGTTAATGATGGTTAATGATGGTTAATGATGGTTAATGATGGTTAATGATGGTTAATGATGGTTAATGATGGTTAATGATGGTTAATGATGGTTAATGATGGTTAATGATGGTTAATGATGGGTAATGATGGTTAATGATGGTTAATGATGGTTAATGATGGTTAATGATGGTTAATGATGGTTAATGATGGTTAATGATGGTTAATGATGGTGAATGATGGTGAATGATGGTGAATGATGGTGAATGATGGTTAATGATGGTTAATGATGGTTAATGATGGTTAATGATGGTTAATGATGGTGAATGATGGTTGATGATGGTTAATGATGGTTAATGATGGTTAATGATGGTTAATGATGGTTAATGATGGTTAATGGTGGTTAATGATGGTTAATGATGGTTAATGATGGTTAATGATGGTTAATGATGGTTAATGATGGTTAATGATGGTTAATGATGGTTAATGATGGTTAATGATGGTTAATGATGGTTAATGATGGTTAATGATGGTGAATGATGGTGAATGATGGTGAATGATGGTGAATGATGGTTAATGATGGTGAATGATGGTTAATGATGGTTAATGATGGTGAATGATGGTTAATGATGGTGAATGATGGTGAATGATGGTGAATGATGGTGAATGATGGTGAATGATGGTTAATGATGGTGAATGATGGTTAATGATGGTTAATGATGGTTAATGATGGTTAATGATGGTTAATGATGGTTAATGATGGTCAATGATGGTTAAAGATGGTTAATGATGGTTAATGATGGCTAATGATGGTTAATGATGGTTGATGATGGTTAATGAGGTTAATGATGGTGAATGATGGTTTATGATGGTTAATGATGGTTAATGATGGTTAATGATGGTTAATTATGGTTAATGATGGTTAATGATGGTTAATGATGGTTAATGATGGTTAATGATGGTTAATGATGGTTAATGATGGTTAATGATGGTTAATGATGGTTAATGATGGTTAATGATGGTTAATGATGGTTAATGATGGTTAATGATGGTTAATGATGGTTAATGATGGTTAATGATGGTTAATGATGGTTAATGATGGTTAATGATGGTTAATGATGGTTAATGATGGTTAATGATGGTTAATGATGGTTGATGATGGTTAATGATGGTTAATGATGGTTAATGATGGTTGATGATGGTTAATGATGGTTAATGATGGTTAATGATGGTTAATGATGGTTAATGATGGTTAATGATGGTTAATGATGGTTAATGATGGTTAATGATGGATTAATGATGGTTAATGATGGTTAATGATGGTTAATGATGGTTAATGATGGTTAATGATAAATGGTTAATGATGATGGTTAATGATGGTTAATGATGGATTAATGATGGTTAATGATGGGTGAATGATGGTTAATGATGGTGAATGATGGTGAATGATGGTGAATGATGGTGAATGATGGTTAATGATGGTTAATGATGGTTAATTAATGATGGTTAATGATGGTTAATGATGGTTAATGATGGTTAATGATGGTTAATGATGGTTAATGATGGTTAATGATGGTTAATGATGGTTAATGATGGTTGGTGGAATGATGGATGGTGAATGATGGTTAATGATGGTTAATGATGGTTAATGATGGTTAATGATGGTTAATGATGGTTAATGATGGTTAATGATGGTTAATGATGGTTAATGATGGTTAATGATGGTTGATGATGGTTAATGATGGTTAATGATGGTTAATGATGGTTAGTTAATGATGGTTAATTAATGATGGTTAATTAATGATGGTTAATGATGGTTAATGATGGTTAATGATGGTTAATGATGGTTAATGATGGTTAATGATGGTTAGTGATGGTTAATGATGGTTAATGATGGTTAATGATGGTTAATGATGGTTAATGATGGTTAATGATGGTTAATGATGGTTAATTAATGATGGTTAATTAATGATGGTTAATTAATGATGGTTAATGATGGTTAATGATGGTTAATGATGGTTATATAATGGTTCATAATGGTTATATAACCATCTTGTCTATTTATATTGGGTTATACTAAATATGTGATGTGATGATGGTTATCTATACCATAGAAATATAGATAATCATCTATTGGGATACCATTACTGGCTTGTGGTTTCAACCCCTCTGAAAAATATTAGACTTCGTCAGTTGGGATGATGACATTCCCAATATATGAAAATATGATCACTTTTCATCTGTATCTTTACATTTGATTTACATATGTTATATATTCTGGTTGGTGGTATACCTACCCAAACTATCCCAAACTTATGTTCCAAACCACCAACTAGATTATGTAGTCAATATAGCGATAGAAATGATCTATATTTATATAACCATGGTATCACCCGGTTACAATCTAGATATCTATTTTTTCGGATAGAAATTGCCGTTGCGGCTTCGAGCCATCGTGGCTCAAGGCAGGTCCCAAGATTCGAGCCATTTTCACCCTTGGGTTTCGAGGTTCAACAAAAAATCTACAAGTGGAATGGTTAATACCATTCAATAAGCATGGAAACATCCCCAGTTATAGTTGATGTTTTCCATTAGACCCTCCATTTAAAGGGGATTTCCATGGATTTCCCATTTACTGTAGCTGATGGCCCTGGATCAAAATTTATGAAATTACCTGAAATGACTGAGGAATAAACGTCCAGAAATCCCAGCGAAAAAGGGCAAACAAACCCGACCATTTAGTTCGGGGATTTCCTATTATGGCTATGGCTATTTTTATGGATATCTATTAGGCTTCTTTGTCCAAATAGTTCTATGTTTCTCTATGGTTATGGCTTGTATTTCCAAAGATGTTCCATAAAACCATCCATTTAGTTCGGGGATGTCCCTTTCATATTGGGTTTCTATTTATTATATATTGTATATATAATTCATATGTATTATGTATATATGTGGCTTAAATTTCGATAATTTCCTATATATTCCTATGTTTTTCTTATGGTTTTTCAACATGTTTTCACCTGCCTGAAACTCCGCATGCTCCGCTTGCCGGTTCTTCCCGGCCGTGCTGACGCTGTCGTCCAAGGACTTCACGCCCGACTGCAACGCAGTAATGTCCTGGGGAAATGGGGAAATGGGGAGATCAGCAGATCTCAGTGTGAAAATCTGGTGATTTAATGGTGATTTAATGGTGATTAATGGAGGTTAATGGAGGTTATTAATGGCTAATAGTGAATTAATGGTGATTTACCCTTTGGTAAACGTTTACATAGCTATTGAAAATGACCATAGAAATAGTGGATTTTCCCATTGAACATGGTGATTTTCCATAGTTATGTAAGTTTACCAGAGGGTAACTAGCAAAAATGACGATTTTAACAGCAACAAATAGGATTCAACTAGCAAAAAATATGAATTTTACAGAAGCAACAATGAGGATTTAACATGATTTGACTAGCAAGAATTACGATTTCACCAGCAAAAATAGGATTTAACTAGCGAATAGTAGGGACTCGAAGGAGCAACATTGGGGATAGAGTCAGCAAAAGTGGTGAAATGTCTAAAGTTTTTGAAGTCCTCGCCGTTTTAGCTTACAAGAGGATTCTGACCCAAGAAGAAGTGATCATGACCAACCTTGGATGCGCTGAAAGATAAACAGGAAACCGTGAAGAAAAAGCATTCAAAAATAAGGGTGTCTTGTAGGTTTCCCCTAGACCTATATCTGGAAAACCATGGGCTATTGAGTAACCCAAATGGCAAACTATAGAGAATTGGTTTCCGAGATCCTTAAAACACCGGCATTGAATGAAGCCACGGCCAAGTTCGACTCGAAAAACATATCCATTCAGCAGCAAGATATCTTAATCACTTTGGATTTCCACTGGGAGGCTCTGGAGGATGGAATGTCATGAACAATAAAATGGATTCCAGGGTCCGTTCAGCCAGATTTTTTTTCGTTATCATGATAGCTGGAATTCATGGATGTTCATCCACCTAAGAACTGTAATTTGTACCTACAATAGACCCTCCGAGTACACATAAAGATGGGTCAGACGGTCAAAGTACTACTTTTTCTAGGGTAAACTAGAATAGTCTCATGGCTACTTGGAGGGTCTAGCTGCCTCGCTATTTCTCCATCCCCACGGGCCCCATATCTCAAAACCACCGACAGCGCCTCAGATAACTTTCCGATGGCGTCCTTCTTCTCCACGACACTGGCAGTCCTAACAGGGACAGGATGTGCCGTCCGTGTCCAACAGGGCCAACTTTCCAAAGGAAAAACCACGTCCATTCTCCCAAAATAAAGATAATAAACAGCGTTGCAATGTCAAATCAAGCATTTGCAAATGATTTCAGATAATTGATTTGTTGAAACTGGTGAATAGTGGTTTTAAAAAATCAAAGCTTCCCGGTTTGCAGATTCGATCCGAAATGGATGAGTCCATGTAATCTAATCATCCCAGGACAAGAACAGGTCACAAACCTTGGTCATAGACTACCAAACATGTTGCTTTGTCCAAAACTGATTAGACACAATGAGGGATCCATAATCACCAGTAGTAATCATCCCAGCAACCCCCAGCAACCCATCCAGCAACCCTACTATTGAAGAGTCATGGCCATCCCAGCACTTCAAGACAAGCTCAGATTCCTCCGGTTCCAAGCAACTCAACTGGGGTCGTCGAAAAATGGCTTGCGACAAACCACAGCTTTTTTTGAATGGGAAAATCATCGTGATGATCAAGCATCAAAATTAGGGGTCCCCTATTTTCAGACAACCCCATATGTGTATATATATATACCCATAGGATCCACGTATGGTATATATGCTAACATTTGGGGTATATTGATGGTAAAATATGGTAAATGTTACCATATATAGCATACATGGATCCTATGGGATATATATATACCCTATGGTTATTTAACAGTTCGCCATGCTATAGATGGCCCATAGAAATAGATGGTTTACCTATTAATAGCATGGTGGATCTTTCCATGGCGAACTGTTAGTCATAACCAGATGGTATATATCTAATGAATATTTAGATTAAGCATCATTAACCAGCCATTTTTTCGGGTAGGCTGGTGCTTTGTGTTGTGTTTTTAACCATCATACCCTCTGGTAAACTAACATAGCTATTGAAAATGGTCATTTATAGTGAGTTTTCCCATTAAAAATGGTGATTTTCCATAGCTATGTTAGTTTACCAGAGGGTAACCATCATGAAGCAGCCATTGAGCCAGCCATTGGCAGCCCAGCATCAGTGTCTTGATCTTGGACTCCAAGGACTTGGTCTTCTCCGCTACGCCATGGAACTCCTTGTTGCAGTACCTGCCACCGGCCACCCAGCCACCCGAAACAAGGTACTTCAATGGACCAAGTGTGGAATATATTTGGAAAACATGATGCACACTACTAATATTCACTATTATAATATATATATATGAGTATATGTGGTATATGTAAAGTTTTATACATACTAGAAAATAAATTTATGTATATCCAATAATTATATGTTGTTTGAAACACTTCTATGGTCGATATTGGATATGTGGCTGTGATTTCTGATCTATGTCTGCTTGAAAAAGTGGGCTTTGATGCTCCCCGACTCTCCGAAGGTCGGTCGACATTACCCCCGAAACAATTGAATTAGTCTAGGGATACAAACCAGACGAAAACATGTACCAGCTGTTTAAGAACAACAAATGCAGATCAAAGAATTGCTGAAAGTAGACCAACCAAAAAAACTGAAGCGCCAAAAAATGCCAAACACTGGCAGTATTATGTATTCTTATATAACGATTCCCCCCGCGAATCATCTTGGTGTATGGATTCAGCTCCGTTGTTTGATGGTCGTTGCTCCAAGGCACTCCTTCTTGGACTTGTCATCCTCAGCCTCCTGCTTCAACAAAGCCACCAGGCCATCGATCTTCTCCAAAATCTTGGTGAAATCCGCCTCAACATGCGGCAGCAGGGCGAGCAGCATCAGGTTTTTTACAGGGGGATTCAACTGGCAAAAATAGTGATAGATATGGGAATTAAATGGAATTAATGAGATGTGCAACATGATATTGAACCAACTCACCAACTCAATGTGATTTGGGTATGTCTGAAATTAGGGCTATACTCCAAAGGTCATCTAAAATATCCCATATGTCTTTCGGCTTCATGCGCTGCAACCATCTTCAGCCCCCCATTTGAGCAGTTCCCCGGGCCACCCTCAGTATGACCCCGGCTCGTCAGTAGGGGTCCCATAGGACAACTCATCAATAATTGGTTGATTTCATCCCAGCCAAAAAATCGTCAATTTATGTCAATTTGGATCATCAATCCCAACTAGTTGGTGGAAAGCAAGAAAAGACCGAAACCAGCAACCAGATAACCAACTTAGCCAGAACAATTGGCCAGATGTTCATCGCTCATGTGCCCCAACACCAAGGCACCTTCTTCCCACTGAGCGCCAGTGCCAAAAAGTTCAGCTCCGGCTGCGCAGCGAGGGCGTCCTTGGCGTCCTTGGCGCCAAAGGCCTGAGCCGCCTTGACGAGGTCCAAGGCCTCCGTTGACACGGGATCTTCCGAAACAGTTCCGTTCAGTTCTTCATGTGGCTGTTTTTAGCTCCATTTATGCCAAGGGCCCCCAAGTGTCAAGGTATAGTAAAGGTCCGTATCCTATAGTTGTTTTTGTTTCGACATCCTCATCCTCATGTTTTTTCCGAACAGTGAACAAGAATTATCCAGAAATGCTGCCACCCATATTGTGATTTGCATAAAGGAGACATCCCCATGACTTTCAAAGGAAAATCACCTACAAGGTGCTGCCTCCCAGTTATGGGTTCTTTTACAAACCCCAGTAACTATAGATATATCACCCACACACCATAGTTAAGCTACTTATAAAGCAACTTTGCTAACGAACTGGGGCACCACCAACTGTATAAATCTGGGTAAATTATAATATTTCACTAACCTGAATTAAGGCCATTTTGGGATGATTTCCCTTACTAACAATGATTCCAGTGAGGTCGTAGTGAGGTCGTTATAATTTACCCAGATAAATGGTGGAACCTTTCCCAAGCTTGGCCCAGCGCCGCCTTCTGCACTTTGTCGCGGCCGGAGAACTGGAGCAAGGCCGCACCGCGCTTGCGGAAGAGGTCCAGGGAGGCGTCAGAGTTCAGCAACTTGATGGTGTCCTGCCACAGATGGTTGGTACCAGCTTTTGAATATCCAAAAAAACGTGGTTTTAATGTGTTTTAAACCTTCATAAATGATGGTTGCTTATATATATATGTATATATATATATATTTGTATATATATATATGTATATATATATATTTGTATATATATATATTTGTATATATATATATATCTATATATATTTGTATATATATATATATCTATATTTGTATATATATATATATGAAATGGTTCCATACTGTTCCATTCTACATAGATCAATATGCAATGTGGGGCCCCACATTGAATAGGTTCTTGATGGTTTATAACTCCAATGATTGATGGATTTATAGTGGAAATAACTATAGTTCAATGGGTTTATAAGCACCTTATACCTGAGGGGGTCCACTTTATGGTTTTAATTGCGAAAATCTTGACCGGAAATCATGATTGTTCCAATCAAATGTGGGGTGGTCGGTCTTAATTTCCCTTCACTCAATTCCCCAAAATTATGATCCTTCAGATTAGTACATATCAGAGCTGTGATTCTGTTTTCCAACCCAGTTACCGACCATTTGGCTACCACTTCAGTTGGTATATCCAAGTACAGACATTTATCTCCACCCGGAATCTTAGCTACCTAGCAGTTTCGTGTTCCTTCTTAGCTAGGCAATCTATATTCCCCGGTATATCAAAAGGCCACTACCCAGTCAGCGCGCTAGATCTAAGATAGATCCTCTGCTCGCGAATGGACAAACCGACATTCACTGATGATAAAACATCATCATTGTACGAAAATGATATGAGTGACCACTTGGAAAAAGGTTGAAATATTATGAAATATTGCACTTCCAATGATGGCTTGTGATGGTGAACTATCTTACCAATTATATGAATTTTGGAGTTGCTTAATGGGCCTCATGTTTTCAAATATTATATATATATCTATATATATATATACAGTGGATTCCCCTTTCATGGTAGATCAATCCGTGAATTAAATACAAACAACATAGCCGTGGTATAGATGGCCCATAGAAATAGATGATTTTCCCAGCTAGAAACCTCCATTTATAAGGGATTTTCCAGTTCGCTATGTTAGTCATAACCAGATGGTATCATGCTTCATATCCTCATGATCAATCTTTGGTACTTCGCATTTTTTTTGCTGGTTGGCTGGTGATTTTCCATTAAAAAAACTAAAGGATCAAACTACCTATCCAATTGGTTGGTGATGTTTTGAATGGGAAAATCATCGGAAAATCCATCTGCAATTGGTATATCATGGGGATATCATGGATAATCCTATATGATATACCCATATATTAAACCAATGATTGTTGTTTATTGATTGTAATGGTATAATGTGGGTAAAACAATAATAAACCATCCCCCAAATCACCATAAATAGTTGGTATACGGTATAAACCATTCCCAGTAATGGGTGGTTTATGACATTGTTTTACCCACATTAATCATCATTAGTCATCAATGAATCACCATTATTAACCATGGCATTAACCACTATTCACCACTATTACCCTCTGGTAAATTAACATCGACCCTGAAAATAGCACAGTTTCAATTGAAACTCATCTTCCAACCTCTATCTGCCAGGGTCCAACTGTTAATTTACCAGAGGGTAACCACTGGTCATATCAAACCAACCATATCCTTCTATCCTTCGTCGGATGTCAACCTCGCGCCTGAAGGGCGAGCTGCTCCTCCTGCCGGGCCGTTCTGCGTTGCTGCCAGTCCTGGGCCTCGCGAGTCTGCGAGGCTGGCGGGGTGACCAACGATGGATATTGATACTGTGGATGGTTGCCAAATCATTGGGGTATGTTCATATCTATCAAAAATTGTGGTGGTAATATTCATATCAAACAAAAATACTTATCAACGATATATACTGCAAATAATTGGAGCCTATAAATAACATTAATTCAATATTGAATATATAATGGGATAAACCACCTATCAGCTGGTGAAGGATTTCACAACCATCCACAGTAGTTGACCACCAAAAAAAAATGGTCGTTAAATGGGTTTAGAACCTCCATAAATGGGGGTACAACAGCTGGATGGATTAGAATGGAAAAGCCCATTAACATGGATGATGGCCACAGTTCTGTTGACACATTTGATATTAAATGGCCATAAATTGATGATTCGCCATGTCATGATATCATGATGAGCCAACGATTTTTCGTGGAGAAACCGAGAAAAAATCAGACAAACTCAGCTCGATGGAGATTAGGATTTACCATCTGGTTATTCCACATAGCCATGGAAAATCACATGTTTTTATAGGTAAACCATCTATAAATGGGCCATCTATACCATGGCTATGTTAAATAACCAGAGGGTAATGAGCAACACTGGTGTAACTATGTGGACTTGACACGGTTCCGAACACCACGATGATTTGACTTGTTGATCAACCCCCGAGCGGTGAGGCGTCCACACTCAAAAATCATCAGTACATCCCAAGATGTGACAAAACAAAAAAAACCTGTCAAAATTGGATACCCGAAAAATGGATGGTTAACGGTGTTTTTTTTCCGCCTTTGACTTTAGTGTTGTCTCATGTTGTCTCCACCGCGGTCACACTGGATGGTTCTTCCCGCATCCGCCTTCTGGGAGCAGCTCTTCTGCAACTCAGCCAGCATCTTCTTGTCATCCTGGCGAAGGCGAAGAAAACTGCAGGTAATGACTGAAGGTATTGGTATCTGACTTCAGGTCTAGGGAGTTCCTCTTATAGGACTTTATCATACCTTATCAATCTCTATTGGCTGCAAAAATCACTCATCCAATAGAGGTTGATGAAGCATGATAAAGTATTATCACATCATTCAATCGGATAGCCACATTCATCCACATGTATGGTGCAGCGACGCTGGGCTATCCACAGCGAAGTCCGCCATGTTTTGATCATACAATTTGTACCATCCAAATAGACAAGACTTAGAAGAGCGAAACTGAGATAATGCCTGAGAGTAGTAGATCTCGATACACCCAAAATCTCATGGTCCCAACCCGCGTCCTCGATGGAATCACCCTGCTCGGATAACTCCCTCTTCAGATTCACCACCTCGACCTGGTGGATGACAGCTACGTGCTTCTCAGCGTGAAAAAATTGTACTCCTTGTGATCATTATTGTACTAATAATCATATATAATATGTACTGGTACTCATAATCATTATTGTACTAATAATCATATAATATGTACTGGTCATATAACATCATAATATAACTAATAACAGTGGCATTAATTTTACTGGATACTGGAAGTGGATGTATATGATGATATACTAACATATCGGTAATATCATCATTATTGTGTAATTAATCCGATATGTACTGGTCATATAACATCAACTAATAATTAATCATGATTGTCCTGAAAATGCTGGTGGTTTTACTGATCCTTCCAATCCACCACAATGCACAAAATACGTGAAAATACGTTATCTTGTGTCTTGGGTTTGTCATTTAGTCCATGAGCTGTTCACACGGAAACACCTTCAAATCATGAGTCAACACGAAAATCACTGCAACAAACTAAGGAACCACAACTGAACTAGCTCATTCTTTGCGGCAAATCCGAAGTTTGGGTACCCCATTTGGACCCATTCCGCCACATCCTAAGATTTCTCAATTGTTCATCCCCTATGCCAGAAATCATCAGAAATCACCAGAGGTTTCTCGTTTGGGCTCAATGGGCCACCTGTTTCTCTCCGATGTTCTTCATCTTGCGCTCGAAGGTGTTCAACAACGTGGCAATCTCCGTCTTCTTGGAAGTCTCCTGAGCCACCGGTGTCATCAAATTTGGCTGGGAAATAGCCTCTTCAATGAGACTTCAAATGGAAAAATAATGTAATAAGTGGGGAAAATCCCCTTGCCATTTCTCACTACCAGAGTATACTACATCTAAGAGATTCCTTCGAATTCTGTAGGTAAATCACCTCGCCAACTGCAACTGTGGAATACGTCCCGTTTCTATCTCTATAGATATAGTACGAGTATGATGTAGTACCGAGACATTGCAAAATGCTTGAAATAATTAGACTTTCTCTGCAAATGCACCTGCAATCATACATGGTTCAAGACTATCTGAGATTAATCACATCTCGCACACCTCTTCTGTTCTCTTGGACCTCTCCACATGAAAAACTCTGGGTATCTAACCAGCAAAGGGAGAAATCAGGAAATCTCACGACATTTTCCCTGAGTCCAGTCACCAGTCTTCCCAGATAGCTAATTATCAAAATTAGATCTCCCCTAAAAATTGCATAGTTATGGATAGTTACTATATATATCTATATATCTTAGATTATCTTAGTATAAAAAATCAACAAAATCCTCAAAACTCCTGGCTTCTGGCCCCACGAAATCCGTCAAGGCACCACTTCTTCGAAGTTCTCCACGGCTTTCTCCTCCGCCGAGGTTTCCACCTGAATCTCCTCCTGAGTGTCGTCCTTGATGCCCGACCTCACGGGCTGTAAAAAGTGGTGCATTTTTTCCCCATGGAAACCAAGGATGATTAGGAAAAATCATGAAAATCCTCATTTTTTGGAAAATGTCCATTGATTTATCCTAAAATTGGCGGTGTTCCATGTGGATTGAGGACAATCCTGTCGTTTTTCAGGCAAAACCACATCTGGTTACGTGTTAAAAACACCTTTTTGGTATCGAATTTTGAGGATCTGCTGTATCTAGGCATCTCAAGAATATTGAAAGCACCTTTCGTTAGGGATCTAAGTCCCAAGCACCGAAGACTTCGGATTTGCTGTGTGAGATGGGAATTTCACAGCGAAATCCTCATCCTGCTGCGGTGGTCTATACTTTGACTGTACATCTATACAGAAAACTAAGCTGGGGGCCCACCAGTTACTATGATATTGTCCAAAACTAGAAATTCTTGGGAAAGCATTTGTGGGGGCACCCCCATCAGACAATGTGTTTTTTTTCAATACGAAACTGGTCTACTTTGGTATTTGGGGTACCTCTCTACCCCCATTGGTCAAAACTTCAGATGGCTACAAGTTCGTGGCCTCCCTACGTTGAAAGCCCTCCCAGTGCAGTAGCAAATTCAAAGCCACGGGCCTAATCCATGTGGTATGTTGACACCAATTTCCGACGTATTTGATGCTTGTTCTACCTCCATCTTTCAGTTTGTGCATAAGCTTGGAATATACAAAGGAAAAGTACAAGATACCCTCTGGTTATTTAACAGTTCGCCATGGTATAGATGGCCCTAATCGAAATAGATGCTTTACCGAACTTAAAAATGGGTGGATCTTTCCATGGCGAACTGTGAATGTCATAACCAGATGCTAGATAAATCATCATAAATCATCTACAGTACAAATGGAAGGTCATTGGCCATCTAGTTCGATGATTTCCTGATGGTAGTACAAGTGGGTATGAGTCAAAACCTTGGTACCCTAGTGAACCCCAAATAACTGGTAAATGGATGTTCATCCCCCCCAAATATAGCAAGATTGGTTTTGATACATCCCCAAGTAGCCTCAGGTAATCCCTGGCAACATCCTCCACTGGGCCAAAGGCACAACATGCCCACCACAAAGCCGGGGGATTCGCTGCCACGATGTGCCTCGATTCAGCAGAGGTCACTGGGTGGATGAAGAAACATGGTTTAACCATTAATTATGACATGATTTGATTTTACCATGAAATATAGTTTCATATACTTTATGTATCTTTATGTGGTAAATCGTATGAACAAATCTAGTTGCAAGAACGTATGGATTTTACATGGTTTTTATTATATAATAATCCATAAAATATGGAGGAGTTGCAGTAGAACGTCCCGAAATTCCGGGAACCTGGCCTACGAGAATCACCTTGTTTACACTCAAGCGGTCGGAGATCATGCAGGTGGAAGGGAGTGGTCGCAAATTGCCCATTGTGGTGCAATGCAAAGCTCGCAGTGGGATGTTTTAAACTGAAGATTACTTACTTGTGCTTAGTAGGGAATGAGGGAATGATCCACAGTAACTATCAATCATAATCCCATTCCCCCATTCCCATCTATTCCCTGCTAAGCACCAGTAAGATGACCACTTCAGTTGCGGCTCCTAAGCATTTGTAAAGCCACGTTTTGATGTATTGCTTTGCCGACCCAACCAAGATCACTCCTCCAACCGGTTGAACCCCAATGTTTGATGGTGAAGCCCCAGTTCCCATGGAAAAAAAATCGTTTCCCGTTGTTTTAAAACCACCATCTTTCCTGGATACACCTCCAAACCTCCAGGTGTTATGAGTAAGACGCCACTTTTATCTGCCCGAATCCCATCTGGATCATAAGAAAATTGCCGGAAAAAAAAGTGCGTCCATTTTGGGATAGCTACCCCAATCCAAGTCCCATTTCAATGACTTTGCCACGTGAGGTACTTCTAAATTTATCATAATTTATCCCGATATCCCGCAATATCCCCCATTTTTATTGTTGGTCAAATCTCTCGTTACCCTCCAGTAAACAAACAGTTTGCTATGGACTCCATGGCCCATTTAGTTCGATATAGTTCGATGGTTTACCTATATACATATATACCTTGGGCTTCCAAAACCAAGGAAAACGTAGGGTGGCTCCCAATACACGGGGTTTGGATAGTAAACCCAGGGTTTGCAAAATCAAAGGAAAATTGAACTTCTACAGATCCCCCAAAAAATGTTGGGACATGTGTTGAACATGTTAAAACATGTGAAAGCCAGAATCCGCATTTGGGGCTTCAGCATTTTCCCCCGCGTTGCATCCGCTGCAGTCCAAGCCGTGGCCTGAGTTGGCCTGAGTGCTCCTTGAAGGTTTTTTGTTCTCCCTCAGGCGCTTTTACAACCACATAATTCAGATAATGGATTTATCTATAACTAACATGAATGGAATCACAAAGGCCGAACTAAATATCCAGCTGCCACCCATTCAGAATAGCAAGCCTGGAGGTATCGATCACAAACGCGCGTACACGCCATAGAACCACCAGCAACCCTTCTAGAAAGCCTACTTGGCCGCCCTATAAAATCTTCACACTGCTGGCAGCTCACTGCTAAAGGGTTGAGATGCCTTACCCCTGCCACAGCGGCAGAATGTACCCGAAGGTAAATTTTGTGCAAACAATGAATTTTGGGAAGGAAAGAAAATAAGTTCATGTTTTGAACTCTTGCTTGATGAGCGGCTTCGTCAAACCTTCGCAAAAACCGTAGCCCCAATCCAGAAATTTCTAGACCCTCGTCCACCGTCAGCCACAGTTCAGCCATGTACATTGAGTGGATGCTCTTGTTGATAGCAATGGTACCTTGTTTGACAATCTCCAAAAGCGGTTTCAAGTCGTCGGGAAATGTCCTTTGGTTGTCAGTCAAAGTCGCTTCGAGGAAACCCATCAGAACTGTAGTCAACTCGCCCTTGTGCCATGTCCCACATGGGTAACATCTTGTGCTAATCCAGTTCAAGCATTCCTTGCTGATTTTTTGAATATGACAGCGGTGTCTGTTTATCAAACACCAGTCCTTGTACCGTTTGGTCAATGAAGAAAATCTGTCATCGATGGTGTTGTCTGTTTCCGCCAAACTCAAAAGCGCCAAAGCAGAACCCAACCAAACTTTCCCGACACCTAAGTGCCACGTGTGAAACATATCCCAAATCCAGAACGAAGAGAATTTGTTGGTCACATGGGGCACGATTTGAAACACTGAAGGGTGAATAAATGGGTCTGCACCTTGGTAAGCAGTCGTCAGCCAAAGCGGTCGACGTGTACCCACCTGCTCAAAAGGGTATTCAGGAGTCCCAGCCAAACATTCATGACATATTCCGTTCTGTCTCGATTGATGTCTTTGCTTCAGAGCATTGTTGAAGCTCCGGCTAAAGCCGGCTGATTTGTGTAGCCAGGGCCAGTCACCTGTTATATGCAAAGTCATCAACCAATGTGTCTTGCCAAAAGGGCACTCGACACCAGTCAAAGCCATAGCTTGTGCCTCGCTGGCACACATGGCCATGAGCTCATCAAACACATAAGCGTTTTCTCCAGTGTAGTCTTCTTTCCGTACACCCGCAATCATGAAGCGATTTGTGTAAGAATGCCCTTTGTAATTGCACATTTGCTTCAAGAAAGGCTTCCGAACTTTGTTGGCACTTTGAGGTTTTCTTGTGTGTATGCCCCGTCCAAGCAGCGATCTAAAGGATATCACTAAGTGAGCCCGGTGCTTTCTGCCCCGGCCCTCATCCCCGTGCAAGACCACCGGTGCAGTTCTCGACAGCTCTACTTTCCCTGAGGCAGCAAGCTGAAAAATTTCATGGTCTGGACATTGAACTTTGTACATTTCCCAGAAGCGAGATAGGATTTGTTCCTCTCTAGGCGCGTCAGGCCGCACTAAACCGCAAAGAATATGCCAGCAATTGTTCTTCACCATGAAATCAATCCAATTGGTCATCGTGAGAATTGGGATTTTTGGTGCGTTGCTTTTACTAGTCCTTAACTTGGACCTCTGCACAGGGAGTGCCAAACAAAGTTTTTGATGCAAGAGTCTTTTGCAATCCCTTTCAGAATTGGTATCTCTAATTTGGGCTAACTCAGACAGCCCTCCAGAGCTAGCCGCGGCTTTCACACCCACATCAGCCACAACGTTCCGTGCAGCATCAATTGCAGATCTGCAAGAAGCCTCAGGGGCCAAACGAATAAACCAAACAATGCGCACAAATGCAAGAAGGGGGAAAGGGTTTTGTAATGTTTTGTATATGGAGCTGCTGACACCGATATGAAACTTCAAATGTTGTTCACCCAGAATTCTAAGTTGGAAGAAGATGTTGAGTGTTGAAGCCTTCACCAAAGAACATTTCCGCTGTGTGCGAGCAACCTTTTTTCCAACAGAAGCGCGACCAAAATCACGCAGCGATAATTTGATGCATTGTACATGTGAAACAGCTCATGCCCCTCCAAGTGCTTTGTTGTCACCCTTTGGGATTGGAGGTGGGTACTTGAAACTTCTATACACCATGTACGTACAAAACCATCCTTCCAAGGCCATTGATGGAATGGCGTTGTCACCTCCAGCGTTGGCATTTCTGCATCCAGGACGACCTGGGCTGGACAAAGCCGGCGGCGAAAGAGTGCAATATCTTACATATTATACATATATAAATATATTTTTTAAAAGGGATGATGTGATATAACTTAATTCGAGGGGCCATGTTCCACCACCTTATGGAGAGCCCACACAAAGATGGAAAATGAACACATGTTGTTAAGCTAAGTCTCCAATGTGGGTTTCAATCAGGGCAGCTTCTAACATAGCAGGGCCATAGCGCTCATGGGAAATGTAAAACACGATCATGTTGGTCCAGCCATCAACGGCACCCTTGTAGCCGTAAAGTGAATTGGACCAACGCCATGAAGGGCTGTGGGTAAAGCCAATTTTGTAAGTACACGGCCAATACTTGGTAAAGATTGACTCCATAACCCGCCGGGCATGTTTAAGTACACCTCCTGCCACAATCCCAGGTCGTGGTAGATCGAAATGAATACACCCCAGCGATTTGCATGGAACAACAATTTCATCATACCCTGGTTGTAGATCAGGAAGATTCAAACCTGTTGATCGAACTACTTTCTGCCTCTTGGGTGGTTTGTTCTCAGCCGCCACCTTCTCCGCAGGAGTTTTGTCTATGGTCCTGGTCCATGGGAAAGGCATCAAATCATCCTGGTCATGAGCTGGGATGGTGTTACAACTTGGGATGGTACATATATACAATAATAATAATGATAATAATAATAATTTATATATACAGAAGATTGTAAGTGGGATCTGTTGTTACGTTCACCTCAAATTGAACATTGCATTGAATGGCAATAAATCCCGGATCGATGAACTAACAGTTAACCAGTGAATGCCAATGTTCAAACCCCAATAGAACCCCAATATTTTCAGACATATGGGTTTATCATGTTTTACCTCTCATGTAGTAGAACCGCTCCCATCTCAATTGAACAAAAATAAATAAAAGCAGAATGTTGAACTTGAAACAAGGTTCAGACCGATGACAGGTGAGTAGATCGTACAGTTCACTTTCCGCACTCTCCATGGCATCCAGAAGGATGGCGCAGTCAACATGACCATAAACTCAAAATTATATTCAAGATATAATCATGCACTTGTAGTTTACATAGATGCATGGATGTATGAGTGGGGCTGTATGATTTCTACATTCTACATCTTCACAGCTGTTTTGATTCTAAGTGCGTGCATATATACCTGATCTTGAACCGTGTGATACGGACTGGGGGTTGCGTGCATGCATGGTCAATGCAGGCTTCTCTGAGCGCCAGACTCCTTCGCCAATGCGCTTGGCGAATCCCCGAACAACGCGCCCTGGCTTGTCACCTGTCATGTTTGGGCTGTTGGGATGGATCGGAACCCTTTTTTTGAGGCATGATGACAAACCCATAGTGATCTTTATGACTCTTTATGATGGTTGATTAGGAAAATAAAATCCCATACAAGATCTTTCCTGTAGAAAATATTTCGATGTTTCAACTGATACGCTCAAGTTTTCACTTTTTTTCTCCGCCAAGCACTGGGACCCCGAATGTCAATGATGTGACGAGTATCACACATGATAGTTGGGATTGAACAGCCTTGCTCGTTGAGCCGAATGAAATTGTTTTGTACTCTGCATGTGCTTAAGCCCGGTCTTCTTGACCTGAAGGAAGAACGTGATCCAGAATTTGAATCCCCAAAGCAAATTATAGACTCTAACTTCGAACAATCGTGGCATTCAATATTTTGTTTATTGGGTGGAGCCTTAGGATTCCAGGTCAAGGAAATTGCCAGGATCGCACAGTACATCTAACCCCCCAAAAGCTTGCACTGCATGTCCTGGTCATGCAGTGATCTGGATCTATAGGAACATTTCTACTTCTTTTTGGAAGCCTTGGCAGTAGATGACTTGGGTGTTGGCTTCGCCTTGGCCTTTGGCCGGTTACCCCCGTCACCCCCTTGATCAGGCTCAGCGTCTTGTCCTTCCTCAGTTGCCTCTCGCTTGCGCTTGGTGTAGAATTTCTTTGCATTCCTCCGGCCACGGCTTTGGAAAGTGCATGCATGACATCAAAAGAATTTGCCATGAAAAAATGCAGGATGTAAGCTGAAAATTCATGTGTGGTTTGTTGTACATTTCTGAGCTGATCTTAAAACATGTTTTGCAACTGAACTTCAACATTCTAGTTCTTGTCAACTGTTTGTAGAGCCATCACCATTCCCCTAGAGATCAGCAAGGGTCCTGATCTTCATCTCCACTCCGCTGGCTGCAGAGCACCTTTGGCCGGCCAAGGATTGGAGACTGAGATGATGATTGGAGACTGAGATGATTGGATATGCTTTTGAGGACTGCACACATACGTGGATTTCTTGATTTCCGCTTCTGCCGTAGTATGGAACCTGAGAATTTAGCAGTGGCATTTGATGGATGGAACATGTCACTCCAAGTCAAAAATATTGTCAATGTACTGCATCCAACTTGGATGTTATGTGTTAAATTTTCAGTCGAAGAAACGTCTCAGTGAGGAACCCTTCCACCTCACCCTTAGCCCACACTTGGTTGCAACGATCATAGGCTTCATCCACCTTTGCGATCTGCTGCTGCAAGGAGATGACGCACCTGGGCTGGCGGCCAATTGGGCACAACTGCGTTCATGAAGGGGGCAGCTCTGATTTTGACATGCAACTTGGCACAAATACGGGCTGGGGCATGTACGACACAGCAGCTTTGTCATCGTACTTACTTTCCAACTCACGCACTAAGCTTCTCAGTTTGCCAGTCTTGGCAATCAGTGACTCCATGAATTTCTTCAGAGTATCGCGGGTCTGTCAGGGATGAGAAATGCTGCCTTTTATACCCGGGTAAGTTGAATGTTGATAGTTGAAAACTGCAGATCTATATAAACAGAAACTGATATTTGTCAACTCGGTACCTGGGCAAATTTGGATTGCTGAACACAAGGTTGAACCTTATCATCCTTGGTCTTTTCAGTCCGTCCCTTGTCAGCAGCCAGCATCAAGAACTTGCCGTCAGCCATGTCAAAGGTAGGATCCTCTTTGGCCTTGTCAGTGGTTGGAAATGATTGGGGCATTTATATTTTCATATCATTGAGACAACCTCTCAAAACATATAATGAAGGTTGGTCGTGGAAGCTATGAGATTTATATCCGGATGTGTGATGGCCTCAGACTGCTTCTGGTGCACTTCAGCGTAGGTTGTAGACTCGATCTTTTTTCCTGTTTCCTTGATCGTCACCCAAAACTCTTCTTCGCCGTCATATTCATTGAGCCTTCCATGGGCAAACCAAGAGAAGAGCCCAAGCAATGTAAACCCTGACATACATTCAATGTATATTATATATATATATATATATTATATATATATATATGTATAATGTATATATATATATATGATAAACATGTTGGGAACCACAAACATACCCCACAATCCTTGCCTGAAGTGGGTCTCTCCCATAGCTTTGCATTTGGTTTTGGCGCCATCGATCTTGGTCCTAGGAGGATTTGTAGATTTGGATTTCATACTTTTGAGCTGGGAAAACTGAGAGAACATACATCATGATAGTTGGTCCATATCGTAAATTGAGTCCCCTGCTTGCTCCAACCCAGCTCGTCCAACTCAGACACGGAGTACCAACCTTGCTCTTTGGTGAGCTCGATTTTCTGCTTCTTCTTCACGGAGATCATGAGCTTGTTCAAGAAGGTCTCCTGCGGGACAAAGATTACCACATAAACTTTCAGTGGAAATGATTTACAAACTTTTCAATATATTAGCTGTTCCTATTAGTGAACCAGGGTTATGATCCCATGAAATTTGAATACTCAAATCCCTCTAATATTTGAATCTCTTGTAACATCTTGCAATGACCTTTTGCATGTCCAATCCTTGTTGAAGTTGCAATGGGAAAGTAGGTCCGCAATGTCTTTTCGACAACCTGACGTCCATTCCTTCACAACCCAATCCGGCGCTTGCTGTTCCGGGTGTCTCTTGTGAGGCTTCACCCAACGATTCAGCCGACTCTTGGCTGCAAGGCGGAGCTTTTCCTGTGTGGAACGGCATTATGGGATCTTATGGGGTTCTATGTTAAGAGGAACCCCCATTGGCCACTATAAGAAAAACATTCTTTGGGAAATTTGATCATAGTCATTTCCGGCCTTGCGGCCGTTCTCAAGTGTGGCTGCTTTCTCGGAATCAGCACGTGGAACAGTTTCATTGGGCTCTGGCACTGTGGGTACATCATCCGGGGCAGGTTTGGCTCCAGATTCCGTTAAAGATTTCTCAGCAGATGGCTTTTCAACGACAGGGGATGCAACCACGTAAACTTCATCACCAGTCTGTGGTACACCTGAAGTAGATCTGGTCGGAGTAGGCACTGGTTGAACCGCCTGACGTTCCATGCCATCTTTAGCTTGGCCATCTTTTGAATCCTGAGGTTTGGACACTGATATCATTCAATGACTGTCATACCAACGTAAATTTAGCACAATGTGCCCCCCCCAAGATAGCAAAGTTGGTTTATGACTCCAATAATTATATGGTGTATGATACTTATAACTATGGGGCCCCACATTGCAGGAATATATAGATTGTTGACGAATCAGTGTGAAACCCCAATGCAAAACAAAAATATATGGGGAATCGCTTTGAACAAGTCTCACCAGTGCCCTCGGTACCTGACGAGCCGGTCCCCAGGACCTGGATGCCAGCTTTCTCCAATTCTTCCGGAGTTGCCTTGCTTGCGATGCTGGGAAATGTGTGGCTTGACTGTAAGTGATCAAACCCAAACACCACTCTATATATATAGTATTCCCTCCAAAAAAATGTTCGAAATCCTGAAACATATTCGTATACAAATCAATTGGGCAGCATCATTCCATTCTTGTATTGAGACCCCGGCGGGAATGGTATCCAAGGACTCTGCAGATGTCGCAAGTTGGGCCTGGGATGGAAGGAAACAAAAACCAAGATCTATATACATCATTTTTTCAACTGAACTAACTAGGATACTTGGGTTCGGGCTTCTTCCAATTGGAAACCTCCGAGTTCTTCATCCAACTCCTGCGGAATCAATGGTTGAAATACGTTCCCCAATGTTCCCCAGCAATCACTGTTTCTAATCAAAGTTGTTTTCTCCTCAATAGCTTTCTCAAGTCTTTGGGCTTCAAGATCCATATCCATCATCTCGATCCCATCAGTCAAAGTGGCGCAGCTCCACCCAGTGCCCGTTGAGGTAGATGTCATCTTGATTCTATTTACACCTAAACCCCTGTGATTGACCTGCCAAAATGCTGCGCAATCTAAATGGTGCCGAATGTTTGAGGTCATGCAGCAATCAATGTGCTTGTGTTGGTTAGCAACTTGATTGCAGACGACGTCCCAATTCAGAAATTCCAACTTAAGCAAGAGATTAACCTTTTCATCAAAGTGCAGGGCAATTTTTAGGATCAGACCCAATTAAAACCCATCAGAGGATCTACAGGATTGCAAAGGATGCAGGAAAACCTGCAACTCTTCCACAAATTCGCGAATTGCTTTGTTCCAAAACATGCTTCCAAAGAAGCAATTGGAGGCACCCTCGAACCCATATTTTAAATACGGGTTGATACGGGTAAAATACGGGGTGGATACGGGTTCGATACGGGTTCGGCAAACCCAGGGTTTCACTTACAAACCTAGGGTTTCCCAAAAAAAATACGGGTTGATACGGGTAAAATATGGGTTAAATACGGGTTCAGTACGGGTTTGGTTTACCCCAAAATTCCGACCCTACTTTTTTTTACATATTTGATCATATTTGATTAGAAAGATGTTGGTTCTATGTTGGTTTAGCCGCAATCATGGTCCCAACAATCCTAGGGCCTCAGGGAACTCCTCCAATCATTGCTTCTGGAAGCTCTCTTGGGAAATATGGTTTCCACTCTGATGGGATTCTCAAGGATTTGCATTTCCTCAAATATGAATAAAATTCTGGCAACTTGGCTAGGCCCCAACAACCGCCCTCGCACCACTCCATTTGGGTGATGGTAAAAAGAGCCGGCGGTAACACCTCTGGAAGCTGAGGACAGCCTTTTGCAGACCTCTTCATAGGCTCCAGCTGGTCTGCAACGGCACGAGCAAAGGCCATCGGATAATGCCTGGGCAAAATGTGGAATCAATAATTATAAGGTCTTGTCTTGTTCATGTACCTGTACCCATTGAAAAGGAAGATTGCCTTTATCAATCTTGGCCCATTGATATAATATATAGGAAATGATCCAGTAAAGATTTTGTGGGATATTATTCGATCCTGTTTCATTTTCCCAAATAGAAAAAATTGGGAGAAGAGTATGACTTAAATTTACTTGAACCAAGATTCTCTGTTGTACGTAGCTTTGGAGTCCCTTTGTATCGCATCTTTCCGGATTTATCCAAATAACGTTCAGCTGTGACTACCTTTTGTCCAGGGCTAGGTTTCCATTTGCGGAGCACACCACGGTCAAGAGCTAGGATCATTGAAGTATTTCCAAAGGCATAGTGCCGCTTTGGAGTAGGAGCTCCATAATGTGCCATCCACCACGAAACTCTCTGGACCTTACTTGGGGGGGCATCTAGATATTTCATCATGTCATATATACTCATCCAAATATGATTGCACCTTTCATTTAGTGTTTGTTGACGTAAGAGACCATTGCACACTCATCCAAATATGAATCTAAGCCTAAGACTGCGAAGTCCCCACCACATCGGAAAACGTTTCTCAGGACCTCCCGCCACGATGGGTAATACTCCAAGAGGGATCCCGATGGCTGCTCCACAGTCCATGTCCCCCCAAGGGCGGTCACCAGCAAGACTAGAAGAGATGTCCTGGAGCAGGTGAGTCGAAACAAGTGATCACGAGGTATATGTTGGATAATTTTCAACTTCTATAGCATGCTCTGGGGATTGCCCAATTCGGTTCCTGTGAGCTAGTGAGATTCAAATGACAGAAGGTCCCCAACACCAATTTTGGATTTAAACTTTTGGGGTTTATGAACTCATCATTCCAATATCAAACATCCCAGTCCGTTCCAACAGTAGATTTCCCATTCGAACCGAAGCATATTGTAGGTGGCCAATTGCGTCACATGCCATTCTTCTTGAAGTACCCGTGTTCATCTTTGAGAAACTAGCGCATTTAATCCCAAAATGACAGGCAAAGTCGTGGGCAATGCAACGCAGTACGGCCACCACTGCGAGCCTTAGCTGTACCCAGGATGGGTTGGAAAGAGTTTGAAATCTCAAAACATGTGACCGATGGGTGACAACTACTTCCTTAGGGGGTTTCCTTACGAAAGAAAGTTTAAACTTCTTTTTGGGTTGGGTCCGCGCGCCATTTTTGGGTATAGAATATAGGGCCCCCGGTGCGCGAACCCAACCCAAACAAAATTTAAAGTTTGGACACTTGATGAATTAGACTATAGTTCAGAATGAACAATCTTTATAGAATATTGCACATGTATGAATAGTCGAAATCTTAATTCGTGTTTACCCTAATCATATGACAAATGTCACTTGGGGACCTGGGGACCAAGAAACGCATATCCAGACGGGTGGGAAAGATCCATGAAGTTTGACTTTCGATGCTTCGGCTGGTCATTGTCTAGAAGGTCAAACCGCAAAGAGGTGTATCGCGAAGCATGCATCATCTTCGTGAGGTTTCCCAAACCAGCGTAGAATTCAATCCATTGCACTTCCTGACATGTGTTAAGCCAAGAAGCCAATTTGTTTTCACAACTGGAATGACCAAGTTTTATATCTTGAGTTGAAGCCGGGTACCCTGGCCCTGCCTGCTCCAAATCATATGTGAAAATCAGGAGAAGAACGCACAGCGCAAATGCCTCCAGTGCCAGATTGATTGGGGCTTGGTAGAGGACAGTGGGGAGATTGAATTCAGAATTTGGTTTGAAGACTGTATCATGAAAATGGTCGAACTCTTGGATTTTCTGCATTCTTGAAGGTTTTAAGGACCATGGAAAGTAACATGTGATAAATTTTATGAACTCGGCCTTGGGGACATGTAATTGGTGCAGTCGCCACACAAGGGCATCCAAGCAAACCACCATGGCTCGTGATTGATCCGATGTGCCAAAAGGCCAAAAGGTTTTTTATTGGTTTTTCTTTGCACCATGCAGATACCATGATATATATACCATATATGTTAGCTTCACACAATGTTAGTTCATATCAGTTTGACACAGTACAAGTGTGACCAACTGTAGTGATCCAGCATCATCCAAATGCCCGTTGAGCCGCGTTGGGATAAGAAACGCGGAGCCCCCAACTAAGAGGTCAGATGCACTTGTTCTACATCCAAGAAAAAACAAATAGTTGCTAAAATTGTATGGTTTTTCCTGCAACTCAAGACATGCTGATGTCAGATTCGATCATCCGGGTTTGAATTCCAATCAAGTCAGTGTGACGTTTGATCACTTCCATTTTGGTCTGGTAAAGGTTCCGGCGCATAGCCGCTGAAAGTAGAGGCATGGCCTTGGCACGAGCTTGAGTAGGACAGTGATCAGATTAATTTAAGATATGGCTCATCAAGTCCATTGACGATTGCAATGAATTGTCACAAACAAATCAATAGTAATTCAGTTGGGGCCCACCAAAACCTTCCATGGCAACTGATGTGATTGATTTTATTGAAGCTTCCAGCCATTCAGTGCCCAAGTGTAACTGTAAGCCCCCACATGAGTTCATGGTGGGTATATATAATAAATAACATGTTCTACCTATATATTCAGAACAAATAAAAAACCACAATTGGTTTGATGTGACACTCAGACATGTTTTCCCGCCGCACCCATCGGCCATTGAGGATCAGCTTTGGTGGCTGCCACATGCTGCCACGTGGTCTCTTTATGGATTGAAGGACTCGGGCTGTTGTGCAACACGCATGGTACTCAATTTGATCAGGTCTACAAATTTGGCATTCGAAAGATTTGTGCATGTTTGATTGTTGTAGTGGTATAGAAATTTGATCGGCAAATTGAGCGTGCGTGGACTCTGGGAACTCTAAAGCCCTATTCAGTCCTTTCCCCTTGGGTTCTTTTCAACATGTGCTCCAAAAGCTGGTGCCGCCCGCCATCAGAAAAACATACGAAACATCAAAGTTGAATCTCAGTGGGTTAAAAGGGCTTGTTGCGAACTAAAACATTGAAACCTGTGAAACTTAAATTTTGAGAGGACGTCACACAACATATGGCAAGAGCTCCACTTTGATATGGACAGTGACCCATCCAATGCCCTAAGCCGGCTATGAGCTAGATGAGACGTGTGCAGCCCTCACTGCACTTGCAATGTTGCACACATTACATCATTTGACACACACCAGCGTGCACTGGTTCCGGGTTTTGCCCAAACTGAAGTTCCTAGCTACGATTGCCAACTTCGGCACAAAGACCAGACAAAAATTTCTGCAGTGCTTTCCTACCAGATTCTTTCACTCGATCCTTGAACTCTTGTACCTCAGCAGCTGCTTGAAGGCTGACGTTCGAATCTGGGTTGTCCTTCTCGTACTTGTGGACGAAGCGTACCTAAAAACAGCGCCGGAAAAACTGACATTCACAAATAAAAACAATTGGCAGGAGTGTAGCCTGCATGTTGATGCATGCATGATATACTTCATGGTGGAGTTAATGACAAGTAGTAATCAAGACAATTCAGAACATATATGCGTTGAAGTTGCCAAAATGTCAGCTGACTTGATGGCAGCGGCAATGGCGTAGATCCATGAATCGCACTCAGACTTGTAACCGAAGAAAGCAAAGTCACACCGTTGCTTTTTGGATGTCACTCCAACCCCAATGCCCTTCACACCCCTGGAAACCCAGTAGATGTTCAAAAGCATGCCGACACCCAACCCAGGCCAATTTGGCACTTTGCTTTTCAAGTATGCCCTTGCATTCTCATCCGTCAAATCCTGTGCTCCCAAAAGAAACTCATAGATCTCTTTCTTGATGTCCTTTGATTTCGTGGGTGCATCCGTAAACTCTACATGTGGGCTTTCCTCTTTGGGCGCCTTTCGGCTTCTTTTCTTAGGCTGGGGATCCTCAGGTTCAGAGTGCTTTTTTTCCTTTCGGGCATTTGGGGCAGCTGCTTGCTTGGGTTCTGACTTCGGGCATGGCTTTTCCGACTTAGTTTTCTCATCCTTCTTGTCCTTCTCATTTCGTGCTTTCTTTTTGTTGGGCTCTGCTGAGCCTGCTGAAGCCACTGCATCCTTGGCACGTTTCTTGCCTTTTGCTTTTGCTGGTGTTGCTGCTGCTTTGTCCTCCCAATACCATCCATAGTCTTTTGCCCAGTGCCAATTGCTATCCCGAAGCTGATCTTGTTTCATCCATTCATCCCAACCCGCATCATCATTATGTTCATCATCATCCTTTTTCGTGGTGCCTCTCCCCCTGCCTTTTCCCATCCCTTTCCCTCTGCCACGACCTCTGCCTCCAGCGGGGTGATCCTTCGCCTTCTGGTCGATCTGCATGGCCCGGGTGACGGCTGGCAAAGCAGGCTCCTGAGAACAAGAGGGAGATGTAATCGTGATGTCTGAACCCCTTTCAAACACCAGTTGAACCTCTGAATTGGAAAGTCAACTAATTGGATTCTAAGTTGAAATTCTTATTTCACACACCGATCAATTTAAAGATTTCTAGGATGTTCTGATTCAATCAAGGTTTTGATGGACATGAGTTGGCTGGCCTCATCAGCTTCACTGTCGGTAAACTTGTTGTCATCGCCTTTTCCCATGTCACCTTCTCTCTTTGTTGATGTGTCTGAACTCTTGGTACTCTTCTTGTCTGTTGAACTGCCTTTTCCATCCCAGGAATCATTCTCCATTCCCTCCGCATCTTTCATGTTCTTCTTCTTTTCTGTTTTCTCATCAGGTTCACCCTCCTTTCGATCCTTTCCAAAACTGGTATTTGTCTCGTTTGGTTTTGGGACAATGGTCTGGCGAGATCATCGGTTCCACGTCCACACCTGGCGGTGTATCTTGCAGAGCAGCATCGAAAGGCAATGTATCTTGCTGGTCGGTAGCAAGTGGGAGTTCCCCAGCAGGGCCTCCACCAAAAAGACAAATTTCTGACACATGATCTTTTCCATATATAAACAACACAAGGCATCGTTTGTGTAAGATGTACATTGTTGATATTGGTTCACAGTATAAGCATTTTTTACTGCATGTATTCCGTATATCGGAGTCCCAAAACTCTCAGTGCGGATGTCGGTCCTGACTGGCCAGAAGTCGGTGGGGACGAACTCTTCACACAGGGAGGCCGCTCTTGGCTTTGACGAAGAGCCATCTGAGCCCTGAGCCTGAGCAGGTATAATTTATATCATATCAAAAAAGTGAGAACGATGTTAACGCGGTTCAAAATCAATTCCAAAAATGAACTGGATCATTGAAACCATTTTTGCATAAACTATAATTAACAAGAATTGTGTGCATGAACATAAGATCGAAAGCTGATTCCAGATATTCCAACGCTGTCAAAAAACTGCTCCAGCTTCTTCTGCATAGCCTCTCGATTCTTTAACAGCTCCTCCTTACCTTAAATTTGTGAAATCGGCACATGTTCTAGCTTAAATGTTGGCGAATATATGCACATGTGCATGCAAAACATATGTGCATACAAGGTGCTCGGCCGAGGTGTTTCAGGATTTGTGTTTTCCACTGCTGGTTTGCTGGCTTCGCTGGTAGTTGCAATGTCAGCTGGCTCGCGTTTTGACATGTCTACACGTGCCTGCACATTGTCAGAAACTGGGTCACCCTTGTCTGAAACCTGAGGTTCATCCTTTGTCAAACTGCTTTGCTTCACCTGATCAGAACCTGGGGGCATAGCATCTTCGACCTTTTCTTTCTGTGCTGCTTCCTCGGTTGTTTTGCCAGGGTTTGTGTCTGCAGTGTCATGCTTTGGCTCATCATCCTTTTTATCATTACCTTGTTCCTCATTACCTGGTACCTCACCTTCCTCACCTTCCTCACATTCCTCACGTTCCTCACCTTCCTCACCTTCTACGTCCTTCTTACCTTCCTCATCCCAGGCATCCTCATCTTCTTCATCTTTCAACTCCTGACTGAAAAATGTTGCTGTGCTTTTATTTTTTTTATCAATTTTTATGTTTGCATGCACTATCATTGAAACCTAGATCCAAAAAAATACATGCAGCAATAAGCACATCATCATGATCACACGCTGTGTCCTCCCTGGACTGGGAAGCTCGTCGTTGGCGTAGCCTTTCATTGACTTCGTCCACCACGGTCTGGAGTGAAGAGGTTGTGGGATTAATGTGCATGTCATGGATCAAGATCGACATGAGCCACTGTATATGTTTAGTGGCTATATCAATATCTATATAGTTGAATTATGTTAGAGCACATGCGTGTGGGAAATTCAGTGTGCTGTATCTCAATGTGCGTTTTGGCTAGATTCAACAAAAGGTAGCATTTAAATTGATAGTATTTGGAACCACTTCCGCCGACCCACCACGAACCTGCAGCATGGGATTGAGAATCAAGCAAAGTTGCTGGAAGGTTTCAACCTGAAATGGAGCCAGCAGAATAGTTCACGATGTGATGAAAACAAGAAGCTTTGTCCCGCTGAGAAAACATTTTTAATCCGAAAATTGAAAGACATATTGTACTCCAGATTGGTTTGTGATGATTTGTGCACATTTGATAGCGCATGGATATAGATATATATATAATATATATAGACAAGTAACTGTGCTGACCTCCTCACGTCGTGCTTTCATTTTGACCAACCCAAGAAGTTTCTTTACCCTCCAGCTTGCTTTCACCACTTCGGCAATCTCTTCAGGAGCATTCCCTGGAGCCCTTTTGTTCTTGGTCAAAAGTTTATCAATCTCAAGCCGCAGTGAATCTACCCCAGGCAAAAGCTTTCCCTCAGCCAAAGACATTCGGGTAAGCAGTGGTGCTAACAGACTGGAATTCAAGCAGCAACCCTGCACTGTGTCTTTTGTGGCCTCAGGATGAATAAAGCTTAATCCATCCCGAAGCCTTTGACGGATGTCCTCGGCACTGTCCCATTCCTCGCACATGCCATCCACATCCAACTGTTCTTTCTCAATACGCTTGACCACGCCCTTCCGATTCATGAAGGGCCACAGCACAACCCGAAAGACTTGCAGTGCCAAACGGCTGCGGATAAGATTTTTGACATGCACACGCTTTTGCATGCACTTAAATATGTCCTAGACCTAGCACACTTTCACCCACATTGAAAGGTTCAAACTGATTTCTTTGTTTCCAATCCATCCTGAACTCTCCAGGACCATTGGGCTTCCAGACTGTGTGGAGCGAGCAAGCCCACGGAGTAAAAAACGGCAAGGGCGGCCATTCAAGTGGTCAAATCCACTTTGCCTGTATTTGGTGATGTGGGGTTGGTTGATTATTTCATTGGTATTATTTCGCCTGGGATATCTGGTATTGATTCTGATATGGCTTGTAGCTAGCAGAGCAGAGTCTCAGAAAGATCAAACCCATGAGTGGGAACTTGTTTGTCACATGGATTATAGTCTTTAAAAAAGTGATTTATTTGTGATATCTTCTTGTTCTTGAAATATACCGGATAATAATCCTATCTATATAGATTTATTTGGGGCCTTCAGCACATCCTGCGTGTGCCCAACCCGAGCCATGACTGAAACACATCTTGTCAGTGACCTGTGCGAGGCGATGTGGCACCGGGGCTTGATAATATTGGAATCACACTATATGCTTGATGATTCATCAGGGTTTAGTGGAAAACCCGAGGTTTTCATACATGACCCGAGAAATTTCCAGGGTTGCACCAAATACCTGAGGTTCCCAGACTGGCCCTACAAATTCTTAGGGTTCTGAAGCATAGGGTATATATATATATACATATATATATACATATATATATATATACATATATATATAATATACATATATAATCATATATTATATATATATACATATATTAATGCTATCCCCATGTTAGTTGATCCCACTTCCCCATCGTTGCTTCAAATCTCCCAGCCCAAGGCGCTAGGAAGGCACTGAGCCGCTGCTTGGCATCGCTGCTCAGACGCTGGTTCTGCTCGACGGCTTTGGACATGCGCTGAACAGCCTCCTGGCGCTGCAGAAAGGAGGCCTCGGTGGCCGAGGGCGTGGCATTGCTTCGGTTTTAGGGGTGGGATTTCCCCCAAAATGTTCTAGGTGATATCTCTGGTTAATGGATGTTAATAGATGTTAATAGATGTTAATAGATGTTAATAGATGTTAATAGATGTTCATAGATGTTAATAGCTGTTAATAGCTGTTAAGAGGGTTCATAAACCACCTGATAAGTGGGGAATATCCCCATTGGTCAATCTTTAGTCCACAAGAAAGGGTCATCGTTTGCTGGTTGTCTGGCTTTGGCGACCTTCCATTTATAGCAAATATAGCAAACAAACGAAGGATTAAACTAACTATCCAGTTGGTTGCGGATGTGTTATGGAAAATCATGGGAAAATCCATCTACAATTGGTATATCATGGGGATACAAACAAACAATAATGAGGATTTACGCCGATAGCCGATAAATGATAAATGTTGTTTTTCTGATTTGTGATCATATGATTTCATATGTGAGTTCTTAGTTTTCAGATTCTACAGAGTTTAATTTGCTACCTACACATCAATTTATCAAACTAGCTGCCTGTCAAACCATGAAGTTCCCATGGAAGCAACCTTGGATGACCAGTCTGCTAGCATGGCAGCATGGCTGAGAACACTTCGGAACTGTCCTAGTGGGAAGTGTCATCTATAGCTCGTCCATTCTTATGTTTTTTTTCCAAAGTCGCTCTTGTATCTTTCTGATCATCTGGTTGGTGGTTTCAACCCCTCTGAAAATGATTAGTCAGATTGGAGTATCATCCCAACTATTGGGGAAAATAAACTAGACGACGGTTGGCCCGAGAGCGAAAAAGATGTTTTTCAAGCAGCTCTGAGGATGGTAGTCGTAAAAGATAGTCGGTGAATAGTTGGTGAATTTTATATGAGCTATGGAAAGATATGGTGTGAAAAAGTAAGATTGATCAAGAAGAGAATATTTGGTAAAGGGCATCAGATGACATGTGTCTTGCAACCACAGAGAGAAAGAGGGGGCAGAGATAAGAGAGAGAGAGAGAGAAAGAGAGAGAGAGAAAGAGAAAGAGAAAGCAAGAGAGAGAGAGAGAATGAAAGGGGGGGGTAGAAAGAAAACATGAAGAAATGTAATGTGAGCAACAAAAGTGCACAGGAGGCTCAGTGCCATGAGTCTGCGAATGACATGTGCTATCTCATTTTATTATGGTAATTCCCACACACATTGCGGAAAAAGGCGCGGCACCATCATTCCGTGAACGCGAAGAAACGCGACGCTTTTATACAGAGACGCTTTTACACACAGAATCTTTTACACATAAACACTTTTACACACAGACGCTTTCACACAGAGACGTTTTTCATGCACACACACAGACGCATTTCCGCACAGAGACTTTTACACGAAAACACTTTAACACACAGACGCTTTTATACACAGACTCTTTTACACACATACACTTTTACATGCAGATGCCTTTTTACAGACGCACACACACTTTCACACACAAACGCTTTTACACACAGACGCTTTTGCACACAGACACAGACGCTTTTCCACACAGACCCTTTTACACACAGACGCTTTTACACACAAACACTTTACACACATACGCTTTTACACACGGACGCTTTTACACGCAAACACTTTTACATACAGGCGCTTTTACACACAGACGCTTTTACACTCAGACACTTTTACACACAGACGCTTTTACACACAGACACTTGTACAGAAACGAAAACGTCCATCGCAATTTTTCCTCAGTTTTTGACGTGCAACGTCCATTTCGTGCGAAAGGGTTACGATTGACAACTCAAAGTCGCACTTTTTCCTCAGGTTTTGACGTCCAACGTCCATTTCGTGCGTAAGGGTTGCGATTGACAACTCAAAGTCGCAATTTTTCCTCAGTTTTTGACGTCCAACGTCCATTTCGTGCGTAAGGGTTGCGATTGACACCTCAAAGTCGCAATTTTTCCTCAGTTTTTGACGTCCAACGTCCATTTCGTGCGAAAGGGTTGCGCGCGACATCAAAGTCGCAACTTTTCCTCAGTTTTTGACGTCCAACGTCCATTTCGTGCGAAAGGGTTGCGCGCGAGGGTTGCGCGGGACCTCAAAGTCGCAATTTTTCCTCAGTTTTTGACGTCCAACGTCCATTTCGTGCGAAAGGGTTGCGCGGGACACCTCAAAGTCGCAATTTTTCCTCAGTTTTTGACGTCCAACGTCCATTTCGTGCGAAAGGGTTGCGCGCGACGGATCAAAGTCGCAACTTTTCCTCAGTTTTTGACGTCCAACGTCCATTTCGTGCGAAAGGGTTGCCGGGGACGCTTCAAAATCGCAATTTTACCTAGGTTTTGGACGTCCAACGTCCATTTCGGCGAAAGGGTTGCGTTTCGTGGCGCTCCGGCGGCACCGCCCCCGCCTTAAGAGAGAATAGAAGAAGAGCGAGAGGAGATCTGCAGATGTGAAGGTGTGAAGATGTAGATCTGCAGATGTGAGGGTGTGAAGATGTAGATCTGCAGATGTGAAGGGTGTGAAGATCTAGATCTGCAGATGTGAGGGTGTGAAGATCTAGATCTGCAGGTGTGCGGTGTGAAGATCTAGATCTGCAGGTGTGAGGGTGTGAAGATCTAGATCTGCAGGTGTGAGGGTGTGAAGATCTAGATCTGCAGATGTGAGGGTGTGAAGATGTAGATCTTCAGGTGTGAAGGTGTGAAGATCTAGATCTGCAGATGTGAAGGTGTGAAGATCTAGATCTGCAGGTGTGAGGGTGTGAAGATCTAGATCTGCAGGTGTGAGGGTGTGAAGATCTAGATCTGCAGATGTGAGGGTGTGAAGATGTAGATCTTCAGGTGTGAAGGTGTGAAGATCTAGTATAACGGCTGCTTTTTTACGAAGAACCCTTCGCAGGCGCTCTCGGGAAAAATGTTCCAAACCACCAACCAGTCATTGTTTGTTGGCTATGACACTTTCGCGAACCAATGCCTGCTAATACCCAAATTTCTTCCTGCTATCCCAGCTATGTGCGCCCCTCAAACATATCAACTGGGATCAAATCACAGGCGGATTAAAGAAATTCAACGAAGATTGAAACCACCAAAAGATACGGAATTCTCTGAAAACAGAGTACCCCACTAGTAAAAATCACCGTGTTGATCACATGCTTTCCACTAAAATGGCAATGGGTTTTCTCTGAAAACAGGGGCAAAATCTCATGGTTTAGCATCATGTTATTGCTAATAAAATAAACATCAATTCCGAATCAAATGACCACCAATTCGGAATACATCTGGATATCGGGATATCCCATCAGTTTCCAAACAAAATAACCATGGATTTAGATATCCCATGGATTCCTGATACAATAGACATATATGTGTGCTAATCCACTATTGTCAGACACACCCCTCATTTTCCATTCATTAAATGTTTGGTAAATCACTATTAATCACCATTAAATGCCGTGTTCATCCATTTTCAATCCCATAAAAGTCCCATTAAATCCATATAAAATCCCAACCCCATTAAAATCGGGTAAATCCCCCAGTGACTTTGCCCGACGCAAAGAAAAAACTGTTCCCATCATTTTCCGTCGCCAGAACTTTAGATCTCCCCAGAACTCCTCCCCATTGTTTCCCTTGGGATTCTTAATGTAGGGTTGTGGGCAATTTTCTTTTGAAAAAATAAGAGATTCTATCTACTTCAGGATGACTATTGATGTGTAATATACATATATACATGTTAAATCAATATATTAAAACCCATATGTATATCTATGTATATTTATATAGAATATGTGTTCTATTCTTTAAACTTATATATATATATAAACCAATATTTGTACTCGCCCAAATTCCCTTGGCACCAAAGGGCTGTCTCGCCACCTTTCAACGCAGCGGTGGCCGCATCTACGCCCTTCACCACCTGTGAGCCGGTTGTGTCGTGGCTTGTGGTAGGAAAAGTTGGGAAAGATTGGATGCGACTAGGAAAAATGAGGCGTTTACAAAGAAGAATGGTGGATTTAACTAGAACAACTGGCGATTTAACAAGAAATATGGGATTCAATGGATTGCTTTTTATTGGACAGATTCACTAGGAAAAAGAGTTGCTAAGGACAATCTGTATGCACTTGGAATGACATTCATGACATATTCTTATAATTGGAACAAAAAGAGATTGCCATTACATGCTATTTATACTGGCGACCGATATTCACTTGGAAGGACATATACTATAATATATAATCATATATATATATACAGTCACATATAGTCACATATAGTCAAAAATGGAACATTGCATCATTGCACTGGATATGTTCTAATCTCAACCCTGTCAGCCTGTCAAGTTACAGGGGATTAATGGGGTATGGTCATTCCACCACCACTCGGATTCTGCAGATTGTGGGTATGTTAACCCCTGCGTTTCTGCGGGGATTACCATCCTCATTTAAGGAAAATAGCACATATTTTGACCATGGTGTTTTTGAGAGTAAGTCCCATATATTAGGTGGTTTTAATCTACTTTGATATGCAATGGAAAAGAAAAATAACATCTTCAGGATTATTCAGGTCACAAAGTGGTCAATTGTCCAAACTCAACAGTTCAAGCCACCTCTCCTTCTTCAGTGACCTCCTTCACAAAGACGTCGTGCTCTTTGCCTGGTGGCTGAAGGATCATTCACCTTGTGCTTGCAAAAGTAGATACATAAATCTATTGCATTGCATGCCTTGGCAGCTTGAACAAAATAACGATAGATGATGCATACAATATTCAATATGTTGGCAGCTTGAACAAAATAACGATAGATGATGCATACAATATTCAATATGATCTAATTCTATGTATGGTAGATACAGGTATAATATACATATAATATGACATGATAATACTACATATAATTATATATATAGGTTTGTCTGAAAATTGGGATCCTCCGAAATCATCCAATTTACCCTCTGGTAATTTAACATCGCTATTGAAAATGGCCATAGAAATAGTGGATTTTCCCATAAAAAATAGTGATTTTCCATAGCTATGTTAAATTACCAGAGGGTACCGTTTTGTTTTATTGCCCCAATTGGATTAAGGGAAAATTTACAGGAAAGCCCCATGATCTTCATGGGAAAATCTATGGTTTCCGGTTAAAATGTTCCCTTAAACCAATCCATTCATAAGATTTGTCATTAGAATTCCCATAAAACAATCGTGATTTTCCAGTTCGCTATGTTAGTCATTACCAGAGGGTTTTTTCATAAGATTTTTCATTCGAAATCAGCGATCTTGGGGTACCCAAAAATACTTCGATGTTTTTTCGTCACCCACCTCGTTGCATCTCGGCAGTCTTCAAGGTCTCTTCCTCTGCAATGCGGTCCTCCTGTGGACACGACATAGGAGCGGCAGACCAGGTGACCCAAATAACTAATGACTAATGGGAGCAATAACTATAGTATAGTATATATATATACTATAGATATACTATAACTATAACAATGAAAAGTTGGCTGGAGCAAGATATAAAATCAGTATAAATAACTAATGAATACTAATGACTAATGTATACTAATGTATACATGTGGCTGCATGCTTGGCGTTGGTGAGCGGATGTGTGGATCAACTGTGGACGGACGATTGGACCACCTGAAACTTGGCTTGGGCCGAGGAGAAACATGACAAGGCCTACATGTCTACGATCAGCCGAGCTACCCTTGGATGGCCTGATTCATCTACATTTCCAAACGGGCAGTGGTTGAAAGGCCATGTGACCACTTCTTTGACGGCGTTTTTCTTGGACTGGGCCACCCAGCAAGATTTCTCAGATGCTCCCCTTTTGGATAGGGCAAGGAAGGCGGCGATTTGCATTTCCGCTTGTTTTGAAGGCCTCTACATGGGGGACGTGTGGCTGCCGCAGGATGAAGCAAAGAAGATTGCTGGCAACGGCTTGCGGTTCCTTTCCCTCTACAGAGAACTATCTTGGAGATCCTATCACCTCGAGAAGTCGCTCTTCAGTCACATGCCCACAGGGCATGCTATGTGCCACATTTTCCTGGCATTGAAGTTGTCATCTTTGCTGCATGAATATTCATTGTCACCGCTGGTGACGGCAGTAGAAATAGATGAGGATTACATTGGCAAAGTGTCAAGGCTCAGTCGGAGAACAAACCCTGAGCAATACCATCTGGTTATTTAACATAGCCATGGAAAATCACCATGTTTAATAGGTAAACCATCTATAAATGGGCCATCTATACCATGGCTATGTTAAATAACCAGAAGCAATCCATCAAGAGAGTCTTTTCCAAGATCTCTTTTGGCATCCTTCAAGCACTGGAAACCTGCTGCTTTCATCAAGTGACCGCGCTGCTTTCAGAGATCTGAAGCGTGTTGGCTTTGTAGATCCCATCGATGTCCACAACATTTTATGGTATGTTGATATACTTGGCCTAATCTTGGAAATAGCTGATTTCCAAAAGTTCGACTTTTTTGGGACAAGATCGTCGTTTCCAAGGTGTCTGCAATTTCAAGGGTTTTGGGATCCCAAGGTAGGAAATATCCATTACTAATTGCACTTTAATTTAGTGGCAAAAAAATAAAATAAAAAAGAACAAAAACTAACCTGGGGGAACCCTATGCCATAAGCAACTACAAATTTGGGGGCATGGTTTATAAATGTTTATAACACCTAAACCTTGTGATTTTGGGGATCGTTTATACCCTTGGTTTTACCAACTTACATGTTGTTGTTTTTTGAGATGTTTGAAGACAATTAGAAACATTGTTGTTTTCCAATTTAGCTATTTCATCTTAGTCCATCACAAGTTGTTGTTTTGTTGTTGTTTTTTTCGGACCTTCAAAATCTTAAAACAGGAATTGGATTTAATTGTATGTCATCGGATGGTTCCTCCAAATTAGCAGCCACATGTGGGCTATCTTCAACAATGGTCCAGGTCAAGGTCCTATCCGGTGGAGGTCAGTAACGGTTTGGGTTTGTCCCAATTCCTTTGGGACAGGTCCTTCAGTTTGTTCCACATATGTTCCCATTTAATTTGACTCATAGTCAACCATGCAATATGTAGCATATTTGTTGCTTCAAGCCTTCAAGCCATATAATTCGCCCGAAGTCCAAATGTGTGTCTTATATACGTATTATATATATATAAGAGAAAACGAATGTCTTCATCATGTGGGCTGTGATACGGTGATACCCAAGTCTATGGCAATACCACATTTCTGAAAATTATATAGTTAAATACCATGTGTCATAGTTAAACAGCACATGTTCATCTTTTTCCATTGCTAAATCATGTTAAAGTCTCATCTTTGTTCGTACATCCCCCTATAAAATAGTAATGGAAAACCCATGGTGCCCCCACTGTTTGATGCGTAAATCGCCATGGCTGTTGCTACCGTAGATATCCTAGAAACAACATATCCCATATTTTTGGGTTATATAAGTGTTATATATATATATATATATTTATTTATATCAGTTCTATTCATTTCTATCCATGTCTTGCTGGTCGTATCTAAGTTAGATACCCATCTTCAGGGTTGCTCCCAACACCCAAGATATAAGGGGTTGTTTTTCTGGGTAAATAAAGATGTCAAATGACGAGTTTCCCACCAAAAGTGGCTATGGAAAATCTGGAAATCTGCTGCGCTCCTTCAGAGTCTTCACCTCTTGTTGCAAGGCACTGATCCTGAGATTTGTCGCTGCGACCAAAGGAAAAAATCGGGCGGTTCGCTGACCACGCAGAAGAATGAGAAAAGTGGGGAGTTTGCCAACAAATGTGCGAAATTAACCAACAACACATGTGAGTTAACCAAAGTTTAGGCAACAAAAGTGACGAGCCAACGAAAAAATAAAGTGGAATTTCATGAGCCAAAAACCTGGGTTTAACATGTATCAAGCATCATTTTGGGTGATATCAAAACTCTCCGAGTCTAAAAACTCTCCAAATCCATACATTATAGATATTGAACTCTAGTCTTGTCCAGTGTAGGCCTGGACCCACACCACCCACACCTGGACCTGGACCTGTCGCCAGGGCCAGGGTGCTCGGACTGCTTCTTGTCGATATCCGCCTGGGAGATGGGATTCGTCTCAGCTTGACGGATGTTGTCCTCGAGTTCCGCGATGGTCTTCTTGCAGTAGCACTCGAACTTGTCGTATTGATCCGACTCTTTTTTGGCTTCATCCTGAGGCCAACAAGTGTGGGAACCCCAGCATCCCCGTGGTGCGTTCTTGTGGCCTCTATGTGCCTATCCGGTGGCTGGTCCCTCTAAGGAGCCCCATTTTCACACACAGCCTGCACTTAAAGGGCACAGGAACTGGATCGATATTTGTTGAAAGGAAGCCGAGGAAGCAAACTGCAGAACTGTGCATGCCCTGGATTCAACCCACTGCTCTTCGAGACTCTTCAATCTTGTCTGCCATTTTCTCCATCATAGACACGACCTAAACGGAAACGGGGACTGGATGGTAACAGAGCAAAATGTCAACAGGCCACTGGGTCAAACGGGCAACTGGGTAGTCTATCTAGGCTAGAAATGACTTACATCTTGCTTCCCTGTGTCTTAAACGTATGGACCCATTTCACTTGCAATGGCTGCGTATACTGTCTAAAACAAGAAGTGCTTCCTGATCGTACTGTGTCGTCATCACCAAACCGACTAATTCTCCTGGTCTTTATGCCTACAGTAGCCTGCCTCGCAAAATTGGGTTTCAGGAGAAAAGGGGAGAGGCTTCTGGGCTGTCAAACTGGCGCATGAAGTAGACAATGACTTTGTAAGTTTGGACCAGTGGCCCTCCATTCATTTTTGTTAGTCAGTGTTTGTTTATCAAACTCATACGCAGGAGGCGATTTCGACAATTTTGACATTATACTTGAGAGATCATTGTAATTTTGAAAGAACACAAGTACAGTAATTTGGAACAGAACAACTTCTTGTTTGCAGATTTCCGCAATTTCCGGTTTCTCCCCCTTCCCCCCTCAACACCACGCCTTGCGAATGGGGTTGCCAGTCGCCATGGTGTCCACTCGGTGGGTCGTGATGGCAAGGCCACTGGTGGCCAAGATCGCCAGAATGGTCTTCATTGCGAGCACCGAAACTTCAACGAAGGATGGAGTTTCGGGTCGGGGGAAGCGCGAAACCACGCGGTGGAGGTGTACACGCAGCTCGCAGCTGAAGAGCCGATCAGCGGTGAGAGTTCGCGACAACTCAGAGGATGATGATCATCTACATCATATTATATAGATATATATATTATAAATATATATATATATACGTATCATATAAAGATATATAAAGTGTCATTGGAAAGGATGAAAATCATATCCAATTCGAACCTTTGGTCGTTTCACAAACTCTTTATGTCAACTTGCAGTATTTACAAATCACTCTGCCGACCCAGCTTGATGAAGCCGAGGGAGTAACCCAGCTTGTCAACGGGATCACACATCGGACCTGCATATCGGTGGGCAGATTGGCATAGATGGGCAACACCAGGAGCTCACCCATCTGAGTGCCCATGCCTCCGCTGGACCAGGATGAAAAGTCGTACATCATCTGGAAGCTGATATGTGAGATTAGTTCATGGCTGCAAAACAGGATGTTTCATGGGAACTTAATGCGATGTATCCAACAAACATATTTTTTTGCCCTCTGGTTATTTAACATAGCCATGGAAAATCACCATTTTTAATAGGCAAACCATCTATAAATGGACCATTTTCCATGGTTATGTTAAATAACCAGAGGGAAAATAACCAAATGTTCACAACCATCCAGGCAGGGTAAGGGCCCCCTCATAAATTTGCTGCGCGGCGCGACTTCGCAAAATCCATCCGGATGGTACAGGGTGTAGCACGAAAATTGCTGGGATCTTCTGGGATGTTCATCCCCTGAAAATATCTTGGTAAATTATAACTGGTTGGTGGTTTGAACCCCTCTGAAAAATATGAGTTCGTCAATGGGAAGGATGACAACCCATATATGAAATGGAAAATAAAAAATGTTTGAAACCACCAACCAGATAATATTTCACTAAACTGAACTAAGGCCATTTGGAGATGATTTCTCGAATCCTAACCATGATTCCAGTGAGGTCGCAGTGAGGTCGTTATAATTTACCCAGAAATATGGTATTCTAGGTTTTGATCCATCCCCAGTTCTCCTCCAAAATAAAATCTGGTAGTCTAAAAGATTCTCAAGGTACATGTGCACCAAGATTCCTGAAAGAATCGATCATAAGGAAATGAAGGTTTCCTAAAATGGGGGTACCCCCAAATCATCCATTTTAATAAGATTTTCCATTATAAACCAGCCATTGTGGGGTAGCCTCCATTTTGGGAAACCTCCAAGTGATGTATCTGTGGCCAATAATTCCACTTCTTCCCCAACCTGAAATCTTTGATGGTTTTAGGGTAGCTCCTCATCTATGAACCATCATCTATGGTAATATCGCCAGTGAGGTCATAATTCACCCAGATATATGGTGATCTCCCAGTCCTTGACGCTTAGATCTGAAATGCTTTCCCATCTGCGTGGCTCAACCCCTCATTTTCCGTGGTTTAAACATGTAGATTCGTAGAAGTGTAGATCTGTAATATCCCAAGTTCTGTTACTTAAACTCCACACTTGAGTAAAATCCCGAAATCCCGGCGGAATCTGGAAAAACGCCTCGCGTCTTGAGGCTCAGCAAGTCCATCGCCTGCGATGAACACCCTGATTTTTTGCGAAAAAGCCACCATAGAAAAATATATGATCCAACCATTGAGAAATCATCCTGATTTTTCTATGGTTGAAAATGAAAAATGATGAAAAATGTGTCAAACCATGTCAAACCACCAGACTTTAAGATGGTTTAGAGGAATATTTGCCTGCTTGAAATCGTCAGCTTGAGGTATCCCGTGGTTCAAGCCAGTTGACATGTAGCTACCCCTACGGATGAAGACTAGATTTCTGGCCCATCAATTCGAATTCCAGGAGTCGAAGTTGAATTTGAACCATAGACAAATGGCTTTTTAAATCAGGCTCCATACTTCTTTCACGATGCCGGATTGGGAAGTTACCTTTGCCCGGGGGGGCCGTGGAGCGGAAAATGTCGAGCTAAATCAGAGTCGAACTCCAGATGCAACCCATGGTTTTTTGTTCTTCTTTATTTACCTACATTAAAATAAGAATAGCCCAGTTATGTAGGTGTTCATATTCCAGCACCGTTGCATCTGGGTCCCAATGATCTGACCTTTTTTGCATCTCCAATCCCCAGGGACGAAAAAATCACCTATAACTTATAACTAATGAAGAAAGTCATAAGCAATCAACCAACTATTACTGATTGAGATCTATCAAGTATAGTGTAAGTATATGTAAGTATATGTAAGTATCTAAATATAGTATAACCCTGTCTATCAACCAAGAAATATTAACTAGAATTACATAGAATTGCAGAATATAACAATCTTGCTTATCAACTAATATCAACTCCGGATTAATAACCACTATGTCGTTCAATTGGGGGAGGTACCATTTAAGTCTCAGATTATTCCTGTTTGGGGAGAACCCACAAACATGTTTTAACCAGGGTTGATTTGGTCATCAACTATAGTATTACATAATATTACGGCCAGGCGCTGTGTGTTGCCCGGAAGGTTCAAATGGCGTTTAAACATGTGTAAACATTATCCTTCCACATGCTCAAACACCTGCGCAGGGCCAGTGTTTTGAGATTTCCCAGACGACGAACCCTAAACCCTAAAACCCTAAACCATTCAAAACCCCAAAACCTCAAACCCTAAAACCCCAAACCCTAAAACCCTAAAACCTAAAACCTAGGCTCTGAAAACTTTGAATCCTAAACTGGAAACACTGCGTATACGCAGTATTTTCTGCAATCTCTCCTATCATATATTCGACAGCACGACATTCTCAATGTTAATGTCTGAGCAACACACGGCATCTGTGGCTAATATTACATATAGGTATAACAATAGTGCTTATCAACTAATCAATGTATAAGCAACGACAATCAACAAAGATCAGCACGTGACCCGTTCCGTTGTCGCCTCTTCGATTTCCTGCTGCCCAGTGAAAAAGACCAGCACGTCACCCGGCCTCGGCTCGCTGTACCGCTGGATTCCCCCAAAATTCAAGTGCGATAACTATAGTAAATAGATGATAATATAGATCAATATATAGATGTTAAATGATGTTAAATCGATGTTAATAGATGTTAATAGGGCCTTGATAGGGTTTATAAAACCAACTTCTAACTGCGTTGGTTGATCAGATTTCCATGGATTTCCCCGATGGATTGCGAATGATTGTGGTACCCAGTGTATGAAGGTAAGTTAATGTAATCCCCAAACTACCCGGCCTGGTCATGACTAACAGTTTGCGACATTGAAGCCATGGCCATAGATTTATAGTGGATTTACCCATAGAAAATGGTGATGTTGCCATTAAAAATGGTGATTTTCCCATTAAAAATGGTGGATCTTTCCATACAGTAGTAATGTAAACGTTTACCAGAGGAAAATTATGATCAACCAACAGGGCTTTGTTTCGCTCTGCTCATGTCGAGAAACCAAATACCTTGGACCATGAGAATTTACCTAGCGGTCGCCAAAAAATGTTAGCGTCATGAATTCTTGAATCATCACCTTAGCACGATTGGAACCTTGACGTTTTTTTGTGAGCGGCGGAAGGGTCAAGTTCAATTACCATACTCGGGGGGATGAATATCCATAAATCCCAGCTGACGGTTGCAGGGGTACTGATCGGGTATTGACCCATAATCCCATAGTTGTTCTGGCAGTTTCTGGCACGGGTTTGCATCTCACCACCAATGAGCTTCTGCGCATGCTGACCCAGTTGACAGGCAAGCACATCACTATACCCCCACTAGCATCTTTTGAATACCAAATAGCAGCTACCAAAGAGATCCAAAAAGGGAATATTGAGATTGGCTTACTCAGGCGTTGGCTTGTATAAACTGTAAAATCAATAAATGCATCGCGAAACTTAGATACGATGCAAAAATCTGCAAAAAAGAAAAGATAGTAAAAGCTTGGCTTAGTTAGTTAGTACCAAACTACTAAACTTCCCATTTAGTTCTCCAAAAACCCTCAGATTTCTTGGTTTTCAGTCCTCATATAAAAATTCATGGTGGGCCCCTGAGATGTCGACCCCTGCGTGAGGTGAATCTGAAGCACGGTCATGACCTCATCTTGGGATTATGGGACCTGGGAATCATGGGATCATGGCGCCTGAAAAAATTGGCGCCTAATCAGCCAGATACCTTCTGGTAAACTAACATAGCTATGGAAATGGCCCATTTATAGATGATTTACCTATTAAGAATGGTGATTTTCTATAGCTATGTTAAATTACCAGAGGGCCCCTGCAAAAAATGGACCAAATTCTTTGCTGGTGAAGGGTTCGATAATCCCAGCCTGATACCCTGCAAGACTGACTAGTTAGGATTATTAAAGTATCCATGTAAGATTGACCTAGTACCTAGTAATCCTGGGAATTCTTCCAAGCTGTGAGCAAATCATGAACATTCGAGGGAATGTGGTCGACCTCAAAACACAACCCAGTTACACCCCCTCGAGCAGCCCTGTTCGTTGGGGATATCCACCAACTACGACAAGATCAATTTGTCCATGGGTATATAGCGGGAGAAAAATGGGATCAATTTGTAGATGGGTGTCTGTGTGTGTTTTTTTGTTCTCAATGACTGATAGATTCCATCAAAACATGATAAGGTTCAATGTGTATTTACATGTTTACATGTTAATATATCAATATATATATATACAATTATATATACACAATTATATGTGTATATATATATACATTATAGTCCACGTGCTTCTGCACCGGAATTTGATAAACGTTGAAGGTTTAAGCAGCAATCATGAATATGATCGACACATTCCAAGAACTGCCAGCTGAAGATGGAGATACCCACCAAATGTCAGGTTTTGAGAGGAAAATGATGATAAACCAACATTTGGGATACCCTATTTATATCTATTTATCTATTTTCAAACACACTCATATCATTTTTCAGGGTGCCGCAGGGTGCCTGCGTGATAATTACCCCTAATTACCAGGGCATACTGTAGGTGCCCAGCACAGTAACGAAACCAACGTTGCTCTGCACGAAAAAGGTGATAGTCCTCCAGGTCCCATACGTATGCTTTCTGTCATATGCTGTTCTCTCCATATGAATAGCGCCTTGGAAAATCCTGGCACTTTTCACAAAATCATGGCTATGTTATGGGATGGAATGATAATTATGGGATAAAACAAATGGGATTTTAAAAAAAATGGGATAAAACATATCATGATAATTATGGGATGGAATGGACATCCAAATCTCGTGACATGTGACAACCCCAGATCCTGTTGTGGCGATGTAAAAAACGACCACCATCCCCCGACAAGGGACACAAGCGTCCAGATAGTTTGCTTCCGGGGCCTTGGTATAGTGGATAGCCACCTCGGGACGCGACACACAGCGGCTGTGGGGTCTCAACTGGGACTTATTTCGATGCATTCTGCTAAGATTGGCCAGGACAGGTTCTTTTTTTAAAGAGGGTTCGCAAACCCTTCAATTAGGGATACTCTCTGGTTATTTAACATAGCCATGGTATAGATGGCCCATTTATAGATGATTTTACCAGCTAGAAACCTCCATTTATAAGGGATTTTCCATAGCTATGTTAAATAACCAGATGGTACCTGAAAGAAAAGATGATAACAGCAATATGTATATACAGCCCCATGAAAATACCTGGGATCAGGTCCAAACATGGGCCATTGGCCCCTCCCCATGGTCGACAGTGATCGGCCAAGACACCGGATATCTTCGTCCTGGGACATTGAAGATCGGCGCCTCAGGGCGGCCGAGACTTGACAGCTGGATCTACCCGTGTCAGCTGAGGGCGGCATGGCGAAGGAAAACTGACTCATAAAACATTTAAGAAGCGGGTACCAATAGTTCACATTCACTCCCGGCGATCTGGAAAAACCTGTGTTTACCTGTCAACGAGTCAACAGTGTCAAGCTTCCAAGATCAAGTCTATCCCTGATTCAGATGATTCTCCCGCCCTCGTTCCAAAGGAAAACTGGGCATAATTTGCCAAGGACAATCTAAGATACCCTGCAAATGGATCTTTTGGTGGTTAATATACCGGGCATAGACCTTGGTGTGTATATATATATATTCAGTGCCTTTGTAATCGTATAGATATACTGGTTATATATGTAATACATAGTCATATATTAACATGTATCATGTGTATATATATATATATTATGTATATATATATACAAGTTACTACTTATAAATGTGTATCTTGTCTATATATATAATTATATATATATATATCATGTCCCGTATATCCCCATCAGAAAGACAAGACCGATTCGTTAGTCCTGAACCAAAAGAACCTGCGGCTGCCGGCGTTGTCGAAGTATTCCGAGAACTTCTCTGCGTCCAAGGTGGCCTCAGGTCCCATCAGGTCCCATGGTCCGATCTCAGGTCAGATGACAACGGATGGCAATTGGGATAAAATGATGGTTAATATATGGTTAATATATGGTTAATATATGGTTAATATATGGTTAATATATGGTTAATATATGGTTAATATATGGTTAATATATGGTTAATATATGGTTAATATATGGTTAATATATGGTTCATATATGGTTAATATATGGTTCATATATGGTTAATATATGGTTAATATATGGTTAATATATGGTTCATATATGGTTAATATATGGTTAATATATGGTTAATATATGGTTAATATATGGTTAATATATGGTTAATATATGGTTAATGATGGTTAATATATGGTTAATGATGGTTAATATATGGTTAATGATGGTTAATATATGGTTAATGATGGTTAATGATGGTTAATGATGGTTAATATATGGTTAATGATGGTTAATAATAATGTTGGTTAAGATCATTGTCATCCATTGTCATCATAAATTGGGATAAAATGGCTGACCCATGATCTCCATGTTGTTTCCCAAAAATAAGATAACTCATGATATATCAATCTGGTTGGTGGTGCAATAACCATCTTGAAAAATGATGGAGTTCGTCAATGAGAAGGATTGTCCCATATATTATGGAAAATAAAAAATGTTTCAAACCACCAACCAGGGATGTTTTGGGATATGACATATGGATACTATGGAATCCCAGTTGGCATCTGATCGAACTATGGCAATATGGATACTATGACAATGGAATCCCAGTGAATGGCAATTGGCTTAAAGAACCATTCGAAATTTCGATCCTGGATGGAAATCGGAATTACTTGATGTACCCTCTGCTAAACGTTTACGTAACGAACTGGAAAGATCCACCCATTTTTCATGGGAAAATCCACTATAAATCACTATTTTCAATCGCTTTTGGTATGTTTACCAGGTCGGGTAACTCCAATTCAAACGTTTGCCACGCCCCGGTGGCGATCCAAGTGGATCCAAAATATCCACCATCCAAAAGTGCATATGCAAATACATAAACACTAATACAATATAGAAACATGTAAATACAAATACATATACCATCATATACCCATGCATATTCCAGTATATCTACAATGATGTGTATATATCTGGGCAAATTACAATAATTCACTAACCTGAAATAAAGCAATTTGGGGATGATTCCCCTTACTAACCATGATTTCCAGTGAGGTCGCAGTGAGGTCGTTATAATTTACCCAGATATATATATAATTACATATTAAGTATACCCAGCTAAATTACGTACAGATCGTATAGAAAAACGATAAACCAACTTGAAAGACCCAGCCGCTGAAGAGATGATGAGTTTCAAGTCTTGTCGGAAGCGCGCCACCTTGGTTGATTTCAACATGGCGGTGGGAAAATGTCACACTCCTACCCAGTTCACACCAAGAATAGCAGGAATTGCGAGGTGGAAAAAAAGAAATGCTAGTTCATAATAGTTCATAGGTGTTGTTCCAGGGACCGGGCATATCTGAACAATTCTGAACAGAGAAAAACTATTGTCAAAACCCATCAACATTTGCTATTTTAACATGTTTTTGCTCATCAAGAATGTGGGCATTTAGTATTGATATAGTCGATAAATATTAAAATGATGGTTGATTGATTATGGCCATTGAATGGGAACATAATTGGGATATACTGTAAGACAGGATACATGTAATCAAGAAAATAGCATAGGTTCGAAAAGAGACCGGAGTGGGTTATATATTCATTGATCATTTGCACCGGCTTTAGCCACAAAAAATTGGGATATAAACCCAACAGCTATAACCGTGGAGTTCCGTTCACTACCCGCTTAGCAAAGCGGGTCTCATCTGTGACCATACTGAGTTGACCCTACGTCCTTCACCAAGCCAAACAGCACGTCCGTGTGAAGGGTTCGTTCCTGGAAGCGAAGTTTCTCAAGCGAAATATGGGGATGATCAGCATCAAAATAGCCAAATATGATGGATGTTCATCACCCATATCGGCCCCATGGTATTATCAGTTTTAGTCCATAGCCATATCGAGTTTGTTCAAAAAAAACGATAAAAAAAGGGAAGACCGGGGATGCCCTGATTTATAGCCATTATATAAATACTCAGGAAAATGATGATAAACCAGCCTGGGTTCTGATTATGGAAAGTGAGTTTGGACAATGATTATATATATGGAAGACTCATGCAAAAACCCAAGGAAAATAATCGAAAAATTGCAGGTTCATTTAGCACTTGGAAGTAAACATCGACAAGTTTTTTGTAAACTCGCTACAAAATCTCTTGTAGAAAATATGAAAACTATCGGTCGAAGCAGAAATATATCCCTGTGTTTCTTGAAAACTGACGATTCTGGGATAAAATGCCAACTTCAAGAAGCGGATAGAACAATTTCGGCTATGTACCGACGATTCTTTATAGTGGCGTCCTTACTCTTTGGATGTCATATTGCGGAAGCGGCCAAGAGACGTTTGCCACTGGAAGAACCCAAGTATTCTTGCAAAGGATATGAAGATGCTGGAATATGATGGAACACTTCAAAGCGCCATGCAGTTGGGATGGATCATCATAATGTGACGACGCAACAAATAATAAACCTGCATATGTATATATATAAAGCAAATGATACATTGTTGAAAGGTATATTCCAGTGTATTACTACATTATGTTCAAAAAAACGGTAAAATCAGGTATGTATATCATATTAATATTAGTATAAATATGTGATATTAAAATATACATTATATATATACAGTATATATTCTATTGATCTATTTTCCACCTTCCCATCTTCCACAAGACGCAACGTCTTGTGGAAATTTCCCGATCCCAGAAGAAAATCAGGCTGATTTTTTGGGGCTCGCACATGCGCTTCGTCCACCATCATGACCTTAAGGACGAGAAGGGTGGAGATTGTGTCTGATTTGAACCTCTAATTATGTGATATGAAGGGCTTAATATTAAGGGATGAGATCCTGACATATTTGCTGTTTGCCCATATTTTTCCCTGATCATTCCCCATCTTATTAGAACATCATTTTTCATTAGGGCTTCTAATTAAGGGATAATCAGGGCCTATTTCTTGTGAAAACAATGCGTTCAAAAATGTTCTAATTTGGTGTTTCCTGCATTACCACATCTTATCACATCCTATTCCCGCTATTCCTAGATTACAGTATGTGACAGTATGTTGCAGTGTCCGACTTGGGGTTACTATGGGTTATTGTTATCACTTGTAGATGAAATTCCGTTTGCAAAACAGCTCAATACAGCTCAAGAATCAGTGAAACAAGTAATCCCCATCGGACCATGGATCAAAATGAAGGAACTCCGCAAGTTTCAATCTGAGCTCGGCCACAAGCCTGGTGAAACTTCTGGTTTTTCATGGTGGGTTGATAAGTGGTTCTAGTCATCTGCAGGCGTGGTCACAAATGTTCTCCCTGTAAATGGTGGTACGGCTATATGTCCCAGATGCTCCATGGTGCTGGAATATTTACCTACATTTAGCCCAAAAATAGCCCAGTTTTGTAGGTAAATATTCCAGCACCATGGAGCATCTGGGTGTTATAATCTTCTATCAGTCTTGATCATTCACAATGAGTCCGCACTGAGGTCACTATGGCTACAGGTTAGTGCCGTTGGCGACTGTTCATCGACAGAGGTTTCACAAAATGGGGCACCTCTCCCCGAATCACCCGTGGTTGTTTCAATAAATCGTCTACCAGTCTACCCTCTGAGAATTTGTTACATAGCTATTGAAAATGGCCCATGTATAGTTGATTTACCCATGAAAAATGGTGATTTTCCATAGTTATGGTGATTTACCCATGAAAAATGGTGATCTACCTATTAAAGATGGTGATTTACCTATTAAACAAACTGTAAAACGTTTACCAGAGGGTGACTCAAAGGGCTGAAAATCTCAGTACGCAGCGGAATAGGATGCCATGTCAGGTTCGTTCCTCAGCGCGGCGGCGCCACACATGGCATGGCGCCCCCAAATGGGAGGATCATCACAGATTTCAAGGGATCGTTGGAAGAAATTGGCTAATTCAACGGGAAAATTAGCTAATGTTAATGGGAAATTAGCTATAATTAAATTGGATCATAACAGCTACTCAATTAGCTATAATTAAGTTTGTCTGAAAATGTCTGAACATAATGGGAAAACCTCATTGAATCCACTGATTATATAAGCAATGTGAATCATCCCATGATTTAAAAGTCAATTTCCCCGTTTTCCGACAAGCCCAGCTAGGCCGCTGGGTCAGACCTCTGAGATTCGTGCAGGAAGCTTCGCAGCAGCATTCCATCTGTCATGTATTCGATGATGGTGCGATCGGTCGTGCAATCCTGCCACATCCAAGCAGGCCATGACCCGCTAACCTCAACCATGACTCTGAACATGAAGAGATAAGCAATTACTCAATTTGACTCCAGAAAAATCATACCCCGGACCGCTAAAAGGATGGGTGTTCCTTTAGCTTCCTTCAACCAAACCTACGAATATCTGGTGCTCCTCGAAACGGATGTTGTATCCGACTTCATGGCCGACCTTGCAACCTCAGCTCTCAATGGTCTGTCAAACATATCACTGATCGGTGAAACTTTAAATCCCAAAACATGTATATATGAGTCATTCATCATCATCATCATCATCATCATCATCATCATCATCAATCATCATCATCCCAGATAGGTGGAGCAAAAATAAACACATAAACTCACGAAAGCAAGTCAGTGGTTTGGAGGGCCTCCAGAAGCCTAGCACGGCTGCAAATCACCCTGTTCCAAATTCCATCCGAAGAGATTGAGATGATCAACGATCAAGAAACACACTGAAAACATCGAGAGGAACCCCCAGAAAGACAGAACAGCCAATTACCACTGTTGTGGTCAAATTTTAGTGTTCTATCTTGGGGACTGCTGTGCTGTACTATGTTTTGATGCACAAGCTTTAACATCAAAAAGGCAAGGCGCACAGCCAATCCGCATTCAATAGGATCAACGACTCAGTCATTGTCCTTTGCTGAAGACTACAAGACTCCCAGTTCCAAGCAGTGAATCCACCCTGTTGGAAGATCATGGAAGATATTCAGGATATTTCAGGATACAGGAAATCTGGGTCATGCTGTGCCACTGTGCCTGTTTGATTTTGAGACCAACTTGGCCAACTCGGGATGATTCTGCCCACCGCCCACCGCCTGGGGCCCCCAACCATACTCTTTCGCCACACGGGCTGCCACCTTGGATGCCACAACCCCCGGGGCGAACATGCCAGGTGCCCTATCTCTGGTGCATTTGTTAAGATTTCAAATATTCACCCACACCCAAGGGGGCTTTGAAAAAAAGGGGCTTCCCCAAGTCACCATGGATTTCATTGGATTTCAATCTCAAAATTCTCATATTTTTTAATGCCATGATTTGGGAGTACCCCAAAAATGACTTCGGACCCAAATCAAGGCATGTCCTCGCCAGGTGTCAGACGGACATTGCCGCCACTCGTCGCGGTTGGGTACACCTGGCTCCACCGAGATGAGTTGTGGGGAACAAACAAGACCCGAAGTCTGAGTCGAGCGACTGCAGAATTCTATATGGCTTGTCAGTGATTATAATTAAGAACAGCAGGAATGAAAAACACTTGAAAGCTTGGATGTATCCAATGCTCAAGCCGAGCTTGTGATCAACCGGTTCTCTCAAAGTATCTGCACACTGCAGGCCACTGACATAAGGTCCACAGAAGCCGCACCCGATCTTGCCGATCTTGGAGTAGCCCACTTCGTGCAAGTACTGCCTCGGAGTCAAGTTCATGTAGATAGTTTAGTGCTCAGGGTCTATTTTATCATTATGTTTCATCCACTGGCATCTTGTAGTTGTTACATCATCTTACTAATCCATTTGATTCCTGGTTACTTACTATTCTTGTTTTGGTATCTCCCTTGATTGCTTGGATCCACAATGCTGGGTATCAATGCTGCCTGATTACATGTCGAGGGAGTGCTATTTACGTCTAGGCTGAAAAACCGTCGCGCCAAACAAGCGTATCACAAGATCATGTGTTCTTCTAAGTGTTGCCATCACTCTGAACTAAATCAATGTGGTAACCCCAACAATCAACCATACCCAACACCACCATCTTTTATAAGTCGTATAAACCACCCCCCCCGAAGTCATGGTAGATGTGTTGTGGCAGCCAGGGTTGCCCTCATTAACAATGATCGTCATATTAATTATATCATCACTATCATCATGATTAACCATTATTAACCACTATTAACCAATATTAACCACTATTAACCAATATTAACCACTATTAACCACTATTAACCATTATTAACCACTATTAACCATTCATTTCATCTCCGTTATCGCCAGGCGCTCGGGCGGGATCTGAGTGGTCTTCCCAGACCCCGTCTCGCCCACAATGATCAAGACCTGCGATGGGATGGATCATCTCTGGTGCTGCGATTGGTCGCTTTTTGAAAAATGATGGGATCATAAAATATAAAGATCAATGGTTATATAACATAAATGTAATGGATAACATTTATATAATTTTATATATATATGTATGGGATCAATGAGATCCATGGGATCAATGGTATATATATATAAATATGGATAATCCCACATTGATATTAAGAAGGGATCATTTCTACAGGGAGTTACATGGAGTTTTCTTTGATTAGGGCTGACGGGCTGATTCTCCAGTCTCTTGGCACTGTCCAAGTCCCACCTGGTAATCTCTGACCGCCTCCAAGAGAGGTGCCTGCTGTGCAGATGTGGCCGGCCAGGGCTGTCTGCGCTTCTGTTTGTCTATGGTGCTTCTAATCATCTCAAGCTGGAAGTCATGACAAGAAGAACAGCTTTCAGCCACTGCTGATGTGTTTTTTTTAGCGGCCGCCAAGGATGCAGATGTGAATTGATTGTGGATCAAGTGACTCAAGGGGTTGGTTTTCGGCAATACACCAATGACTATCTGGTTGGTGGTGACTTAGCCATCTGGAAAAATATGAAAGTCAATGGGAAGGATGACATCCTATTATGGGAAATGAAAAATGTTCCAAACCACCAACCAATGACTATATTTCAAGGTATGATCCATAGCTGGTGGCAGAGTCCAAGGCTCCTGAAGTAGCAAGCACCTTCAACTGCATGGGAGAGACACCCATCAAACACCCAAAGAATGACTACCAAAAACCTTAACTTTCCAGACCTGTTTATTTGTGGCGTCATCCTCCTTTCATTTGACCATGCAAAAGGCTCGCAAACATCCAATGCTCTCTATCGTATCAAGTTGGTGTCATGATTATCCCAGTAAATATCCCCATGATTACAGTATCCCATTATGATTGCTTAAAATCCGTGCTATGCCCTTAAATTATCCTCAAGTGCTGGGCCACTCTGCTTGACAGACAAAGCCGCCTTGTAGAGGTACACGGGCAAACTTTTCCGGTCTTTTAGCAGCTTATCCGCCTAGATGCTGCGATGGATCATGATGGATCTCAGTGGTCCCAATAGTTATCACCATGCCCCCCAGGCAATCATCAACATTAGGTGAACTACATAATGATAGGGGATGATAGGGGCAGAGAACTTGTGTAGATAGATATAACTTGACAAATATGAACAACCTATGTAATGGTTATCCAACCATTTACACACATATCACTTGGGTCAATAAATGATCTTAGGTGCCATTTGGGGCAGTCGAAGATTTGCATTAGTCATGGTTGATTGACCGTTCACATGGCCAGTCTTGGATTGTAATCACGCAAAAAGTGAACAAAAAAAATAGCTGATTGGGATTTACATATGTCAGATATCCGTGTGTATATATATACATCAAGATGTGTCCCCCTCCGCTAAAACCCAACCTGTTGGTCCAAGAGCCGTTTCGGCCAGCGTGCTGCAAAAGTGCTGAAAATAGAACGGAATTCTCGACGTTCATCCACTAGCAACCCCCGCTTGATCAAATCATGTCTGAGCTGGGGCAAGTTCTTCCCCTTCGAAAAAAAAAAAGAGAACATCAAAGCCAGAGATCATTCATGTCTGCCAAGTTCACCCCTGTCAGCACCAGGACGGGTTCGGTAGTGACCCACAGTCATAAGTTCGTGTTCATATTTGTGCAACCCCCATTATATAACTATGATTAGATAGAGCTTATCTACATTTATCTACCATGTACTAGTTATAAAATGTTATAAACCAACTTACTCTCCGGAATTCTCTGCGGCAATTTCACATAGCTATATTACATATATATATATATACATGGAAAATGGTCCATGTGTGTCCATGATTTACCGATTGAACATGGTGATGTTCCATATCTATGTTGAATTCCTAGAGGCTATCTATACTTATCCAAGAAATTGGGGCAGCCGGGCAGATCTCGGTGATCTCGCTGATCTCGCCTCTTTCTTCATCTTTTTGAAGACTCGCTGATCCCGGACGGCTTTGGGCACGTTCATGTCCTATGGGAGAAACCCTTCAAACCCCACCATCCCACCATCGGTTCAAGGCCGAATTGTGACCTCAAAATACCTCAACCATCATCGACGATCTGTTGTTTTCTGCACGAGTTTTGCTCGCGCATCTGAGAGCGTCTGGCAACACCATCATTCACTGAATCTGCATGGGCCTCACAGATTCTGCATATTCATGGCTGCTGGTCTGGATATCCTCCAGCTCTGACTCCAAGGCCATCTTTGTTCTGGTTGGTGGTGCAATAACCATCTTGAAAAATATGAGTTCGTCAATGGGTTTCGGATGACATCCCATATATGAAATGGAAAATAAAAAATGTTCCAATCCACCAACCAGTGTTGGAGTATCTCCAGCCATTTTTGGTGGGCGAGTTCCCATTTCTATCCATTTCTGCTCGTTAAATCCCATGATTTTCCACATGGAAATCCACAAGGAAATGCTCCACTGGTGAGATCCACGTGTCTACAAACTGCTGCCCTATGTGGGCAAGAGATATGTCCTTATCAAATGCCTTTAACAAGGCGAAACCCGTCAAAATCCCACCTGTTCATGGTTGAGCCCACTTCTTGTTGATGTTCAATAATGATAAATCAGTCAAATTCCATCACCATTTGGGCGACGTTAAATCCCCAATGTCTTGCTGATTTATGCTGCTAGTGTAATCCACCATGTTTCCGGCACTCCTTCTCATCTTCTTCGCCACTGGATTCAGCTTTGGGCCCCTCACTGATCTCTGGTGCCTGGGCACATCTGTGGAGGATTTCATCCGGAGAAAATGGAAGTTCATCACCAAACATGGCCAACATATCCAAGAATAAATGATATGTTGGGTGAGGTCTTCCCCAATTTTATGGCCATGTTGGGAAAATGATGGTCAAAAATCAATGGTGAACACACATTGGGAGGATCACCAGAAAGATGAAGGACTTCCTGGGCTTCTGCCAAGCAAAAACGACTGATTTCAGGAAGAGATTTCAGCATCAACAACTGGAATTTGAGCAAAACAACATATATAATTTGCAAACAAAACAAAAGGATACAAAAGGTACCTTGGAGGCCTACTGTTCATATGGCTTTGCCCTCCAAATAGCTATAGTTTGATGGTAAATTCAGGTAGATACACCATTGCTAAGCACAAACCCATCAAAAGGAAATCCATGGAAATCCATATGTTCCATGATACTATCCAACGGGATCTAACATGTAACATGATCTAACTAGTGAACACAAACTCATGGAAAATAGTAATTCAACCTTGATTTGACTTTGTTATCCATATCATCTCTACAAGTTAAATCATGTTAAATCCCTATCTTTCCATGATAAACCAGCATTTCTGACGGCTGCAACCGCTATTTTCAAACGCTTTCAACCACAATGTGTTGTCAGTCCTCCGGCCTTGAAGTTTCCTCCGACCACCTCGGCTTCACCGAACTCCACGGCATCCTGATTTTTTCAAAGAACGATCCACGGGGATCTCATAGGGGATTTTCCTTCTGGTAATGGATTGGTTTAAGGGAAAATCTACAGGAAACCATGGGTTTTCACCATAAAATATAGGGGTTTTCACCATAAATATTCCCATCATCCAATTCTATGATTCTGGTAATCCCATCGGATCCGACATGGGACCGTTTTCTTCCCCATGGGCCAAAAAAAGGGCTGGTTGGTGCTGACTTCACCTGAAAAATCATGGAGTTCGTCAAATGGGTTTCGGATGACATCCCATATATGGAATGGAAAATAAAAAATGTTTGAAACCACCAACCAGGCTTTAAACAATTGTTATAATCGACCCTTGAACATATGATTTTGTTCTAGGGTCATATTCATTTGTGGTCCATAGATGTCCATAGGGAGATTCTTCAAACAAAAGGATACAAAAGGTCATACGTGGTCATACACTTGATCCATAGGCACACAAATTACTGAATGTTGTTGGTTGCCCGGTAGGCTTAACCTTTGCCTGTACAACTTGTGATTAAACTTACCATCATGAGACTATGGTGGTATTACCATCATCTAAGATTTAAACCCTGAGACTCACTCATTTTGGTTGGGAAAGTAGTCTTCTAAGCAGCAACTCAGGGCAGAGTCTACGTTAGGAGGCAGGACAACCTACAATAGTCCATTTCAAAATATTTCAACGGAGAAAATGGATGAAAATGCTGGGGAGATATAGAGATGGCAACAATCAGTGGGTTCATTGGGCGCTGGTTTGTCTACCAATCCCAAGAAATGAAGTTGTAAATTGACGTATTGATGGGCTAAAACTCAAGGACTGGGCCCACTAAGAAGTCCACATGACCGCGGCGAACCCCCTCATATATGTCCATCAGATAGGTCGAAATCATCAAATGAAAAGCAAGTCTTTAAAACCTTTACATTGGTTTGATGGTTCAACTTCCGTCTTTATTAGCCATGCTATGCATGCTATGTTCTTGGTCAAAGCCTCCAGTTGTTGGTTTACCATGGTTTACCCTGTTGGTGAAACCTCCAGCAGATGCTCTGACTCTCGCTCCTCCAGGATCATTTCGTACTGAGTTTTGTCCTTGTTCTCCTTCCGACCTCCAAAACGTCAGCCAAGTCACTGCAGGACGACGAAACAAGGAACCATCATCGACGTTTCCGAAACAAGGAACACTAAAATGACATTCAAAACATGTCAGAATGCTGGAGATCAAAAAATTGGAGATATGGAAAACATAACAAGTGCCATTCGAAATGTGACCAGTAAAAGGGGGATGTGACAAGTCACATAAGGGCTGGAGAGGAAGATCAACACCTCCCACTTCTGTGTGTACTCCCCGATATGTTCAATATCTCATGTTTGTGGATTGGATCCCCCTTGTTTAATGATGGAAACCTTTATAAACAAAGCAGTTTCAAACGAAGCACTTTCGTGCCCCAGTCAATCCTGGTAGTCACCGTGAACCCTGAAAAAGTTGGGCTGGTCTCCTAGTCAAATCTCCAGCTTTTGATGTTCAAACCAGTTCTGATGGTTCTAATCTAGATCTCAATGACATCGCACTAGAATCCCCGTCATATCCTCATTTGTTTGGGCTTAAAGGCATAAATCACAATTGTCCATGCTTAATCACAGCATTTGAGGCGACGGGGAACCTTTCTGCGCGCCGTACTTGGCCACGGCTTTGTTCACCGTCTCATCTTCAAGACGCTGCTCTTCGTTGGGCTGCCACTTCCTGGGGCGTTGGAATCCCGTTCTTCCTGGTTAGTCATTTATATTAAATGTAGGGAATATGTATACTGGGGATGAAAATGAATTTTGGAATAAAAACATACATATATATATACATATTCCCTATTGAATAATAACATCTACAATATATATATATACATATATATATACATATATATATATATACATATATATATATATACATATATATACATAACCTGGTTGTAACATTAAATGAGGTTATATGTGGGTTATATGTGTTCCAACAATCCCGTGCATTAACCTGTTCAATATGATACTGGCTGGCATTTTGCCATGGCTCAAGGGGTATTGGACACATCCCTTTGCGCTGCTTGGTTTGTAAGTATTCGTAAATATTGTTGGCTGGTGGCTTATAAATACTGATGATATATTGATATATGGGTATGGATCAATACCTATTAATACCATTTTTAGGGGGATGAACATCCATTTACCAGCTATTTTGATGTTCACCAGGGGTACAAGGTTTTGACACACTGCCATATATTGTAATAATCCTCAAGCAACAGACCAGTTACTAACTCGTCTCATCAGTTTTCGTCTCATCAGAGGTATAACTTGGTGATTCCACGGGATGGTTTTTCTGGTGACCACCATATAAAAGTCTCTGAAAAAAGGACCATAAATGGCAATGGTCATGTTCAGAAATTTTCAGAAAACCATATCTATGGTTTATGGCTGTTCATATAAAATATGGCAATGTTCAGAAATTTTCAGATTAACCATCTTTGGATTCTGATGTACCTAAAATGTTCAGAAAACCATATCTATGGTAACCCACTATTCCAAAAGAGGATATGCCAAATATAGTTATATATGTGTATATATGTACTGCTTGGCGAAAATGTGGTTCTTGCTAATGACGAGTAGGATAACGATCCAAGTAAGGATCCTTGCGAGGGTTTGTGGATCATATATGAATATATATATATACATGCCAACCAGCATGAACACATGTCCCGACAGAAAGGGAAAGATAACCGACAAAAAATAGAAGGTTATATAACCTGATTGCAGACATCAATAGCTAACTTCTAGTTACATCCCTCAAGTTCCAAACTGTGAGTGCCCCGGTAGGAGTGTGCATTACGAGTAGGATCTCGTCCAACACCCCTGAAACAGACAAAAGTCAGAAATCTCTGGAGTGAGAAGGTAAGCATAGAAACACATGGCTGCAACATTCAGGGCTGCCCAGCCAGTAAAATAGGTACATCATGGTACATCAAGTTGTACGTTCCCAAAAAAAAACAGCTTCATCCAGCAGTTGCAAATGAAATGCAAAAGTCGCATTTCAACCATCACTCGATGCAAGGGAAAACCTTTCCCGGAAACCATGGTTCAACAGCCATCGAAGTACAGGGATTCTCCCTATCGGCAATTCAACCGCCCTTGGGGCCGCAGTTCCAGTTACAAGTGGATGTAAAACCATATATCATACTGTACAAATTATATGTAGGATTTATGACAGTTATTGTACCATATTTATAGGATTTATGACAGTTATAGATAGTTATAGCGTTATACCATGTTATACCCCCAACTTTCCGGGAGTTATTACCATGATTTTTCCATGACCCCAACTGCAGCCCCCAGAACCACTCCAAGGTGCTCATCGTAGGTCTGCTGGTAGCGCTGTTCCAGCACGGCGAAGCGCTTGTTTTGCCCTGGCACCAGCCCCAAAAACGCCCAAAACGAGGCAGCAGAAACGCACCAATCATGGGAAAAATGCTGGTTTACCCTCTGGTAATGACTAACATAGCTATTGAAAATGACCATTTATAGTGGATTTTCCCATTGAAAATGGTGATTTTCTATAGTGATGTTAGTTTACCAGAGGGTAATGGGATTGCTAATGGGAGTTTACCACAAAGAATTGGTTCATCCCACGAATCCTAAGTAATTTGTTGTTTACCCCAGTTGTATATAACTGGATTAACCCTACTTATCACATCTTATCCCACTAATGACCAGGGATATAACCTACTCACTAAATGAGATAAGCCATCAAGTAGTTGAAAAGGCCAAAGCAACCAGTTTCAAACCCTGATGTACAGCGGTAATTCTCCAAATATGAGGACAGTTCCAAGGACAGTTCCAAGGACAGTTCCAAGGACAGTTCCAAATCTGTTGCCACGTGAATGTGGCAGGGCTGAAGAATCTCGCCCTCAGTTTCTTCATCCAAAGTGTATCAAAACAGGAACCAGTCGGAGCCAGGCACGTGGGAAGTTCTACTCCTCTATCATCTAGTAGTTGGAGCCAATTAATGCCCACTACGCCATTAAGCTTGATTCTGTCCCCAATCTATAATTCCAAACAATGGTGTTGCTTAAACCCCCATGATATCTTACTGACTATTGATTAGGTTATTATTCATAATTGGTTCATTATTAATACGTATATAATAATTCCGAAAAATTATCACAATGTATTCATGGTCCCCTTTACTATCAGTTGCATCTGCCATTATTGTCCCATGACAATCCCATCACATCATCTCATCAAATGATGGGATTATTTGACGGGACTATGATGATTATAGAATGGGATGATATATTGGGATTATATGATGGGATTATAATGATTATAGAATGGGATAATATAATATAATATAATATCATATAATATCATATAATATCATATCATATCATCACATATTAGCCCCACTATATAATTCCAGTCTTATCCCATCATTCTCCCATGACTCTTCTTGCTTAAACTGACCAACCCGCCCCACATCACTAGAGACTCGTTCGACCCGAAACGCCTGGCCTTTGTTGTCCTCGTCATCATAGACGTCGGGCATGTTGTAACCCACTGGCTTCTCAAGGCCGCGCTCCTGTTTTTCAAAAACAGCGGAGATGGGATGGTTATCAACGGAACCCAAATGGTTCTTCGTGGTTATTAATGGTTAATAATGGTATGGGAATATCATTGGAATATGATGGGAATATTTTAATATTACCCTCTGGTAAACGTTTACATAACCCAGATGCAACCCATGGTGCTGGAATATTTACCTACATGGAAACCCCAAAAATCGCCCAGTTTTGTAGGTAAATATTCCAGCACCATTTTTGTTGCATCTGGGAAAGGTGGTTGTGGAAAAATCACAAAAGCGAGATGTGAACAGAAACATGCTGATTTATTAAGAAAGCAAGATGAAATAGTGGTGTTTCAATCGCAAACACCCATAAGTTGTCCGGCAAAAATTCTGATTTGATATTTAAAAAACCAAGATAACATGGAAAGATCAACCACAATATGGGCGTCCATGCAAGAAAATTGGTGGAAGCGGCCAAAGAATGGGTTGGACGAATCAGAAGATCCGGAACGCGACCGCGTAACCACCTTTGAAGGGCCTTTTTTTTACGGACCGGCGGATTGTCTGTTCGATTTTGGGAATCAAGATGTACATACAAACCCAAGCACCACCGATGATTGGTCATTTGTCAGCACTGTAAGGGTCCCAATAAAGATGTCTAAGAAACTATAGAAAACTTTTTCCCTGCTATTTTGACGCTGATTTCCTGTTCTATCTGATTCTATCTGTCTGGATCTCTTTAACATTCTTGGACCGCAGGGTACCGCAGTAACTTCATCAGGGCCTTTCAGCTTCACCCAGAGTCCCCAGGGCCCTGGCGGGCCATGACCGGCGCGACACTCCCGGCTCCTCCATGCGTTGCTTCGTCACGTCATAGAGCTGACGTTCCAGCTTGAGGTACCTGAGGCGGGCGGCCCATCTGGGATCCACCATACCCTGGGACCGGTAACTCCAATTCTGGAACCCATTGACCTGGGACCCACAGCTTGTTCAGGGTGTCCGATTTTGATCCACAGCCCCGCAAACAAGTTCGAGAGTGTCAACAGTTGACAGGAATGCCAACAGTCTGTTTGAATCGTAGAAATTACGCTGATTGCAGAGTCTTCAACAAGCACGTTCCGTTCACTATCACCCAGCTATCACAAGAAACTGAAGCAGGCTAATGACATCCTCTCTAATCCTAGCTGGCTAACAGTTAATATTTCACCCTGAAACAATCTCTCCAAAAGCAGACATTTCCAAATAATCAGTATTTCAAATTCTGACCCATTTCACCTACCCTAACGGCTGTGAAAAGTGGAGCTTTTAGGCTTGCCCGAACCATCTGTCGACTCTGTCGATTGAGTCAGGGTGCTGTTGTTCTGCATCCGACAACTTTTCGCCCTTCATCAGCCACTCCGCGTCGGAGACTTGCCTCTGCCAGGTCTAGAGATGAAACTCACCTGTCCTAAGGACACCAAAAAAGAATGGATGAAAACTCAAAAGTCAAAACTCCGTTGAATCGGCAAAATCAGAATGATCGTTTCGCGTGACCCCGAGCGAAAAGTAGAGCAGCGAAACTTACACCAAAAAAACATCAAGTTTGATCATATTTGATCATTGTAATATAGATGAAGTTGTATGGGATTTTAATCCGGTTGAGTGAAACAAAATGTGGAGACTTGTTGCAACTGGCATGTGGCAAAAACATGCAGAATGTGAACATCCTCACTACACCCTGAAAACCAACATGAAACTGTCAAACATCGGTTTCCATGTTGTTTTTCTGGAGGTATATCAGTATATCGCATGGCTTATGCCACCCCAAAGGTGAACCGGTCACTCCAACAATAAGGGCTTACCGGCTTATGGGTTATTAATGGTTATTAACCACCAACAACCACTAACTAATGGGTTTCTCAACCCATCAATTGTCAGTCACTTGAACGGAGGGTTGAACCAAGATAGCAACGAGCAGCGGCAACGCGCCTCCCACGAAGATCGGAGATTTTCACCTGGTTCCAAGGATGACCAGGAAGGTGAAAAGGACCAGAGAGGGAAAAAGAGAAAAAGAAAGAAAGGAAGAAAAAAAAATGGGCATGGGTGAAAATTGGTGCACTACTCCAAACAAAAAAGAGAATATAGCCATTAACTATCTCATAAAAACTAGTCATGATAACAAGATTAAGAATATGTTTGTCATATAGTTGTAACATGATAGAAAAACGATAAACGGATATACTGCACAAATCCCAAAATTTAACCATGGCGAAAGTGGCCAGATAATTCCACTTTGAGTCTCCATTCTGTACATTTGGCTCTTCATGGCTGACTATCCATCCTTTATCCATTCCCGGACCAGCTTGGATGATTTGTAATTTCATGCATATCTGGGATATACGTTCATTATATGCTTGGAAGTAAGGAACCAAACCACTCGAGGTACGATGAATGCCGGGTGAAATCTTTGGCCATGTCCGCAATTCTAGTGATTCAATGATATAGATAGTTTATGGTTAATCTCCCATTATTTCTACTCGTAGGTTGGCTATCTCTCTCATATTTGATGGTCACCTGGTCTCATTGATTGTTTTTTTTCCATTCTGCAGCTGTTGGGTCCTCTGGCCCGTGCTGTCTTGCCATCATTGATTGTTAAGATAAAAATATACTGAATACAGATATTTGGGAACCATTACCATTTCTGGAAAAAAAAAAAACATTGTTGGTGCAAAAAAAAACTGGTTTGATGGTTCATGATTCCTACATTAAATATATATGTTAGTATGTGTATGTATATAGATATATGTTCATATGTGTGTATAATTGTGTATATGTGATATATATATATATGTTAATATATGTGTATACATATGGTGATATATGTGTCTATGTGCGTCAATGTTGAAGTTTACCTCCTACGCGGACAATGCCGATGTTTGGGTTGGTTAAACTTTAAACATCGATGTTCTCAATGTTGATGTTTAACCCCTGTGAAGAAATCAATGGAGCTTGGAAGTGTAACATATATTCATCATCCCAGTTTCCCAATGTTAGGACCTATTGAATTTCCGGACGGAAACAAATCAATTAACCAAATTTGTAAGTTCCCGGCATCCTTTATGTGAGAGTCTAGGGACAAAACATGGGACCTTAAACCTGTTTGGAAATTTGAAACTCCTAGAAGCGCATGTCGTATGTTTATTGCACTACAAATTGGTATGATTTAATACCCAAAGAAATCTCGAACTCAGTGTTGCCACCGGAGGAAGAAACAAACCAAAAAAATCCTTAGCGTGATGTAGCGTGAAGTACTCGTGAAGTTTGCGTGAAATGCGATGTTTACCGACACAACTCCCATGGTTTTGTAGGGCAAAACGCCTCTGCAAACATACGCATGGTTGACTAAAAGCTAGACAAAATCCTTTGGGAAAGTATGTGTCAAATGTGATTTTAAGTGATAACCAATGAAAAATGTTCAAAATCAAGATTCGGCAGCAGCAGAAAATTTTGAAAAAGTGCTGCACCACATGTTTCAAGGGTAAACATCGACATTCATGAGTAAACACCGACGTTACACAAATGCTAGGTAAACCATTAATCAAATGCGTAGGTAAACATCAACATTGGACTTCCAGGATAAATAATATTATATATGATATACATCTATCTATACCTTTTCTATGCATATAAAATCATGTTTATATACATATACATATACATATACATATACATATAAATATACATATAAATATACATATACATATACATATACATATACAGATACAGATACATATCATATATATATATATTACTTAGTTTTATACATATTGACCTATATATATATACATATACGTATACTTATTTAACATTATTTTTTTTCATTTATATATATATGTGTGTATACATTTAAAAAACATGTTTTTAAAAAATATATGTAGTATTAATTATGTAGTAAGTTTGTGATACTGCCACATCAACATGTTCCACTGATTATAAACTATTTGTCCTCGCCTGGTTGGTTCTCCCATCGTTCTCCCTTTGTATTGGTGAAACGCACGCCCGCCCACCTTGCCCGCGCCTCACGTTCCCCGAGGTATTTCCGTCGCGCCATGAGGCGGATGTGATCGATGGCTTCCCGGCGTTCCTCCTCGTTTTGGAACTCGACTTGTCGACCACCTGACGCGGCGAAGGTGTCCAAAAACCTCGAAAAAAATCCAAAAATGGCCACGTTGAGATGAAAGTATGGGAGTATATATGGTGTAGTCTTCAAAAAAAAAATGAAAAGACCCGCCGGAAGGACGGGAAAAAAATAAGAAATATATATATATAAGAAATTAACGCCTCTGCCCTGTCAAACGCACCCGCTGTTACGATTTCGGGTCCACGATCTCGAGACACTAATGCATGATGAGTCTCTACGCGAGTTTCTCTTCCACCAACCCCACAGTAAGGGGGCAGCCTAAACCATCCCCCAAAACAATTAGTTTAGATAGAAATTGTTGTGAAGATCCGGCAGTCAAACATCAGTGTATCTGATTCTTTGACATTTTTTCAGCGCAACATTAATCGGCCATCACTCTCCAGCATTATTGGAAGTAGGCCCGCATGTTGGACTTTCCTAACCTTCTAGGGAGCGTCCAGTCATGAGCGAGTTGAATGACACACCATCGTCCTCTCCACCATCAAGAATGTCTGCAGTTTCAAGGTCATTGTCGCTACGGTTCTCTAAATGGAAACCGGCTTTCATTTCTGAGCTACGCTGGGGCAGCATTCCTTGATGCCGCCGCTCCAGTTTTCCAACCCGACAACATGTTTATTTTGTATGGACCAGGGGACACACCACGGCCCCAAAAAAATGGTTGAGTGTTGCTCACCCCCATTCTTGGGAGTGTTTGGGGATAATTGATGATGTGCCCGGCGTGCCCCACGGAAACAGCCAAAAGTATCCAAAAGTAAAGAATACTAAAGAAGATGCAAAACATGTTAAACATTCTAAAACAGCAGATGCAGCATGCTTAATATGTTTTATTTTGCATGGTGCAAGGGACCCACCACCCCCCAAAATAATTGTGATCGGGTTTGGCCCGGCCAAAAAGGGATTTCATCAACAAAACATGCATCACCCCAGTCTTGAGAGTATTTGGGATAATTGAGGATGTGCCCTATGGATACAACCAAACATAAAGAATACTAAAGAATGGCAGATGTGATGATACAGCACGTGTTTCACGAGGCAGGAGATCCGACGCCAAGCGATCAGCCGAGGGTGCGTGTTGGTTTGGTTTCAGCGCGGGATCAATACGTATTGTTGGGGAACCAGAAAATTTGGCGACACCAATAGCCACTATATAATATGATCTAATACTATATAATGCATTCTAATTATTCATAGCCACCACACTGATTCTAAAACTAAACATGTTCATCGCCTATCATCAGTTCAAATCTATGGGTGGTACCGACAAAAATGGTGCTATGCAGTACCAAATGTACCAATCTGTTGATGGGTTGATATGGGTTGGGAAGTGAAATTGAAATAACTTGGATAGAAACATCAAAAATACAAGTGTGTTGCACCAATGGGCTTTAAGGCAATAATGCAGTATAACTTGGGTTTCAATCAAGTGTAGGTGGGGGAAGAAGTAGCTTGGGATTCGGGGCCCGGTTTCTAGGCAGCCTGCTGTTGTTGCCCAACAAATCCGCAGTGATCTCACCTCCCTGTTTCTGAGGGAGATTATATAGACATTGACTGACAGAAATGATGGTGAAACAAACCCCGCAATGGTGAGGTTGATAGAGGAAACAAAGAGGTTGAAAAGAGAACCCCTGGGAAGTTTTCGAGTTCTACACGTCACAGTTTGTATTGGTACTTTTTTTCAATGGGAATTCCAGGATCCTAAAATGGAGGTACTGTACCATATAAGGCCATATTTTCTGGGGATATTCCCTTACATAGGCCTTACATAGGCCTTATATATGGTAGGTACCTCCAATCTAGGTTCCTGAAATGGCCATTGATTTTTTGGAGCAGTGACATAAGTGGGTGGACAAAAGGCTATATGGTTTGTCCAGGAGCTCGCCGTGAGCTTCTGAAGCGGGATTGCTCCACTTGAGCAGCTAAAACATGAGAATATCTCAGCTACTGATTCTTTCTCCCAACGGAACTCTGGCTAGGCAGAGCTATTGGGAATTGAACAGGCACACCTTTCACCACCTACTGTACTTGCATTACCATTCATTCGCATTGCTTTTGTTCATTTAGCATTTATTTCCTTCATGTTGCATTCATGTTCTTGCTTGTTGTATTCATGTCCTTTCATTTTAATTGCATGTCTTTCCATGTTGATGATCCAAGGTCTGGCATGTATAATCCAATGTCTATAAAACGCATACTAAACGCTAAAGGTACTGCCTTCACCTGACTGCTTTTTACAAGGGAACATCTCTATTTTATACCACCGGTACCGTCTTCAACATCTGCCTGTAGAGATGCAAAACAACCAACCTGGATTGATCTATCCGAATTTCAGGCGGAAATACCAGAAATATGTGGCCGTCTCTGTGTGTGTGTCTCTCTCTTCTCTCTCTCTTTCTCTCTCTCTCTCTCTCTCTCTCTCTGTCTGTCCCTCTCTATCTCTCTCTCTCTCTCTCTCTGCATATATATATACATATATATATATACATATATATACATATATATATATATATCTGTCTCTCTCTCTCTCTCTAAAAAGCTCCCAACTCCAAACTCTAAGAATGCTTCTAGTGTCGCTCCCAACTCCAAAACACGTCTGCTAATCTCCCAAAAAGAAACAACTCCAGATCAACTCATCTCTTCAAACCAAAGAAACTAAACATTGATGGTTGTTTCTTGGCTCCTCTCAAAGAAAAGCATGGATACCCTCCGGTAATCAAACATGGCTAGCTGGAAAAGCTCCCATTTATCGATTTTCCCAGCTAGAAACCTCCATTTACATGGGGATTTTCTTGATTTCCAGAAGGTATTCTTGTTGTTTCCCTTAATTCAAAGTCCCCCAAGGGCCTCAGCCCAGCCCCCACAACCCCACAGGACCCGCACCTGCGGCATCATCAGCAGGCGCTGCGGCGCCCAGTGCGGCGGCGCCCACGCGTTTTTTGCTCAGCCGCTCCTTCTCCATGATGCGCTCGTGCAGCTCATCCTGGGAAACCCCTTTGGGATAGCTACGGATCACGTGTTCCACCCAAAGGTCCAAGTTGGTTGGTTGGAAAATGTGTGTATCCTCAAGAATCAAATCACCAATGTCAGACAAAGTTTCAAAGCTTATAAAATTGGTCATGGTGGGGTTGTGGTCTGGTTATGGTCAAAAGGTTGGTTATGGTCTGGTTGTGCTCTGGTTGTTACATGTTATTACCTACTTCATGTTTGCAAGATGTTATACCCTCAGGTAAATTAAGACAGACCCTTCCAGATAGGGGTTGGAAGCTTAGTTTCCACTTAAAATGGGTGATTTACAGGGTCTATGTTAATTTACCCGAGGGTAAGTTACAAATGGATTCCACTGAGCCGATGGCTCTTTTGGAGCAAAGTGGCACTAGTGCAAAAATTCGAGGCGCCAGGGGAGACAAACTAATCACTTCGGGAAAATTTGTGTGTGACATGCCCAAAGAAAAGTAAATTCCGGATTTTTTTTTTCAACATCTTCGAACTATATTTTTTGGTACCCTCTGGTGAACTAACATAGCAATGGAAAATGGCTATTTATAGTGGATTTTCCCATTAAGAATGGTGATTTTCCATTGCTATGTTAGTTCACCAGAGGGTACACACACGAATGACATCAACCAGCGGCATGTCACTATCCATCTGGGTTCAGCCAGCGCTTCACCGTGCTCCCCCTGATCCTGAAATCTTGATCCACAGGCTGGATAAATAATGATTCACCAACCTGAAAAGTTCGACCATTTGGGGGATAAATATAAATATATATATATATGTGTGTATACATATATAAATTATATAACTACATATATGTATATATAATTATATATATAATTATAATTATATATACACACTCATCCCAATCCAATTCCGAATTCCCATCATTCCACTTCTTCCAGATACGGATCATGCTCGCAAATCACGTCGTGTCAAGGCACTCGCTCGCGCTTGTCCTTTTCCCTCAAGTCCTGGATCAACACAACTGGCCGATTCTACGGTCCCGTAGAATGTTAATGATAAAGCCATTGGAGCAATGAAACCCCGGGTGGTTAATGATTGTAGATTATTATAGAGCATGATTACTAACCACGATCCATTGGGGATTATCATGGATTATCACAATTCATGAGGGGAAACCCTATCAACCAACCAGTATAAGGGACGACACTGGGTTTTTTATATGGTTTCTTCAACACTGATCATTTGAAGATACAGTATCTAAAGTCCGGTAATATCGTGGTATGCCGGATCCCCTGGTCATGTCTTTTCATCCGACACCATGTCACAGATGCTACCCTCGCGCCAAACCAGCCATGGAACATCATCTGCTACGCCCAAGGTTTGCCATATCAAATTACTCCGAGAAAAATTTGAAAGACCTTCCAATGATGAACATTGGACATGACAAATTGGTCATCATGCTTTGGTTTGTCATGTTTAATTTGGCATAATTTGACATGACAAACCAGTACTTGTCACTGTCATCGTTGTCATCGTTGTGGCTTTAAAAAAGGACCTTCCAATTGTCTCCTCCTTGCTCGAGGAGGCTTTCTGCACGTCCGCCATGGCGGCCCCCAATGGAATATGCTGGTTGCTGATACAGTATGGTTGCTGGTCATTGATTGCTGCTAGGACCATTGATTGCTGGATGTGGCACAGAAGCTCGATAATTAAGGAACCACATGGAACCACTGACCCACTGAATTGGGTATATGATTCAAAGGTACATGATTTAACATTGAAATCTTGCAGTGGTTGGGCCAAATGGTGATCAGCCGCCGATTTTTTCGAAAAGCGCAAAGTCATGTGTAGTCGAAGAGTCCAACTTTTTGACTCCGGACCTATCCAATTGATGTTCTTGGAAAGAACCAGCCCAATTACTGGTATCTAGAAAAAATAAATATAATAAATCTTCTAAAATCTAATCAGATACATTATATTTTGTATCAAACCTTGGGGAAATGTGTTCTATTCTTCCATGGAGAGACGATCACCAGGAATAAAAAAACACGAAGCTGGGAAGCAATGTGACCGTGGACCGCGGTTAAATTCTCCCATGAGAAGCAAAAAAACTGTAAATGAAGCCCTGGTTTAGGGCTTGCTGCATACCATATATTAGCGGAGGTAGAATTAAGGGAAATGGGATCTGTCAGTTTGAAGTCGTGGCTCCAAATTTGAAAAATAGAATCCTGGGTTGACATGACAGTTTAGTTATATGCAGGTTTCCATAAATGGGGGTACCCCAAAATGGATGGTTTATTTCAATTTGTTTCATGAAAAATCCTATATAAATTGATGATTTGTGGGTACCCCTATTTTAGGAAACCCCCATAGAGTAACCAACAAAAACTCTTTTCAAAGCTCCATTCACAACTGGCTGTTCTGTCGGGACCAAGTCATAGACATTGTATTGGTTCGTCTTGAAATGAGGGGATCCCCAAAAATAAGTGTGTTTATACAATAGGACAAATGATGATAAACTATAATAAACTATGGGACTTGGGGGTAAACTATTTCAGACAAACCCATTAGACATGTCAGGACCCTGCAAGGGAAGGGCGCGTCAACTCTTCCGACGTGGCCCTTGAGCAGATGGCCCTGGGACAGATGTGGCACTCGTCGTTTCGGACGTCTGCGGCAACAGTGATCTCTTCAGCTGTTACCGCAGCTGGCTGAGTGCAATAAAGCAAAATCTTACCAGTGCAATCCACGAAGCAAGAAATCTAAGTAATGGATATGATAATGGTCATCATCAAACAGCACAAACTCTAATTTCATCTTGATGATTTCTGATTGAGACTAGTCCAAAACAGCATTGTCTGGCTGTGTCTATCGTAAGATGATTACACTGCCGAAGATCCCCATGGTCCGTTTGAAAGCACAGCACATCCGCAGCCTTCGGATGTAGGTCCCATGGAGACCATTCATAAACAAACTGCCCTTCCAGTTGGCTAACAATATCCTACAATATCCTACAATATCCTACAAATTCCTACAATATCCTACAATATCCTGGGATATGGAGACAACTATATAACTAGAGGTATACTGTATACCAATAAGTGACCAGTGACCATTAAGTGACCCTATGAGACAGCCATCTGACCCCCCGTTGAAGGTCCCTGGCTCAGTTTAGGCAACAAAAATGGCGGTATGTGGTCATCTCCATAGTTAAACCCCAGAAGCCCAGGTGGATACTGTAGAAACCGAGGCGACTGTTCCTGTCGTTTTGCTGGCTTCGGAGGCAGTCGGAGTTTTTTTTTGCACATGCGCATCTTGAGCTGCAACGTAAGACTCCGTAAGACGCTGGTCTGTGCAGTATCACAAGGTGACACCCAACTTATCTATCCAAAATGGCTGATGTTTGGAGCTTCTCCAGATTTCAGACATTTTGGAACACCGAACAGAGGCTGATAATCTGATAGCTCAGCACAGACATCCCGCAGAGAAACACGACTTTGAAAGGGTGAAACGACAAACTGCGCGAAACAGCTCTAGCCGGACCCTTCTTGGGCAGCGGCCTGGATTCAAACGACTCAAAGGCGCCACCTGCAAGCGGTTTGCCAAGGTTAGTGTTTCTCTGAGATTCTCATATTTGCATGGAAAGTCGTAAGCCATCATCAGAGCCAAAACCACTCAACATCTCATACAATATCTGTTAGATATCTATATTTCAATCCATATCTAGGGGGTCCCAGAAAGACAGCGTTTCCACGTTTAGGTGAAGATCATACCTCATAGTTTCTCTGGTGACCAACCGTTCTATCCCAAGTGCAGGAGAGCCCAACCATGAAGCATAGCCTATAAAGATTGCATAAATCCCCCGTGAATAGACGTTACAATATTATATTATATGGTAAAACTTATGGTAAAACCCAACTCTTTGATTATTCACAAAAGTTGCTATCAACGTAAGCCTTCCAAAAAACGGCTTTCACCATGTAAAAAAAAATGAAGTTTACCACAATGGACCCATCTTTCTCTTGGAAAAATTAGGACGGCCAATCCGGACCTGGGAATGAGCGGTCGATCCAAGAAGTGAACGTAGCCATTCCAGCAGCGGATATTTGCCTCGACAGCTTCAGGGCCCCATGAAACATGGAGGATATGATGTGGTGTTTTACTTCGTAAGATATAATAAGTAAGAAACAATACAGGATGATAAAATCTAAATGATGAAACATGGAGGCATTATGATTTTATGGTGGCTTACAAAAATGATAACACTAATACAAGTATATACAAGCAACTTAAGAATGATGGAACATGATAAAAATATGTTCACGACACAAACTCTGGCAAGTTTCTCCAACCAACAAGATAGGAAATACTGTGAATGCCAATCAAAAATACAAACATACTTTTTCATCTGCAAAATACTGACGAATTGCTTGGACTTGGGGCTTGAGTTGGTCAAAGTCAATGGTTTTCTATGGGCAAAGGTCAAAGGTCCAAGTTGGATCCAAACTAATTCTTTCAGAAAAAAAGAAAAAATCAAGAGCTCGGAGATTGCAAAGATTGCAAAGACATTCGAGTCGGGTGCGAAATGCTGATTCCCACCTTTCTACAGTGTTTCTTGAAATGGGAGCAGCACCCAATAGCGTGAATTCTTCTGAAGCATGTTGCATGTCTCAGTATGCGGCAAAAATCCCACCAATGTTATTTTGAAAACTGTCCAAATCTGATCCGATTAGTGAAAACACATATTTCTACAAATGGGTGCCAGAATGTGCCAGACGATTCCTTGTGACCTTGTTTGTGTTTTCTGCTAAGTGGCTTTTAGAAAGAGGTCAGTTAAGGAAAACGTAGAAAGAGGTCAGTTAAGGAAACGAGCCAAAAAGTGGCACCCAAGTGACACGCAAGTGACACGCAGGTGACACGATCCTTAAGTGACCTTTTCAAGGCTTAAGTGACCTTTTCAGGGTCCTAAGTGACCTCGTTTCATCCCACCTCGAAACCCCAGTGACACGCAAGTGACACGCAGTGACACGCAGAAATCATGTGATCAGCCAGGCAAAGAGGTCACTTAAGGATTCTTGAAACGAGGTCACTTATGCATGATTGATCTTGTAAGTGACCGTTTGGCACTTTGGGTCTAAGTGGCTTCCATTAAAGGGCATAATTAACTGCCTGGTGTTTAATGTTTTATACACAAAATTCCAAATACATTCCAAATACTATTTGGAGTCAAGATTCCCAATTGTTGGCAACTGAAAATCAACAAGACTTTGACTTTGACACCGAAAACCAACATCCCGCCACGCCTTTGTGAGCCTGGCTTTTTCGATAAAGACCTGACGGGAGAGCCACGTGCCCCAAGTTTCACTGATCAAGAATCGTCACTTATTTGAGAATTAGGCAATTCATATCAATTTCCAGTGAAACTTCGGATTTAGAGTGAAAATTGGGCCACTCCCCAGTTGTAATGTTGACTATTTTGTTAATGCCTGACACTCCATAATACTGTCTGACTGAAATCGCACTGAAATCCAACTTATTCATTGTTAAAATTATCATTTTAGATGGTTTTATACGGCTGTACCCACCATTTTTACTGGATTACATCCCCTGTTTTAGATGATAAGTTTCTCATGGTTTATCATGTTTTCCCCTATTGCTGTAACATGGCAAGTTGGTGTCAAATTCCCATGTTTGAACCAAACCATAGTATCGAATATTCAGATGAATTGAAATCCCAAATTTCAGAAATTTCATGACAAGATCCCCACATCAGGGTTGCGCCCAACACCCCAGATACAATGGGCGTAAATTGGGTAAATACAGGGGTAGAATTCACAATTTCGAACCATCGTGGCCATGGATTACCTATCCCAGATACAGTACTCCATGTATGGAATATTTACCTACATTTACCCCATGTAAATATACCATACATGGAGCATATGGGCTATAATTCCATGAACATCGGCGACATTTTCCGATCGCGGTCCTGACCTGGCGATCGTGGCATTCGAGGCTGCCTTTGACAGAGATCTTCAAGGGTTGATCCGCCAGGGATTTGACCTACGGCTGTTGGTCCAAAGCCAAGATGACATGCCATGGCCTATTTCCAATGGTAATTACCATGCTAAAAAAATGGGTAAATCAACTATAAATCGTCATGTTCAATGGCCTATTTCCATTTATTTTGGTCGATTGACTACACCTTTCCAAGCCGGGTCGACATACGCAATGCTAGGATTCTCTGGGATTGATATAGGATGGAATCCCATGGAATCCAATGGAATTCGGAGATAACGAGGATAGGAATGGTCACCAAAAAACACTCAAAAACAACTGAGGATAACTACAGAAATGTAGAGATTGAACCAGTTATAACCAGTTTTAACCAGTTATAACCAGTTAATCTCAGCCATTCCTGGGATGCTACACAGGTGCTCCGGTAGTCCTTGGCCGGCTCCGTAGGCGTCGCTGCTTTTCAAACGAATCCGGCCACGACGTCACGAATTTGGTGAACCATCACCGAGCATTACAATGTGGGAGGCCGCCACTTCTATTTGTTGGTTTATATACAAGCCGATTCAACTGCAGATGTATTTAACATA